CTCAAATGTCAGGCAGACGGGACTTTCGTTGCTTCATTGGACAAGATGAACCATAAGACGGAGTATATCGATGACAGTCGGGTGTTGTGTTGCTTCTGGAAAAGGAATCGCAGGGTGGATGATAAGACGCGGACGCTTCCAGGCGCGTTCCACCAAGTCAAGGTCTAGTCTGGAGACTGGGGAATGAGGCTTGCCGCGTGGGGTAAAATTGTGGAGGTTGTTGGTTGCTGGAGAATCCGTGGGGGTGTCTGACCACCATGTTCGACTGCTCTTCCCTCGCTTCAGGTCGGTATCATATCACTTCCATCTCGGGAATAGAGAGGTTTTGCAGCTTTTGGGATTATAATTGCATGATTACGAGTCATGAAGTAGTCGTTATTATTGAAATAAGAGGTTTTGCAGCTTTTGGGATTCGGTTAGTATTATAGTGTGTAAGAGAGTGTTTCGACCCGAAAAACTTAATAATTAGGACGATTAGATTTAATCCCAAATGAATCCCATGGGACTATATAGTCCCAAACGCGATTTTGGGATTATAAAGTTCTATCGGAGCCCCGAAAGAGAGAAAGCATAAATTACATGAAACTATAGCGCTAAACCATAATAGGAAGTTAAACGGTAATCCCAAAATCTGCAAAACCTCTCTAATAGGGGCTGCTTGCGTATCAGCGCTGTGCAAGTCTTGCTGCCTTGCTCACAATCTTTGAATCTATCCAGTTTCTGCCAAAAGGGAAGGTCACTCATATCCGGAATTTCGGAAATCAGCGACGGTTTCAGGCCTCGGTTCGGGGGAACTCTGTTTGCATTTATGGAGCCATGTTTCTCAAAATTTCAGCACGGTACAGTAAGAGCTCAGGGAGTATTGCAGTCTAACAAGCCTACGAATCAAACAGCATGCGGTGTTTCGCAAGCGCTACAGCGCCTACAGCCTTCAGATTCAGAGCGGCCTCTTCCTTCCGCTGCTCCCTACGAAGCGAGACGAAAACGTCGTAATCTTCTACCGCAACACGAACAACTACCTGTTGTGGACTCCTAGGTTCAAACACACATGGATTTGGATGACGATATGTTTCCGAGGCTGCGCTTATAATTCATGTTGTGCCTACAAATTCATGCTCCTATTATGGCAAAGTGTAGGCGAGAAAGAGGCGAGGTCGCAAAGTGCCCAAAGAAGGTATCATCGTAACAGAACACATAGCATAAAAGGTCTAACGGAGCAAGCAAACCCTCCACAGACGAGACAAGAACATGCAATACCCCGTTTGCCCTCTTTAACCACAATGCCTGATCATAAATTCGGCGAACGTGTGACAAGAAAACACTTTCCGCATTATGTTGGAGCCTCATTTGATCTGGGACATCCGTTTGCAAAAGCCTACATTCCTGTCACCATACGAACTCAGCCAAGTGCCAACACTGCTACCGTCACGCCCAATCAGGCTCATTCTTTTAGCAAGTTAGGCTCGTGAGAAGGAATTCCAACCACAATGTGGTAGCATTACAACCCAAGGATCGGTCTCACGACAAACCGGCAGCCTCAAATATTCCGTTTCTGGATCGGATCCAGAGATCCTGCACGGCGTATGTATTATTGTAGAAGTTGCATTCAACCGGAATGCATCTGGCGAGATCACTCCTGCACCCCGGACTTTCTGAAAGTATTTTTATCTCCACACTTTTGTTCCTCCGGGACGGGGCGATGTGCCCCTGAAAATCATTGTGGAGAATGCCACGCGAGCAGCACATCCTCTGCTCCTCTTCCCACAACCAGCCTCAAGCCAGCGCTACATCATACGTATGGCTTCCGTTGGAGTAGTATCCAACATACTTGATATGTACACCACAGCGCTAAACGTTTGGTCTTCCAGTACTGACTACTCGGTGTGCTGATCGTGTCCTCTACTTTTCAACTATGTCGCGTCCAAGTATTGATTGCAATTTCATCTGATCGCTAAGAACCATCCACGTCACAACTTACCCATGCAGCAGTACACGAGAAGCTATGCTGTTTCATTTCCTCTCTGTTAGTATATCAAGAACCTGATTCCCGAAAGTAGATATGTCTAGGAAACAGGAAAGCTGTACAAGTCGTGGTAAAACTCTCACGGTGTGATGACGAAAACGTTTGTACAACACACCTCCTCTCATTTGATTGAGCGATTCGCGAGGTTCTGGCAGGAGGCCAAATTCTAGTGGCCGTCGCCTAAGTATCGAAAAGCGTCTGAGACTTCCAGCCCAATTAACAGCCTGTTATTCGGAAGGCTTTCCAGGTGCAGCATACGAGGAAGTGTTATTTCAGTTCTCCTGTCTCACTCACTAGCAACGAAATGGAACTGTGTTCCATTCAACAATCGGTAAGTTATCTTCCAAAGACTTTCTTTTCGATATAACACCTGTAATTCGAGCGGATGTCCATTCCCCGACTTTTGTTGGGAATCGCATGCGGAAACAACAGCTTTCAATATGGCTCAATCTCCCACACCATCTACAAAATCAGTAATCGAACCCCCACTCACGCAAGTTTATCTCGAACAAGTTACACTTGGGTATTTTCAGGTTCCTTATATCCTATCTCTCACCCTCCTTCACTGCGCCCTGTTTTATATCCCATTCATCCTGCCATGCGCAGCATAACTTTGTCTTCAACCTGAGCAGCTAATAAAAGCATGTTCGCAGCTCAAACTCATGTACAGAGCCGATATCCCACAGCATGGACTCCATCTACCGGGACTCGCGATATTCAATCTGACGCCGTGGAACCCTGTTCCTGGCGATTCTGGGGAAACACTGCAGATCTGACAGTTGACAATTCATCCATTTCCTCGTCGGACATTTTCTCAGCGCCTACATTTACCCACTCCACGAATCGCAGCAAGATTGTAATCAGCGAAACTGAACTCAGTCATTCCAATCAACCTTCACGATCTTGTGGACGATGAGAATGATGAGTTGTCGCGTAACTCAAGGCAGCCTCGCATCTTCCATAAGGTGCTGTGTCGCTATTCACACAGCTTGAACTATGCAGCGCACTTTGATGGTTTGCGAATACATACTCCGCCTTGTCGGGCAATGTGATGGATGACTCGTTCCTACAGTAAGGCAGCCTCGCCTTTTGGCCCATGATGAGCTAGGAGAATTATATTCTTTGCATTTACTGTCGTATCTCTCAGCTCCGGACTTCTATGTATGGTAGTGCATTATCGCTGTCGCGACTCGCTTGGCTATTCGGTGAGCGATAGACTGCTTCCAACTCTATCCTCTTCGATATGTGAACGTTGAACGAATGGTGATATCTCAAATGCCGCTACATTTGTTTGTGGCTTCACAGCGCAAAATCTCAACTTTCCGAGCGCTTGTGTTTCCACACTTTCAATAAAATATCCCGAAAATACCATTTTCGCTATGACTACTTGCCGTTGAATCTCACGGCCATTTGAGAGAATCAAGCTTTGATGACTTGTCCTCGCATTCCAACCCCCCTTTTCCATATATCAGAACATGTTAACCCCTTCTTCCACGCTCTTGCTCATACGGCCATACCATGCACATCTTTCCCAAACCCCCCAAAATCCCCGGAATCCAGCTTATCTCGTATGTTTCGCGATGGCGGGCATCTGAGCTTATGCTTACATTCTGTGTCAGAGAATCAGACTGCAACGTCACATCATCCTTCCATCTCTCTACTATTTTTCACGAAAACATGTAGGTGTTTAGTAGCACAATTCAATTCCGTTCAAGGCTGCAGTTGATGAATTAGCTTCTAGTGTAGGTCATCAAATGTACGTTCCATCACTCGTTCAGGAAATTCCAGTTCCCTAGTCATCGAACATTGAAGTGCTTTGCGAGAGTAATAGCTCTGTTCGGATCTAGCTTCGGATATGCGATTCCTCGGAATGCAGTCCCTAAGTTGAATTTTCCTTACGCTTGGGAGCTGACGTAGCGTTGTGCCACAACATGATATGGCCATACGTCAGCTAATCCATCCCAGGTAGAATAGTCGAACGATGTGCGAAATGCTACCGACAATAGGTGCCTTCTCGCTTATGTACCTTTAAGGGGGAATGTCGAGGTCGCTGAGCTCAGTTTCTCATATCTTGTTACCTGAAGTGATGCGAATAACCAGATTGCAATGTCATTACAGAAGCATCTCTCGTCTACCATAATGGTAACGAGGATTGCACGTTTGTAACGGGTTGTGATTCAGTGAGACTCATATAATCAGGTTGACCCAGCCGTATTGTTTCAGAGGTCAATATAATTCAAAGGTGAATGTGATATACTTTGAAAGCATATCATACAGCATGGAAGCATGGAAAAAATGAAGAGAACAGACTATGATTACTAGATTGTGCAAAGATGGTTTAACAGTCTATCATAAACTTGTTTCGTTACATTATATGTGCATCACCAATATTGAGATACCAAAAGTCACCTTTACACTAATCACATTATACGAAACAAAATTTACTTTCAAATAATCTGTCATTCCTAGCTAGCATATCTACTTAGAAACAATCCACGCTAGTCCAAGAAAGCCCACCTGCTCCTTCGACCGATAAGGGTACCGCCCTTAACCAGCGCAAACCAAAATGCGTCCCCCAAAAAAACTCCGCTTGTAAGTCGAAGATGACCTACAGGACCACGCCATGCCAGGCCAGGTCGAAATACCATGTCCAGTAAACGCCATCGCAATGCCGAGTTGTGTTTATGTGTTTTATATCGATTAAAAGACCTCCATGGGTGAACCCGAAAGAATGAGAAATGTAACGCCTGATAATGCCCCCATGTATGGTTATTTACCGTGGAATTGTAAGGCCGTGTTTGTTCAGATGCCTTGCTGAGTACGCCGTATGCGCCGAAGAGTGTAGATGTGAGGTGTAGAGAGTATATGTCGCGTATTTGTACAGTGTATGTCGTATCCGGCTCGTCATTGAATTTGAGAGCCATAAGGGGAGAATAAAATCCCTGAGCTTTGAACAGAATAAAGAGGAGATCATTCCTCACAACTCCCTGTAGTCGCTAGGACGGTTACGTCTCTGTTTGCCTTGATGTCGGTGTGGATTTACCGGTTTGCGGAAATACGCATTATCCTCCTCATTTGGGAGTGGCTCAGCGAAAATAGTTTTTTGCTGATTTGGGAACCCATTTGTTACAGCCATTCCATTGTTCATTCCTCCTCCATTGTTCATTCCTCCTCCATTGTTCATTCCTCCTCCATTGTTCATGCCCATTCCACCTCCGTTCATGTTCCCATACATGTTGGGAAACCCCCCAAAGTTCATCATAGGGTTCATGCCATTCATGCCCATCATAGGCATCCCGTTCATACCTGGCATCATCATATTTGGCATACCATTCCATCCGGCATTGCCCATTGCCGGGGGGAAACCGTTCATGTTATAACCATTCATCATGGCTTGCTGTTGCTGAAGAAGTAAATTCTTCTGTTGGGTAGCTTGCTGCTGCTGCATAGCCTTTGGACCTTTGGGAATCCTAGGGTTTTCAAGAAGCTCATCTGCTGGGCGTTTTTTGTTGTTGGGCCCAGATGGAGCGGTTGGTGGGGCAAGGGTAGATTTGCCGTTATTTGGGGACAAAGTCTTGACTGGCGGCGACTTTGCCTTCGCAGGTTTAGTAGCAACTTGACCCATTTTGTAGCCAGGTTTAGGCGATGGTGATTTAGTGCGAGACTTGACATCAGCAGCAGCTGGAGTAAGTTCTCGTTTTACAGGCGGAGACTTGGATTTCTCTTTGGCTTCAGTATCTTTCTTTGCGGCCGTCTTGTCTTCAAGATACTTCTTTATTTTTGTCGTTATCTCAACATCAGGTTTAAGATCATCGATGAGGACCCCATCAGTTTGGCATCCAGGGCAGGTGAAATCGGACTCGATAAGCGCGTTAGTAATGCATTCATTGCAATACGTCTTCTCACAACACGGCGTCTTCATTGGATCTATGAATATTCTCTTGTCGATCGAACACTCTAATCCCAAGTCTTGCAATTCCTTGTCACCAGCAGCTGCTGCCTTTTGTGCCGCCGCCGAAGAGTTCGTCTTGGCTTGGAACTTTTCCCATGAAGCCTTATCAGGCTCCGCAATCACAAAATCTCCCTCAGCATTTACCATAACTCCTGATGGCAACTTCGTCTCATCCGTAGTACCATCATTAATGAGTGCCGCTGGTTTCTCGACAGTCTTCAGAAATGAACGTGGTATACCAGTGGTACGCTTTACTCTAGGTTTGTGATCAAAATTTGGATCATCATTTGTAGGGCATGCCTGAATCCAATGTCCTTTCTCTTGACATCTATAGCAAATATAGCCTAATGGAGGATCACGGTCCGGAACTGCTGCTTGAGGACCCTTCTTTGCACCAGGTCGGAAGACAGGTGTTTGACTAAATGTTGTTAGTATTGAATATCAACAAGCGATACCATACGACTTACTTGGCCATCTCATCTTGCGTTGCGTTCCATTGAGCATTTTGTGCTTCGAACAAAGCAGCCATCTGTTCCTCCTCCGTCATGCCAGCGTGTATAGCTGTAGGCGCTGTTGTTGACTTTGTCGTAGATGATTTGTTCGCCACCTGTTCTTTTCGGGATGAGTTCTTCATATTGATTGGCATTTTGCCAGACATGTATCTTGCGGCTCGACCGGCTCCAGGTTTGCTTGGTGGTAATCGTCGGGCGATGACTGATGTCGAACGAGGGATAAGAGTTGTATCGTCGTCATATTCTGTTGATTGTTAGCTAGGAGCTACTTCCTATGATCAGGTTCATGCTTACCATCTTTGCCATTGTCGGCATATATTGCGAGGTCGAAATCTGTTCCATCACCTAATCCACTCTTGATGATAATATCACGTTTGAGCTCGAACACAGAGATACCAGTACCATCAAACTCGACCCTAGATGGCTCCTTCTGAGACTTGAACTTGAAGAAGACAGAAGACGACATGATGCCAACCTGCTAAAAAGTATACCAGGTTGAAACTGGTGAGAATGGTCGGGGTTGTCGATTGATGTCAAAGTCGAAGAACAAAGGAGAGGGCGACCAGAAAAGAGACTGGGATTAGTTGTAGCAAGAAGAGAAGGGGAACAGGGTAATTATTTTCGTGCGATCGGTGCAAGATCAAGATTCTTCTTTTTTTTCCGTTCGAAAACGATGTGTAATCAAATCTGATTGCAATCACAGGAGATAACTCTGGTGACAATGAACAATCTTTGGGAACGAGAAGGAAATGAATGTACAAGATTGCAGATGACTGCGGGTTTGATGACAGTGATTGTCGATTCCTCCTTGACAAACAAAGCGACAAAGCAGCTCCACCGCCAGAAGTGATTGACCCGTCCCAACACCAAGTATGATTCCTCCTGCTTCCAAGTCTAACCCGGATTGAAAACCAATACAAAGGACACGCAGGTGATTCGAGAGGTCGTGATTCGTAAGTTGAGGCTCTCGCGATGCCAATTCTGGCGCTTGATGTGTTGTCGATAAAAGTTGTCGTGAGATCCAGATGAAATCCTCGGGCGGAGGCAAAGAGGAGATGTTTAACCTCCGCGCTAGGCTGAACTGCTGGTCACGTGCAAAATATAGGCTTACGAATCCGGAGCACTGCCATTTTGCGCTAGTACGCATCCGTACGGCTCGCTAAATGCAAGGTTCCTTCACTTTCACGCAACGGAATAACAGCAATATTGCGAGCGATGATCAAGTCATGTTTTCTAGGCTTCTATCTCCTTCTCCTCTACATATTGTGGCATCACTTCGAGGCTTGTTTTGCATCCCAACCTCTTAATGCTGCTCACTTTGCTTTTATTTGCGCCTACTCCAAGCCTCCTGTGCCTGCTTTATGAGGTCATGCCATTTCCTTCAACAATTCTACTACACAGCAACTGAGCTCTGGTAAAAACTTAGCGAAGTCTTGCAGATTTCATTCTCATGGTATCTCACCCCGCAGAATGTATGATGAAAGTTCATTCAAATATGTTGCAAGGGCAGCCGATGTCGCTTGGGCTACATCCATTGTACCGATTTCAAACAGGGAGTTTTACGATTTTTAGCTACATTGGAGACCTTCAATATGGTCTTTTATGAGTAAGGGTTCAAGGGAAGGTCTTGTCAGATTGCTCCCCGAAAATATGGCAACTGAGACTGATAGCTTCAAAACCAACTCGTCGTACTGATATACAATAACCTCAGAAAATTCGATTGATGATCATTACGGGCGTCTTGTACCGAAACCAATGTATTCATATTGTCTAATAGTTTTCGAATTTATACTTTTCCAAGTCTAGAAAAACGTTCAACTCCAGAGAGAAATCTTCTTGGACATGTGAAGTTAATTAGAACGCCGTGCTACCTTATTCCTTTGCCGTGCCAGGAAAAGCCTAGTGTGCTACATGTAGTATGAGAGCTTGTTAGTAGGAGAAATTCGGTTTGCAATTCTTGTCTCTAATTCCTCCTAGGTTCTGGCGACTTGCACGCCTGGGCTGCGCGTATTTTAAGCGACGTTGGAACCGTTGGATTTTAAAAATGCCGACAGCGTACTGAAGTCACCAACCTACCTTTCGACATTTCTCTCGATATCATATAGAGCAGAGGAACTCAGGTAATTGACGTTGGATATCTGTTTGGAACGACGCCATATCTTAGATCACTAGGACTTTGGCACAGACACACAGTTCGAGTCCCTTTCCCTGCCAAGAACGAAGATTTAGCAATACTAAAATGAGCATATCTAGTGCAACAAGGTAACTTGATTATGAAATTTCTATGAAGACAATTTCATTAATTATAAGATCCTTAGAAACTAGGTATTTGTTGGTTGGCTGCCAAAATAACCTTACTCCAAAAACCAACTTGTGTTCACTTCCGAAACAGGGCTATGTTGCTTCCCGGGGGCTTAGTATTCTAAGCGCTCTACCACAACCACGAAGACTCGTAAGGTTGGAAATATTGTAAAGCCGGATAAATGATTTGCATATCGGTTTAGCGCCATCCCGACCCAGCAGTCTGGTGATCTATCTAAGCCGACCCTTTTGAGCGACCGTTGTCGCCTTAACAACTACCATTGTTACTCGACAAGAATGTCATGATCTGAGTCTTAGTTTCACAGAGAATGGCTGTGTGTTAGATGGTCATGACCTTGTTAGTATTATGGGATGTCTGGATGTGAGTATCCGGTAGAGTGTTGCATTACGAGACATTTTTCATAGGCGGCATTGTGAGTTGGAATATGGGCGCTCTTTGTGGCACTAACAATTCTCGTATGTCGAGTATTTAGTTCTTGTAGATTTCTTCTTTCTCCATTTCCTATAACTTATATACTCAAAAAATTCCCTACACATTATTATTACAGTCCCTCTCCAAAGAAACCCGATCAGATACCTACTCCATTTCAACTACAAACACCTCAATCATGTATCTAAGCGCAATCCTCTTCATTACACTTACACAAGTCATCTCCTCGCTCTGCTCTCCCGTTATCACGGTAGAAGCACACGAAAATCAGCCAGAACTTGAACGCAGAGCAGGTTTTTACGGACCTTTTGCAACAGTTAGTTTCTCTTGACTTCGTAGTTGTAACTCCCAACTAACTATCATAACTCAGGCTGGAGTCCACTGCTGCCAAAATGACAGACCAGACTGGTCACCAAGACATTGGTTGGACTATACACATGTAACAGATGAATTGTAAGCTTCCAGGTCCAGAAAAACACCAGCATCAGACAGATTCTTCCTCCCTCATTACCCAACTAAGTATGATGCTAACATTCTAACACAGAGCGCGAGAAAACGGAGATTCACAATTCTCCCAACAAGGATGCAAACGCATTCGCAACACTGAATGTATAAACGGTGCCGAAGTTGTCGTTTGCAACGATGTAAATGTCTTCCAAAAACCACTTGGCATTGTATCTAGCTGACGAACTATAGTACATGCTTGAAAAGTACATTCCCAATATCGAGATTCGAGGAATGATGGATGCTATTTACGATCAATGCAAAATCACGCCTTGCTCGGGGAAGAATGGATATGATTGTTCGGTTTGCGGCCAGGCGTTTGAGGGGACGGGATTCAATCAGTTTAATATCGTTATGAGAGCTTGTTAGCTTGAGTGATGTCTGAGGAAACTGGGGGAATGTAAGAAGGCTGGATGGTCTCTGATGTCGAGATTGTAATTGTCTCCTTTCCGATTCTCGTGAGATGTGCGGGAAGCCTAAGGTGCGGGGTTCGGATACGTGTGGCTACAAGTGTCCTTAGTTTAGCATAAGAATGGTAGAGAGAGAAAGAAAACGCAAGTCACGACGGCTGGATTACAGTATTCACAACCAGTCTGAGCGACAATTCATGCACGCACACGCCTCAGCTGAAAAGCCGCCGCAGTCTAGAAGCTCCCAATTGTACTTAGCGATCAATCGACCAGACCGTTTGTAGGGATACTCGACGCTCGTTTGGGCTAGCGAATGTAAATTTAGCATCGCACTACTCTCGTGGTATTAACAAACACTCCTTATCTATGCAAGCTTGTGGGTGATCGATGGGAATGTGTAGCGAAGGCTAGCTAGTGTGGTCTGGCCAGACGGCGGGCCCGCAACTGTGATATTTATCATGTGGAAAGAACCACCCTTTAAGAAACCAATTTGTATGTTATCATAGCTAGATTGTTTGTAAATCCAGTAGAATTTCAGAGGTTTGGAGAGACGAACGTAGTTTAAAGATGGTATCTCAACTAGCTTCTTCTATGCCAAGCATACGTCCTAACAATTGCTCCGTGTAGGGACTTAAACAAATCTACCCAACGTTTCCACAGACTGATGAGGGCGATGATATTATCACTTATGTCGAGTATGTCCTTCTCTCCAAACCAATTTTCTCGCAAACTAATTCAATACAAAGCATAATCGCCGTTCATGGTCTCAATCCACGCAGCTCAACTAGTCACCACGTTGACACCTGGGAAAAAGAAGGGCATCTATGGCTCAAAGAAGCTCTACCAAAGCAGACCCGAAATGCACGAATTTGGACCTACTCCTATAGTTCGAGCGTCTTCTACGGCAAAGATAGAAGTAGCTTTATACAAAAGGCAGATGAGTTTCTCGAGGCAATTCGAATTAAGAGAGTAACGGATCCGGACAGACCGTTGGTGTTGATTGGACATAGTCTTGGAGGGTTGCTTATTGAGCAGGCGCTTGTGAACGCGCACAACAACCCAAGGTACACGCATATCAAAGATGCAACGTAAGTTTTGCTATTATTTCTACGCTTGCTTTATTTAGAGGGGAGGTGAAAATACTGACATCTTGGATATAGTACAGGACTTGCTTTTTTCGCTACTCCACACAATGGCGGAGACCCCAAGTTGTTGACACTCGGAAACATCACATCAAACATCGCTAGGGGCGTCGGGTTCGAAAAGAATAAAGACATTTTGGAAGCACTCAAGGACGACTCTATCTATTCTGGAATTCTCCGGGAACATGTAAGTTAACTTGAACCGCAGCTACCACTGGATTCCCACCATTCACCGCGAGTTGAATGAGTACTAAATTTGTACGCTTCTCTAGTGGAGACAGCAAATTCTCAAATACCAAATCGTTTCTTTCTGGGGCAGCGAGGACAACGTAAGTTTTCAGCCTGCAGATCCTGCACCTTCCTGTATTTAACTTGTACCCGGCCTCCAGATTGTCTCTGACAAAAGCGCCAAATTTGGAACCCTTCCAGGAAATGTCGAACATGTTGTCAAATTAACGGGCAGCCATAGCGACATCTGCAGATTCGACCCAAACAATGAAAGGGATGCAGAAAATCTCGAAATCGTGGCGTGTAATATACAAGAGCTTTACGAAATCGCGCTTAAAGAAAGTAAGTTGTCAGCATTGTTATAATTTCTACTTCACGAGATGCTGCTCAGGGCTTAGTTGAGACTTCTTTTTAGGAGCGGAAAAGATTCTCAGTAAAAGCATTCCTGCGGCGGTGGACGAGAATAGTCTGGAGAACAGGATGGAGCGTTTAAGACGTTGAGGTCGTTGTTTGTGGGAAGCGGGTTGGACGATGAAATTTTGACTCGAAATTACCTTTCTTCGAGGGTCTCGGGCTCATTATGTCAAACACATTTATTTTCCAATGTATTTTCAAAGTGACCTTCGAAGCGAAAATCGTTTCGGGGCTTTCTATGTGCTTGTAATGACATTTTGATTTTCACACAAATTGCTAATTATTTCAACAGGTGTTGTGGCTTTTAGTACTCGTTTGTAGAAACCCCTCCTTAAAGTTCCAAGGCTAACTTTGAGTAGACGTACTTCAGACTCTTGCATTCGAGAGAATGACGGCAAAATACCAAAGGGTTGTCACCGCTCACGAAGATACTTTCAATTGGATCCTAGAAGAACACCCGAGTTTCAGCTCACCAAATGGGGGTGAAAAGAATGCAAACTTTCAAAAATGGTTCCGAGAGAACAGCATGAATAAGTGGATGCGAAGACAGACCCGAGATGGGGAGAAAAATAACGTGTACTGGATCGTTGGGAAAGCTGGATCTGGAAAATCAACCTTGATGAAGCATATTTTCAAGCACCCAAAGACCGATCGAATTCTGTCTCAATGGACGGGGAGATCTCAACTTCTGAGGGCTGGCTACTTTTTTGAGCGTGGGCACAGTAGCGAGCAGCGGATGTTGCAATCTTTGTTGTATCAACTTCTCAGTCACGATGAATCGATGATTCAGAAGGTTTACAAGAAGCTTTGGGAGCGTTTTGCAAGTTTTAAAGATATTCGCCGGAAGAGACCTGATCAAAAAAGTTCTAGCGACAACGATTCCGAAACACCTCCAGCTTCAGAAGATCCAGATGTTATCCTACCTCCACCTCATAGTGGAGAGTTTAAAAAGTCTGGGGTACTTGAGTCCGACGTTTTGGGAGTTGACCAATTGTTTGAAGCTCTTACGAGGGCCACAGAATTGATTTCCGCCACTACCAAGCTGTTCTTCCTTATTGATGGACTCGACGAGATTGTAGGAGTAGAGGATGGCTTTCACGAAAACCGAATGACGGCTTACAAGGTGTGCCAGTCACTCTCGCAAAAGATCATAAAAATTGCCAAACATACGAATATCAAGCTCTGTGTGTCAAGTCGGCCCCACCTTGGTTTCGAAGAAGAGCTAGGGAAAATGAAGGATTACCCAAGACTTGACCTGGAAAGAGCTACAGGGCCTGATATTGAGCACTACGTTAATACGCAGCTCGGTGGCAATCCAAGGTTCACTCAAATGGTTGGAATGGATCCTCAAACGGCAAAGGAGATATGTCAAGACATCAAGATCAAAGCTTCTGGGATGTTTCTTTGGGTTTCTATCGTCGTCAAGCTACTCATTGATGGTGTGGAGAATCGCAGTCGACTACCCGACCTGAAGCGAAAAATCAGAATGATTCCAAGAGAGCTCAGCGGGGAAAATGGGTTGTATATGCAGATGTTGAAGAGCGTTGGTAGCGGTCAAGTCGCCGAAAGGTCCAGGCTCATTCGGATTTTGTACCACTCCTTTTCAATGGAAATCGCGCTCAGTCCAATTCTACTCGATCTTGCAGAAGAGGAGGGTAAGATCGAAGATTTGATTCATGAAAGTCGACGGGCGAATTTCAACGTTGCTGAGAGCTTACAGCGTGTGAAAGACCGGCTCATAAGTTGCTGTGGCGGCCTTTTCGAGGTAAGAAGCATTGATTCCCCATCCCAGCAAGGGTTGGGACAAGATTTCTATAGCAATTCGATTGTAGATGTTGTGCATGGAACTGTCTGGGAGTTTCTTGTCGAAGAAGCGACAGTAAAGGAAGTAGAGCAGCATAAAACAACGGTACCTAGGTTTGACAAATTTGAGGATCACCCACCTGGTCCCCTTACTTCACTTATCAGAGCCGCCATCTTAAGTCTTCATTTTCTCCCGCCTACTACCAGTAAGGATCGGAGAGAACGAGCCAAAGTTCCCATCGATTTGGTCATATTAGCAACGCAAACGATTGACTACGACCTTTTGATTATGGAGCCAAAAGATATTCACGAAAAGGAAGTGCTTCAGCTGATGAGCAATTTGATCATGGTTTTCGATAAGGTTGGTGACAAGGCGATTCAGAAAACACGACGTATCTTTGAGAATTCATCAAGGCATTGGATCTACATGGTTGACCAGAAGCTGTTTAATTATTTTGATGACTACGAATCTTACATGGTATCATGGCTTCTCCAGTCTGGTATCATACTTATTGTGGAGGTCCTTTTATTTGGTTAGCGATCTCCATGCATTTTTACCGTACGGCTGAGCTAACGGTGTCTTTCTTGCTAGATGAAAAGTACAAGCATATTTACAACAAGGATAAATCGCCAATCTGTCACGCAATACTAAGATTCTTGGATGGCGACGCTTCCAGAAATAAGCTTGAGAATAGCATACTTCTCAGCATCATCGCTCGCCTCTCGCCTCAAAAGATCCACTCCAAACTCATAACTTCCGACTTCAAGGAGCATGACAAGAATTATAGATCATTATGGTCACAAATTTTATACGTCAATCATCCGCGAAAGGAAACAAGCGTGGCACAGAAGCTCCGTTATATTGAGCTCTTGAGGGTTCTAATTAAGAATGTCCCGAACCTTCTGGAGTCACCAGATGGGGAAGCGTCAGACGTTGTATGTTTATTGACGCTTTACTTTGATGATGTTGAGAAAGAGAGGGATGAACTACTGAGGTTGATTGAGCCTACCAGAAAGAACCAGGAATCCAAGTGCGTCTTGATGTAGGAATAGCTCGGGTTGAAAGATAAATCAGTCTGCGTACACAATCGGTTTTCCGCATTGGACCCATATTTCAAGATTTATGAAAGCAATTAACAATCTTCTTAGTCTCTTCATCTTGTTTTAATTTGGCATACTCATTCTTTGGTAGGATTAAACGTCAAAAATGGTAAATACTTGCATTGCCCTACTACTTAAGTGGACATGAAAATATGCGCTCAACTGAAAACAAACCCGTTTCCTTTTTTTCCTTGTGGCATCAAGAAAATTGAAGTTTTGGCATTATCGCAATGCTCTAGATGGGTTGCGAGCAATTGGGGGAAATCTACTCTTGCAGATGATAGGTATATAAATGGTTTCGTTACTCAAATTTGACATCTAAACAATGCGACACTGTTGGCAGAATAATGAAGCATTATTGACTGCACTGTAAATACCGCGAAACTGAATAACAGACTATTTTAATGGTTCTAATGAGAACCAATAAGAGAGAGCCAGCGACTACTTTTGATTCTAGGTTCGGACAGTTGGCAATATTTAAAGGAAATAGAGCTGATGATTACCTGAATACTTCTCAGAATGATGTTAAGCTAGCTTGAAACTTTTTATTTATGAGGATACTCGATGAATGTCATGATAGATTGGGCCTGTGGACATGAAGCGCCAGACTGGTTCATCAGAGCATGCTATATCTTTTCTTCGAATCGACCTTCTCAGCAGCTCTCTCTCGCTGCCTCGCAAAACTCTTTACAGATCTAGACTCACCATCGGGTGACGAAATCAGAGAGGACACAAGCCAAAAGGAATAAAGAATTGAATATTTAGTGCAAAGAGCCTCATGCTTATGCACTTTCCAACAAGTCATATCTAAAATTGGTAGCAATTTCGATTTCGGTGACAAAGCATGTTCATATTTGGAGATTAAGAGGGAGTTTCATCGATCATATGATGCCCTTCTAGAATCGAGCACAAGCCCTGAACCAAAGGTTGCAATGTAAATATTGTTCCTATCTTCCGAAGATACGAAGTCTTCTGACACTCTTGACCTACTTCTTGTAAAGTCTTTTGCACACTATCTGAATCTACGGTGGTCTTGAGCTTTTATACATCACTTTTCTTAACCTCTCCAGGGAATCTGCATTTCCTTGCACTTCCAGAAAGACTGCTTTCTGTAGGGGGTTAGATATCTCATTTCGATGTTTATGCTCTAGTTTGTTTCTGCTCATCAGAAGACCTAAATTCGAGATATTCTCTCAACGCTCTTGCTTGTCCGCGGTCTTTAGATCTCATTTCGATCAAAAATCAAGAAGAAAAGGAAGCTAGGTGTTGATTTGTGCTATTCGTACCTACTATTCATGGCACTTAACTTGAAGGTTTTCTCCGCTTTAAGGAATAAAATTTCATCAACAGCAAAAATCACATTGTAACTGCTATGTGCATCAGAATACACCATCTTTTTCAATTTTCCGTATTAATCCATTGATCCGCTTGTGAAAATAACTGTGGCAAGTATAATCTGGAGAAAAAACCCCCAACTTGGATTTTTTCAACGCAAAAATGTTTTGCCCCAGGGACGAAAGGGGGGAGCCCTCGCTTAAATCGAAATCTGGGGAAATTCCCGAGCCGAGGCTCAATGGACGAGCCCGCCCGGTTAGTCGCGACATCGTTCTCTGTTGGAGATGATGATGGCCGGTACATCTCGTTCAGCACAGTGTGGATGAGAATTTACTGTTTGAATACTATCTCTAATTTATTTCAATCTACCAACGCGGCAAGACTTTTACGATGGCGGCCCAAGATCAGGAGATTATCTTGTATCACTACACCTTCTCCCCATTTGCGAGAAGGTAAGTCAAAACTCTTCTTAACAACTGATACTTACTAACGATCGGTATAGGATAGTATGGTATCTCAACCTCCGCAAAATCCCCTACACACAATGCGTACGTCCCCTTCACCCCCCCAAAAACCATCCCAAGTCTCTAACACCCCCAGCTCCAACCCCCAACAATGCCCCGACCCGACATCACCGCCCTAGGCACATCCTACCGGCGCATCCCCCTCCTCTCCATCGGCCGCTCCATCTACAACGACACGCGACTCATCCTCCTCAAACTCGAAGCCTTCTACCCTCCTTCCCCCGCGCACCCCTCCATCTCCAGCTCCTCGGCGCTCGAAAAACTGCTCGAGACATGGGCGATTGACGGCGGACTCTTCGCTCGCGCGGGCCAGCTCATCCCGTCGGACATGTCGCTGTTGAACGACGAGAAGTTCTTGAAGGACAGACAGGACTATACGGGACGTAGCTGGGGGAGGGAGGCGCAGGAGAAGGGGAGACCAGAGGCGCTTGTGGAGATGAGGAGGGCGTTCGGGTTTTTGGAGGAGGTGGTTTTGGGGGATGGGAGGGTGTGGGTTGAGGGGGTGGGAGAGGGGCCGGGGTTGGCTGATATTGAGGGTATGTTTAATTGACTGAGTGAATGAATGGGATGGAATTAATTGGCAAATAGCGGTTTGGGTACCTCTCTGGCTCCGCGATCTCAAAGGCGCGCTACCAGCTGGCTACATCTGCGCAAACACCTTCCCTAAGACATTCGCCTGGATAGAGCGATTCCACCAGCACACACGCGGCTTAGCGCAGAAAGCCGGGAAGCCGAAGACGATCAAAGGTGCTGAGGCTTTACGGATATCGTCCGACGGCGAGTTTGCAGAGGCAGAAGGGGAGGTGGATGGGAATGATCCGTTGGGGTTGAAGAAGGGTCAGGAGGTTGAGGTTTGGCCTGTTGATTCCGGGTTTAGTTATAAGGATCGTGGACGGTTGGTTGGGCTTGATGGGAACGAGGTGGTGGTTGAGAAGGTGAATGGGGAGGGGAAGAGTGTGAGGGTTCATGCTCCTAGACATGGGTTTAGGGTGAGAGGTGTGAAGGAGGATGCGAAGCTTTGATGGTGCAGAGATGGGATGTCGTGTGTGAGATGATATAGATAAGAGACATGTATAGACGAGAATGTGTACAAATATGAGAATGTGTAAATTTCCAAACAGCCTTCGCAAGTTTTCAATTAAATTGCTCGATATAATGAGGAGCTGAAAATGAGTAGGTATCATTTAGAGGCATCGAAACCTCAAACTGATTATATCAATATATTTCACTTGTCAAAGCTACGAGTATGGTAATTGTGTATTCAAAGTGGGAGTGCTTATGCACACACATTGTATCTTGAGCGGTTACCATTTCGCCAGCTGCTCTGTACCGTGCTAATCAATCAGACTCAATTGAAAGCACAACATGATGTTAAATCATTTTCGGTAGTAAGAATATCGTACTGATATTTCTTTTTCTATAGATCGGCGCGTATAGACGGAGACATGATCCGTGGTTATTTACCAAAATACGGCATTAGATACCCGGTTAGATTGTCTCGATCGGGAAGGCAATTAATATGGCGTTTTCTCACGTTGTGACGTGACAGACAAAGAGATGTATCAATAAGCAGCGCCTAGGATAAGCGCAGACATATCGGAAAGTCAACAGCAAGAGGCCAATTTGATTTTCGACAGTCAATAGGATTGAAGCGGTACTCTGTGGGGGATGGCATTTGGAAATCTCGATTACCAAACAATCGACAGGCTAGGTGATACGGAGGAAGCGCTAAATCGGCGAAAGCCTCAGACATCAGCGCGATAGATTCTGGACCCACCTTAATATGCTCCTATCCAATCATCTGCCGCGCGGTCACGCTATCCCCCCTCGGCCAAAGTGAGCAAGAACGTCCAGCGTCATCAGGCTTTTTGCGGTGACGTTCGCCCTTCCTCTTTTCCTCTCGACAAAAATACCAGAAAGTCGACTAACCTGAAGAGCCGCCATCTCGGAGCCCCAACGCGTGTATTGGAGGAGTAATAATACCAAGACTAAATCGACCTGGTACGTCTGAAATATATCGACCGCACTCTGTCCCTCATTGGTCGCGCTTTTTACAGTCTTCTGTTCACTTGGTCGTTCTGCGCATTCGAAGCAGACGACGTCACCGACTCGACACTCCTGCGATTATCGACACTCGACGCGACCGCCCTCGAGCATCAACCTCTGCATCGCCAGGAACCAGATTGAAGCTGCGGCTATCACGGTGGGAAAGCGATTGGAGGCCTGCCCGTGTTGATCTTGTGGTGTCGCCCTCGCTCACAAAGGTGAATTTGTCAGAGGAGGTTTGCCACCCAGATTCGCCATCCATCCTCGACCGAGTGCTGCAGCTGGGAGCGAGTTGTGCGCTGGGAACCACCACCGCGACGACCACCATCCGCCGCACATAAAGGACTAGCGCAGTAATAAAGAAGACGTCGTTGGACAACGAAAGAAAAATAAAAAACTTGTCCTTGGTCGCGTCTCGACCACGACCAACGGCTGACGGAGAACCCGTCTAACTCTGGTGGTCGTGTTTGCACTTAGGAGGAAGCCACACTAACATCGAAAACGGCTCTAGCTTCCACGCTGGTCTCGCGGCGCACTGTGACGTATATTTCACCCCTCGACCGCATTCTTTCCACGCTCTTTCCTCCCACCAGCACAGCTTCGAGCCAGTCTTATCAGTCCTCCCGAGGTCGTATCAATCAGGCTCATCACTGAGACCTTCATCATCCCTCGATCCACCGTCGTCATCGCTGTCCATCAGCTTGTATACACAACTTGAATCCCCGCCTCCATCCCAATTCACCATGGGGAAATCACCCCATGCTGCTGTCGCGAAAGATGGCGATACCAAATCACCTCTCCAGCAGAATGCAGACATTCAGAAGTCCACTGGTAAGTACTTGTCTCCTCAACCATCGCGTCTGCAACGGCACAACATATCACTGCCGCAATGAGTCTATCACCTATCTCTTAGGATATGCGATTGGGCTGATGTCACCTCCGCTATCCTTCTCATGCTGCTCTTGCGCACCCCTACAATTTCTTCGTCCCCTTCGCGCAGACGTGAATAGTGAGAATGCTGACTCTGCTAAGACGTAGTGACCGATGTCAAGCAAGACTTGCCAAATATCGAAACTGCTACCGCAGACCCTCTAGGTCCTCCTCCTCGTCCCGCGGCTGCAGCAAGCAACGCTGTCCCTAATACACCTGATTACTTCTCAGTAAATCACAATAGCACCATTACCACCGAACAAAATCCTTTCGAAGCATCCTTTGCGTTTGGCGGTCACAACTCAGAAGGACAAACACCAGGCGGTACCAAACTTCCCTCGGTCGCGTCCTTGACATCTCCAGCAGGCCTCCTGGGTGGAGGTGTCACTCCTGGCTTTTGGGGTGGTCTCCGTTCTGGACCATTGAGCCCAGCGATGCTCTCGGGTCCTCAGAAGCACGAGGACTACTTCAGCGAGCGACATCACATCCGTGGAGGATTTCCAACCCCTAATGAGTCTGGTCTCCGTACAGGCCTTACTCCAGGTGGTGGAGGATCTATGTTCCCAGAGCCAAGTCCCAATTCAGCACTCTTTGGAGCGATTGGAGGTGCAACTCCTGGTGCCATGGACTTCCAGCGGGCTGCCATCAGCATCCAGAAGAACCGTGAAATCCCTCAACCGCGACTTAATATTACTTCCCAACCGCAAGATCTCCTCAATGGTATGGACACAAAGTCGACAGTCACTGGCCAGTTCGACCAACACGACGCCAACGACGCTGCCAATGGCCTTTTCTTACTAGCCCAGCAACGTAGTGCCCCTGGGACCACGAGTCATTATGCTATGGCGCCCCAAATGCCTGTCCAACATGCACACCCTCAGGCTCCAAACCTACAAATGGGCAACCAGTCAGCCGAAGCATCACCTCAGATGGCTCATAGGAACCATCACAACGGATCAATGAGTACTGCTTCTGGTCGCGGAAACAGTGAGATGAGCGACGAGAACGAAACTCAATCGCGCCCAAACACCCGCGGCAAGGGGAAGCGAAGTAACACTACACAAACCAATGGCCGCCGCAAGGCGGATGAGACGCCGACGAAGGCACCTCCTGCTAAAAAGTCCAAGGGTAATAACGGCAACGCTATGCCAGAGCCTGAATCCGAGGGCGAATTGGATCTCACCAAAGATGAGTACAATGCCAACGGCAAGAAAATGACTGATGAGGAAAAGAGAAAGAACTTCTTAGAACGCAACAGGTAAATGGCCATCTTTCCCCTATTTCTACAAAGCTAATATTCGCTAAGGGTTGCGGCATTGAAGTGTCGACAACGTAAGAAGCAATGGCTTGCCAACCTGCAACAGAAGGTCGAGATTTTCAGCAATGAGAATGATCAACTTAGCCAACAAATCACCCATTTGAGAGACGAGATCGTCAACCTCAAGACAGTCTTGATGGCTCATAAAGATTGTCCCGTCACCCAATCACAGGGTATGGGTGGCATGGGTGTCCAACAGTTGTTTGAAACAGGCTTCACAGGTCCTATGAATCCATATGGTATGGCACAAAACAACATGGGAAATCCTCAGGTCATGGCAGCCGGACAAGGTATGCAAGATCGCCGGTTTTCATAAACTTCTGCCGTACACATTGGAATGGAGGCCATCTGTTTACGCGGCGAACGACTTATGAAGACCTCTATGATATCTTGACCTCTCTTGCCAATACCCACATGCCTGTATGTAATGATGGGGGTTTACTTGTTCTTGTACAACATTCGAGATTCAACCTATTACGGATTCGATTTCTGCTGCTTTCCCCGGCAAGGCATGCGTTATGCACTCAGATCCCAACTTTAACTCACGAGTGCCTCTGGTTGCATCTCTCTGGTCTTCGTTTCCAAACATCAATAGATACATGTACACCAATACGACAAGTTTCTCGGTGTGCATGGTCTTTCTGTTCACCATTGGCTGGTCTAATCGACATATCTATCCGCAATTGTCTCCGCTACTCCGAGCAGGTATACGATCAGGTCCCCTAAAATGGGTGAGGTTGTTTCTAATTATTCTTTTTTGATTGCATGAATTATGATAGATTGGTTTGGTCTGTACATAATATGGCGAGGATTTGATATAACGTCTTTGCACATTATCTGGCGAAATGGTCGGCATCATTGGGCTGGGGCGTTGTGGCCTATCTGGCCTTGATACACTATCAAGGCGATCTGTGTTCGGAAATGGCGTTTTGTAAGATGGAAAAAGGTTCACAGGCAACAGGAACCTAGACCGAAAATTGGTCTTATGGCAATAAATAAAAGGATTGATAATAAAAACAACTACGCGTACTGTGATGTTAAATGCATTAGGAGTAGGAGTACTTGCGATATGGCTAAGCATCGAGTGATGGGAAACGCACTGTGTATTGTTGTATAAACGGCATACGCTAGATTCCAAATAGAAAACTATATCCCCAAAATATAGGGTTTAAAATGCATTACCTGTATTGTTCGATTATGCTTAAATGTAAAATTTTAAGTCCAGAAGTGAATATGATCAAATTGGTTCAAGGAATTCGAGTATCCTCTCTATACAAGCATTGAAGCAAAGGACCCAAAAATATGTAAAGTTGCTTTGATTTGTAGAGTAATCAATTGCCAAATCAATTCTTTTATTCCTACCAAAAATTGATGAAGACATCTATCATGGCGGATGGTTGACGGAAAGCGTAGCTCTTGCCCCAGATTCTGCTTTGAGGCTAGCGTCATAAGGTTAAGAAACCGGCAGGGATTCCGAGAGCGCGACTTCCCAAGGCTTTCACATTTCAGCCTCCCATAGAATCCAAGATACACCATTTCTGCTTCTCAACCTTCCTCATCGGCGTGCAGGTATCGCCATTTTACGAAAGTTCCTCATCGACAGATACTTCGCCTGTCGAATATACCATCATTGCCGCGGGCGGTACATAAACCGTTCAACGACGCTACTACTGCATCATCTGTCAGGAAATATTGCCCCTTCGGATCTGAACACTCGTCCGGCAACCCGTCGCATCTCGAACGACAGCCCACACACTTCCTCAAGATGGGACATCGACACAGGAAGGACTTAGCTGCAAGTCGAAGACGGGTTGAGGATGGAGGCGACGAGGAAAGTGTTCTCGATGCTGCGTCTCTCAGTGATGACTCGTTGAGTGAGGGGTCTATAATAAGTGAAGAGGATGAGATACGAGAGGGGGACGAGGTAGCCAGTGTCAAGGGTCCTTCTGCGAGCTCTGCGGAGCAGCTCAAAACTAATGGGAATGGAGGGGGGAAGCCGAAGGAGGAAAAGCCAGCCTCGACGAACGGAAATGCTACGGGGTCGAACAAACAACGGAAAAGTGAAAACAACGATATGGACCTAATGCTAAATGGGTTAAAAATATCAGATCAGACTAATATTCCGGATGAGATTCGCTACGAGGATCTAAGAGATGACTCTGATGTTCGGGACCAAGAGCCATCGTTGCCGGTTGTCAAGTCCACGGCCCAGATGGACCAGCCACAGGAGCAGCCGTACGAGCGTCGCCGACGGGAACACGAGGAATATAAGAAAAAGAGAGACGCTGATCCAGCATTCGTTCCAAATAGAGGGGCCTTTTTCATGCACGATCATCGTCACTCTGGCCCTGCTGCAAATGGATTTAGGCCTTTTGGGAGAGGGAGAGGGAGAGGTAGGCCTGGTATTGGAGGCCCATATGCACCCTCAAGGTATGTTAGATCAAGAATTTGTGCACAATTGATCGTAGCTAACATGTAGCAGCCAAATGCAGCAATCATACGAGCCAACCGATGCTCCTTGGGCCCATGATATGCACGATACCATAACTGAACCTCTTCCTCGCCAGGCCCCGTCAGCAGGCTATCCTGCTTCTAATAACTATCCCATGAAGGTACCCATTAGCGTGCCCTCTACTGCAGCTCCAAACAGAGCATTATCGACAACAAAACATATTGGAAATGTTCAGATTAGGGTGTTACTTGCAAATATGCAAGAGCCGATTGTTTTCCCCGGTATACCCGTCAAGCAGTATACTCGACTTCCAGATCATCGACCGCCTATGCGACGCGATAAGCCGGTTCGAATCTCGATTCCGGATTACCCACCGCGATACATATTCCCAGCCGTGGACCGATCTTTCATCTTCATTCCACGAGCTATGAGACCAAATCAGCAAGGATTTGGTGGTCGAGGCCGAGGTCCAAGATCAGCATTTGGGTCAATAGGTGGTTATTCTCGACGTACAAGCGTTTTCGGCGGCAGCGTCTACGGTAGCACATATACTCCAAGTGTGGCTATGAGCCGTCGTTCTTCACTTGCTCGGGAAGTGAACAGGGATGCTATAATCTCCCCGAACGGATCGACAATGTCTCGAGCACAAATCCCAATAGACCCGTCGAGACCTGTAGTCAAGCTCCCTCCTACGAGTCAATCTGCCCAACCACAACAATATTCATCTCAAGAGATAAGTGCTCAGAATGGGGTCCCACAACCTGTTGCGGGTGAGGAACCTCCTCGTCCACAGACCTATCCGCTTCCTCAAAAGCCTACCTATCGTGAAAATCGACCAAACCCAATCCCTATGCACCAACCTCGTCCACAGAAAGCTGTATCAGTCGCTGATATTGAGTCTCCTGCAACTTTATCATTCAACCCACCCCAACAACATCAACAGCCATTCCACCAACAAGTTCCCATACAAGTCAATGGCAACAACTACCCACATGATGGCATGATGCATTCCCGGAATCAGTCATATCCAAGTCAAGCTTCCACAGGCACGCCATTGTCTCAAATACCTGAGCGAGCTATTCATGCTCAACCATTCCAACCAAACCCGTACCAACAACCACAACCGCAACAACCAAACTTCTACCCCCAACCATATCCCGTTATGGCCCCACCTCCTCCACCGCAAGGGTATTACTATCCGCAGCAGTTCAACCCAGCTATGGCCCCAGCTGCTAATGCGGCTCCTTATCCTCCAGCTCAGCAACCCGCGCCGCAACAGCCATTTCCCCAATCTGGCCAACAAACAGACAGTTCCCAAGCTGGTGTACAAAATCTTGTTGCACAGGAGGTTAATGGTATGGTGTATTACTATGATGCTGCACAAATACCTGCCGTCGCAACCTTTCCTGCATACCAGCAACCAGCCGCATACCCAATGCAGCAGGTCGGTGGTGTCGTTGGTATGGGTGGGATGATGACACCAAGCCCAGATGGGTTCTACTACCCTCAACAACCTCAGCAAGGCGTCGTCTACTACCAATAGAGAGCTGATTTCCGAGTTCCACCACCATTGTCATCTTATATTCTTTTTAATGCTTTCAGCGATCTTGTCTCGGCAGTGGGTTTCATTCGACGTCTATCAAGCGTTGTTACACTTTTCTTCTTGTCTGCACTCTAGTCGCGAAAATATATGTGTTGTTATCGATATTACGGAGGGGTGCTTTTGGATGGCCTACTTTCCGGGGCCTCTCGTAACACTTTTCTGTGGTTATCTTTTGGGGTATTGTTTGGTAGGGGCAAATTCCTGGGTTCGGTCGCATGCGGCTACCACACTTTTCAGCTGTCTTGCAAGTTTAGTATCTGGCCCGAGGAAATATTCTCGTCACTGTTGTTTAAGAAGTCAGACTCCCTCTTGCACCTCCATGTCTTTTTTAAAGCATCTCGATTGTTCGTAGGGATATTTTGTGTTATGGCGGCATAGCGAGTAGACTAGTTGTAGTACTTGAGTGTTGATGGAGAGTTGATGGTATTGGTTACTAGTTACCAATTTACGATGTTTAACAAGAGCATGAGATTTTGAAAAGTGAGATTGGTGAAAGGAAGTGAGATTAGTACTAAGACTTCTAAGAGTACAAGCCGCCACTCTTATAAAAATGCCAACAAACAAAGGGTATGATTGCTTGCCAGCTACAGTGTTTGCTCTACAGGGCTGTCCAGAATCTTGCATGACCTCATGTGATGTCTAATGGCCTGATTATCCATATAAATTCACGGTATCTGAGTATATATAACTTTCGAAGTGATATAGTTTCTAGACCCAAATTTCTACGTACGAAAGATAGGCATCTTGAGCCGAGGTGAGGCGAGGTTCACGATGGCTATCTGCTTGGCGCCCGTTGTGAGGTCTAGACTTTGGAACTTTTCCGCGCATAGCAGTGGCTTCGAAACACTCGATATGCAGAGCTAGAAGTCTGGCGTACTGTAGAATCAGACCTGGTCACAAGAGCTCACTTTAGATAAGGTGAAGACTAGTGAAGCAAGGTGATGTAGGTGCCAAGAACTAGATGATGGATTTACAGTTTTGACTACTAAATGAATACACTGGTCTAGATGCGAATTAGGTGAAATAAGTAGTAACTCGAGTTTCAGCTGTCTGTCAATTCAGCAGCTGCACTGTTGATGCGGTAATGATTATGTACACGTGAATGAATGTATCTTATGCCATCGAGATTGGAGACGCGTGACTCGTTCTTATCCGGCCGCCGTAACGCGCCCATCTATCAACCAGAATCAAGGGCAATCGACGACTTCCTCGTCCTATTCACCCACAAAATTGAAATATACTTATGTTAATTCGTTCCTAAGTCAACTCCGAACCCCCTATTTACGTGACTATGTTCCGAATAGGTCGTGAATTCTTTGCCTCTGTCGCCTCCTTCTCGCCTGTTCTTGAAGCTGATTTGTCGTCGGCTTGCGTACGTTAGAGCAGCCTGCCTACCCTCCCGCTTATCGAGCTCAAGGCAGTCGACCTCTCCCCTCATCCAACTTCATCCTTCATCCTTCATCCTCTCACAACCACTTCTACCAACAACACCAGGACTGTATCATAATAGCCTCTGGAGTTTTCTTTATTGATACACTCAAGTTATCGTGAGCTGCATCAATACCCAGTACGTTCTCTTTAACCCTTAGCCGCCTGTACAACGTCACCGCTCAAGCTCCATTAGCTGACAACACTATAGTTGGATCAGCAATCATGGCGTCTACATCTGCCACCAACCCAGATACTCTGGTCACCTTGAAAGTCAATATCGAAGGTAGCAACCGTCGATTCAAGCTTCCCCTCCGTGATCTTGGTGCCAGCACACTCCCAGACAAGGTACGTTTGCTCTTACAAAGACGTCCCACGAGGCTCCCAGCCTGACGTGATCTGCAACCCCCAAACACCAGCAACTTGCATATACTTGCATCCGATGGTGATGGCTGGCTAACTCACCTCTTTGTCTGTAGCTTCGATTCCTCCTTTCCATTCCTCCTACCTCCGAGGCAGTATTCGAGCGTTACTCCGACTCTGCCGCTGCGTTCGTCGTCCTCGACCCATCCAACGTCTCGGTCTACAAACAGCTATATCGTGCAGCTAAGGCAAAGCTAAAGCTACGTCTCAAGGTCACTGTCAACCACAAGGAACCTATTACTCCAAAACCCGCTACCGTCGAAGACGAGGAGGTCGCCCCAGTCAGCCCTGTCGAGACTGAGCCCGTAGCTGCTCAAGAGCCTACATATCAAGCACCAACCCCAGCCGCACAACCACAACCACAACACACCACTTACTCAGAACAAGCCAACGGCTCTGTTGCAGATATCCAGCGTGGCCTGGAGGAGCTTCTCATCAACCAACCTCGTTACTACTCCAAGTCTGACTCCAAGTTTGGAGCCGAATCAAGTATGCCTGCTCCCCCAATGTGCTGCAGCTACTCCAAAACCACCCCATGCCTCGACCTCGATGGTGAATTACCAATTCTTGCAAACTCTGCTACTGCTCGCGATAACTGGTACGCCGAGCTCGCAAGCGTTTCACAAGCTCGCCAAATGGCCGTCAGTGCACACCACGGTGTGTCGCACCCTACTGTGAGCGTGTTCTCCGTATACTGCAACGACTGCGGTTCGGCTATTCCAGATGAGCATTATCACTGCAGCACCTGTGACGATGGCGACTATGATCTATGCCAAAGGTGTGTCGATGATGGAGTCCTCTGCGGTGGTGAGGAGCACTGGATGATCAAGCGTTTCGTCAAGAACGGCAAGGTCATCAACAGCACAACCGAGACAATCGCACCAAAGCCAAAGGCTCTTTTCTCCGAGTCCAAGACTACCCTGGCTGCAGAGGAGTCAAAGATTGTCGCTACTCGTACTTGCAACTCTTGCATCAGAGGTAAGATATTAAAACCTGCGAGAAAAGAATTCGTGCTAATTTATGACAGAACTCACCGAGGAGCGCTTCGTTACTTGCACCAGCTGCGCTGACTTTGATCTCTGCATTTCTTGCCTTGTTGCAGCAAACCATGGTCACCACCCCAAGCATGCCTTCACTCCAGCTGTTGAGGATACCCAACTTGACCTAGTAGTTCAGGCTCTCCTTGCACCAGGTCGCAACACTGGCCACAACGCAGTCTGCGATGGCTGTGATAAATACATCTATGGTGTTCGACACAAGTGCCTCGATTGCCCTGACTGGGATTTCTGCTCTGTCTGCATGCCAAATGCAAACTTCATTCACCCACGCCACCGCTTCGTACCTATTTACGAGCCGCTCAACGACCTTGCGGCCATCTCCCGCGCTTATAGCAGCAAAGCTCGTCACATTGGCATTTACTGCGACGGCCCTCTTTGCAACGAGAGCAATGGAGTTCAGACCTACATCAAGGGTGACCGATACAAATGTGCTGTATGCCACGATACCGACTTCTGTGCCAGCTGCGAGGCTAGCCCATCTAACCCCCACAACAAGACCCATCCTCTCATCAAGTTCAAGACCCCAGTCCGAAACGTTAGCGTTACCACATTGGGAGATCACGAGGATGGCAAGCCAATGCCAGTCATGGGAGATCGCCGCCCAAGACAAACACACAAGGCTACAGAGACCAGCCAGCCTCCATCCGCAAACGCCGCCACTCAGGTACAGACCGTTGCTGACCTTGAGCCCACCGAGCCTGTCAAGACAGAGGAGGCACATGAAGTCGAGGCACCAAAGACTCCCGAGCCAGCTGAGGCTGAGGAGGTCAAGGAGCTTCCAGTTGTTGCACCTGCCGCTGACTTGATCGCTCATTATGTTCGTGATGTTATTGCTGACGGTACCACTCTACCACCAAACTGTGTTTTCGAGCAGACCTGGTACCTCCGCAATGGTGGTAACAGTGCATGGCCTGCCGGATGTAGCGTCAAGTTCGTCGGTGGTGACAACATGTGTGCTGTCGACCCAGCGCACCCAGCGTCTGTTCACGAGCTCGTCTCTGCTGCCGAGAGCACAACCTGCTACACCGAGGTTGCTCCTGGCCAAGAGGTTGGTTTCACCGTGTTGATGCGAACTCCACCACGCGAGGGTAACTTCATCTCATACTGGCGTCTCACTGGCCCAGCTGGAGACAAATTTGGCCACAGACTCTGGTGTGACGTTAATGTCAACGAGCCAGCTCAGCCAGTCAAGGAGGAAGAGCCAGAAGAAGCTAAGGAGGAAGTCGCTGAGCCAAAGATCGAGACCGAAGGCAGCCAAATGATCTTCCCCAAGCTCGAGAAGGAGTCTCCTGCTAGCAGCATTCACCAGGAAGCTCCAGCCGCCGCCTCAGTACACGAGGATGCTGAAGACGACTTTGAGGACTTTGTCGACCAAGATCTTGCTGATGAGGAGACTGATGATGGCTTCATGACCGATGAGGAGTACGATATTCTGGATGCTTCCGATGAGGAATACCTCGCCGAACAGGCGAAGGTTACAAGAAAGTAGAGCTTTCTTGGCAACGTACGATAATGTGAAGGAGTAGATTGGCGCAAGATTGACACACAGCTCTGGATATGCGAATAACGGAACGGAGCTAGGGGGTTTGCGGGGTTCTTGATTCTTTCTCACTTTTTGCTTGCGCTTTTCAAGCCATTTGAGTTAATCAAAGGGACAAATTACGGATTTCATTTCCCTTTCTTGCATCTACTTCATCACATAGTGGACCGATACTCTCTTCTACATAGCTTCTGAAAAGTTATTCGGAGTTGAGGGTGGTGCTGTATGGCAAGAAGGCGATATTGGATGAGGGGATGAACGCATGAGTACACGACAAAAACTCACACATCATCAGAATAGCCACAGGGGCTTTCTTGACTCACTCATTGGATGGATACTATTTCCTTGGTTTCTTTTTTTTCGTCGGGAATCTCTGCGGATTTTGATTTTCTTTGGATTGTGACAGTATGCTGGTGAGATGTGGTTGGGGGAGAGGATGAGTTAGTCAGTCTAGTTACGTACTTGTGGCAATTCTATGATGTTAATTGAAATGTGTGTGTGATACCTTGGTTGTGAAGTGATGCCTGGGACGTGATGACTTAGGAGGTGAGATGTGAGTCAATTCGAAGCCTTCAGAATTGGTCAACTTGTTCAGCTATACCAGTGTTTCACGACACTCAAATAGAAGGACGATAGAGTCATCCAGAAAGCCTCGTTTGCTCAAATTGTTCCATTTCAATGGATCGGCTATATCCTCTCTTTCCATTGGGCGAGAACCAGGGACTGTAAGAAGATATTTCCTTTTTCTCTTCGAATAGTTGTTTCGTTTAGATTAGGGAGAGAAAGAGGTGCGCAATGGTCGAATTACCTTGCTTGAGAAGTCGGAATGAGGACTGTGCATTTATTCCTGGGAGGGATTGGGGTTTGCGGTGGAAGTGGGTGGGAGGAGGAGAGTGTTTTGGGGTGTTTAGGATGAGGTGGGTTTTATTATGTTGATGATTTCTAATTTGAGGTGGTTCCAGAGTTAGATTATGAAGACTCATTCGTGGATAACAAGCCATTATTTGTTAGAGCGTTTAGTGATGAATGGTTTCACACTGATGAGCGGTCATCACGAATGAATAAGGTGGGATTTTGGCACTAAATAACATTTGCTAAACGAGTGACGATGAGACACATGCTATCTTCTTGTAATCTCTAGGATATACTAGGTAATGTATTCGCAAGTTATCTTGCATAAGTTCTGTCTTGTCTAATATACGAGCGTGGCGAATATTATTAGGAATTTAAGAGAGCCAGATGTGGGAGTTTCTTAGAGCCCGAATCTTACTTCCCTGAGATAATATCCATATGTATGTAAATCATCTAACGAGAATTTCGTTTGTGACTGCAAGAATTTGTGACTTGGCAATCTTTTGTAAGGAAGTTGTAAACTCGACGGCACAAGCAGAAGGTACCCTAAGGAGGAATAAGTGTGGGTCTGGATAAGTCGTTATCTAGAGTTTGGGGGGTTTTTATGGAAGATTAGACATCGTATGTGTCTTGAAATGTTAGGAATCTAAGGGGATAATTGAGATTAAATGACCTCCTTTTAAGGGAGTTGATTTCGGTCATAGTGTAGTAGGTTGGTGTCTCATAATGGAGTTTTACATGGCAGATTGTTTGAGAGAGTTAGTATATATTTATTGCTTTTAAGCTCCAATCGAGTTCACAGTGTCGAAGATGCATTTCCTAACAAACATTAGATATGTAAATCTCGTCTTCTACGCGTCTCGATATCCTGTTAACTTACATAATATAAACTTTTGCATATAACACAAGAAGTCGTTATATTTAAATAGCCAATTGAATCTGACCTGAGTGGAACTTTCCGAATAGTTAGATATTTTTCCAAATGGAGTTTTCATTGACCTTAGTCTAGTTTTACTTGATGACTCTAGAGTTAAGTCAATAATAGAATATCCACATTCGCCTTATTCGATAGCTACCGTGACTTAAGGTCGTAGCTTTAATTGAGAACGTAATTCGGAATAAAACTCACCAGTTGAGAAAACGTTAGGAATGTTTAATTATGGATGTATCGTCTCCTCTCGACAAGTCATGTCAAAGACAGCCCTATATCTGAGCTCTAGGGGTGGGAATGAGCAATTCTTTTGGGGTTTGCTAGGTAAATCTAAATCGCATAATGAATTTTACCGAAGATAGTCGAACTACTTAGAAAGCGACGATATCGATGGGAATAACTTTAATACTATAGGACTAGTAGATCTAGTTGAATTAGCTATATAGGAAGTATACGAATAGAATTTATATGGTCCTACTTAGGGTTCAATATATTTAGGGGCGAGAACTCGTGGAAGAGTATATAATTATAAGGAATACAAGTAAAGTACGTGTTAGGATATTAAGACGGCTCCGATTCCTGTCATTAGACGTTCTTGGAGGCGGTTCGTTCTCATGTGACGGTTTAGATTTGTCAAAAATGCGATTTAGATTTTGGGGCACCCTTCTTTTGGTGGGCATACATTCAGTACTCGAGTGCTATGGCTTAATGAGCCACTTGAACGGGCTTATCCAATTTATACAATGAGTATTTTCCATATCTATTCCTACAGATCTCTTCCATCTCCCATAATTTATGCTGATGCACTAGACACAAGAAAATCTACCCATCTTATGGGAGTATTTGTACAGTCGCTTATGAATCCTTCCTTATCGTAACAATCCACCCTCCAGTCCCAAAGCCAGGATCTCAATTGGTGTTCCCCGCTAAGAGGACTGATTCCTTCATATCGCTTCCCATCCATTGTTTATACACCACATACTACGCATCTCGTAACGCCATCTCCATCCTCTTCAGCTTATCCTCATGAGCCATCAGCCTTCTCGGTCCCCAATCCGCTTTAATCTTATCCAGCCTTGCCTTCTCCGATGCCTGCCACGCCAGATTATCACCTCCGCACTGGCTCACACAAATGCTAACGAACATAGTCGAGCAATTGAATTTCCTCGCTAGCTTCTTGTTCGTCCATACTGAACCCTCGTCTCTCCGTAACCGCTGTATTTCTTTGATATCGGCATCGCTGAGGTGGTGATGTGGTACTTGTTTTTGTCTCTGAACGGGAGGTGGAAGTCGTGTCGATGTTGGCGCAAGTCTTGCTTGTGTTGTGGCGAGCAGCTGTCTCCTTTTGTCTTCTTTTGGTAGGAACTTGAGGGGAGTGTTAAACACGGATGGCGCAGCGGAGGGTGGGTTGAATATGATATGGTTGTTCGCAGGGGAATCGTCGGACTCGAGAAAGGAGGAGTTTGGCCGAATGTTTGCCCGTTGCTTTGCGCGGCGGTAGGATTCTTGATTCTGTCGAGATGTAGTGCTGAATGCAGACAGACATGGCTTTTTGTTTGTGACTATCTTGGCCAGCGGCCTTCTGATCAAATTGGAATCCATCGTGGAGGCGCTGGAGCTTCAAATGCTGGTGGTCTCGAGACAACGAGCTCGAGGCTGTCGTGAACTTTTCGAATTGAGAGCTAGACCGGATACAGACTAGCTTTACTCGGAATGGTCGGAGCCGGTGAATCACTCCGCTCCGGACTTCTCCCACGTCAATCATCAAAGTCCACGGGGTCGATCCTTATTCCATCAGCCAGGAACCAACCTTGGGAATTCAATGCCATAAATTCTGCGAGCAAGTCAGAGGACACCACGACCGAGAATAATCTAATTCAAGTCTGGCAATTCAGCGCCGCAAACTATGCCCCAGTGATAGGTGAGCGGTAGGGATTTGTGTCATCACCAGAGGAATATTCCCCTCGCTCTGCACCTGACTGGACAGAGCAGACCAGGTCGGCCAATATCAAATCAAACAACAGTTGGGACGCGTAAGTAACTAAGTATTTTCCCTTTTTATGCTTTAGATTAAACCTGCACAAGACTCACCCCACGCCACCTTATTTTACTCAGTTATAGTGTCGTCCGCTGACTCGGTCAGTATTTATCTCTGGCCTCTCCCGTTGACCTTTCAACTTCTTTGCGATCCTCATCCTCCGGATAACTTACTTCAAGATGAGCGCTTCGGAAGCCAGCACATTGCAAGCAAACACCCCCGACCAGGCCAACCACCCGTCGACAAACACCTCGACAGTGCCGTTACTCGGGGAAGGGTTTCAAGAGACAAAGCGGACTTCTCTGTCGCGATCCGCAGATAACAGCGACGTAGAACAAGAGGGGCAAACCGCTACCGAGGGGGGAAAACTCGGAAAACGTAGATTGTTTGGATTTGGGAAGAAAAAGGAGGACGATAGTGCGAAGGGCAAGAACAAGACCACTACACCGACTATGAATCTTGGAAATACTTCAACGCCAATTGCAGCGCCGGTCGCTCAAAGGATTCCACCAACGTCTCCGTCGCGAACCTCAACGAATCAATTCTATTCAGCGCCCCAATCTCCTCAAAGGAATTTGTCTTCTTCGTCGCCACGAGTTGTATCTCCTGCAGGGTCACAAATCTTCGAGCGCGATGTACAAGAGAGTACTTTACTACCGCCCAACTCATCCGCGATCCCGTCTCACATTCAAACGGAAAACCATATTCCACCAGTACTGGATGCCTCTTCTGAAGCTATCACGAACAGCGAATTGGATCCAGATACTGTGGAAATTGTTATGCATTCCTCCCATCAGCCGGCAGCTGTCAATGTGACGGGTATTGGCAGCAGCGAATCACTTGGTGGTAATTGGGCTGACGAGTTGGTCACTCACCCAGATAGAGATGATGCTGCATCCAACTATGCGGCATTGGACAACACCGATATCAGAAGATTAAGTTTCATATCTTTTTCGGACATCGTACAATCCGAACATGCAGAACATGCGGGTAGCAGAGATAGCATCTACGTTGCGGGGCTGAGCTCATTGTCTTCCGGTGGAATCAATAGATCGCCATCGCCTGTCAGATCACCCGTCTCCTCCCAAGGATTCAATACCTCGCCGCCAACAAGCAAATCCGCCTCGGTTCAAGGCGTTGATCTCTCACCACGTGTGAAAGCATTAGGAAGCCCTATCTCATCGCACCCACCAACTCAGAGCGGCGAGTTGACGATTGAGACAATGACCCAAGCTTTGAGAAGGACTGGGTCTGGGGATTTGAGTGGCGTTCGAAGTCAATTTTCAAGTCCAACCAGCCCTGATGGTATGTCTGATCGGCCTTTCCGTTAGCGTCAGCGGCGTAGAGTATCACAGACTCTTAGGAAATGTTTTAATTCTCTTCACTTTTACGAAACGCTATATATCCAGGTGCTATGGGATTGTCTTTCTTTTGGAGACCGGAATTGGGATTGGTTGGGATTTGAGAGTGTCTGTTGTGTCACTCGACGGAATTTTCTGTCACTGGTGTTGGCGGGGTCTCTTTGCTTTCACTTATGTTTTCAGATCGGGGACTGATGATCAATTATTGGGATAGTGACAGTTCGCGATATTCTAAAAGCGGATATAGTTTGCCGTAATACAAGAGGAACACGGTTTCACATAACGTTCGTTTCTTAGTCTATGTTTATTGGTGACTGATTCGAGGATCGCATCGCCAAGTGTGTCACAGATGTGGAAGGATCTCAGCCACGTGCGGAATCACACATGCAATTCCTCTTGAAGCTTTTCTGGTTATGGTACGAGCATCGAAATGTTGCTGACCTTCATGCCGGCTCTATACAAGCCACAGATGAGGGTCCTTCTGTCAGGGGCCCGGGAGAGGAGCAGCCAATGCGGAGAGCTGGGGAAGATCCGAGTCGTGATATTCCCCATTGTAAATTGCTTTTTCTTGATCACCGGATTGAATGCTTCTGATTGCTGGGGATGGACGACACCTTTCTCGGCCAGACTGTCGAGACTTGTTTGAAGCCAATTGTTTGTAACATCGTGAGACCCTTCCCGTACCTGACGGGGAATTTGCCCACCACCAGTCCGGTCCTTCGTGATACATACTAGTGCAATTGAGAGAGATGTGCAGTGTCGAAGTTTATAGTACCTGTTCTAGACTCGAACGCAGACCCTGAAAAGCTGATCGCCTGGTTGACGTTGACAGGGTGGATCTCGCAGTCAAAGCGTGGCTCTTGTCAAGCGAAGAAGCCGCCATCCCAAAGAATTTTGAGACCTGCATTCATCGATTAGCACACGATTGCACTTCCACTTGGGAGTCAAGACCAAGGTCGCAAATATTTGTAGATTACACTATTGCATTTCTCTTCCAAGGTTCTTGCTTTTACGACCGCAATTAGCTTCACGATTCGAATAGGCGCAAACCCTCAACGTCATATCTTCACCGGAAGTCTGCAACAGCGCGCTGGTTTTGTACCCTTTGCCACAACGGGTATACTTACGAATGGTACTTGACCAGCTATCATGAGGAAGTGTCGAGATCTGGGACCGGAATTGGGTAGAACTGAGGTGCACCGGCATCAACAAAACCACATATAGAAAAGTATCCGGCCGGACTATCTCTATTCCCAGGCTGCAGAACTTCCAGCGTCTCCTTCAATCATCGGTATTACGGAGGAACCTTTTATTGGACTATCTTCTCCTGCAGTAATATCTGAATCTGCTTTTACCTTGGGTGCAGATACCCTTGCCGCAAGGAACTAGCAAAACGACTGCCACACTGTTGGCATCATACGAGTCCACGCCCACAACTCAAGACGGTCGACCCCACTTCTCCCATTTCGAATAAGACCGCAAACGCATGGAATGAGGGCAAATAGATGAGAAGGCATCGGATGAGCATCCTTCCAGCAGGGATGGACGGTAGACCATATAACGAAACCTACGGAAAAGATGGCGCTCTACAGAACTGGCAGAGAAATGCGACGGAAACGCTTGCTCGGGGGCTTGGGGCGCAAGCGGAACCACAACGTCTTCAGAGAATCCGACCAGGTCCAAACTCTGCCCGACCAGAAAGAGTTGTGACGCCTGAGCAGCCAGAAGACTTCGACAATGAGTTTTCGATTGGTGGTAGCACAGTTAGATCGGTGGACCATCCCTCGTCAACCCAAGCATCCCCTCGCTCAATACCAGGTGGGGAGAAGCCACGAGACCGTAGGCAGGGCCTGGTATTTCAAGATTCATATTCTACCGATTCTTTGGAAGGTCGTACAGGACCTCCAGTGAGCTTCCATTCTAGACCCAGAACCCGTACCACAAGTGGGGTTGAGGAACACAAACGTAACCGTTCTACGTCGACAAATGTGTCGAGAAGCAGACACCGGATCGGTTCTGTACACTCTACCAGCTCTTCGGTGTTCCATAATGCGGAAGCTCGAGGTACGAATGATGCGTCTAATTCGCTGGGTTTCCCATCTATTGCTAGTCGTCCTACCCAAAACCCACAACTTCAGAAGTCCAACTCTGTCAAGAGTGGTCGACAACGTCTTGTCAAACGAGGCTCACGACCCACGTCTCCACTGACAGCGATGAGTGACGTTCCATCCGTGGACTCTCTTCCTTTTCCAATAGCAACTTCAGACGCTAATAAAATACTAATGTTAATGCAAACCTTGTGTGGTCGGATGAGAGGAGAGGTTGAATATCAGACAGATGATGCCGGTCTTTGGATTTCTGGCATTTGCTATATAGACGACATCAAGGGCTCTTTAATGCATGAAGGTGACGGCAGTGGCCTATCTCACGCTGCAGTGATCTCAGACCTCCGAGGATGTCGAGTACGCCCAATTGTATCTCAGGAGCGACGTACACGGTGTCTAGAAATTTCCCATAAAGCGCAAGGGATTGAAATGAATCTCATACCAGTCGTCAAAGCGGAATTCGACTTGTGGCTAGCGGCACTACTGTGTTGGCAGCAGGTCCGAAAAGGGACACTACCAGCTACATCCACTAAAGCTGCCCATTCTCTAGGCGACCGACCTAATCCTCCAAGACGGAGTTCAACTCAACCGCGGTCATCGTCAGCATCTGTGGCGGGCAAAGAAGGTAACATCATCAAGGTTGCCAAATGTCTCTTGTGGGATAAAGGTGCACCATCTTCACCAAGGGCCATTGTTAGAAGGCCATCAACGCGCGATCTAAAATCGCCGGCCAGAACATGGAGGAAGGTTTCATGTATACTTCAGGATAATGGCGAATTCAAGCTGCTTACGGAAAATGATATCAATCTACTTTCAATCATTCAGCTTTCTCAGCTCTCGCGATGTGCAGTACAGAAGCTGGACAGATCTGTACTGGATCAGGATTTTTGTATAGCTATATACCCACGTTATACCGCATCATCAACCCAGCTCTCCATCTTCCGACCAGTCTACATAGCACTGGAATCCCGACTACTGTATGAAGTGTGGTTCTGTTTGTTGAATGCCTTCTCAGTCCCGGAAATTTATGGTGTACCACACTCAGATGATTCCACGGAGTTCGACATTGCGGAGGATGCGGAAGTGCGGTCTTCTCCAGATATGTTTCGAATCGAGAAGTCCCTGAAGCTACGAGTAGTTGAAGCTAAGATGAGGAAACAAGTGGCGAAACCAGAATCTTTCTCCCAATCAGGCAGACTTTCTGTGAAACAAGAAGCTGATCTTTCAATTGGAGAGTATTTCGCCGAAGTCGTGTTGGACGGAGAAGTTCGAGCACGGACAATAACCAAAGCGGATACGAGAAATCCATTCTGGCGTGAGGACTACGAGTTCCAAAGTCTGTCACCTCAGTCACCGCGACTCATGATTGTATTGAAGCGTGTCGATACTACTACTCAACATCACGGATTCTTGTCCGCGAACATCCATGGGCCCGATCAAGCGGATGAAATCCTTTGCGGCACGATAGAAATCTCAGTGGACAAATTCGAACGTGGTCAGGATAACGAAGCGTGGTGGCCTGTACTTGACAATTCGCAAGAAAAGATAGGAGAGATATTCCTCAAGATTCGCTATGACGAGCTAGTAGTGTTGCTCGCGAAGGACTACGAGCCACTATCTCTGTTATTGCACAACTTTGGCAGTGGATTGACAGATCAGATTGCCCAGGCAATATCACGAAATCTTCGAGGTCTTTCTGAAACGTTGATGAACATATTCCAGGTCTCTGGACATGCTTACGACTGGCTTGCGGCTCTGGTAGAAGACGAGATTGACGGGATCAGTAAAGAGACACCTAATCGGAGAGTGCGATGGAGTCGAAGAATTGGCTCAAACGAGTCTTATAATTCTGTTGGCGATCGCGAGCAAACTGTTCGAGACATTGGAAAGTCTCTTCAAGGAGAGGCCAATCTGCTGTTCCGGGGAAATTCGCTGTTCACTCAAGCTATGGACTTTCATATGAGGCGGCTTGGAAAAGAATACCTCGAGGAAGTATTAGCTGAGAAAGTTGTGGAGATAAACAAGCTCAACCCAGACTGTGAGGTGGACCCGTCTCGACTTGGTCATGGCGAAGATATCAATAAGAATTGGAAATTGCTTATTTCTCTGACGACCGAGATATGGGATGGCATCGCTGGTTCTTCAGCTCGCTGTCCCCCAGAACTTCGTCAAATACTGAAGTACATACGGGCCGTCGCCGAAGATCGTTATGGTGATTTCTTCCGGACAGTATCGTTCACTAGCGTTTCTGGGTTCTTGTTTCTTCGCTTCCTTTGTCCTGCTCTCCTGAATCCTAAACTCTTCGGACTTTTACGCGACCATCCTCAAGCGAAAGCACAACGAACTTTCACTCTTATTGCGAAGAGTCTGCAGGCACTTGCAAATCTGAGCACGTTTGGCCAGAAAGAATCTTGGATGGAGCCTATGAACCGCTTCCTCCACAGCCATCGACAAGGACTCAAAGATTTCATCGACGCAATCTGCTCTATATCGTCCGAGAGAAATAATTTCTCACTTCCAGCTTCATATTCAACGCCTATTACGATTCTCGCACGCTTGCCACCAACGTCTCGTGAAGGGTTCCCGTCCTTGCCATATCTCATCGACCATGCACGAAATTTTGCTGGGTTGATAAAGTTATGGCTAGACTCAACGTCCAACTTCGTTCTTCTCAATTCCTTCGATGGGGACTTGGCAGAATTCAATAAAATGTGCCTTGAGTTGCAGCGGCGCGCAGATGAGTGCCGCCTCAACGCAGAAAGTGGTGATAGCACGGATCAGCTCTCTCTTCAGTGGGACGACCTCGCGGATGAAGTCGAAGGCATAACCATTCAGGATTCTCCCAACCTAACAAACTACCCTCTTGAACCCTCACCCACATCCTTCCATTCGCCACAATGGTCCGAATTCACTACCACAATCACAGGCGGCATTCCTCCCGGCTCCTCAGGCAGTCTCCGCGACCGTGACAAGCGCGAGCGTCAAAGTTTCTGGGAATCAACCTTTGGACGAGAACGTGAGAGCAAGATCGCCGCTGACGGGAGCAACGCCAGTCCTCCAAGTCGCGGCCAAAGTAGAAACGGGAACAAAGGCGACGACAAAAAACGTGGATTCCTGAGCGGATTACGCAGAAAAGGAACGAAAGATAGCGAGAAAGAAAAGATTAAACAGGAGAGAAGCGTCAGTATCGCTGAGAGTGTCGGTGGCCCCTCGGAATATAGAGAGAGACTTGGGTCCGCTGCGCAAGCTGGGACGCCGGGGAGTTCCTCGACTGGTGGGGGGACGGGGATGATTTGAAAATCAGCCAGTGGCATACACTTTTCCTTCTTTGGGGTTGGAGGGGCATTAGAGGTATCCGTGTGGTTATTTGTTTTTTAAACTGCATAGATAGCGCAGAGGTTTGTTTTTTTTTTTTTTGAGACCGTGGCGTGGGTACCTTTTGCTGCATTTGGCGAGAAGAATTTTCAGTTCGAGCTTTTTTTCTTTGTAAGACCGAAAGCTGCGGGATGGGGGTCAGGGATTGCATATTCGCATAGGATGGAAGGGAAGGGTTGGATCAGCTATGTGTTGGACAGGGACGGGAAGCATAGGTTGGAAGGAAGGAAGGAAGGATGGATGGATACTGTGTGTTTGGAATAAATGGTATATATTTTTGTTTGTCTTTATTCATCGTTGGCCTTTTGAGAAAAAGCGAGGGCGGGGTTCTGATGAAATGGAAATACCAATTTTGTTGCGAGTTCATGTGTGTATTGGAGAGGCAATGCTTGGAGGTGATATTTTTTCTTCTCTTGCTACCTAGTCAGAAATAGATATTTGTATCTAGAGAGCTAGGAACAATAGATGTGAGCGCTCCCGTGCTTATCATCATAACTGCATTTACTACTCCTTTTGACCGATCGACTAACTTTTCGCAGGGAAATTCCCATCCCGTCCTATCATACTCGAAATTCCTCTAAAACCCGACTGCGCTCATTCCATCAACCGTGACTCGTAAATTCATAACCCTCGTTTGGGAAGGAAAGATCATGAGAAGAACTTGCTATACGCAGCCTTCTCCTTCTTCGCCCGCTCAGCAATTTCCTGCTTGGTTTTTCTGAGCTGTGCAACAACCGCGGCGTCTCCGGGACTGAGATCATTGGCTGTTTCTAAGTCTTCCAATGCTGCATCTTCATCCTTCAATCCTAGGTTTGCGATTGCTCGTCTGAACAGTACTTTACATTCCTCAGGACCGCTCAGCTCATCTGACGACTCTAATGCGGCAGTAGCAAATCGTTTCCCCTCGGCGAAATCCTGGAGTTTGTTGCTGATCAGAGCCGAGTTCGAATTTAATGAATAACGAAGGGTTTCCATGGCGAGCTTGACTTGGATCTTAGGTTTCTCGGTTCCCATGTCTTCGTTCAGATATCGCAATCCTTTCGCGTATTTTTCAAGTGCTAACGGCAAGTTCTTCATTTCTAAAAACGCCTTGTTGCCGTACGCTTTGAGATCGGTTGCGATCTTGACGATTTGATCTGGCGTAAAGTCTTTTCCTGCGTCTTCCGGGAAATCCTCGTACTCATCTCCTGTTGCATCAGGACCCTTAGCATCGGCTTTTAGGGCCTCTTCGCCAGTGAGCTGGCCACAGTCGGCAATGGTCACATCTTTATTGGGTTTGTCGCCTGATTGGGTCGGTAGGTTTTCGATCTTGCGAATAATTGACTTTCCAGCAATAACCTCTCCAAATACTACGTGTTTACCGTCAAGATGGGGAGTTGGAACTGTAGTTACGAAGAACTGAGAACCGTTAGTTCCTGTAAAAGGTTAATTAGCTTCGTGTAACTCATAGTCAAGAGGGGAAGATTCTTACCAGGTCCAGCATTAGCCATGGATAACAGGAAAGGCTTCTCGTGCTTCAACTTGAAGTTCTCATCATCGAATTTAGCACCATAGATACTCTCTCCACCGGTTCCATTTCCCATAGTAAAATCTCCACCCTGGATCATGAATTGCTTGATTACTCGGTGAAAGATCGAACCCTTGTAATGGAGAGGCTTTCCCGATTTTCCAGTGCCCTTCTCGCCGGTACATAGACAGCGGAAATTATCTGCCGTCTTTGGAACGACTTCATCGTAAAGCTCGAAGACGACGCGCCCTTCTGGACGATTTCCAATCGTGATATCGAAGAAGACGCGGCTACGGCCCTGTTTGGCCATCTTCTCCAAGATTTGGTGGCGCTGGGTAGGAGTGACAGGCATATTGGCGGTTTGCGGGAACTGGCTCGAGATGCTTTTAGCAAGAAAGGAGAAGAAACGAGGAACCACAAGTCATGGAGGGGTTGCTCAACACCATCAGAAGCTCAGCCTTGCGGGTCGAGAAAGTTCTGTGGGCCCGGGGTATCCTTGTTCCGATCCGATGGATATGTGTAACTGAACTACGTCCAATCTCATGCTGGACAGACGTGACAGACTAATCGTTTGTTCATTGATGGAAACAATCTGTAATCTTGGGCAATACCTAATTTAGATTGAGTAAAACCCTAATATGATGCCAAAGCATGAACAGAGACTACTATTTATACCTTCCTGAAGGTCCTATCAAGCTTGCTTCTAACTAGAAGAAAGTTTAAGATGGTAAGATGAGACTATCTTCATGAAGAAAAAACAAAGGCATATGAAGGCTACTCTCGGTCTCCTTCATAATTGCTTTCTTGAGATACATATTTCGATGTAAACTCAATCGCTAATACCAGTGCTCTACGGTTCGGATTAGGATGATCAATTACTAGAGGCCTTCTCACCACTAGGTCCAACCGACATTTCTAACGTCACCTTCATCTGGTCAGTCATGCCGTTTAGGCACTAATGGCTTGATTGTTAAACCACGTACCGGTCCGTCATTTACCAATGCCACTTCCTAGAAAAAATAAGCACATTGCCAAAAGCATATAATCAATATACAACGAACCATCATAGCCTGGAACACTCCATCTTTCACCCTCTCTGCAGCATAGCCTTGTTCCACTTTTTTGACGAATAGTTGATACAGTTCCTTGGCTTTGTCCCCTCCTAATGCCCCGTGGAAGTCTGGTTTTGTGCCTTTTTTGGTCACAGCAAGCAATGTGAATTGCGAAACTAAACAGACTATTAGATGTCCATCATCTGTATTTCACAAATTTCACCCACCACAAAGAACCTCTCCATCAATATCTTGGACACTTTTCTTCCACTGGGTGCGTTCATCAGTGTACTTCTCCAGGTGGCAGCAGCAGAAGGAGTGAACGTTACCCTACCACCAGACTCATCATCCCACTTTTTTCAACCGGGTCAGCTTAAATTTTTCCGATTTGGAGATATCTTGATATTGAGAAAGAATTGAAGAGTACAGGGAACGTTACTAAGGACATTCGTGAAGGGAAATGACATGAAACTTTGGTGAAAAGAAAGCAAGCTTCAAATGAGAGAATCATAACAATGCTCAGAAGACCCTTACCAGACGCATTTTTAAGACCTTGGTTGCTAGAGTTTCCACATCCTTCTCAGTATCCCCAGGCGCAACAGCTGCAAAGACCAAGATGCCTTTTCCAATTGAGGATATGAGCTGCTGGTCGACCGTAACAGAGGCAGAGAGGACGCGCTGAAGAATTGCTGACTTATAGTCAGGCAAGCGCAACGTAGGGACTGCATTCTATGACACACCTTTCATAGCGCGTGCAGTTTCTAGGATAAGGAAACAAGGTGAATCAAGATTGTTGAGGTAAATTAGGAGAAGGAAAGGTCGACTCGCAAACCGATAATGAGATCTATCAAGTGGAGAACAATCATGTGCCACGGATTTACACCGACTGAGAATATTTGTAAAGAAAGAATCCGAACGACAATGTAGAGAAATTAAATATCATGAGAAAGACATATGTGCACAAATTTTGAGAACTTTGCTGCCAGTGATGAGGTAGACAGACGATTTGCTCATCCGCAACAGGGAGAAAGCTGCTGCGCCAAGACCGCTGCGTGAAGCGAAACAGTCGCGGCGGACCAACAAGGAAGGCGATCCCGATCTTCAAAGGACCGCGGAAGCAAACAACAGCCTGACTAGAAACTGTCGCCAACTGCACAACGAATATACCAAAGCGAAATACGATCGACGGCGCGCGCAATACCACCTCTATACGACGTATGGGGCCTCAACACCTGTACATCACGATTATCATCGATCCGTGGTTACGAAGCTCATCACCTAGCACGAATACCTCGTTAGACGCAACAACTCCACAATGGCGGCACGAAAGCTCCAGCAGGAAGTCGACAAGTGCTTCAAGAAGGTATCAGAAGGTGTCGCCGAATTCGAGTCAATATACGAGAAGATCGAGCAGTCAACGAATGCTGCGCAGAAAGAGAAGCTCGAAGATAATCTCAAAAGGGAAATTAAGAAGCTACAGAGGTTACGAGACCAGATTAAGACCTGGGCGGCGAGCAATGATATCAAAGACAAGGGCCCTCTACTAGAGAACCGGAAGCTGATTGAGACTGTAAACGTTATACCAATTGGTAGGGAGATATGGGCTGACTTGAATCTAGCAAATGGAGAAGTTTAAGGCCGTAGAGAAAGCTATGAAGACAAAAGCATACTCAAAAGAGGGCTTGTCAGCGGCGGCGAAGCTGGATCCAAAAGAACGGGCGAAGATGGAGGCCTGCGAATTCCTGGGTAATATGGTTGATGAATTGGAACGGCAGATCGAGACAAATGAGGCTGAGGCGGAGTCGTTACAAGCGACGATGCGAAAGGGAAAGAACCAAACGGCGAAAGCGGAACGAATCGCTGAAATTGAGCGAGTGACGGAACGACATAAATGGCATCAGGGCAAACTGGAACTCATAAAACGATCGCTCGAGAACGGAGGGGTGGAAACCGAGCAAGTTAATGATCTGGAGGAATCAATAAAATATTATGTTCAGGAAAACGCAACGCCCGAGTTCATGGAAGATGACGAGATGTACGACGAACTCAATCTCCAGGAGGAGGAAGACACTTATGGGATGGGACTCGATAACGATCGAGTGTCATCGCAAGATACTCAGTCGATACAGGAAGAGTCGCCTGAAGAATCACGGTCAAATAGTCTACCTGGAAAGTCAAAATCAACTACGGTCTCAGAGGGGCCAGCCGCTGCAAGAAGACCTTCCACACAAATGAAGAGCCCGTTGCCAACGCTGGCTACATTGCACAATCCTCCGCCAAGTACATCGAATAGTGCGAGTCAGATGAAGCCAGCAGCTGTACCTCCGAGAGTAGAAGGGTTGAAGTACGCATCAGCAGCGGCTGCAGCAGCAGCAAGCGACAAAAACAATCTAGGAATAGCTCCCTTACCTCCGCCACCAGAAAGTCTACCTGCCGCCGCTACTTCTTCAAGTCATCCACCATTACCGTCAAATCCTGGTCGAAAAAGCACGGCTGCTTCTCCTGTCGTCAACCATGCACAACCTGACGCTCCTTCACAAACAAGTTCCTCGAGGCCTACGGTGCCAACTGTTACCAGTACATCGGACACCTCATCAAGTACCAAAGCCAAGTCGCCATCGTGGGGCGAGGAACCCAGTCTCGCAACCACAAGCAATGTACCGCAACCACCCTTACCGGAAAAGACAGAACCTAGTCGGCCGCGACCCTCCAGGTTTTCGTCTCAAGTAGCTCCGAATGTTAGCGAGTCAGGAGCGAGCCGTAAAGGTAAATCGCCTATGGTCAACGACGTGGATATGGAAGTCTCCAAATCTACGCCGGTACAGTCAAATGGCGTTTCAAATGGCGTTAAACCTGTTGTAGCAGAAGAAGATGAGTCGGTATACCACCTACCGGCGAGTCTTCAAGATCTATTGCAAGCCTTTGAGGCAACTCACCAAAATGTCAAATCAACTCCTTCTCATTCTTCACAGGCCTCGCAAAGAATGCTTGCTGCGTCCTTCAATACTTCTCCAGATATGCTTGATGTAGGAACACCTAGAAATTATAGGCCAGAGATCCGATGCCACACACCCGCGTATTACCCGCAAGAGCTTGATCCCGTTTTCGACGACCACCGGTTGTACTCTCGGATTGACCATGACACGCTTTTCTACGTCTTTTATTACAAGCAGGCAACGTATCAGCAGTATCTAGCGGCTCGAGCGCTTAAGGACCAGAGCTGGCGATTTCATAAGCAGTATCAGACATGGTTTCAAAGACACGAGGAGCCTAAGACGATCACGGAGGAGTTCGAGCAGGGAACATACCGGTTCTTTGACTACGAAAGCACATGGTTCGTTGCAATTTAGCATGAATGATACATCGATTATACAGCTAACCACAAGACTAGGATGAATCGACGGAAGGCCGACTTTAAGTTCCAGTATAAATTTTTGGAAGACGATGTATGAGTGTATGTCTAGGCGTCAACGGAATCATCCCAGGCGAAACTGGTTGGAGCATGGGAGGCTGTTGACCTACATTGGGTTGTCTTACCGAACAACGACACTTGTTGTCCTAATTAGCAAACAAGTGTGTCTATCTAATCCAGGTGATATTGTCACGATTAGAATGCGAAGCGCCGATTTCCAGGCTCCCACACCTTGCTCCTTTTTTGATCGTACCTCTCCATTCTCCGCTTCATTTCCCTCCTATTTAGTCTTTTGACCGTAGTATGCGACGCGTCTGAAGAGGAATACTCCATTTCTGCGCGATTTGCGCATGGTCCTCTCATCCCATCATAGCACACCGACTGCTTCAGTCCTACCAGCACTGTTTGCAACATTATATCTGTTGGTTTCCGTAGTTGGATTTGTTGTCTCGGTCGCGGCCTGCCTGGAAAAGCATTTATCGACCAGTCAATGGATGAAGCACATTGTAGCCTCGACGACGAACACCGGATAAGCTCTTGGAGAACAAACTGTCGACTTAAAGCAATCGGGGGCCAACCGGCCTTTAAGTCGGCCTGCAGCCCTGATGCATTGGTACCCAACGCAACAGAGTCCAATAGGAATATGGCATGGTTTGCATATCGTGGGTGGGATGTACAAGGCAATTAAGGTATATAAGATAATGGAGGCTGCCAGGACTCACTTTGCTTATCCTTCATCGCTACGAGATGATCTTGCCTTTCTCGCCTTTTTCTATTTTTGCGTTGCCTCGAGCTCTTTGCTAGATCCTATGTTCATCGATTTGCACGGTGCCTGCTTCTTGCCTGCTGCCTCTCCAGAGCCCACCCACGGAGCAATGCCCAATTTCCGTTCGTTTGGCCAATCATAATAAATCTAGCTCGCGTTTTTGCGATTGGCTAGTCACGTCCATTCTTTGCCATTTGAATTCCCTCTTTCCTCTGTAACTTTCGTCTCATACATTGACCTCACACGCAGAGCACAACCGATCAATCTCCCAACAACAACAAACAGCACGGAAATGAGCTGACATATGAGCAGGAGATGGTATTCGACAACAATTCAGGGGACGGCGTCCCTGCCAAAAGAGAGAAATAGCCGATGCTTCCACGTGCGAACGCCCGTCTGCTCTCGCCAGCAACGCTTCCTCCATACATGTATCCTCGCCCTCAGAGCTTTCAGAGCTTTCTAGTGCGACACACTACATGCTGGTGACACACTGGAATCCTTCGAGTATGGAGAATGCTCGTGGGGAAAAGCTCAGTCGATTGGTCCGCACCATTTCCGGCAGCCTCGCCCGCGAAGGAAAAGCAAGCAGTGTTCGAGTTGAAGGCAAAAACAAGGCTGACGAATGCGGCCCTCACCGTTAGGCAACGACATCGCCAACTACCATCATCCCCTGGCTCTTACCCACCCTGTACACTCGATCACCCTCCTGTCAACGCATCTTGCATTGCATGCTAATCAAAGATGGGCGACAAGCGAACTTCAAAAGCAATAGCCGCGCCCAGAGGACTTACTACTTGGAACCCTCGCTACCTATCATTCCAGCCGAACTACGATTCCAATGCCCAGTCAGAGTCTACAAGAGCTCCAACACTGGGCCACTCGAATAGAGTGGTTGCCCAAGGGTTCGCGAACGACTGGAGATTATTGTCCTTGTTCCGTGGCAATTCCACTTCAGCATGGCTAGACTCTACCATGTCGAATACCGCCTTCCCAAATCGCCCAACGTTCTGCCCTGAGTGATTTTCTCCTCTTCGTACATTTTCTCCTGCTATACACGGCTCGCACGCCTCAGAAAGGCTGCGGTTGCCTCGATTGTTATTGGGTTGGCTTAGACCCGAGTGTCATACCCACACCACAAGGCGAGGCTCTGTCACGATTACAGGCGTCGTCACCAACCTTCAAACGCTTCGGATCTCACCCTGGCGCTAGCATTATTCCTATTGAGCGCAAACCTCCATACTTCCGGTCTAGTGCCCGGTGACCGCAAATGGAATGAATTTCCCATGTGATCTCAAAGATGGAATTGTTATAGGGCTCACGGTGGGTTTTGTCACAGCGAATTGTTGTGACAGGGGGTTTGTTGTAGTTTACAACACACGATTCATCGCCCTCAAAATTTCTCGCAAAAAGATGTGGCCTCGGGCACTGCCCCCTCATGATGGAAACCCCAAGCTTTACTGAACCCTGCCATTGGAGGGCGCTGATGACTTACTTTAGCACCCGCAAGCCTCATCGTTTGTATCTTATACATACTAGGGTTGCGTTCGAGTTAGGTTTTGTATCTTATAGATCGTCAAAGTTGCCCCTCTGCTCTTGTTCTCGACCAGATCAAGGACAACTACCTCTCCAACTGAAGAAATCTTCCTTCATAACGTTCCTTTTAGAAAAAGTGCTTAATGTCTCACTAGTTTTTTTCTCAGCAAATAGATAAATAGGTAAGAGCCCCCCTTACTTTATGATGCTCTCGTACCGTTTCAGATCAAGTGATCTATTGCCTAATAGCTAGGGAAGTCAGACTAATGGTCTTTGCAAGGGTACTACAGAACCTTGAAAATGGCCGGATTCCCCTTATATTCCAATAATTCCATGCCAAGCTGGTATGATGCATCGGAAGATGTAGTCATGAATGATGGCAACGACTTTTCCTTTCTGGCAGCCCAGCCCATAAAGGCGCAGCAGTCCCAAGCACCAGGAGGGTATCCTATGGAAGTGAGTAGTTCTAATGGATCAGCCAGCAGTGCATACTCCAACTCTACGACTGCAACAACAGTATCCTTCATGTCTTCACACACGAATCACCACTTGCCTGTTGATGAGCAACACAATGTCAGCTTTCCAACATCTTTCGGCAACTTGTCAATCGAAGACCCCAGTTATTGTAACCCTTTTGCTAGCCTTCAAAGTCAAGCTTATGATCAACCCGCTTACGATACGCCGTCTTCACTTGGGTGGAATGAGCATACACGTGTAGCAGAGTTCTACGACTTGGTGCTCGAAAAGTCTCCCAAAGCACATTATCTTGTCCTCAAGACGCACTCAGGAGATCCTCCAAAACCAGATATCTTCTACATGCCACACATAGTCTATCTCGAGAACGATGGGTAAGTCGCTTTATATGGGAGTAATCACGCAAGCGCTAACATCTTTCAGACAGGTGCTATCTGACAAAAAACACCATCCATGTCTCTATCCAGGTCGGGGTTGCTGGAAAGACCACAATCGACGATCGTTCGCAAGAGCGGCCGATCTTGAGCGACATTACAACGTTGTTCATCACGCCTCAGTTGAAGAAATCAAGTGTGACTATCCAAGATGTGCTCGGCATACTGACGCCTTTACCCGTAAAGACCATTGCCGGGACCACTATAAAGAGTTTCACAAGGAAGATATCGGATCGTACAAGGGCGCGAAAAACAACATTGATAAGGCACAGTGGCAAGCAAAGCAACAGCAGTGGGCAGACGAGCGACAGATCAAACCAGAGTGGTGGCGATGCCCTAGGTGTCTCGATAGGATCTATGTTGCAACTGAAGGTTGGCATTGCAAATCATGCAATCGCGACTGTGAAAATCATAGATATGAAGCTCGTATCAAACTGTTAGAGGAAGATCAAGGATCTTATGATGACGAGGAAAAGATGCCTACGTCTTCTGCGCGGGCACAGACTTCTATTGCAAATTGCCATCTATGTCAAGGCTGGGGCTACACGGTCGACTTGCATGGTGGGTCTCATACTTGCTATGGCTGCCAAAGTCTCGGGGGTTCGTCTACTTCACATTACAATAACACCTCTTCGACTCAACCTCAGTACGATTCTAGGTACTAGCTACCGAACCACTGGATATGCTTCAGCGGCTCACAATGACCATCGCACGACTGCATGAAAATCTGACGACACAAATGATGATATACGACACACACGATCAAATAGATACAAGCTGAGCTTTTCGGCTTGGCCAACTTCTTTCTCTGCTAAGTCAATGCTTTGATAGCATTTGCGACTAGCGGCATCGTGTAACTCTGAGGATTTGCACAAAGGACATGCGGCAAGACTCTACGGCATTTGCTACTAAGGTGTTCGAGCAAGCCCGCTTCCTTTCCTTTTTCGCTTCCTTTTCCTTCTGCTTCCTCACCGGTATTTCCTATTTCCTGCGTTTTACCTTGCGCAACCCTCGATTGGCTTCCAACCTACCTCGTCGAGCTCTTCCTGCGTGTTTCTTTATTCTTCACTCGCTTGCCTTCGGCGTTGGCGTTAGGCGTTATACTTGTTCTTTTCGTAAGAAACACTAAAAGCAAGACGGTCGGATTGCTTTCTGCTCATAAATGTGTTTACATTTACAGTGTTTTTCATTTTGCTTACAGAATGTTCGCGAACAGTCGTTCTTTTCATACTTTGTATTAACTTACTGTCGTTCATATGATAGATAGAACTTTTGGGATTTCGATTTCGGTGTTTGGGGGAATAAGGTGTTTGGGGGTTGTGCTTGGATTTGGGAAGAAGGTTTGCTCTAGGGATTGATTTCTGGGTATGGCGAATACATGGAGTATAGGCGCGATAGGTTCTGGTTAAGGATAGATTTGTGCTTTGCTTAGTACGTAAATGTCTTAGTTTCTTAGGATATACCGAATTAGACATTTGATTTTATGAAAATATGCGAATGAGGTATTGTTTCTACTCCTGAGACGCAATAGTCCGTTTAAAGCCTCCGAACAATCTACAACTTTCTCATGTAATAATATCAGACTGTTATTAGAGTCTCGGTTCGAATTCTTCCAAAGATTTACAAGTTCTTTATTGCATTCATTGTGTGACAGTAGATGATTAACTCAATAAACTCCCCGCCGGCTATGGCTTCGCACTGCATGTTGCATAACCGCGGTAGTTTATTATAAGTGACTTGGTATTAATTGTCCATCTCCACTTAAAAGAAAGCGGTATCGGATAGCTCTGGGCAGCTTCAGGAGAGCTAACAGGGATCAGCTGCTGTGAAATAAAACTTTTCCAGAAAAGAGTAATTGTAAAGATTGTTTGTGAAATCTGAATTGGAATTGAATATATATTGTAGATTCAGCTACACCAATTCCCTCTCACCCGCTCCTCCTCCCGAGTCATTCAGTCTGCGGCTAAAGTGCTGTTCACCTGTCCCGAGTTCAGGCCCCTCGTCTTGCTTCCCCCACATTACGGCACAACCCTTCCTTACCCTTCAAGCTTTCTGCCACTCACAACGCATACACCCCCTCAATGCACCAGCTTTTGCACGGCACCGCCCTCGACTGTTGCTAGAATTTCTTTTAGACCGAGGAAGACGCCAGTGATCCGTCCCTCAGTTCCTTCCACCAGTCTGGATCCGGAAAACATCTCCCACTTACCATCTTCGCGCTATTCACCTGCCACTACCCAAACCGAACGGCCGGATTGCATTACCTCTGCCACGCCCTCCTAAACCTTCCGAGCCATGAACACCACACGTTTCGCAGCGCGTTCCCTCTCTTCCTTTAGATCTTCGCCCAGCTTCGCACCGCATACCTACAGAGCGGCCAGCCTCGGCTCAGCATTCCAGCAGCATCGCAACATGGCATCTGGCAGCAAGATCAAAGTGAAGAATCCGGTGGTGGAGCTCGATGGAGATGAGATGACGAGGATCATCTGGAAGGATATCAAGGATAAATTCATTCATCCGTATTTGGATATTGACCTGAAGTATTACGATTTGGGACTGGAGTATAGGGACCAGACCAATGATCAGGTCACTATTGATTCGGCCGAGGCGATCAAGAAGTATAGCGTTGGTGTGAAGTGTGCGACGATCACCCCGGATGAGGCAAGAGTGAAGGAGTTTAACTTGAAACAGAGTAGGTTGTCCAATTCATGCTTTGGAAGGAAAGAAGAGTAGTAATGAAGAATATCTGCTAACACCTATCCAAAGTGTGGCTCTCTCCAAACGGCACGATCAGAAATGCTCTCGGCGGAACCGTCTTCAGAGAACCCATCGTCATCCCACGTATCCCTCGTCTCGTACCTGGATGGAAGAAGCCCATCATCATCGGTCGACACGCATTCGGAGACCAGTACCGCGCAAAGGATCTAGTGGTACCAGGCAATGGAAAGCTCTCCATGGTATTCACACCTGAGGGTGGCTCACCTCAAGAGATTGAGGTCTACAACTTCAAGAACGGAGGAGGTGTTGCGCAGACACAGTATAACACCGATGATAGCATTACTGGATTCGCGCATGCATCTTTCAAATTGGCGTTGAGCAAGAGTTTACCACTTTATATGAGTACCAAGAACACCATTCTCAAGAAATACGATGGAAGGTTCAAGGACATCTTCGAGGAGATCTTCCAGAAACATTACAAGAAGGAATTCGACGAGAAGAAGATCTGGTATGAACACAGATTGATCGACGATATGGTCGCTCAAATGATGAAGAGCTCAGGAGGTTACATCATGGCTTTGAAAAGTAACTATCCTCCATACCCACCTATTTACATCCACACTAACACCCCCAGACTACGACGGCGACGTCCAATCCGACATCGTCGCCCAAGGCTTCGGCTCCCTAGGCCTCATGACCTCCGTCCTCATCACCCCCGACGGAAAGACCTTCGAATCCGAAGCCGCCCACGGCACCGTCACACGACACTATCGCGAACACCAAAAAGGTAACGAAACCTCCACCAACCCCATCGCCTCCATCTTCGCCTGGACACGCGGGCTCATCCAGCGCGGAACCCTCGATGAAACGCCCGAGGTCGTGGCGTTCGCCGAGAGTCTCGAGAAAGCGTGTATCGATACCGTGGATATCGATGGGATCATGACGAAGGATCTGGCCTTGGCGTGTGGCAAGACCGGGAGAGAGGATTATGTTACTACGACTGAGTATTTGAATGCGGTGGAGAGGAGGATGAAGAGTTTGTTGAAGACTAAGTTGTAGAGAGCCTTTTTCTTCTTATTTTTTTGGGACTCGGAGAATATTTCAAGGTTATTTACATACTGATCCTAGCTATTGGAGGATATGACTGGTCAGAAGATCTGATATGTTTTATTTTCCCTTCGCTGGAGAATTATTCATTTCAGCGTTGAGAGATGGCAGATATAGCGGTGGTGGACGAGCTTGCATATGCGAAATGTTTCCTGCATAGCAATGGTGTATATGGCCATACCCCCCATTCTAGCATCATACTTTTCTATTTTGCGAGAACTGCTTTGTACATAGAAACACTGCATTTAAGACAGAACAAACAGAAAGAAAGACAAATAAACAAACGGCCGCGTTTATCCAAGATTCTCATGTTACATCGAATGGATAAATAAGTTAATTATCTCATAAACAACGAATAAAAAGGTACTTGTTATTACAGTCCTGTAATGCCCGTGCATAATAATCCCTCCCTATAACCTATCTACCATAGAACCCAATGCCTTGCCTAATATACAGTTACCCCCATTTTAACATTCCCTTAATCTCACAAGGAGTAGCCCTTCCGTACCCTTTTCCTTCATTTCCAATCCCAAAACGCCTCTGCTTCCGTCCGTATTGCCCCAAATTATAATTACATAGGTCCGAAAGGATGTGCACCTGGTGGTGGACTAGAGAGCTTTTCCTTTGGTTTCCGAGAAGTCTTCTTCTTTTCCGGCTTAGATGGAGTCTCTTTATCTTTCTCCTTCTCCTTTTCCTCTCCATTTTCGATCTTAGGCTTCTTTCTGTTGTACGCTCGCTTTACTCTAACCTTAGCGCCGGTGTCATCAAGCTTTCCAGACTTAGGATGGTAGGTGCCTCCATCATCGTCATCTCTCTTTCGTTTGCCTTTGTTGGCAGAGGCACCAGTAAGTGAACCGTCGTAGCCAATTCCATCCTCTTCGACGAACTCAAGAGCGTCAGGTCTGGAAGGTGCTGGTATGCTGGCACGTTTTCCAGCTCCTCGCAATGCTCCTGGCTTGCCCGAAGATTTTTCGGAACCTTCGTTATCTTGTAAAAATACTTTTGGTTCGTTTTTTCGAAGCCAATTGTAGACACTGTTTGGATTGCGGAGGGCTAGATCCCGGTTCTCCTGAGTAGGCTGAGATTGGGGAGTTGGGACCGGAGGGGCCGAGGCATTTCCAAGTGAAGCGTCCACATCGAAAAGATAGTCGTCCATCTGGTCGGGTGTTAAATACGTCAATGGGTGCGTACAACCTTCCGGAACCTTTATGGATTCAAAAGCTTCAGGCGTGAAGTTAGGATGTAACAATGACATATGAGGAACAGTCGCCAGAAGATGGCAGAGTGATTTGGGAGGCTTGGCACCATCAAGTGATGCGGCAGCTGCGGCTGCTTTTTCTTCCACCATAGCACGTATATCTTTGTACATGGCTTGACCAGCAGGCGTGTTGAGTTCTGCAGCTTCCCTAAGAGCTTCATCGCTCACAAGGGGAGGCAGCGCAGGGAGTAATGGTCCCGGTGAGAGGTCAAAACGTTTATCAGCAGGAATTTGAGCCGAGTTATTAATGTCCAAGAGAAGATCGAGTAGCTCACTGTAAGATGGATATGTCAGTCCGCTCTCTAATTAATCGTTTGATTGACCTTAACTTACTCGTTTTCCTGGGCAAGCCGTTTGATTTGCTCCTCACATTTCTGCTCACGTTTGTACCACTCATCGCTCTGGCGCATCTTTTCATCGAAAATGACTCTCAGCTTTCTGAATTTTTTCCTAGAGTCCCCTATTAGCTTGTCTACTTCACAGAATTGCTTCTTTAGCCGTTTATCTATAAGTGAGTGTCGAAGACGCGATGCCCAAAGAGGGGAGTCGGGATTTTCCAAAAGAGCAAGTTGCTGACTGTATATAACAAAGGCATTCGACGGTCTCAATTGCTGATTACTTGTCGCGCTCGACGGGGCGCTGGATCGCAACATGCCAGTATTTGGCACATTCATAGCTCGATTGTGCGGGACACCATAGGATCGGCTTGTGTTCCCACCACCAATCTCCACATTTTGCTTTTGGGCATTCGGTATCGTAGCATTGTTCAGCGAAGGCCATGTTGACAGCGTCGTGAAATGACTGGCGGAGCCAACACCACCACCATTCTTTTCGATGTGAGACACCAAGTTTGCAGAATTTGTGTGCTCGATACTGGTGTTAAAGTTTTGTGGCGCGCTGTCGCATAAGCGGCTGGCAGGTACGTTGGCAAGCTGCCTCGTCCCATCGTATAGCTCACAGGAATGTGCATTTGAGGTTTGGTGATAGCCATGCTGGGTACCCAGCGGGTTGGAGGTAGGCTGGTTGGCGTATGAGGAATTATTGGCAGATGTGGAACTTCGGTCATCAATCGCTGAGCCACGCCAGGGAAAATATGGATGATTGGCGTTGGTGTTTAAGCCATGAAGGGCAGGCGGCTGACTAGACATTGGATAACCGGCAGAATGTACGTTGGCATTTGGAGCAACAGCTAGGCAGAGGTCGGAAATCGGAAATGCTCGCGCAGCTTGATCATTTGTATAGTCTTGTTGCCGGAGAAGGTGCTGGACAGGGCGCCTCTCGCTATGTATGATGGATGATGGATTCCCAAGCTCTTTGTAGAATGGTTGCGGATCGATCAGATCCCCTGATATCCTCCGCTCTTTCCCCAATCCAAAAATTGAGAGATGCTCGTCTTCGGAGTGTATGTATGGCGTGTCTGAATTCGTAGATTGTCCGGAACCCATAATTGCAATTGTTGAAACTGACCCCACCACACCATAGAAATTGACATGAATCTGAAAGGGAACTTACTTGTAAGATCGATAAGTCAATTTGGAATCAACGATGGTTTTCCCCCCGAACGCGCCTGCCTCGTAGGTTTCTCCTTCGTCGCGAGGAGCAACATCTTCCGTGTTGGCGACCATCGATGGATGGTATATGGTCTTACCCCCCATCTTGGACAACTAGTAGAAGCGAATATATGGTCGCGCAGATTAAATGATTGAGTATCGGTGCAGAATATCGCGAAGTGTCAAAGAAACATGATTGTGGAAGAAGGGAATGACGAAGCAGACGTTTATGCGATTTCGCGATGGGGGAAGCTGTGACGCCAGAAGCCTTGGATTCTAGGCCTACCGAGTCAGATCTGCTGGTTCCGCGAAATCTTTAACCCGCACCCGTGCCCCACCTCCGTTGTGAAAATAAAATATATTTGAGCTCGACTTTTCTAAGCACGGGAACAAATACATTCGAGAAACTCAGATTCAGTCAAACGCAAATCTAAATCATTTCTAGTTTATATTCGAGCCATACATCATCCCCGTGTAAGCACGAGGTAGTTAAACCTTCCGGCAATTGGCATCTCTGGGGCACCAAATGGCTCCTCATGAAGATGTAACCATGGGGGACTCCGATGGATCAGAAATCGAGGTTGAGACAATTGCCAAGAAAACGAAGAAAGACAAGACCAAGGACAGATCCAAGCCAAGAACCAAGGAAAAATCTGGCAAAGAAAAATCTGGAAAAGAAAAGTCTGGAAAGAAGCGCAAAGTAGAAGAATTGTCAGAAGAGCCAATTCCTACCTCAATACCGTCTCCAGAAACTAGTAGCGCATTGTTGGAGCCCGATTCGGAAGTTCAGGACGAAGACGTTGCTAGCTCAGAAGAATCCAACAAACCATCGTCCAAGAAACGTAAACCAAACGTGGGAGAAGAGATCGAGGTCGACATCACGCTTCCAGAGCCACCGTCTAAAAAAGCTTTACGTGCTTTGAAGAAAGGGAAACCATTACCGCCCTCTAAAAGTGGCGCTGAGACCACCCCGGAGCCAGAAGCTAAGAAAGCGAAAGCAGAGGTAGAGAAACGTTCTGAACACGGAATTTGGATCGGTAATCTGGCATTCCATATCTCAAAGGAGGATCTCCGCAAGTTTTTCGTGGAAAAGTCAGATATCACCGATGACTTGATCACGAGGATTCATATGCCGGGCCCGAACGACAAGAAGTCAGCAAACAAGGTCGAGGAGAGAAGAAATGGCAAGACCGTGCACAACACAGGTTATGCTTACGTTGATTTCTCTACTGCCGAGGGAGCAACAGAGGCTGTTGAACTCTCGGAGCAGTTACTGGGAGGTCGTAGAGTTCTGATCAAAAATAACAAGTCGTTTGAGGGTAGACCGCAGAAGACGAAAGAGGAGAGCAGAAATGAGGGAAAGCCGCCCAGCAAGAGAGTGTTTGTCGGAAATTTACCTTTTGATGCTACGGAAGCAATAATTCAGTCGCACTATGAGAAATGTGGCGCTATTGGGACACTCAAGCTAGCGACTTTTGAGGACAGCGGAAAGTGTAAGGGCTACGGCTGGGTCACTTTCGACGAACTGGAAGGAGCCCAAAATTGTGTTCGTGGATATGTGCTTGTTGAAGAAGAGCTGTCAGATGATTCTGAATCCGAAGACAAAAGTGGTTCCGGAGACGAAGGAACAGACATCACCAAGGTGAAGTCAGAGAAGAAGCCTAAAAAGCGGAAAGTTTGGTGCAATCGACTAAATGGCCGTGCATTAAGGACCGAATTCGCAGAAGACGCCCAAGTACGGTACAAGAAGCGGTATGGAAAGGATGGCACTAAGCAGCAAGCAGCTGCAGGATCAGTTGAGAAGGCAACTGAGCCAGCCCAAGAATCTCATGTTATCATTCCAAAGGTTGTTGAGTATCGGAAGGAATATGCTCCTCGGCTTACTGGTGGTATTGTAGAGAGTAAGGGAAAGAAGGTCACATTTTAGGAAGCGTAATGACCGTTGTTCTTTGAGATTATCTATTAGTGTCAGAAATACACTAAAATATGGTGATAAAGCATACAACCATAAAAACGAATTTAAATCAGATTTGTTCAATGGCTGTAAAGTTCTTAATTCTGCAAATTATCGACAGTCGTACATAATTATTGGACAACATAAACAGTTCTTATTCAAAGGAGCGTTTAGACAACGTCATCAGTATGGGGTCTAAATCAGGCCCGCCAGTCTCCTTTATATTTTTCTCGGAAAGACTAAGAATTGGTACTTGAGTTCTGTATCTTCATGTCACCTAAGTCATCAGTCACCCGTCTGGATGATATTGCAAATACATTCACTATCAAACTGCAAGCGATAAGGAGCCTCGCCTATTCCAGACGTCGGAAACCAAAGCTGATGCGACCCTTTCGTCACAACTACGAACGGTAGTCAAATTTGTGCTTAACAAGATAGCCGAAGACCATTTCGTTACCAGCTACTAAGCTTTCTTCCTCCCTTCCACTCCCGACAGCATATGACATGCTTCAAAACTTACATATCTAGAATTATGAACACACGCGCGAATACCTACGAGACAAGGTCAGCATCGGAGAGGGATGACGAATTCTGTCCTGCATTGCGAGGCTACCCCAAATCATCTCTGATTCATCGAGCACAAGTTGATATCAAATGGCTTTATTGCAAGTACAACTTCAATAAAAGCACATGGGAGAGGGAGAACAAAGCGACAGGCACCGCCGATTTTGAGATTCCAAGTGGCATAAATGATAAAGCTATATATGTGCCGCCGGAGGTGAGTGGCTTAGATGTCACCATTCAGTGGCATGAACGAATTTAACACAGACCTTAGACATGGATAGCGAGCAATGCCGGCGTCGCTAACCTTTATTCGACGAGACATTCCAACGTGGAATACGTCACAAGTGAAGAGCTAGAACGAGTGATTAGTGGCAAGGTCAGCTTTTCTCCCCATCTTGAGACTCTACAGTGCACAAAGTCTTTCCTATATTCCAGATTGCAGCTTGTTAAAATCATTGTGACTAGGGCGCTCGATGTTTGCCAGAAATGGAACCTCCTAAAGAAACGATGGTCCATAAACCCAGACGCTGCCGGCGCGGATTGGAAGCACAAAAAGCGTCCAAAGCCCAACCTGCCACCACTGTGCCTACACTTGGTGTTTCGTGCAAGACCAATCGTCCAATTCTTTCAGCTCCATCGAATAACCAAAAAGGTTCAACAACAGAGAGTGGCTTGCAGCTGGGCACACGAGGTAACGACGGAAAGCTTGAAGTAAATTCAGACTCTATCACGTATATCAAAAAAGATAGCGAAGAACCTCCTCCAAAGAAACAATATAAAGAGTTTGTTTTTATTAATTTGGATTCAAGCTCCGATGAGGACAATATCTCAACATCACTTCAGGGTAGTAAGAACAAGAGTAGCCGAAAAAGAAAAGACAACACTATAATAGGGCCTAGATTATCCCGTCTTTTAAAAGACAATAGAACGGGAGTCGACAAAATCCTCCATCAGAATGCAGGCGAAAATTCCAATGATAGCAAAGCCTCGCTAAAACCCGACCATTCCAACGTCACCAGACACCAAGACCAAGTTCGCAGAGCGCCTAATGAATCACAGCCTCGTGTTAAGAGATCTCTGTCCATTAATGCTCCCTCGAATCACAAACACCCAGAGCTGTCGGATCGGGAACGTCCCAATACGGCAAGTCACTTGACCGCCATCATCGCGGATGTTTCTCGCGCTCAAGACAATCTTCTCAAATTTGCGAAGAGATTGAAGACGCTCAATGAGATACCAGGGCGCGAGATTGTGGGTGAGCTGGGTAGATTGGCGGAAACTCTGCCCCTAGGAAGTGAATCAGCTTCTTCGAAGAAAGAGCCCAACGAGGAGCCGATAGAGGTTGACATGTATGGGAGTCCTGTCTCATCTCACGTACCTAATTCACATGTAGAAGATTTAGAAAATGGAGGCCATCAACAATCTGTTGGAGAAGACGCATCAGCGCACATCTTGTCAAACACAGATGTACACCAGGAGGCCGACCAGAGAGCTTATGAAAATAGAAAAGCCCGCCACGAAGAACCTCATTACTGTCCAGCATTTCCAACATGGGGTATTCGCTTTGCAGACAGAGCAAAACCACAAACTGTAGTCGAGATGGTCAGAAATGCAACACACAGCCGACACATGTGGGAGCTTCGTCATGGTATACCTCAAAGTGCTTTACCTACACTTCCCTCGACGTTCGATAAGAATGCAATCTATGTCCCGCCTGACGACTGGATCAATGAGCCACATACGGGTAGACAGGCGTTTCGTGCGGAGAATTCTGAGGGAGAGATTGTCATGACTTGGGAGGAACTTAAGGCTGTTTTAGTTAAGGTAAACTTCAGCTGCCTTTGGTACTTGCAAAATTGTCCAAGCTAACCACTCACTGAATAGCCCTCAGCCCCTCGCACCATGCAACTCCCCCGCCTCGATGCAAACGGGCAAGTCGAAACCTGGGAAACCCGCCGCGACGCCCCGAAACCGCCCTACTTCTGCACCTTCCTCCCCGCCAGTCTCCCCGCCAAAGGCTACCAACACAAGAAAGAAATCGAACGCGTTTGCGATCTCTTCGACCGCTACAACACATGCAGAAAAGCATGGGAGAAGGTACGAGGTATTACGAATTATGTTGTGTATAAGCTTCCGAAGGGCGTTGATCCGGCGGCGAGATATGTGCCTAGTTTGGTAAGTGTCTTTTTTTTAATTGGTATGGGATGTCGGACTGAATTTGGTGTAGGAATGGATTCATGCTGGTGGTACGAAAGATCGGGCGAGGGAGAAGTTTCTGACGGCGAAGGAGTATTCGAAGCTGGTTACTAATGAGGAGCTTGTGCGGGCTAGGGAGGAAGAGGAGAGTTCTAGATTGTCGGGTTCGAGGAAACGTAAGGCCGAGTGATTAGGTTGCTCGTTATATGATTTGTCGGATGAAGAGATCATGGTTGGTTATTTTCAAGATTACATCAAGGAACGTGGGTGATAGACGAAGATTTACTGTTGTTGCTTTTATGGCCGATTTGATCGCATTTGAAGGACGATTCAACTATAGACATATTAGATAACGCGATTGACGCAGTTGGATTTCGTTCATTTAGATAGACAAATGTACGCTTGCCATATTCCAATATCCTTACCGCAAAGTTTGATATCACATAACTTAGATAAAAACACCGGACATGCTTCAAGCACCAGCTTCTCCACGCTTGCACAAAACTACATCGACTACTTTTCCTCACCAGCCCTTTCCATCTTCTTCTGCTCCCTCCAAATCCTACGAAGTATCCTAGCCCTCACTCTTCGTCGCTCTTCTTCACTCATCTCAGACATTTTCATCTCAGACATTTTCATCTTAGACATTTTCATCTCTTCGGGTTGGTGTGCATCGTCAAACGCATCAATGATACGATTATAATTTTCCACGTCTCCATTGAGCAATGCAGCTAGTGCATACATGCGACGGTATCTTTTTCGATCCGAAATATAGCGTGACGTCCCGACGAAACTCCCCTCTTCGTCAAGCTGAGCTACTGTGTGTTCCTCATCCTCTGAATCCATTATACTGTTATCATGTTCCACGTCCCCATTGAGTTGTGCATCTAGAGCATAAATGCGCTGTCTTTTCCGTTCAGAAATATACCGTGACGTCCCAACGGACCTTCCGTCTCCATAGCCTTAGCAAGACTGATCAGCTTTGCGTTGGTTGCTCTCTCGGCGTTCGCATCCGTTATTCAGTTATACGTACCTTGGTTTTGATATAGTGTAGAAGCATTTCCTGCTTTAGCGCCATCCTTTACTAGACGTAGGAGGTTTTGCGCCGTAATGGCTGATGCCATCGCACGGTTGCGGTCTTGTTCTATCTTCTCGCGTTCAGCCTCACCAACCAGCTTCGTCGTGATCACGGAGATATTGGCTTCATCATTCATTTTCCCTTATGGCGTTTGTGTTAAAAAATGTATTGAAAATTTATGGTCTGCCGAATAGTGTTTTAGGCTATGCTCAAGCATGCAGCTACTGGGAAAAACAACGTAGTTGCTTGTAGAAAGAGAAAGCTAGAGCTTATTAGAGGTTAAAATGATGACTGAGGCCCCATGTAAGTGAGGCTGCCACTGTTACACAGAGGCTTGGAAGACGGAGCCGTGCCACAGCCACCATTTATTCTTGTTAGTTTGGTGTTTAGAATAAGATAGTATAATTACACAGGAAATTGAATATACAAATCTCTTACCATTACACCAACATATGAACTCATCACAGAACTACGATCTAACATACCCAACCCTAAACGCCGATCCCGGCATCATCTGCATCATCACCTCCCCATCCTCCTCCTTCACCCTCTTCAACCTCTCCACACTCGCCTTGAACCCCCTTCTCTTCCACTCCTTATAGTCACTCATCTCCACCGTATGCCATGGAATCTCCAAGTCCTTCGCAACAATCCAATCAATATTGCTGCTCGTGTCTCCACGCTCATACGGAACACCCATGATCGCAGCTTTCTCCTTAGTTTCTTGGGCTTTTCGTTCATAGTGGTCCATCCTTCTCTCAGATGCAGCGAGGGAGCGGTTGTAACGAGTAGGTTGGTTTGAGAGTTTCTCGTAGCTGAGAGGGTAGCCGCTATCGTCGTAGAGAGGTTTGGCTTTGGGTCCTCGTTTGGTGACTTCTTCGTACTTCTTCCAGTGACGCCTGAATTCATCATCGTGGGATTCATTAATACCCGCCTTCTTTTTGAGTTCAGCAAATCTTTCCCGTCGCTCCTTGGCGTCCTTTTCCATAATCTGTTTGTACTCAACGGTGATTTCAATATCTGCCTGCCTCAACCGTTGTCTCATCTCAGAGACATCGCCTTTCTGCTTGAGCTTCTTATCCATGAGCCCCTTCTCGCTGAGCCTTTGAGAGATCTCTGGCATCGACATCTTCTCATAATCAGGAAGCGAGCCTTTCAAAACAGCCGCAGCTTCTTTCGCGTAATCCACCACCTTCTCACTTTCATCACGCTTAATCTCTTCCTTAAACAACCTCTCTTGTTCTTTCTTATGTACTTGATCCCGATCATTTTGATGAAGACGTTCCACCAACTCAGCCTTGGAACCACCAACTTTAAGCTCACGTGCCTCTAGCTCAGCTTTTAGACCAGGCACTTTGAGCTCCTCATAATTGGCTTCAGCAACCACAGATTTGTTCTTCTCTTGAAGCTCCTCTCTCTGGTCGGCTAAATCATCTTGCTGGAGATTCATGACTAACTGGGACTTGGTGCCTGTCTTGTAGATGGACCGACGTCTCAGTTCCTGTTGAAGCTCTTTGACGGTGAGCTTATTGTAGTCGGAAGGTCTAGAAACAGTCTTCGTCTGCGAAGACTTGCTGTTAGGTTTTGTTTTCTTGGAGGGAGAAGAGACATTGACGTCTATCTCGCTAAGGGCACGCTTCGCGGATCTGGAGGCCATGATTTCGAATTGTGTTCTGGTTATATTGATGTCTTCTCTCTGGAGAAAAAGAGGCGACGTTCAGAACTGTTTGATAACAGATTGAAATTATTTACCTCGAAGTAATGGATTGACGCGACTTGGGACGCGATGGCTGACGTCACACAGACCAATATAGAATGGCCAATGAGAGCGGTCCCATGGCTTATATGCCCCACTTATCGACTCCCCCTATTTTGTTCACACATCTCGGCTGTAAACGACTAGATCAAGTCCTTTATAGAATTTCATCAAACTTCCATCTCGTCGCCATTAACATAGGGCAGTAACTCGCACAAAAAGGGCAAGTATATAGATCTAAGCTTTATGATAGTTAAAAGCGTGCTATAAATAGCGGATTTCAAAGAGCTTTGAAAAAAGCTGTAAAGTATCTGACAGCGGTGAAGGCGCTATACGGGGTGGAAATCAACTTGTTGACTTAACACTTTGAAGATCAATTGGCATGACTGACGGCATCAACTTACAGCTCAAGGGGGAATTGATAGGAGACGAAGACTGGAATTGTATCATTCGGAACGGATGAGAAAGAAGACGTAAAGAGAATCTCTGTGGGCAAACTTCCATACTTTTTCTAAGTCCACCCACCATCTCCTCAATCTATCATCATATTGTTGCTGTGTGCGTGTTCCGAGGTGTGTTGCGAGTATTAAAACGAAAGTTTCGTGAACACTCTTTGCTGATTGGTGAAATACAATTGAACAGTTCAATAACCAAGACATATCTGGTGTCGTACGAACAGTATTTGAGTGTGGGGGTACAGGTTAGCATTAAAGACTAAAGCGCTTTAGTGGACATAATGCCTGGGAGTGGAGTAGAATATTGCAGGGACTCACGTAACAGTTAATCTGAACTCCAGCTGCAAAAGCCAGGCAGGCTTTTGAGTTCTATACCCAACCGCGCCCCAGGGAGTCTCTGAAACTATACGACATGTTGGGATAGCTTTGCCGTGTCATGCTCTCATACAAAGAAGGCTTACTCCGACGATGGAAAGGAGAGAAGCGAAGGCCCAAGATTGCCTGGTATCAAAGCACCGATCGTTGAGCAGAGTATGGGAATAGGGTCCACTCCAACGTTGGTGTTGGCCATCGAGTCCACGGCCTCGCACTCGGAAGTCGTTGCCGTGCCTTGAAATCGCTGGCTAATCACTATCCGATGACATGAAAAAACTTGATCTTGATCTTGGTCTAGCAGAAGTCGATGGTATCAATATAATTACTTTTTGCTCTCGTATGCAAGCTCCTGTGCTTTGAGCAATCGGCATACGTTGACTGAATTTGCCGCAGAAGCAAAACGTCAACGAATACACCCTCCTTTCCTACGGGTCCACTTTCCCGCACGAAACAAGGTGAGAGATAAATGAGTTACCAGAGACGGGATACGGATCTCGATTCTCCCATTATGCCAAATGGCCAGGCTGTTGGTGATGGTAAAATCGGTTGAGTGTCAGCCGTTGGTGCCCGATCCGCAGGCTCGGGACGTGAGATCGGCTCAAGAATGAACGGCCATGTAAGCCGTCGCAACTGGGATTCTTCGCAGACTGCCCAGGTGGTGATGGATCATGGCAAGTCTCCTGAGCGGGGTTGGTTGGATACTGTGCAGGAATAATCGCGTGGAACTACGTATGATCTTTACTTCTTTGAGTCTCTGGATGTAGTATTCCGCAATGATTCTACTGTCCGTCCGCGGTGGTAGTCGGAGATGATTGAATGTTGCAGCGATAAGGAATATTCTTTGAGGAGGTTGACCATTGAGACATCAGTTCGAACGATTCCAATCAAAACACTCTAAGCAACCAGCATGCTGTTCCATTACCGATCCTAGACAAAGTAACTCCGTCACACGCTCATCTTACAGGCCATGGCGGCATCTTTCAGACTATACCTTAAAGTGTTTACGGCCGCAGTGCTTCTACATGCATCAAACTCCGTTTCGCAATCTGCCACCTTGCCATGGTTTCTCTTGCCTCCCCACGGAGATCGAGAATGGTCGAAAGAGAGTACTGAAATGGTAAGCTGCTGGAGAGTTTCTTGAAATACTGGTAGTCAATCCGGCAGCCGGCAGTTGTCCAGATGATCCTGGCTTTTCGAGCAGCGCTCCGAGCGCTTGAAGGGACTGTGTAAATGAATAATGCCAAAAGTGAAGGCAGCGCCAACCTCGGCATTGCGTAAGACGTCAGTGATGGCGAATCGGGAAAGCAGATTCGATGCTTCACGAACCTACAGCTAAAGGACATGCAGCCATGTTAACAAATATCAATAAACAGCGCTCCGCAGGCCGTTGAAATACCAAAGACTTCTCAGTAGAAAAAAAGGAAAAGGCCTGCTGCTCGGTAAGGTTTAAGTAAGTATGAAAGGTTCATTGACTTTCTTTAAATCTCGGAACGGGACTTCTGGGAAATGGCTTACAATTGATGAATGATGAAGAACAATAGGTGTTTCGTCATCAGCTAATCAACATGAAAAGTTATGGTATGGTGTTAAAGTGCCACTATCCACAATATTTGCTGTTGACGAAGCATTTGGTCATGTTTGGGCTGCGTCTCACAACTGCTACTTTGCTATCCGCCTTCTTCGAAAGGCCTGGGAACGAGTCAGCCTCAACCAGGGTGAAAGCCATTCAAAGTTACGCCGCAGAGTAAGTACCATCGGCTCGTGATGGAAGTTATTTATACTATACCAGGGCTCGCATTGGAAGAGCCCTGAAATAATTTTTTTTATGAGCCAATCAATATCCCCAGTGTCGATTTAACGGATTAGCCAACCAATAGAAGGAGAGCACAGTTTCCTAAGGGCCATAGCATCGATTGGATGGGACGTTGGGTCGGTGATTTCAAGACAATGATAGCTGTTGTAGCGGAACCAAGACCTGCCGGCTGCCGTTTTCACGATACCTCGTGTTTAGTTAGTCAAAAAAAAAGTGATTTCGTAACAGACGGACTTGACGAATAGAGACCAAGACCTAGGAACAGCAACAGCCATGAGAAACACGAGCCCCAATTAGTCAGCCTTAGTCAATCTGTACCTAGGTACCTAATATCTGGCGCTGATTGCGGTAGATTTTTCATTGGTCTTAAGCGTTGAAAACCTCGTGCGTCGCGATAATGATTTCTTGCAGATTGGTGATGAGACACCGACAGACAAAAGCCGTTTTTCCGATCGTCGCCCTGGAGGATTGAAAATAGAGGGGTCCCCAATCAGACATGGGCAGCACCAAGGGACGTCCAGCAAGGTTATAGCTCACCTGCTCGCACCCTCGGCTGGCTGACTCGTGTAATTTTCCAGCGATGATCGTAGCAGAGATGATAAAAGAGCTACTAGTGCTGGCAACGAGTTTAGTTTGTCAATCTGTTGAGGCGGGGATGGAAAGTGTGAAGCAGCGCTGCGAGGCTGATGGACGGGATCCGACTAGGCGAAACCAGGGTCTCAAAGAGGCGTATACGAAGGCTGGTGATGCCGGGATGTTAATGGTCGGTAGCTGGCCCAGGTCTACGACCCCACCGCTACAACGCAACCCTCCCTCAAATTCTATCACATTCGACACCCACATCTCGATTGAGTTCCATACAAGGGGGCTGTTGTTTTTTGTGTTGGTGTGATGAGGATGCGGATGCGGATGCGGATGGAAACAGGAAAGGGAAACATATTTTGGTAGGGGACGGCGCTTAAATCGCGTGGGGTACAAAGGAAAGGCTATTGACGCGCTTGGATCCTCGGCTCGAAGGACGATCCAAGCTCTGGCCGTGTAACGCGATGTTTCGTCGTCGCTGTGCTGCTTCTCTGCTCTCTGCGTCTTCTCTTCTCCAGAGTTCCACATCTCGCACGCACACATGGAATAATGCCACCAACGTTCTCCCCTCCAGTTCTCCGCAAGCAATGCGCCCATGATTGGATGCTGGGCCGGGAAGTTTGACCCAATAATATTGCTTTTGCTGCAAGCTTGCTTTTCCTCGAATCTGCTTCTGCTTCTGCTTCTGCTTCTGCTTTTCTTTACTACAACTACCTACCTACTGGAGTACTCTCTGTCGTCACACTTCTTCACTTGCGCCGCTGCTCACCGACTCTTCCTCACCCGGCGAGCATTAGCTTGCGCGTTGTAGAAATATGCACTTTCGGGAGCTTCGTCTTTTGACTCTATCTTTATCTCCCTTCAAACATGGTCGAGTACGGCCACCAACACCCTACGCGGTCATTTGATACCACAACACAATCATTAGAGAGGCCAATCCAGGCCTAGACGTTTGCCTGTAGTCAGCATTTGCACACGCTCCAAGATGCTTGTCTCTCCTGCGACTTCTCGCGACCTCCAGCCCTGCACTCCAAGATCACCAAAATTCGACTTCCAATATCCACCCTGTAAAGCACCGAATCCGGTTGCAGGAGGACGAGGACGAGGCAAATCTGGGGCTGGAGCAATGCCATATCTCCGCTACCTCATTTCCTCACATCACCTCCAAACTCTATCACTTTTCGTCATCCTCTTGGTCTCATGTCCGCCCTCTCCCACAAACCCATTCATTTCTATCATTGATCTTGTTCCAAAAGCTAAGCTTATTTTAATCTTCGTTTTTGACTTCGTTTGGCTGCTATGACATCCTCTTCTCGTTCAACAAGTCGACCGAAGGGTCGCAACCCTCAATCCGCCGTTCGAAGGTCCGGCATAACCCGCGTTCGAACTGGCTGCCAGGTATGTCTTCATCTCTGAGTAAATTACGCTCTCAAGGTACTAATGATGTACTCTTAGACGTGTCGGGGGCGGAAAAAGAAGTGCGATGAGTCTAAACCACATTGCCTGAATTGCACCAAGGCAAATCTCGAATGCTCGGGTCTACCAGAGGTCAGAAGATGGGAGAACACGGCGGCCGGACAGCGAGCTCTGCGTCGAAAAGCTAACACTCAATCGCATCGTACCACTCGTAGATCTGAGACGCTGGTCGAATTCCCAGTAAACCTTCCCTGGAGTAACCAACCTTCGCCACTTATACAACAGCAGCATGATGGCCATATCAATGAGGGCCTCCCGGGGGATCTGACTTTCAACATGTTTCCGACCGTGAATGATTGGGATGTGTGGCAAAACACTGGGCTTCCGAATTATCAGAGCACTACCTTTCGTACAGGCGCTAGCCTGGTGCCATCTCAACCCTTTGAGGCTGATTCATCTACACAATTATTCCTCGCATACGAGCTTCCGAGTCTGATTCCTGGCATAGAAACCGAACTCCACCGGAGGTTGTTCCATCATTTCACCAAGAACATGACACCGGTGCTGACGTCGTCAAGTGAATGGTTGAAAAGTGTTGTTCCCTTGGCCCAGGTGGACCGGACTGTCATGTCCGCACTGCTGAGTCTAGCTGCTTCTCATCTATCTAACTTCTTCCGAACAGAAGATGACAGTCAGATTAAGATCGAGAAGGACGCATTGCATCTAGAGTCCATCCAAATTCAAGAAGATCGTCTCAAAAAATTACGATCAGATGCCCTAGCCCTTACGTCGCCTTTGCCGGTACAAATCACCGAGATCAACTTTCTCACGTGTCTGTTACTCGTTTTGTACGAGTTATGCGAAGGCAGTAACTCATCCTTGATACCGCTGGCTAGAGCTCGAGAGGTCCTTTTACTGTCTGGTACTCCAACGATTCCCAGTGATCTGGGTTCTCGTCAAGATGTTATCGTGGCTGTGAATCCTTTCCTTCTTGAATTTTTCGATTACCACGAGTCGCTTGCAACTGTCACGTTGCCTTATTCTCATATTTCGAAATTTCGATTTCAAAACACATTCTATGATTCTGAACAGACTCCTTTTATGATGGATTTTAGTGACGGTTTTAACGATTTTGCATGTCGAATTTCCTCATTACGCGAGCAAGTGATTTTAGACACTCCAGTGCCTCATGTCATCTGCGCGGTGGAACTTGCTGCAGACATTCGTAAATGGATGCCCAAAAGAGCTACCTCGAGAGAGGCTGAAGTGCTCGATATGTACAAGAGAGCTTTATTCATTTGGCTTTTTTCAATCATATACACCTCACCGTCAAACGACATCGAGATTCAAAAACTTGTTGCAACAACGGTCGCTGACATGGCAAAGATCGAGGAGAATGACCCGGCATTAAATTGCATTTTATTTCCCCTATTCATCATAGGGGGTGCGGCAACGACACCGAACGATAGGGCATCAATCTTGCGCGAGTTTCAAAGATTGAAAGATTGGAGCCGATTTGGCAATATTGACCAAAGCCTCCAAGTGGTACAAAAGATCTGGTCAGATCGCGATCTTGGCCTCCCAGATGCTTGGTAAGTGTGCCTCTAGGATTGTCGTCCTTAGTGCGACCTACTAACACTTACATCAGGGATTGGGTCAGGCAGCTCGAGGCTCATAACAAGAGCCTCCTCGTCACGTAGCACATTCGTTACACCGACGCCCTGCTTAGCTATGCGGCGATAAAAGTTGAATATCTTATCCAATTTGTACACAATACAGAGCCTGGCACGATCTTGTAGGCTGAAGAGACGCGACCCTTCTGACTGCACTATAGCTGACCCTAAAAAGATATATACGATGGAGATTGTGCCGTTAGGCATCGAACTCATTTTTCTTGTGTCATGGAGTTTTCTGTTGACGACTCTTGTTTGAGAGTTCGTATGGTTGGGGGAGGATTTTTCGTTTAAATACACAACACACTCGTTTACAATCTAGAAGGGTACCTTCAGAGGTTACTGGCGGTTAATGTCTCTTCGTTTGATCCTTGGGGTGTATTTTGGGTTCAAACTTTTGACATTTATCTTTCTTGGGAGTTTGCGCAAAAGATTGGCAGATGAAAAGCGTTTAAATTCGAGCGATACAGGATCCACTCGTTTATCCTATTTACATACAACAAATAAAAGTTTTATACACAGCACGCACAACGCATAAAACTATTAATACTGTCCTAGCCACGATGTACCGATATAAATATAACATACAACGCGCAGATTTCAACCACCCTATGAGTTATTTTTCTAACCATAGTTCTTCACACCCCTTGCGGAGCCCTCCTCATAACACCATGCCTCGTCTCCCCCAACCCCTCCCCCCCTTCATACTCCCACAACTTCAACTCCATCATCCCCACCTCCTTAAACCCATACCGCTCATACAATCCATACCCTTCGGGGCTAGCACCGAGCACACATTGCAATCCGAGCGCATCTACCTCTTTGAGTCCTTCCGAAAGCAAGAGAGTGCCGATCCCGCGACGTTGGTAAGGGGGGAGGATTACAAGGGCGTTGAGTTCTGGGGGGTGTAAGTCAGGTGAGGGAGGAGGGAAAGAGGGAGGAAGGGAAGGGAGGACGTACTAGCGTAGGGTTTGGAGTCAGTGGATTTCATCATCATTTCATCGCCTTTTATAAAGACATCTTGGAGGAATTCAATGTTGGCTGAGATGCCCCAACCTACATCTTCTTCTTTCTCTTCCCCTTTTCCTTCTCCCTCCCCATCCCCCTCCCCTTCCGCACCCCCCTTGACCACCCCCTCCCCCACATCAACAAAACTCCAACTACTCCACCCCACAACCACGCCCCCCAGTACCGCTTTTACATATTTGGTCCTTTTACCCTGCTGTGGTTTCAACGTTTTCAACAGTCCCTTAGTCCTCAACGCCAAGTTCTCCGCCGTGTCTTTTTTCGGGCCGAAGGCTACGATGGCGAAGGGGTCGTGGAGGAAGACTGTGGATTCGATTTTTGCGAGGAGGGGGAGGTCGTGGGGGGTGCATGGGATGAGTGTTGCGGGAGGTGACATTTTGTGTTGGGTTGAGGGAAGTGGGTAGATGAGTTGTGGATGTATTTGATATCTTTATTTTACCTCGCTCGACGAGTTATATATATATATTTGTACAGCTCAGTTATGAATTTATTATTAAGTTCACTTGTTTACATACCTAGATAGTTGAGTGAGTATGTTGGTAAGGTATTACCTGAAAGTCTTGGCGTGCTTCCGTTGTGAGTCACGACCGAACGACATAGCCTAATGAGGAAGTTATGTAGCCATTCGCACTTTTCGGGTCCGGCGAGAAAGGAAAATATGAGAGGTGGTAAGAGAATGGCTTGCATGATGTTTGTATTGCTTATTGACGTGTCGCATATTGAAGTAGATTTTTGGTGGTGGGGTAGGAAGCGGTCAACTTTTGGGAACGAGACAGCTTACTTGGTGTAAAGCTGGTATAAATAGACATGTATCTCAAGCAGCGCACACCTTAGCTCGAAGCAATTTTGGTGTGATGAGCTGTTCGTGCCTAATGTTTGACGACGTAAAAGCTTTATAGCTGTTTCCATCCAGCTCCAAAAGCCAGAAAATTAATTTGCTTCGATCGTTTATATGAGCAGTTCTGAGTTCGTGAATGATCTCAGCCATACTCTTTATCATCCAAGACTTTCCAATCACATCCTACACTCCATTTACCATCCTCTAGAACGACTTCCCACACAGGTCCTTTAATCCCAATAACTCTTCCTTTTTCCACTTTACTGCCTCTCTGCAAACCGCTAAGCTGGCCCTCTCCAGCCAGTATCACTCGAACTTCACCTAGCGTATCAATTATGCCGGACGGGCCATCATCATTACTCTCCATATCATGTATCCGACGTCCGCTTATCATGGTCATGCCACTTCTGGGATGACCACTAATTTCATCAACGATAATCCGAATAGGCCATTCTTCATTCTTAGAACGAGACACCGTATGCGACGTGCTCTCGATATTGAACAACCAACTCTGAAGTTCCGCTGCTAACCCGCCTGGTATGTATTTCCTTCCTTTTCCGTGTGGGGAAAATTGCTCTGGTAGAGGATCGAGTTGATTTTGTGGAGCCGAAGGAGAGGGAGGACGGAAGGTAGGTGGTTTTCTGAATGCTTGTTGGCCTTGCGTAAGATATGTACTCTGCTGGGAAGCACCAAGAACGGTTGTCATAAATCTCGAGGCCGCTACTGGTAATGCTCGTTTTATCGGTGCTTGTGGGGGTGAAGATAGTATAGGAAGTGAAGCGGACGAGCTCGGTTCGAACAACGGTTCAAAGGGACTTGGGGTAGGTGACGGGGACACCCGCTGTCGTTTCGGAGATCGGGGGTCAATGTTGTAGTCATCTTCTGGATTCTCATCTACCCAGTTCTCCTGGCCCTCCTCCTCTGATTCAATCGAGTTTTGGATGTCCTCATCGAAGCTTGAATTTATTGCATCTTCTGCTTTCACTTCCTTCCTCGCCGATGTACGATAACGGGATGCAGATGGCGTTGGTCCTCCATAGCTTCCTTGCGGGTTGGGTGTGCTCACACGAGGCCCTGGTGTTGCCGATGGTCGAGGCGTGGATGGTAGATGGAATCTTGGAGTTGAGTTAAATTGAGGTGTGCTTGATGGAGGGGCATGTCGTGGGGTACTGCTTGGAGGTGGCGGAGGAGGAGGTCTAGGCCTGTATTCCTGGTTCAAAGTGGTTTTCTTGTGAGACAGAGGTTGCTGCTTCTTGACGACGAACCGATGAGGAGATGGAGTCTGGATTATCAATTGTCAATATAACAAAATATTCGAACGAGATGACGTGTTATTCTTACAACTGGAGGTGGCATTGTGAAGCTTTCGTCTCGTACGCTTGGGTGTGGAATATGACCAGGATGGTGGCGATCGTCACGGGGAAACGCGACGGTGACACGAAACCATTTTTCCAGATCTCGGACCCTGCATCTCACCGTCCCCAGATCCAAATCACGATCGCATCGGCAAGCATGCGAATGGAAGCATCGCCAGCATGAAATGTTTCTGCATCGCGGTCCCGCTAGCGAACCTTTGTTTGGTGGTCAAGTGTCCGCTCCCGTTCCTCAGCAGGGACACACGGTGCAAATGACGTCTGCTGCAGCTAAGAAAAGACCCTCAACAAGGCTTGAACTTTTCATGACGATCGCTCGAGACTCAAAGAGACCCTTGTGGGGTAGAATCGTTAGATTTACGTTAGTGGGGGGATGGAGTGTAGGACAATATCTCTTTATTTTTTTCTCTTCCTCTTTCTCTTCTCTACCTTCTCGTTTTGAAAACAGAAGAGGTTGAAGTCTCGTCGTCTGTTGAGATATACAGAAGCAAGATGTCTAACCCTTCATCTACCCTCAGTGGTATATCATCCATCATGTCGAAAAAGAACGAAATTGTTCTATTTTCGTCTACGGCTATTGCCCTCTATGGCTACGATCAGGGTATGAAGTCTGCAATCATAAGCAACTGAAATCTGAATGGCCTAACGTTTTCCTAGGAATGATGTCCCTGGTCAATACCAACAAATCATACCTGCACACCATGGGGATATCAGAAGAATCGCCTATTGTGGGAATAATTGTGTCGATATACTACCTCGGCTGCGCTGTAGGAGCGGTAATAGCTTCTCGACTCGCGGACAAGAATGGCCGGAAGCCATCTATATTCATTTGCCTGGCGACAACCGCCCTCGGAAACATCTTGATGTTCATCTCGGGCTTGTCGTCAATCCACCCACTCGAATCTTCCAACTGGAATGGGCATGCCATCATATGTATGTGCTTTGGGCGTGTGATAATGGGCTTGGGAGTAGGCGGCATCGATGCAGTGATACCTGTCTATTCCAGCGAGTTGTCCTCCGATGGCGGCAGAGGGAAAGCTCTGGCACAGGAGTTTCAAATGAATATCTTCGGGCTTCTTATGGCTTATTCGATCAACCTCGGTATCACAGCTGCTCTCGGGAAGGAAAACCAATGGGCGTGGCGGGTTCCAATCATCGCTATGCAGATATTCCCTGTGCTTCTTATTGCAGTCATAAGTAGACTTCCCGAAACACCAAGATGGTTCATGAGCATGGAAAGAGAGAAAGATGCAAAATCAGCTCTCAAAGACATTCACGGCGATGAGGATGGCAAGAGTAAGTTTGACGAACTACAAAAGGCGCAAGAAGAGGAGAGTGATGCGAAAGTGGAGTACAAGGACATGCTTCTTCCAGGCGGATCACAATTTCACCCTTCGATGGTGACTGTAATGGGTCAAGTTAATCAAGCACTTACTGGTATTATCCCCGTTCCATAACACTCAAAGTGCGGTTCTAATATGCAAGCCTAGGTTATGGCGCTGTATCGGTTTACGGGCCTCAGATCTTCGAGCTTCTAAGCTTCGAGACCCGAAAGGCAGAGTACCTGACTCTGGGAAACTACATTTCGTACTTTTGCTTCATGACCTTTGCTTGGCTCCTCATCGACGTTGTTGGTCGTCGAAAGTTGATGGTCTGGGGCTCTATTGGTCTATCCGTCTCTTTTCTGCTTCTCACGCTTTTCGGTGGACTTAACGAAGTCTCAGGCGTACCAGATCTTGCGATAGAAATCCCTGGAAGTATTATACTCTTCGCTGCGACGGCAATATTTGGAATCGGATGGTTAGCTACCGTTTGGCTCATTCCTACCGAAATATATCCATCTGCAGCGAGAGCACAAGGGTCTGCTATCTCTGTGATAGTTTGGGGGTTGGCTAATTTCGCCGTTACCCTTTTGACCCCAATCGGATTCAACAACTTGAAGTATTGGCTATTCCTCGTTTTCGCTGCGACAAACACTTTCGCTGGCTGGTGGACATGGAAATATTGTCCTGAGAGTGGCGGAAGGAGTTTTGAGGAGAACCAGGAATTTTTTGAGAGTGCGGCAAAGGAAGGAAGCTGGGCTGTTCAAAAGGTTGATGATGGAAAGTTCAAATCCATGCCGAAAGGCGATGATGAAGAGGGCAATGGCGAGAGAGCGCCTTTGTTGGGAAGGTGATGATGGGAATGATGAAGGATGTTTGAATTGGCATATATTCTGGGTTATGAGATCCAGATCCGTAATCGTCAGGTTCAAGTCGTCCTTCCTCGTTGCGGGAAATAATTTGTTTTTCACAAAGCTTAGTTGTGGCTTTAGAAGGTGGAGGGCGAGCTTGCGAATTGTTACGCCGATGCACCATAAGCTGGCGTAGATTGGGCTGTCGCTTGCATTTGCCATGTCGAATCACAACTGCAGAATTGACCATCCATCTCAAGTCCAAGGGAGCAAAGGGACTTCTTTCGAGGAGGCGGCCAATGACAATATAAACCTACTTCCACTGCCTTCTGCTGCACATGAAGAAATGCGCATCCAACCGTGAATCAGCCAGCGATAAAGCCTTGCCAATGAAAGATCATCATGAGAAAGGGTTGCCGTTAAGCAAGGTTTTACCAGCCCTGCCACGTCTGAATCCTTAGCTGAGCAAACTCCCATTGAAATTGGTACCCCGCTCACATGGCTGCATAGGAGGGATTTCATGTTCGGAATGTTGTTGTTGTGCTGGACGCACAAATCGAACATACTCAACCACGAAGGCCGGAATCTAACGGTCGAGTGTAGCACAACGATGAATGCTATCGTTTCAAATGATCAATAAGCAGGCGATGTTCTCCTCTACCAAATATGGAGGCTATCAGACGACTCTTGCACCGTTCTGAATCGAAAAGAACCAATGTCAAGAGCGCCAGAGCCAACAACACTCTCAGCCTCCCACACAATTTTATCGCAGTTCCTCGACAGAAGTTGGAAACAAATCCAACATCAGGGATCTTCGAACTCCCAGGCGATTTCGGCGTCCTCGAACAAGATTCCAAGAATGTACACGAGGTCGCTGGATCTCCGACGGACAACCACACGTACTACATCCCTCCGACAATCGAAACCATCGCACCAGCACCAACAGATATCGTAATCGCGAACGCAAAAGCGACCGTAACATTACCTCGCGGAAGGTTTAAAAACGTCACGCTCTCGTACGATAGCACATACACCGAAAACTGCGTCTCCGAGAACTTCGTCATTGAGAATGAGTTTCCGCTACACCATGTGCTCCCATACCAGTCTAGGAGCGGTGCGGAATACGTGCCCGCAGACTCGTATGTTGAGCTGGTGTTGTCGCTTCATCCCTATAATGTGAAGACGAGCAAAGTTGGGTTTCGTGTTGTTCCTGGGGTCGAAAATGCGGTGTTATTGGTTACAGAACAGGTTTTTGGGAATCAGAGGTTGGGTTTGCAGTGGAAGTATGAGAGTGAGGCGATGTCGAGTAATGATCGTATGAGAGCTCAGGTGTATACTGCGGGTCGTATGGGGAGTGTTCGTGTTCCTGATGGTAAATGATTCGTACTCTTCCATCCCAGGTCATTGTAGCTGATTGTATACTCAAGATGATAAGATGCCTTCGAGAAACCAAACCGTACGCAGCGAGAGTAGTAATGGAAGTTCTTCCACCGCACCTGAAGAATCGTTCTGTGGAACTTCGGAGTATGTGAGGAGACGACGACGGCTCAATTATGGTATTAGTTATGACGGGAATTATGATCACAACGACGACTCGAAGAGTGCGGCAAATAGAGCAAAGCCGGACGTGATTCATGGAGTTTATGATATCCAGTCTAGATCGGGCCAGTACTTTGTTGCTCCACGGAACAGAGCAATAGGTTGAGCGCCGTATTTCCTCTTAGTTGATATGCAATTTTACCAATCGGGACGTTGACGCGGGTAGCTACTGAAGCGAAGACATATTCGTTTGAACGGCGTTGGATCGGGTCTTGATACCGACAGATTCTGGCGGTTATACCAGCAATCAAAGACCGGGTACAGCGCACCGGGGTCAACTTGTACATAGTCCGAAGTCTAAGGATCTTCTTTTCTGCATGCAGCGGTGGTGCATTAATGTTAAAATGTGTATATGCTGACTCATTATTTTCATCCCTCTGTTGAAGCTATGGGTTGGATTGCTCAGATGACGGAGACTTGCAGGGGCTCAATAGAGTTACTTTACAGGCCGAACTCCCAGATTCTACGACCTGGGCCTCATAATACTTATCTTAAGAATGGTTCGCGCCAGTTTAAGCCCTGGAACCCTACAAAATCATGTTGTGCTATTCGCCAGACTTGGCTGGAGCGAACAGAGGCAGCTAGAAATTGAGTACATCTAGTTGATCTCTGGAGGATGTGGTTGAGATGTGTCCATCATCTTTCCTTTCCACCGAGGTGTGTTGCAAAACTAGGGACGTGGTGGTTGTTCATTTGCTAGAATGCTTTTCTAGCTTTAAACTCGAAGAGTTGATTTGTTTGCTGCAAGAACCAGGGAGTCTCAATTAGCAACAACCTGCGAGGGACGAGTCATGTTGTGACACCAACTAAGATCTGTACTTGTGTATTTGCTTCGACGTGGAGATTTCTGATATGATGATAGAGACGAGCAGTCAAAAACACTGGAAGTGAACCTCTCTTCAAAGCTTTTTTCTTGTATTTCCTTCTCCTAATCTTATTTTGGTATCTATTATGTTAAAAAATTATCGAAGAAATCTCTCGTAACCCATCAATCATAAGTCATATACATGCTTGCCCGAACCAACGTTGCCCTTCATACATCTTGGGAATCTGCAGTTATTCCTGCAATTATCCTCTAACATGGAGCAAACTCCAATGAACAAGCCGCTATATCGGGCTCCTGTATGTATTCCTGCGATTAACCTTCGCATATGGTGGACTCCCATACTCCAGCCGTATTTTGTCCTACCGCATAATTTCCCTTCTAATGATCGGTAAAGTGTGTCGAAATTTGGTAATGAAAAGGGTATCGTCAAAGTTTTTAAGCCAAAGGAAATAATGCACATTTCGTCATCGCCATTCTAGAGTCGTCCAGTCAAATTCTGCTTCAGATCATTCGATCGTCCTTTCCGAGAGAGGACAACCAAAGCAGAAGATATGTACGTCGCAGGCTGATTTCTGCAAAAGTTTCGTCTATCCATATGTTCCGTTGGCTGCTGAAAGAAAACGAAGGAAAGGAAAGTCGATGCGTTTTGATGTGGTTAAGGTAAATCGTCAAAATGCCGCCCAATATCAACAAACAAAAAGATCTGCTCAACGAAGTGGGTAGAGGCACTAGCAAGCACCTGCTGGAGTGATATTTACAGATGTGAGGTCTGGAAAAAGGAGATGATCGAGTACGGATATCCATTAGCGTTTCGGGGTGGAGTCTCCCAAATTAAGGTTGCGGGGCCGTCCCTTGCACTTGGTAGCGAGGCCGAAGTCAACGACATTTGACTCTTTACGTCAAGTAGTGTGGGAAGGTTCACTTGCTTTTTGAAGTGCTTGTGGTACCACTTGATGGTACAGTGGTACAAGATGAAGCGATGGTGTGGTGTCCGCGAGATGTACTTGATCCAGCCGTCGTCGAACCATTGTTCTGGGAGTCCTGACGTATTTTCGCCTTCTTCTTGGTTTCTTCGATCCACTGTTGTTGCTTTCGCTTTTCCTCTGATAATTTTCATTAGCTGACTGTCTACATAGTAATTATCGAGCAGGTACAAACCTTTGCTAGCTGCTCTTGCTGTCAATACCAGCGATTGGGGATCGCTGACACGAGCAAGACCAAGATTGTGTTCACTCATGAATGTCCGGCCAACCAGCAAAGACCAACCACCCAACGTGTCGGCAACATTGAAAGAAACTTTGGTGTACTCTTTTATTCCATGTCCATCGTCCTTCAATTCTAATTGGACATAGTATTTGGGAATGAAGCTATGGTTGGCACCTCCATAGACCTTAAGATCCTTGGGTAGAATCGGACGATATTCCAGGCCGATTGAACTGGCCAGGGCTGTGGTAATCATGTTGTCAGTTGATCCACTATCGTAAAAGATGTGTCGTGCTTGAGGTTCGCCTTTTGGTGCTTTTACCATCGCAGCACCCATCCACGATGCTTGACTTGGGTCCCGAAGTGGTGACGGAACAAAGCTTTTTGACGAGCCTGGTGCCGACGGGGCAGTCGACGTAGACGCTGAGTTCGTTTGAGCGGCATTCTGAGTGGGCAGTCTCGATGCTATCAAAATTGTGCCTTGCTCTAAAGCTCCCCTGAGGTCTACTCTGTTATTGCGGGAATTGCCAATCACCTCGGGATCTGCAAGTAGAGTAGCGGACTCATTTGATTCCGTTGTCAAGTCTTTGGTCAAAGAGCGTGGAGCCAGCTCCTGAGAGTGGCGGACCATCTGCGATGAGGAGATCGGAACAAGACTTGTTTCCACTGTGACACTTCGAAGGGACTTTTGTGATCCCATTGCATTATCGTCGTGTTTCTGCGGTGCAAGGCTGGATCTCAACTCTTCGGATGACTTGTTCCCTTCACCATGCTCTCTTTTTGTGGTTCTGGTTCTGAAAATTGGCGGTAGTTTGTTCCGCCGTTCGCGCATATACCTCGATAAGCTTTGGATACTATACGAAGGCGCCTCTCTAGGCGACCCAAGCAACATGCTAGCCGGCACTTCAACGATAGTGTTCTCTGGGCCCTGTACTCCGTGAAGTATATGCGCCCGAACGTGCGGCTCGGCTTGCTCTGAATTTCTAGCTCTAGTCGTATTGTGCGTTCGATTCATCACCTTCCCGCGACCGCACAGGAGTCCTGATATCGTCATGGGTGTTCTTTGTCTGTGTACCTTTCTTGTTCGGCACGGGCTTGTTTTTCGTCACTGCGAAGCAGTCGTGCTTGTTGTCGCTCTCGTTGTATCGAGTGGTGGGCGCGAGGGCAATGAGTGTAATTGCAACTTTTTTCTCGGCGAGAAATCTTCCAGAATGGGTATACTCGTCTCTTGAATCCGGTTTGCGTAAGAATTCCGCGACGGGTGTGTTGTAGAACCTTTAATTAGCGGCTTGAGAGATCCGTTGACGCTGAAGAGATTTTTGTGAAAGCCGGGTCGCCTTGATCGAGGTTTTGTCGTAGATAGAAAACCTCACTCAAGGATCAGCGCTGGCTTGGAGCTCCGAGGCTATCTAATGTCCTGAAAGGGATCACAACCTTGTGTCGATACGATAATTACCCCAGTTCTCAGTCTAAGTTCACTTGTCGCTAACGGCTGACTGGCGCCGAAAACCTCCCGTCGTTGCAGTTGCTGTTGATTAAATATACATTCGCCTGGAGCTGCTACGTCTTGATCCGATATGTGGGGAGACGAGAGTATCTGGAGAATGTACGTTCAGAACCAGTTCGCTGTTTTGAAGGAGGTGGTGGTGGAAGCGGCCGCTTGATGTCAGTCGCTAGCGTTGCTAGTTCAAATGTGCCTACAGGGCCCCTGAGTCTGCACACTTCGTGTTAGGCGTTTACGGTAGGCGGTCTCCGTTTTTAGGATCTTTCGTCTATCTGTGGAGATGCGAAGCTCCATTGGACAGAACCCTTGTGCTGCAGAGTTCTCACGAATCATGTTATTCAGTCTAAGCCTTAAGTTGACGCCCAGGCAAAAATTACTCAGTATATATGCTCCAAATGTAGTATAATCTGGAATCTGGAGTTTCACAGGTTATTTTCGCTTCCGTACTTTGGAAACCAGTGAGTCCTTATTCCTGCTGTGTATCCACAGGCCTGAATTAAGCTGGTAATTTGTCTAAGGGCTTGTCTATAAGTCGTGCATCTCTATTCGGTCCACGCTTGAAAAGGGGCCTGAACAGGAGTTTGTGGCATGTTCAGGAATCGAAGAAATCTTCATTGTTTGTTTTCTCGCGTGTGTAGATCGAACGACAGTACAGTTCTTTTTATGCAATAGTAAGCACTCACCGCACATAATTGCTTTTCAATTCAGATCCAGACAAATATTTCGTAAACGGCGCATAAATAGGCTGAACGGAGGTAGCGGCTTGCGTTGTGCAACTTCTTATTTCGATGGCAGTTTATGTGCTATTTATGGGTACTGCAGACTGTCACCAAATATCGGCATTGGTGGTTTGCAGACCATATGTTGTTAAACGATCTACGCACCCCTTTCTAGAACATGTTTGAAGCTTCCTTGCATATCACAACGAAATCAATGATACTATCCTTCCTAGAAAGCTACGTCTGCCAAAGAATGTCTACGCTAATACCAATTCTTGAATAACTTCTCACTGTCATGACCTAGCCTTAATATTATCACGTTTCGATTCCTTCATTTCCTCTTTTTTCGGCATCGACTTATAGTCTTGCTAGCAAGTATATTGACGAGTGAATTTGGCTGAAAGCTCTTACACTTTCAAGGGGGATCTGATTCATAATTTTTTCACAGCATCTTCTCCTCTTTCTCTTCTAGTTCTCAACCAGAGAAGCAACTGGATGTATATTGATTGGCCCAAGCCCAGCAGAAATCTACGATATATCTGGGCATATCATGGCTTATGGTTACTCGCCTATTTTCTCGCCCCAAATGGACGCCCGAGAACCAATATCATGCATGTGTTGTCAGAAAGGGAAACCGATACAAATCCTCCTAGCGAGCCAATCTACATTCGTCCAACACCCCCAATACTGTCACAGGCTATTTTAAGCGAGGAATGGGTGACAACAGAACTCCGAGAATACGGAAACCGCCGTTCACCGCCTTCACAGTAGATACAAGTAGCGCTTGAGGCTCTTGCTCGCCGATCTTGTTTGCCAGACCTAACGACCAAATTCCGCCCAGTCGTGATATACTTGAGGCTCAACGGTCCCCCGCATATATCCACCCCTGTCTTCGTGCGGCTCTTTAGGACATTAGAGGGCCTAATTCCATGAATGGGTTATCACAATGCGCCCTCCGTTCATCACGAGGCGCAACTGCCTCCAAGCTCGGCTCTCGGGCGCAGGAAGAAGAAGTGAGCATGGCTTTCGACAACTCTCCTATAGTACATCAGAAAATAACTATAACTATAGAAACTGTACGCTGTAATTATCGAGATCGAACGAGCGTCTGAATTCACGTTAAAGCGATCCGTTCCAATTATTGCTTTATGTGACAACCGAAGCAAAGACAATTGGGTATCAAAAGGCTTTGTAGACCTTCTATTTAGGCGTTGGGCAGGCATGAGATCTAGGATACGTCTGAAACGTCATAGACCGGAAGACGAATCGTTCATCACAATACGTTGGAGTTGTGAGAAATTGGGACAACAATCCGAAGAAGGCATATTTTTCATCGAACCCAAGGCACATTTCAAAATACTCTTTGGCTGTGCGTCAACCGCACCAACAGAGGCTATAGCTTCCAGAAGCACACGTTCGGTTCGCTCTAATAAAGAGCCTCAAATTTCTTCTTGGGCAGCTAGTTCTTTTGGTTCAGGAATAAGAGACCGAGTTCTTCTTCCTGTTAAAAGGATGCCAGACTCCTCCACCGTGGACGATGTATTGTTTCCCTCGTTTGCGGAGCTGGAAGACGAACTACATCACTTCCATAGTGTTGAAGCTACGATCGACGACGACTTGTTATCGTCCAACAATAATGCTTTATCGACCAATTATTCATCTGTCACAATATCAAGCCAGACAACCATGGATATCACGCATCTCACCTCGAACTCGCTTGCAACTCTCAGCAACGATTCCCGGGGTATTCCTTCCACTAGGACGACCCTTTCTGACGAATTTTACAATAGCGGCTTTACCCACTCTCGCCCGGAAGTATCGAGAGGAGAAATATCTCATTCAACTTCAATTGATAGATATTACAGCCAGACTCGGTGGCTTGAGCAACCTCCACATGAAGATCCCCAATCATGGGTGCGTCCTCAAATTACGACGCCTCATGCTTCAGCGGATCAATCTACACCACGGACTGCTTTTCATGTTACTTGCTATGAAAACTTAACACCCATGGATCAGGCTATGCTAGATGATGCGCGCAGAGCCGCCGAAGAGGAGACAAGGGAATATTGGATATGGGATGAAACGTATGAGAGGTTTAAACATTACGACCCAGGTTGTGCAGAGCCTGTGTGGTACAATCCACCAACTTGAGGTCGACTTTGAACAACAAAACGAATTGTATTCCGTTCACCAATTGAATGTTTCATATTTGAGTGGCGGAGGAGTTGAAACGTCCAGGCGTAGGAGCCGTGCCCTGTCTATATTCCTTACAATATTGCTTTGTAACATGTTGTACTATTTCCTATATTGAGAAGTTTAACGAAGTTAGCTATAGAATTTTAAATCATCACATTCTTCAGTATCTACTATGACTAACGTTCAGCTAGCACTACGGGAGACTATCGCAACTTACACAATAACAGTTTGAGCTCTAAGCGAGGCTCTCTTAAAAGAGTGAGACCTGCCCTGTGGAGCATGTGGCTGAAACAATTTATGAATTACAAGACTGCAGTTGACACAAGTTTAATTTCGTTGGTCCCAAAATTGAACTGACTAGTTGGTCAGATATAGGCAACTGTACTGCTGTTTTGATTTGTCTTTAAAGCACCCATGTGGGCATGATAGTGAAGTTATTTCAAACAGAGTTAGTTATCCGGAATTTAGATTTGGTTCTTTATAACATCTCATATAAAATCTGTAAACATATTTCCCATAGCTGCGCTTGTAGATAATTGTAAAATGATCAAGGAAATTTTGGTTCTCTTCCTCCTCGAACATGTACGGAAACGAATGTTACATCTCCTTCAACGACAATGTATGTCTAACAAGCTTCCTCGCCAACAAAGATTTTATCCCCAGTGGATTTTAAAAAGAACACAAATAAACCCAAACCCACGAAATCCAGGAACAACTAGTCCAAATAAAAATAACAGCCAAATCACTTGTGGCATGAACGTATCTCCCCACTTCATCAAGTTACGGGAGGGCAGTACCAAACTGGTTCCTCACACCCCTCATCAAAGTGCTTGTACCTATGAGCGTCTTTGTCCCAAGTCCAATATAAAGACGTCTCATGATCAGCTACAATTCCTGCCTCCTCGAGAACCAACTGTGCCGTCTCATCCAGAGTAGCTGTCCGTGGCGTAGCCGATCCTTTGGCAGAAGAAGCAGATCTAGAACTGTTTTCGTATTTACTCTCAGGGATCTGAGAGCAAAACCATCGAGCTGGATCATCAAATGTTGACTGATTTTGCCAATCATAAAGTGGGTCACCTTGGGCTTCAGGCCCGCTCAGAGATACATCTGGGTGGCGACCAAGGAGACTTAGACGAGGTATTTGTTTGATTTGTGGGCTGCCTGTCGAGAGAGAAGTATTCGTTGAGAGTAGCGTATATTCAGACAGCTCTGTTGTGTCAGAATCACCTGACGAGTGAGCCACTACCGGTGGAAATGTTGGAATCAGGTTTGTTAACTCTGCCATGTGTTCATCTAGAGTCTGGCCGTCTGATATTGTTAAAGCCTGCTCGACAAGATTGTTCGACGTGCTGACAAATTCCAGCGACTTCTCCAGTTCCTCGACAGAATCACATAAGGTTTGATTCAAAATAACAGATGGAACTTGTTTCAGGCGAAGCAACGTTCCACTCTTCACACCTTCATGGAATGCTCTTGTCACTTCATTCGAAAGAAAAGGATCTGTCTTCGATCGCCGAGATTGGAAAAGCCTTGTCGAGTTGGAGGAAGGGAAACTTCGAGATGTAGATATAATATGACCGCCACGTTTCATGTGCCCACAACCGAAGACTATCTTGAACTTGGCTTTAGCTTCCACAAGAAATGACCCCTCTTGATCGTATTGCTTTAGTCTTTCACAGTTCCAGCGTATTTTGACGAGCCCATGGTCAAGTTGCGGGTGATGAGTTGGCGCTCCAGTAATTTTCGAAGAAAGATATTCAACTAAGCCTCGCGACACCCAGTTTTGAGAGTTTTCAAAGTCGCAAAGAGCAATAACCGGGATACCATCTGGCAGCGATAGTCCAGCAGCATGTCTAATTTCGATGACAAGTGCAAATATGTTCTGTGGCATCATTGAACCGTGGAAACGAGTACATGGCTTCGAAATTGAGCGAAAACCTGCCGTGATATTTGCGGCTCTTTAAGCTTTTAGGACTCCAGACTGGATCAAAAATTAGCATCCGTAATTATGCGATCGTATCCATCGACGTGGAGAGGAAGGACAAGACCGAACAAACATGATGGCGCAAGATCATATGTCCATTGAGCCTTGATAAGGCTTTTCTTATGGGCGTATCGTCAGGCTCTGATGCCGAATATCAAGTGAATTATAAAATTCAGGCTGTCGTTATTCTTGTTGCGGTAAAGCCATATGCAAGCCAGTGAAGATCCTCATTGGTAAGTTGTGAAGTTCCCTGTGTTGTGCAGCTGCAGACTTGTTGGTTGCAAACCAACAACAAATCAGAGTGCGACAACATGAAAGTACCTGTTGGTGGATCACTCAGCTAAAAGATACTTAAGCTTGGAGATGATGCACGTCCACGCCGATGTGAAAAGCCAGAATCCTCTCGTTGATCTTTTCGACGATTTGTTATCCATTGAGTTAAATAGTCGACTCCCAATGTCACCTCCTCAAGGCTATTCTAAATTGGCTCATTTGATGGTCGACGAGGACTATCTCATATTCCGGCAGTTCAAGGTTCAATCAAGCCGCGATTTGCTTTTCTTGCAAGCCGAGCTTGTGAAGCTGGAAGAAGAGTACACCGAAATCTGCCAGCGTGATCGTAGGAATTCGGAGAAAGAATCTGAGCTATACGAGTTTGACTGGGAACTGGTCAGTACTTCGAAAACCCGGGGCTGTGGAGGAGAGCAGTGGGATAAGGCTCTAGAAATTCGGGACAAGCTGAAAGAATACTGTTCAATGCCCCTGTCGGTCAATTCTGCCTGCCGCTGACAATGGGCAGATGAGTCTATGTCGCGATTCTCGAAGATATTAGGCCGATCGCCTGCCAGACCACGAGATGTTGAGATGCTCAGGGAATGTATGCTACGCCCGGACCTGATAGGTGGGATTGCGTTTCTCGGAAAGGACTTAGGCCTTCCCGAGATACCAGTTTACGACAAAGAAAGTATGCCAGATCTTATCACGTTGACTGATCGAGCGGGAGAGAACGATCTGTTCACGCGAGTGATGGCGGGGCCAGTCTTTCACGCTGGAGAAAAACTCTTGCGCCAATTCAAAGTAAGAAAAACCGTCAGAGCCTCACACAATGCTCACAACAACCAGAAGCCAATCCCTTCCGATGTAGAGAACCCCAGTCAAGAGGGGAACCTCTTTCGATATTCCGATACCCACATCAAGAAGGCTGTAGACATTTTTGCCACAATGCTTGCTTCCACTTCGCCTCTAATTTCAACGATAGCTCTGTTCTTCGTGCAGGATCTAGGGCGCCGTCTTGCCGTACTTTGTGCTTTTACGATGATGTTCTCTATGAGTCTCGCTATCGTAACCAACGCCAGACGTGTTGAAATATTCGCGTGCACCGCCGCGTAAGTTACTATAGTCCGTTTTACTCGTTAATTCATGACGCTAAAGATTTATTAGCTTTTCGAGCGTTCAAATTGTTTTTGTAGGAGCTGCAAACAGTACTTATTAGTTAGTAATAAAATCTTACATAAGTAGAGAGTGCAAATGGCTAGTTCCAAGTATGTAGCACAGGCAGACTAGGTGCTGTCCCGCCACACTCCACAGACAAATCAATGAGACTTCCCACCACATAAATCAAAGTGTGTATGCTGTAGGTTGAGCCACAGGCTTTGCAATAATTTACCAGGTTGAAGCTAAGCCGCAACTACAAGCTGTAGGCGAGTTTACCCATGCCCGAAAACCACAGTATTCCCAGTTATTCAAGCAGAAAGTCTAGATACACCACTCATTTCCTCCCTAAATCGCGGACACAAATACAAGTTCCTTTCTTAGGCTGTGGTATTAGAGAATCCAGGATTTAGAGCGAAAATGGACGTCGTTCCATTCCCCCTGCGTGAAGTCCTGTGATCCTACTCTTCGTCGATAGTGCTAACACCGAGCACTCACTATCTCATCTCCGGAACGCTTCGATAGACCTTCAGATTCTGCTCAATCATTCTCAAGAATTCTGTGGTACTTTCTTGAATTATCCCACGCCACACTGTGCTTGGATCTGACAAGAGCAAAGACGGGGCAAAACAGCACCTCCGCTATAACTTACGCAAGAGCAATTGCACATCATCGGCTAAAGCTATCCTCACATACAATATCCTCACATACAAGCCTGCGCGTCACCCAATCCTCTCCATAGCAAACGTTTCCCGAAGGAAGATCAACTTGTCGCTGCAGGACTGCTGAAGATTCCACCGCGCCAAGAAGCCTCGGTAGAACAATACAACAAAATCCACGCTCGAAGAGACATAGGCAGAAGTAGCTCCTATTGAAAAGATGCTTAATTGCTTTGGCAGGCGTAGGGTGAGCCTTAAAGACAACATCCTTACGACAGGGGCTGTTGGCCCTTCAGATTTCTTCGTTGAGAGCGGCGAGGGGGCTACAGGGGCTCAACCAAATGGCAGGCCACTGTCTACACTTGGAAATTTGATACGATTTAGATCAGAACAATGGAAAAAACTGCGTCCGTTCAGGCAGAGCACATGTCCAGCAGCGGACCCTACAGAGGAAGATGTACTACCTTCGCAGTTGAAGGGAGCAGATACCATTATACTCGCTGGGGTCGGTGGGCAGTCAATTGGGTTGCCTGCTGGATTGGTAAACCCGAATCAAAGGTCTTTTGGGGGCGAAGGGATGGAAGTAACATCTCAAGCTTCGACAAATCCTAACGACGATAGCATTTTGTCCCGAAATCCCAGTACGATTTTGGACGAGTCGACAATGGCACCGTCCACAAAGGGGGTTGCAGCTAACAACTTCCCTGACGAGTATAACTCTGATCAAATTAGCCTTAGCGTAGGCTCGTCCAGAGACGGAGAGATTTACACGCCGGCGACGTCAGATCCCGCCAGCCCCGAGTTTTGCACATCGGCTATCAGTATCAAGGACCACTTGGGCAGATTTCGAGCAGAAAAAGTGCTTTACGACACTGGCTCACCGGACAACATCGTCACGAAGGACTTCCTTCGACGATATGCCTTCCCCGAACGCCCCATATTCAAGCAACATCTGACGGTGTATGTTACGCCAGGTAGTGGCCCATATGCCCCGACGCATTACGTAGAGATAGAGGTCAAGGACGACCGGAATGGAATGGCACAATTTGAGACCGTTCGATTTTGCGTAGCGGAGTCGATGGGAGAGTGGGAGCTCCTTCTAGGGCGACCGTTCATGAATGCTCATGGCTTCACGATGACTGGCTCTAATAGCCCCCATAATGCTGTGCTCGTCTTGGTCAAGAAGAAGCCTAGTGATAGTATGTTAGCCTATGTCTGAGGAGTAACTCCACTAATGAACATTCGATAGAAAACGAAGAAGAAAGGGATCGATTCTTGCAAACCGTCGAGAAAAGCAAGAAGAGATCAGAAACCATCAAAGCATCCAGCTCAACAACTGGGACTGGAGGCTCGTCTTCGCAGCAGAAAGCTTCGAGCTCGTCGCGGAGTAGCGCACCATCAAGGTTATCGAAGAAGAACTAAGTCGAGGCCGAGAATCGAATATCTAATCATCGCGATGCCTTTTCCTCGAAGATGATGTTGTAGACTGTTGAGCATTTCAGCTCCATTGAATTTCATAAAGCTCGGTCGCCATGCGAAAGCAATTTCGCTTAGCATACGACTCCAGTCCCTTTGCGGTTACCCTCGTCCTACTATGTTAGGACACATGTGTAGTCGAGCACTCAATTCGAGTATCCTAAGGATATTAGTTTTGATGTTCGATGAATTTTCATATCTCTGTTGCCTGCTCGCAGGTTGAGGTTTCGCAGAAACGTCTCATACGTGTTTTCAATAAACGAATTTCTTTGCCGCTGTGTGGGAAACATGTGTCTAATTTTCTTCTGGCGATTGCGGATGCGTTCTTTCCTTTCATGTGCTAGGCATCGCGGGATTTCTTAGGGTTTCTGAAGGATAAATTTTCGTTTCGCAAGGGGTTTCGTTTAGGCGCTCGGCTTTTGGTGCGTAATGAGGAAGAATGTCTCTCAAGGAAGCAGATCTGGCACACAAGTAACTTTTCAGCAGGCTTGATGTAATATATGTCGATTGCTTTCCAGCCAGCCGCTCTGCATATGCGGCCCAATGTGATTAGACCCAGCCGCATACTAGAGCCTCTCGACGCAAAAGCGCCTGGGGCAAATTCCATTGCGTACCCAAAATAGCTCGGAATGATGAGGCCGCCTCATTAAGGCGGTCCTCGCCTTTAGCTGCTCTTCCCCTCATAATTGATAACTTTCCCTGCCACTTCGTAGCAGCACACTGCCGGCAAGGCTCATCAAATATGTAGGAAATAAGAAATGCCCCAAGCTATCACTGATAAACTAACCTTAAGACACTCCAGAACTATCTGGGGTCTAAAAGATCTACTACATACCAGCCATGCTTTTAGTTCGTTAGGATCAAGTAACCTTTCTATCACACTCAGTCACAATGCGTATTGTTTTAGAGAATTAAAATATCAACATTAATCATCTCCCACGTCGTTGAAGATTCGATATGTATATATAAACCAGTGTACGTATATAAGAAAACGAACGTCTCAGCCAAAGTGACCGGCAATTCTCAAATCCCAAGCGCCAACATCCCCATTCTATAAGTTCCTGCCCATCCCATATATGTTGTCCATCAACAAAGATAATTACCAAAATAAATTATGTTCCCTGTCCTATTTCCCAGTGTATATGTGCCTAAAGTGTAATGATCGTGGTTCGGGGGTATCAGTGTTCGTCCCATTAAATTTTTCATGAAATGATGCCCCCAAAAATGAAATCTAAAAGAGTGTCTAGAATAAAAGAAAAGCGTAGTAATATCGACAGGTAGTTTTGGTCCACTACCAGGTGAACATCATCAACGCTGGGTTGAGCGCGACGGGGAGGAAGAAATGGCTAACGACGATGGTGCAGAGAGGATAGATGGCGACGAAATCCTTGATTTGCCATTCCCATGGAACGGCGATGGCGCAGACGATCATCATGGCGGTCATGCTGAAGCAGAAGACAAAGGTGAACTTGAAGCGCTTGAGGAGTCGTGGAACTTCTTCGAAGAAAGAAATGTTCTCAACTTCCTTGGCGGTGGCGCCCCATGTCATGTTGATTTCGAAGAAATGGCACAGAAGCGACTGGGAGACGTGGAGAGAGATTCCACCCAGGAAGACGGTGAGAAGGAGAAGCCACTTGAAGTTCTCGATGACTGTGAGGTTGGTGTTAGCACGCTGAAAATATATTTAGAGGATGAGATGGTAGGACTTACGAGCACCGAAGAGCGAACGCTCGGACAGACGATACCGGAGAACGGCGAGAGCAATGTTTCCGAGGGCACTGAAGACAATAATCAAGGAGAAATAAACCTTGAACGAGTCGAGGTAGTATTTGTCAAGGTATCCGGCAAACCAACCCATGAGGAAGTAATTTGCAACAGTCAAAATCCAAGCAGCTCCGATAGCGTAGTAGGTACCGATATAAGCCATTATCGTGATTTTGGACGTGAAGCGAATGTTGGAAGACAAGAATCTGCGACACAGTGGAGTAACTGGACCACGAGTGACCCAGAGACGGAAAGGATGGAACAGTAGCTCGTTGCAACCGTAGGCATATTTCTCCCATCTGTTCAACTCGTCGTAAACAGTCAAGGAGACACCTTCTTTGAATCCATCGCCGGTGTAAGAACCAAGTCTAATAGTGTAGCCGGAAACCTGGAGGCGAAGGGACATATCGAAATCCTCTGAGACGTGAGACTCGGACCAGAACTTTTCGTATCCATCCTCGTCTTCGAACGATACGGACTGGAGAGCGGACCATCGGAGAATAGCATTATGACCAACAAAAGGAGATACGTCTCCGTTTGCGACTGTGTAACGAATAGCTGTATAGATCAAGTTGGTGAAGAATGTTACACTGATCGCCTATTAGTAAAAGTATGCCAAGTAAAATTTGCAAGCGAGACTTACCCATTTTCGAAGAAGCTGTCGGTAACCTGCATGACACCAGAAGAATACTGCAAGATACCCACTTCGGGTGACTGCTCCATCTCATTAGCCGCGTCAAGCAAACAGTCAACTGGAACACGGGTATCGGAATCGATTAGTAAGATATAGTCTCCCACACGGATATTGCCCTCAGCCCAAGCACGGCCCTCCTCTTCGGTCAAGACTTCGGCAAGGCATTGATCGTAGGCACTGTACTCGTCCTCTTGAGTCCAGTTGGCAGAGCGTTGGATCATCGTGAGTTTGTCCTCTACTTTGTTGCTAACCATCAAGGCGTAGTTCATGTTGGACGCTTTCTTGAACTTTCCACGTCGCAGGAAGGCCTTTTCGTCACCTTCGGGTTTCGGGTTGTGTCCAGGACGTGCGACCCAACCGATGTTGTGCTCCTCGTAAAAGTCGCGGCGGCCTTGTGCTTCTTCTTCGGGAATGAGTTGCATACCATCGTCATTGATGAAGATATTGGCAGAGCCGCCCTGCATTTCATAAGTGGAGATGGCAGCTTTGAGTGAGATGACTGTTGGCTGAATGACACCTTGGAGACCTTCTTTGTAGACGGGCATTTGGATGGTAACGTGCGGAAGAGGACCAATGCTGCGGTACCGAGGAGGTGCGATTCCCGAATAGAATTTTGAATTCGTGTTCAGCTGACTGATTGGACCGATGATTTGCGCAATATTGACAATGACGATCTGCATGAAGAACAACGAGACGAAGATCTGGCAGGGTGTTACAACGATCAGTGCTAACCGAGTGTATGATCCGTCAATAGCGACTTCTTGAGCTAATGCTCTCCATCCCATCCCTAACGCAGCAATAAGCAACGTTAGGGTTAGGCCAACTAGAATTGGATTGAGAAGATTCGTAGGTCGGTTCTCTGGAATGAGAGCCTCCTCCAAATCGCCTGGTGGCATGCCGTCTTCTCCTAGATCGACGGTTGATACGTTGACGCTTGCTTTGGCTTTCTCGTCTAACATCTCATCTTCTCCTCCACCCCAGATCATCTTCATAAGAGATGCCTCAATACCCGAGGCTCGGTTGAGTAGGTTTTTTGGTTCATCATCCCAGACGACCATTATCTGCTGGTCTGCGATGAAAGCTGCGAAGTGATGTTTCTGGCATCGTGGGAGGTGGTCCATTGAAGGTAAGACCTGTAGGCGCAAACCGTTGGATAGCGGTACGTAGTCGGCTGTGTGATGGGAGAGGAAGATCTTGATAATTCGGGTTGTGACGGTCATAGCAGCCTACAAATGGGTTAGCAAAAGAAAATGAAAGTCATGGTAGGATTTGTACATACTCGAACGTTCAAAGCCTCTACCATGTCAACGAAATTTGACTGCATTTTCAAGGTATTGGGAGCAAATGTAAAATCGCTGCGCGCTTTCTTCAACACAACACCTTCACCAGGCATTCCTCTCGACCACATCTTCTCCATCTGCTGTTGTTGAAGCCAGTTGACCATGACATCGCTCTTAATATCCAAGATACTATTGGCTGGGGCGTTTCGAAAATCACCATGGGGAAATATCGATGCTGCTGGAGAGCCCAAGTTGCTCGGTAAGGGCGTAGAATTGGATGTCATTGGAGGCGTGGTATCTAGCTCCATAGGAGCGGCGTTGGACTTCTTTCCATTTTTATCTGATTTTGAAGCCTTCTTCGCGGGTTTGATGAACCCCTTGAGGGCGTTCATTTTGTAGATAATCGAGCTGGACTACTCGAATGACTTGCAAGTAGTGAGTGTAGTATGTATAAGATCAACAATGAGAGATTGTAAACTGAAGTGTAAAAACGAAGGAAGGTTTGAGTGAGAGAAGTGAGGCACAGCCAAAAAGAGGGATTTAGAAGACGAGGCCTGACAAGAAAACACAGGGAGGCTTCTCTTTTGATATTAAAGAGAGGCTTTGGGGATCCCGCGCCTTAGTCCACCAAGCAAGAGATGCCAACAATAGTATGCTCATGCATCCACATCGGGAGCCACTACATGCGGTAGCTGCAGTGATTCTAGACTATTCATCGGGTGAGTAAGATACCTTACCAGGTAGTAGGGTGCCACCCAGGAACTTGGAGGCCACTACTGATTGAAGGTGCAGAAGCCAGGCACGGCGTAGGCTAGCACAGTAAGAACCACCTGAAGCCGTGCCAGAAAAAAACTTGTACTTTGAAGTAGTCTGAAACTAATGGGGCCAAAGCAAGCTCGAGAGTGAGCGAACTATGTCGGAGATCCACCTAGGTGGTCGAGCACAGCGCTTGCTACAAGCTATGAGGTATTTGCAAAGATTATCAAAAATTCGATAAAACTAGCAGAAAACAATACCACTGTAGCAATGCTTTTGGATGTGGATGTAGAGCCGGTAACAGCTCGAATGACATTCAGCCGGATAACGACTCTGCAATGTAGATGGGAGTGGGGCTCTTCGAAAATATGGGATACATGGTCAACTACAGTCATAGCAACGTGGTGCAGATGAATCTTGCATCTGGCGTAGAGCACAGACGTTTGCGTCAATTGTGGTCGCGTACGGCCATCCTCGAAAAACAGGAGCAGAGAAAACTGTACTGCGTACCGGTAAATAGTAGTGTGAACGATGAAAATAAAAAGGACGTCTCGTTGTTGTCTCGGGGAAATCAGTGCGGTCCGCAGCGGAGCAAACTAGTGCGAGGCATACTTTAGGCCAGTCGAGCACTGTCTGGCAGTCTTGTCTGACATCATTCTCAGACACTAGGAGCTTTTGAGTCTTGTTCTTATGGAGCTAACTAAATGGAGCACGATCTCTCGTCGCGGGAGATATAAAATTTGGGCGTCCACAGTAGTTCCGATTTACCAAGAGTGCTAGCGCGCTAACTCAATCTTGGTCAACAAAATTCACCGCAAGTGCTATTTCTGACTACAGTAGTCACCTAAAAAAGCCCGCAATCTGAGCTAATTGGTGGCTTTTCCACGGAACGAGTATAGCTTGCGACGGGAGGAGCGTGAATGCACGCTGCTACTAGCTCCCGAAGCAAGAAAGTCGGTAGCTACCCTACTTGCGCTCAAGCGCGAAGTAGTGGGGAGATGACGACTGAGAATCTGAGAGAGTTCGCACTTGAAGAGGCGGCTTGCCTCTTCGGAATATTAAACAAGAATGATGTTACGGTACCCATCACCTGAAAACCTCCGACCGGCGGATTGTTTAGACAGCCAAGACGGCAACCGCCAGTTGACATACTTGGAAATAATTTGACAGCGCATGGTTTTTATGGTTGAGATAGTAAACGGAGATCAAAAGAGCGATTTCGACGACGATCAGCATGTCCCAAGTCCCCAAAGGAGACCCTCGATCTGATTATCCGGTGTTGCATTGCAGATGCAAGCCATTATTGCCCTTCGACAGCTGCAGGACGCAACATCGATATCGCGAATCCGCTTTCAGTGACCCATACACCAACATGGCAAACTGTAAAGAGGATATATTAAGGCAGTGATAATTGGAACAACAATAGCGGTTAAATGCTATCCAGAGGGTGCTCCTGCAAATGGGATCAACAAATCCGATCTACAGAGCCATAAATGCAGACTGACTGCACCAAACTAATATATCAATAATCAGTTGGGTAGTGCGGTGATGCAACGCAGCAGAGCCGTCGAGGACGATAGCGTCTACGACTCCAGGTACTCCTCTAGGGAGGACGGCCCCCCAAAGCGCTGCGGAATATCCTTGTAGGGCCGTAGTATCCTAGAGATGTTGTGAATATGGAGACAGCACCCTCTGTACAGCAGTCATGAACCGGCTGCGCACTTGTTTGGTTCAGACCACCCCAGATAAGGCTGCTTTGGATATCTACCGTGCCCGCAAATTATTTGTATTCCTTATCCTCAACCCAGCCACTGCTACTGGAAGCGGCAAGAGGGTCTCAACTGTTGGTGTTGGGCGTCCACGAGAATCAGACGGGAGGTGCTGGTACACTAACAGTACTCCCCTCGCTACCACACAACTACCGTGGTATTGGAAGCAGCAAGGCGTCCGGCACGAACGTGTGCACGAGAGACAGCTGCTGATGGTACGCAAACGGCACCAGATATTCTCGTCAGAAAAAAGATAATAAACGAAGAACCTTAAGGAGAAGAAAAAAACGTATTTAGTACTGGTGGAACCCGACGAACGATGTTTGCCCGCGGTCGACGATGAAAACGTTGGGACCTGGGTATTCGGGCCCTGGACCGTACCCTGGCTAGCGCAGATCAACAGGCTGTTAGCTCCGGATGCGGCGTTGAAGACGCACACGAGAATCGTACGCTACACAGATCTGGTGGAGATCAGCTCGTGCCCATTCAGGCTCAAGCGAGCTCCCACGATTCGCCTCTGGATGCATGTCGATAATCAAGATATCCGTCAGTGGTCGCCCTCTACGGATTCGCCATCTAAGTCGTGCGTTGAATTTCGATAGCGAGGACGCCTTTCTCACGGCCGGTTTTCCATCGAATTATCGAGCGACGGTGTATGCACAAGTTTCGTGTTCCTGGCTAGATTCTGCAAGCTAGCTGGCGCTCACGACGTCGTCCGGGAAATCTCCTCTAGCGTTTCTTAGCACGACGACGGCGTTGAACTTGAAGCATCGAAGAGGGCCCAAGTCCAAACAAGACTGGAAAAACTGACAAGTGCACTTGGACTTACGGCACTGTTTCTCGGGGTGCCCAACACTCTGTACTCAAGTCGAAAAGTCCAGACTATTTGGACGAAAGCCTGGAAAAACACATACTGATAGAGCCGACAAGCCTGACAGTTGTCTTGTGTCGAAGTAGTAAACAAAGCCTCATGCCTCGAGCACTGCTCAAGCAAGTCTTCTAAAGGTGTAGAGACCAAAGCACGCACACGTGCAGTTGTAGCTTTGACAATGATCCAACAATAGAAGTGTCGAGCTCGTGGGCATGGAAGGCGGCAAGTAGATCACAGGCTACCAGGATTGTTGACTTTTACGATAAGTAAGAGGTTACCTACAGGTGGGCCTGTGGATGACATACCCCAAGGATGCAGAGCAACACATTCGTGCTGTGAGATATATCCATGCTCAAACTTCAAAGTATTAACAGCTTCATAGAGCGCCACTACAATGCTGCTTGAGCTGCGATGTGGTGCCATCTACAGCCTTGATATAAGATAACCCATTCTTAACAAGCCATCAATAACCAGCACGCCAGTTGACACTTGTTACTGTAGGCGCCAATCGGAAATTTTGAAATAATCTAATATTTCCTGATGAAGGAGCGGCGTGCGAACACCAATAAATATTATCATGATAACGACCGAAGGAAGTGGTGCTGTTGTGGCGTTAGGAGATAAGGTATACACCTAGCATTGGTGGTAGTTATACAAACCGAGTAGCCGCGCTGATCTATGGCTGGAGTCGCCGTAAGCCATGCCTTGCCGAGTTGGTAGAGCGGTAGCTATGTGGTAAAAATCGAGGTAAAGATGTTGTCGGGTCGATGAATCGGAATCCACAGGCCGAGCCCTTGTTACAAAATGTGTACCGCGCAGAAAATTGAACTTTTCGCCCGTCCTACAATAAAAGTGGTGCTTCTCGTTAACATACCTAGATATCTAGTAGTGAACTATGAGAAGAAGACAGGGAGCTTCCCAACGTGACTAACGCTCGTATTATCGGGTACGAGTTAGCAGGGAAAGCAAGGTTCAATTACGCAACCCGAAGTGGAAGAACTCCAAGCAAATTGGGGTAAGATCATTCGGGAGATTGGCGAACTGTTATTGCCGTGGAGATGTCTAGGTTCCGGTAATATGAGAACTTTACAGAAAATTATGTGGTATCTCTAGGCGTCTGTCCAATTTCATCCAGTTCTTCTCCACAGCATGCGCAAGCTTTGGAGAAGCAATAGACAACAATCCATCTACTGTCCTTCGTAAAAGCCGCACGTAGTTACGGTCCACACAATGTTGTTCGCCTAGTGGCTGTAGATACACCGAATTGCTGTTCCATGAAAAGACACACTCTCGGAGCCTATGAAACTCATGTGGCAATAATCGCTTGCAGAAGACAAGACCACAAATGCTTGCTTCAGAAGTATCCAAGAAATGTCATCCAGATGATGTCGTATCAGGGTTGAGCGACAGGCGCCCATTTTGAAGAAAAGAAGCGAGCAAGTATATCGGCTCATGGTGGACATAGAACAATGTCAACCCATAGCTGAAACGTGCAGGCGGCGGTCAAAGCCGATATTTCGAAGGTCGGTATGGTATTTGAGAGGCTCCTAGGTACTCAGGTTACTCAACATATGCGGAGGACTACGCTATCGAACATGTTGTTTTCGAAAAGCAGGCGACAGGTGACAGTCCGTTGATGTCGTGTAACACGTGGCTACCATTCCATTGACCAGTCATAGCCAGAGGCAGATGCCAGCAATGTACTTCTAATAAAGCGCTGCAGAACTCGGCATAGGGAACCTCATCCCGAGGGTAGCACTGCATCCGAAGCAGTTATATGAGATGGACCCTGATATGGATTCGGTGTCCCAGAAAATCATGGAAAGCAGGCGTCGACGAGCCTTCCAATCTTCACGAGTCCGGATGCATCAGTTCGCGCAGAGAACAATCCGCATACTTCGCTTAACCGTGTCGCTGGGCTCGTGGTGGTGGTTATGTTAAGGGCGCGATTTGCTGCATTATTGGCTGCTGCCGACACCTGTCGTCTGAAGCTGGTTGTGGGTGGCGAACACATTGGGGTTTTCCTTTTTCCGACGGGGCGGCGACGGACTGTTCTTGAAAAATGCATCCGACTCGGAGTCCAAAGACCAATTTCTTCGAAGGCTTAACAGCTTCACCGCCCCCGCGACTCCGCGACCTTACAACCAGTTGTGTTCGCCCAAAGGCGGAGTTTATGCACATGACAGATTGATGGCGATGATCAAAGGGAATCTGGAGTCGGCAAACCCTTTATGCATGCTGACCTCGACATTCGGCGACAAGGTCGAGATTGATTGCGTATTATTGGTTGCGGCTTGGGACGAGATCTCAAGAAACGAGACGCGCTGAGCTGACAAAACTACTCTGTACATGATTTCCAGGTTGTTCTAGCTCCTCGGGCGGTCTAAAGTCGAAAGCGTGGAGGTGTTGAAGTCGCGTTACACAATAACATGAGGCTGCGGTGTGGAATCGACGCCGGACGTGGGATGATGGGGTAGCTATGTAAGTATTTCATGATCTTTAACCGTGAGAAAAGAGCAATTGGTGGCATTGATCGAAGCGCTGGCCAAAGCAAATCCGATGAGAAAGACAATGACGATCCATGATCGAGGATGGCGAGGTTGGAACAAAGTCAAAGTGAAAGCTCGTCCGTCTCGGGGTCATGTTTGTTCGCCGCCCCACTCCGTTCTTATCGATAGAAAGAAACAAGATCGTGACGGACGACCTCATCAGGTCCGCTTATTGCAGCTTCCTCCGCAATTCTGCCCCTCGAAGGGCTTTCTCCCCACCCCTCCAAACCCAAAGATTCTTTCATCCCACACTCGAAACATATTCGCACATTGTCCTGCCACCCCAACTTCGCTTCACAAACCTCATCTTTTCTGTTACAACCCTCGAACAGACCGCCATTACATCGGGTCTGCTTCCGAAAAGTTCCACAACATTCACCGCCAGTATCGTGGCAGACACCTCATCTCTGAGCAGACAATCTGTGGCCAGTGTCTCAAGTGAGCAAGACGGAGCTGTCTGGGCAGTACGGCTCGACATTGCAGCAGACCAACAACAAAGCGACAACCGAACTTCAAAATATCGATTGCAGACTTTTCCTATAACGACCACCAAAGCATGAGCTCGCCATTGAAGCCACGATCATCTATTGACATTGACCCTTTCAGCGCGCCTGAAATATACTACGGGAATGATGCTGTTTACAAGAATGGTAGCAACCACTTTCGGACCCGTACATACTCAACTGTCAGTCGTTGCAATTTTACGCTTGGAGCCAATTCCAGAGGCTGACGCAACTTTAGAACACGCGAGCCATTCCTGACATTACCTTCGAGCCACGAAAACCTCAGCGCCGCGGATCTCACGGTACGTTTACAGCCTTCCAAGGCTTGCAAAGTCGCTAACAGTCATTGCAGATGAGGTCAGTTTATACCCTCGGAGATTCTTGGTAAATGTGGACTCTACCCTCGCCCACCTCGCAAAGCAAGAAGATACGGACAACAATTGGCAGATTACCATCGAAGATACAGGCCCGAAGGTAAGATACCACTGTCGGAAAACGCAAGGAGTGGTTGATTGACCACTCGAATACAGGTACTCTCGCTCGGAACCGTGGGATCTAATGGCATCAACCGATTTGATATTCGCGGCACATATATGCTTTCCAATCTGCTACAGGAACTTCATCTAGCCAAGGACCACGGACGGAATCAGATCATTCTGGACGAGTCGCGGTTGAACGAGAATCCTACAAATCGTCTCGCACGATTAATCAAGGATTCATTCTGGAGTGGCCTCACAAGGGTAATAGATGGTTCGGTTATTGAAATTGCCGGGAAAGATCCCAAAGATTGGACGGACGACCCCATGCCCCGAATTTATGTACCAGTTGGAGCTCCCGAGCAACATGCCTATTACACCAAGGTTGCAAAGGACAGGCCTGAGATCCGACTTGAGGTATGCTGGTTGCCAAAAGAGATTACCCCGGAGAAAGTTCGAGACATGAATGCAAAGCCAGGTCTTCTTGCGATCGCGATGGATGAAACAGTCGACCCTGTCACTGGGGAGAAGACATTGAAAGGCAAACCATTTGTCGTTCCCGGAGGCCGTTTCAATGAATTGTATGGATGGGACAGCTATATGGAGTCATTGGGTCTGATAGCCAATGGAAAGGTACACTTGGCCAAATCTATGGTCGAGCATTTTTGCTTCTGCATCAAGCATTATGGGAAAATTCTCAACGCTACACGATCCTATTACCTCTGCAGGTCTCAGCCACCTTTTCTCACTGATATGGCGATGAGAGTTTACGATGAGATTCAGGCTCATGACCCTGGAGCCAAGGAATTTCTGCGAACCGCAATCCTAGCGGCAATTAAAGAGTATAATAGTGTATGGATGGCCCACCCACGTTATGATCCAGCCACAGGACTCTCCCGATACCGTCCTCAAGGCTTGGGAGTACCACCAGAGACCGAAGCAACTCACTTCACCCACATTTTGGAGCCATACGCGAAGAAGAACAACATGACTTTCGACGAGTTTGTCCAAGCATATAACCATGGTAAGGTCCACGAACCTGAACTCGACGAGTACTTTCTTCATGACCGAGCTGTACGAGAATCCGGCCATGACACATCATACCGACTAGAGAGAGTGTGCGCGAACTTGGCCACAATCGATCTCAATTCTTTACTCTATAAATATGAGAAGGACATTGCCAAAGCCATCCAGAGATTTTTCGGTAACAAGCTTGAAATTCCCGAGGAGTTCTGTGTTGGCGAGATGGTGCCTAATCACATCGAAACATCTTCAATGTGGGATCGTAAGGCTAAGCGCCGCAAGATGGCCATGGATAAGTATATGTGGAATGAAAAGAAGGGTATGTTTTTTGACTATGACACCGTTAAAAAGGAACAGTGCACATACGAAACATGTACAACTTTCTGGTCAATGTGGTCAGGTGTTGCAACACCCAGTCAAGCCGCTCGTCTTGTCAATGACGCACTTCCAAAGTTCGAGGTTCTGGGCGGTCTCGTGTCTGGTACCAAAGAGTCCCGTGGAGAGATTGGACTCGAAAGGCCGAACCGGCAGTGGGATTACCCATACGGCTGGGCTCCTCAGCAAATGCTAGCCTGGACTGCCCTGGACAGATATGGTTATCACGAGGAGGTATCGAGGCTCGCATACAGATGGCTTTTCATGATGACGAAGGCCTTTGTCGATTTCAACGGTGTTGTGGTTGAGAAATATGATGTTACGCACGTGATTGCTCCTCATCGGGTTGATGCAGAGTATGGAAACCAAGGTCTTGATTTCAAAGGAGTGGCAAAAGAAGGGTGAGCGCTCCGCCTGCTTCAAGCAAGGAATGTCTGACTAACATCTTACTAGTTTCGGATGGGTTAACGCCAGTTATGTCTTCGGTTTACAGTTCATGAATGAGCATATGCAACGAGCCTTGGGTACATTGACGCCATGGGAGCAATATGCTCGTGCTACAAACGGAGTCCATGCTATCCCCGAACTCCCGTCGCCATAGGCCCTAACGCCTCGAAACGAGTTTGTGGTTGCGAGGCCATACTCCGAGAACGGGGTTGCCACAACGCACTTTTACGGCTGCATTTAACGATTTTCACTTCTTTCCCGATACCACTATAGACTTGTGTCTTTGGACTCGACAAAACTTTGGAGTTTGTTCTTCCCGATTTTCGAGGAATGCCTTGTTATTCTTTTTCGTCATACGATATTTCGCGGAGGAACACTATTACAACCAAAATCAGCCATTTGGCATTGCAAAGAGGAGGGGCGTTTTTTGGTCTGCGCTTTACATGCTCTCGAGAGCAAGGGTCATATAGGTGTATACTAGACGGACGGTTGGGGTTACATACATTCGTAGCATGCTTGGGGGTATCTGGGGACTACGTTTAAACATCTACTGTGTTTACAGTGGTATATACCTCCAGCAAGCCTTTTAGGGCTCCGATCAATTGACTGTGCTTTAACCTACACCCGCATGGTTTCTACTTGATTGTCGCACTGTGTTGCTTTTTAAGGTCTTTGAGACCTGATGTCTAGAAGAATACTGACTAAACAGATGAGGAAATTTGAATCTAGATGACGATAACCGATCGGGGGAATTATGATAACCCCGGATTCTCGGTTGATGCCGTAGTTTGACTCGTGACATCGTATGGGTGTATGCCGAGGCTGTTCGCACCGCGGATGCATCGAGTACAAGTAGTGTCGTTTCCATTGTTCGTCCTGTATGACTATTGGACCGTGATCTCAGCTCCTTTGCTCCTCTTTGTCAGGTGTTTTCAAAATTATTTGATAGAGAACTTCACATGCCATTGCCTGGTGCTGGGGTGTGCTTCGGGAATATAAGACATGTGAAATGTGCTCGAGAAATTGATAGAATAATGACAATTGAAAGCCAATTATGCTCAATTTCTGGTGCAAGAACCTCTTATAGCTACTATTCATCAATGTATATAGCAATTCCTCTTTAACACACCACCAAGTCGTGACTTTCTGTACTTGTATGACGATCGGGGGGTTCCCAGAATCCGGAGAATGTGGGGTACACGTCAGCCAATCACGGCCAAGCATCCGTTGAGCCGAGACGACCAACGGTGGTTTTCATACCCGCCAATTCTCCTGCTTCCGGCACCTGAGGACGCTTGGGAACGAACATCCTCGGTCATGAGAAATGATAGCTGAGCTACGTGAGCATGTTGCGCTGAATCAGCCAATGATGTCTGGGATTGACCATGAGCTAGGTGCGCCGGCTCCGCAATCGAGGGCACCGTTGCCGTTGGAGGGGGTTTAAGAGGTAATCACTTCCCAGACGGAAAGGTGTTTTGGTTGTCGATTCTTGAGAGGTGAACTATTTTTGAACGCGCTGAGTCAGTATTTGGAGGACTCATATTCCACCCTTTCTTTGCTCTTTTTCAATATTCAGCTAGAGATAAGTGCCAAGTACGCCGAGCTACTTTGAGATATACGTCAGAGCAAGGGAGACATTGGACTGTACATTCCAACCTACTTCAACATGGCAGCAAACAAAATGGCCGGTGTCTCTGTAGACCCGAGCAAAGAGGAGCAGATTTACTTGGAGGAGGTCGCGGCAGTGAAGAAGTGGTGGTCGGATTCGAGATGGAGATATACTAAGAGACCGTTCACGGCCGAGCAGATTGTTGCAAAGAGGGGAAATCTGAAGATTGATTACCCAAGTAATGTGCAGTCAAAGAAGCTTTGGAGTATTCTGGAGGGTAGATTCAAGGTATATCTTCTTCTGCGTAGCGATGATTGAAATTTGCTAACAGCATATCAGAATGGTGACGCAAGCTATACATATGGATGTCTCGAACCCACGATGTTGACACAGATGGCCAAGTATCTCGACACTGTATATGTTTCTGGGTGGCAGTCGTCCTCCACAGCCTCTTCCTCCGATGAACCAGGGCCAGATCTAGCAGATTATCCATATGTTAGTATTCGATGCGTTCCTCTGCTACCAGCACGTGCTAATTGATCCCAGACCACTGTCCCAAATAAGGTGGCACATCTCTTCATGGCACAACTCTTCCATGACCGTAAACAGCGCGAGGAAAGGATAATGACCAAATCAAAGTCTGATCGGGCGAAGCTTCAGAACGTTGATTACCTACGCCCAATCATCGCAGATGCGGATACTGGTCATGGTGGATTGACAGCTGTCATGAAATTGACTAAGCTATTCGTAGAGAAAGGAGCCGCTGGTATACATATCGAGGATCAGGCGCCAGGAACTAAGAAGTGCGGGCATATGGCAGGAAAGGTTTTGGTGCCTATTAGTGAACACATCAATCGCTTGGTGGCTATTAGAGCCCAGGCCGATATAATGGGTACGTATCTCCCTGAGTCTCCTCAACCCCTATTTTAACCCGATGTATAGGCTCCGACCTTCTGGCAGTTGCTCGAACAGATGCTGAAGCAGCAACTCTCATCACTACGACTATTGACCCAAGAGATCATCCCTACATTCTAGGCTCAACAAATCCGTCCCTACAACCATTGGCTACCTTGATGCTCGCAGCTGAACAAGCCGGAAAATCAGGGCCTGAGCTCCAAGCAATCGAAGACGAGTGGACGAAACAAGCCGGTCTCTCTCTATTCAACGACGCCGTGCTATCCACTATCTCTTCCGGAACATTCATGAACAAGAAGGAACTCTCTACCCAATTTCTCACATCCGTAAAAGGAAAGTCCAACACCGAAGCCCGCGCCATCGCCCGAGGAATCACAGGTGTCGACATCCCATGGGATTGGGATTCTCCACGTACCCGAGAGGGCTATTACAGACTCCAGGGCGGCTGCGAATGTGCCATCAACCGCGCCATTGCCTACGCACCCTACGCTGATGCCATCTGGATGGAGTCCAAACTCCCAGATTTCAAACAGGCAGAACAATTCGCCAAGGGCGTCCACGCCGTCTGGCCAGAACAGAAATTAGCGTACAATCTCTCCCCATCCTTCAACTGGAAATCCGCCATGCCACGTGCAGAACAAGAAACTTACATCCAACGCCTCAGTAAACTGGGTTACTGCTGGCAATTCATCACGCTTGCAGGTCTTCACACGACGGCGTTGATCAGTGATCAGTTCGCCAAGGCGTACAGTAAGCAGGGTATGAGAGCGTATGGAGAGTTGGTTCAGGAGCCGGAAATGGAGGGCGGTGTGGATGTGGTTAAGCATCAGAAATGGAGTGGTGCGAATTATGCGGATGAGTTGCTGAAGATGGTCACGGGGGGTGTGAGTAGTACCAGTGCGATGGGAGCAGGTGTGACTGAGGATCAATTTCATTGATCTTGGAAAATTGTGTACTAGTTTGGGTAGCATAGGTTTAGATTATTTGGATCATCATCAGCCATGTTCTAGTTGTGCGAGATTTATACGTGCTAGCTAGTGGTCTGCAATTATTATCTGTCATTTGCTCGCAACTTAATTCAGCACTCTCACATGCTAATTCTCTCACGTGCAATAAACGTTCCTCAGTAATAAACCCCACTCAGCTGTTGGGGCTGCAAATGTCTATTTCCGTTCCCGCAATTCGAGCTTAAAACTTGAGCGCAGGTTTTCACTCAGAAGCTCCTACGGTGTGTTTGAGTATATTCATTGAAAAATGCTCATATTCAATCAAGAGAGTGTGCGGCCTGCTTCGATGACAGTATTCGTTCCTGTTTGCGAAGAGGAGTTTGATATGCATAATATCATATTAGCGACATCCTACCAAATCCCCACATTAGCTCTCTACATCTCCGAGTCTAGCTTTCGTTACTCACCTCAACAGACGCCAGTCTTTTCAATACACTATTTGCGATGTTATTGTCAATCTTGGATTGCGGGAAATTTTTACCCCATTCCTGTTCGCTGTTAGTATGGTTTCGTGGAAAGAAGAAATACATACAGTTAGCATCAGTCCCGGTGATACCGCATTTACACGAATTTTCGGTCCGGAAGTTTTGGCTAGGCCTTTTACGAGATGGATTTGTGCGGCTTTGGTTACGGAATATGCCTGTCGATGTGTTAATTGTTTTTCTTCAGCGGACTGGTAAAGGATGGGTTTAAGAGGCATACTAGAGAGCTTCCACCGGGAGTAATACCAGCAAGTGAGGCGGTACTCAGGAATGAACCTTCTGACTTCTCAAGATGCGGTTTTGCGGCATGGAAGAGGAATAGATGGCTTTTGACGTTGAAATTGAAACAAGTGTCCCAATCACTCTCCTCAACGTTCTCGTCTAAATTTTGGAAATTGCGCATGCGTGTCCACTATTCAATATTTAATTAGTGCTATCAAGTAAATTTAGGGTAGGGAAGTCTAACACCATGATTCGACACCACAACATCAATTCTCCCCATCTTCGCCGCACTCTCCTCGACTAGTCGTATAATCTCAGATCGCTTCGACACATCTGCTTGGATGATGTGGAATCTTGGGGTTGAGTCTTGAGCAGAAGAAGGTTGTAAGGTCTCGAGTTCTTGGACTAGAGCTTTGGCTTTATCGGCGCTGGAATTGTAGTTTATGATTACGCGGATGCCACTTGCTGCAAATGCCTGATGAGAGATGAGACTGGTTAGTGAAATGCTTGATCATTTGGGGGATGGAGATGCAAAAGAACGTGATTGAGGTGAAGCTACGTACTTTAGCTGTAGCAGCTCCTAACCCCGCGGAGCTTGCTGTGATGAGGGCGACGGCGTCACGGCCTAGAAGTGGCATTATGAAAGGTTTGTTGAGTTTTTGAAGAGAGATTCGGATTGATACTTCTTCAAATGAGAAATAGAGTGCTCTTGTAGTTAGTACAATGCGACCTAGGATACGTGATTGGTATCAAGGTGGGGTGCGGAACAGTTCCTTTAGTGGGGTCTCCACAATAGACCCCGATTCTGGACTTGGGTTTCTAGTCTGCGATCCGGACTCGGGATTACATGGCATATCCGAAGTAGGACTGAAGCATTTATGTGGTTTTCAGGCTAGCATATCATTTTAAACTTCTATTGTAATATACAAGATCTAAATTCGGATCTTGCTTCCAACTGTACAAGGAACCAAACGTCCTGGCATTTGCTTTTCGATTTCATATTTTGCTCGCCATCCAGAACAATGACCTGGGAGAAGTATCTTAGGGTCCAAAGCCTTGAGATCCTTGATGGTTTCTTCAACTTGTAATTGGGTATTCCCGACAAGATGATACCCTCCAAGGACAGCATATAATGGAACAGAACCTCCAAGTGAATCTACAGCATTTCTGGAGGCATTTACAACACCTCGATGGCTACATCCGGTAAACATCACAATACCTTTTCCTAAAATAATAGAAGTTAGGGTGGTTTTCATAAGGAGGGTCGTAGATGGCACCTTTCACGTTGCACATGAGAAATCTCTCATCAGCCATTTCTTCATCCTTCTCCCAGCCCTTCTCTATACTGCTAATGCGAATTCCACCTCTCAACCCATTCTCATAATCATTGCTTGACTCGATAAATCCTGAAATCAAAAACATATCGTCCAGTACCGTATGAGCAGCGGCGCTCTTCATAACAGCACCACCAGCAGCTCTGACCTCAGCAAAACTTGGATCAGCTGGGAATGAAATTGGCTGGCCTTTTATCATGAAGCCTCGATACTCTGGTCGATCGGGGTGAAGATCTACAATAACTGGTGAAAGCGACTCAGAAGCTGATTCCTTCGCTTTGCTTATCATTTGGACAGCTTTTAACATGCCACCTAAAGTCTGGTGAGATGATGTTTGGTTTGTAATGTAACGAAAGGATGCAACATACCCGAATGATCTCGATGCCAATGAGAGAGTTGGATCAAGTCTATGGAACCAAAATCAATACCGAGTCTTTTCGCATTTTCAGCCCATACAGCTTCTTCGGGGCCTGTGTCAAAGAGTAAAGAGCGTTTGATTCCTCCTCTATTGGCAGTCTGTTCCGGCAAAGGATTAGCACGAGACCCAAGATAGATTGATCATAAACTTCATACAACTAGGACCGAAAGACCATGGGCACCACAACAGATACTCTCCATAGGCATGACATTCAATGACAATTCGCCGACTTGCATCACTTTCGATTCTCCAGTAGCAATGTCAGGAAAACGTCGAGTGTCTTCCACTGTGCCGGATGAAATGGCAGACATCACATCAACCTCATTGTCAACAATCACCGTGATCTCAAGCTCATCCACTTCGACAAGCGAACCCATCATCATGCCGTTGTTTTTATCAAGAACGTCAGAGTTATCGGGAAACTGGTGAGTAAAACGCTTGATCAATCAGAGGGAAATGGGTGAGATTGTGGATATCAGTAATAAAGAATCCCTCAAAAATGATCATACTAATCTGTATACATTACCATCAGCCACAGCGTTCGCTACTTCTAGGTCGAGAATTGGACTCGGCATGCCGGGACGAATGGCGTAGCGGCAGACTAGTAGATTCATATTTGAAGATTAACCTTCGATAGACAGGAAGATTTTAATTGAGTTGTTTCGAAGATTGATGACAGCATACATTCTTTCGAGGTAATATATTCTCATCACAGAGGAAGTCCAGTTCGAGACTGTTATTGTATAACGACGCCACAGCAGCAGGGTTGATTGGTTGAATGCAGCAAGTGGATCCACTACATCCCGAGGTCTTCTAGTGGGGGTGGGGCGAGGGGTGTCAGAAAAATCACATCAATACAACAGGTATTTGTTCGCATACAAAACAAGAGGGAAGCAAGACTTTTCTCTAGCAAATTATCGTAGTCACCATGGAGAAAGATCGTGCCGAGGTTGACTTGGGGGTCGCTGTTGATGTAGAAGAGAAGTTCAAAGAGTCTGCTGCCCAGAGACAACCCAAAAGGCGTTTTGTAGGGCGACGACAAGCAGCAGAAGCTGCGTCCAAAAATGGCTCGACCTCGATCGAAGACAGCGGCGCCATACAAGGTTTGTTATTTCTTCATACATAGCAGAAAGTGCCAAAATATTGACGTGAAGATTTAGTCGCAACACCAAGAAGAAATCCACGAACATTGAATCAAGTCCCTCCCGAAATACTCAACGACGCGGAACTGAACGCAGCTATCGCCCTTCTTCCTCCCAACTACTCCTTCGAAATCCATAAGACTGTTCATCGCATCAGAACTAATGGTTCCAAAAAGGTCGCCCTGCAAATGCCAGAAGGCCTGCTGCTTTTTGCGACGACCATTTCGGATATCCTTACACAATTCTGTCCTGGAATCGAAACCCTGATCATGGGCGATGTCACCTACGGCGCCTGCTGCATAGACGATTACACTGCACGAGCTCTCGGGTGCGATCTTCTTGTACATTACGCGCACTCATGTCTTATTCCCGTAGATGTGACGAAGATCAAGACTCTGTACGTTTTTGTGGATATTAGTATCGATACGACACATCTGTTAGCCACCCTCGAGAAAAACTTTCCATCCGGAAAAACTATTGCAATGGTGGGAACTATCCAATTCAACGCTACTCTACATGGAGTCCGAGCACCTCTTGAGAAGGCAGGATACAAGGTTCTGATACCACAGATTATGCCACTGAGCAAAGGGGAAATTCTTGGATGTACTTCGCCACGTCTCAGTACTGACGGAGTCGACATGATTCTATACCTTGGTGACGGAAGATTCCATTTAGAGAGCGCCATGATTCACAATCCCTCAATTCCAGCATACCGGTATGATCCTTACTCGAGAAAGCTTACACGAGAAATGTATGACCACAAAGAAATGCACACCTTGAGAAGAGACGCTATCAAATCTGCAAAGTCGGCGAAGAAATGGGGTTTAATTCTCGGATCTTTGGGTCGCCAGGGAAACCCGCACACAATGGCATTGATCGAAAAGAACCTACAAGAACAAGGCATTCCATTCATCAACTTGCTGCTCAGCGAAATATTCCCAGGAAAGTTAGCAATGATGGAGGATGTTGAATGCTGGGTGCAAGTTGCATGTCCTCGTCTAAGTATAGACTGGGGATATGCCTTTCCTCGCCCACTTCTTACGCCCTACGAAGCTTTGATTGTGTTAGGAGCAAAAGATGATTGGGCAAAATCCAATGATGATGTGTATCCCATGGACTACTACGGGAAAGAGGGCCTTGGGAGAACGAAAGAAGCGTTACCTATTGCAGTGAAAGCTTGAGAAGCGATCAAACAAATCCTGACTTCGAGCCGTTGATTTGTCACTTCCTCTCATCTACTCTACAACCTCTACAAGTTTCTATTCCTGCGAAAGCAGTGATTCTGTAACATTTGCCACGCAGGTTTTTGGAAAATATGGACGCTCAAATCAACGAAAATCATTTGTTATCCGCGACAGTTCGTAAGTCCATCCACCACCTAGTGGTGCCTGCATATCCACCTGTGTCTGTGGGAAGTCATGAGCCCAGTTGCACGTCGCGGTACTTCTTGTTGGAACCAAAGATTGGGCTTGTGAGACTTGGTTTCTCACAGCCCACCAGATTTATATATCTCTATTATGCTTTCGCACTATGACAGTGTCGGTTGCGATATCACAATAGATCTCTTGCACCAAATGTGTGCAGCGTTAGGCTATCAGCTAGCGTTGATCTTGTGTGCCTCTATATCCAGCTAAATATCGGTCAATGAGGAGCACAAGATACTGAGTCTGCGTATGGGTCTTCTTCTTCTAGAAAGAAAGCCGGTAATTCAACGGTCATCAAAAAGGAGTTGCCAGGATGCGCCCTTTCATTGTTAATGCGTAGCAACAAAACTGCATAGAAGTATTTTTTGCAACTTCGGATATAAGGTTTGGATTACCTGTTAAATTCCCGGGATACGTACCATTAGAGCTTCGATAGTCCGATTTATCTCTATGAACGGTTCTATCTAAAATCTCTTACTAGCTTAGGTCCCGGAAATGGTGGTACATTTCTAGCAGTAGCTAGACTCCCGAGTCACCTAAAAGATATATAGAGCTATCTCCAAGAGTACCTTGTATGTATAGGTAGACAATGATAACAAATCAGTGTATATGTCTACGAAGACATAGGTTATTAGAAAGATTCGTTCATTCCAGTCAAAAGAACCAACTTATTCAAAAGAATCAATTTGAAGAACAGAGTTAGCGACGGCGAGGTAGGCGACGGCAAGGTATCGACGGTGAGGGAGGTACAGCATCTATCCCAAATTGGATGTCGCTGGTGTTTCAAAGAACTTGTGTTACAGTGTCGGTAACTGCTGACTCGCAACCAAGTCCAATCTGGGTAGCAAAAATAATAAAACACTTTTGACAGAAGCTGCTTATAAACACATTGGGGGCCGGCAAGAAGTACACCTGTTATGAGCATAGTGTAAAAGGTCTGTTCCCAATAGCTTCTGACCGATATTAATAATTCGACGATGTTTTGGGATGTGATGATAAATGTTGTGTCGCACGATTTTCTGACAATATTCTGACATCTGAATCTGCGATCTATATATTGACCCAAATGCTCACAAATTTTCAACATCTTCAAGAACATCATACATTTATTGACCAATCTCAAAAAAACTTTATTCTTTCGATTAAACCAAATACTCCAAAACATGTCTTCTACCACTAATTATCTTGTCACTGGTGCCAATCGAGGTAAGCGAGATAAATTACAAGTGGTAACACTTAATTGATATTGTTACTTTTAGGTCTTGGAAAGGGTCTCGTATCTGCTTATTTGGCCCGACCAAACAGTATTGTCATCGCAGCAGTCCGCGATGTTTCTTCCGCCAGCGCAAAGGCTCTCAACGACCTCCCCAAAGGAGCCTCCAGCAAACTTATCATTGTGAAGATCGATAGTCTTGACGAAGGCTCTCCTGCTACTGCGATCAAATCTCTCCAAGTCGACTACGCAATTGCTCACCTAAATGTGGTGATCGCCAATGCCGGTATTTTGAACGACTATTCTACCGTTGCAACAGTTCCTCTCGCGGCCGTCAAAGAACATACCGCCGTCAACTCTTACGGCCCACTATTACTTTTCCAAGCCACTCTGCCATTGCTTGAGAAGTCTGAGAAGCCAAAGTTCATCTCAATCGGCTCACCCATGTCTTCCATTGGTGGCATCGAGTCTCGACCATTCGCCATGGCTGCTTATTCCGCATCGAAGCTGTTCTTACATTGGTTCACCAAGAAGATTGCTCAAGAGCATCCCGGTCTTATCTCGGTCGTGCTTGACCCTGGGTATGCTCTATTCTAATTCTCTGTGGGTTTGCTAATGGTCTAGTAGTTTTGTTCAGACTGATATGGGAAATGCTGGTGCCAAGAGGGTCGGTATGGAAGAGGCCAGTACTACGATTGCCGACAGTGTTGATTTCCTGGTCACAACAGTTAGTCCCCTCATTTCAATTTTCTCCGAAGTACGATCTGACTTTGAACTAGATTGATGGCGCTACAAAAGAAACATCTGGTCATTTCCGAACCATTGAGGGCGGTGACTTCTTGGTGAGTTCTCACTTTCTCCAATGCCTGTATCTTTGACTTTACTGATTTTTTAATACAGTGGTAATTTCCATCTACCAATAATGAGAGCAGAATTTGATATTCATGTCATTCTTGGTGATTTAATTAGAAGGACTTGTGGTTAGTTGGTGTCTCTGTTTTGAGGACGGTTATAAGCTTGATAAATATCATATTATAAGTCATTGGTCTTGCCGTTCGATAAATTCTCTTGCTGATAAATGGGTGTAAATATTCGTTGCCCTTCTGACATACGCCTTTCTGTCAGACGCTTTTCTAAAAGGCTGTGCCAGAACAAAGGGGTCATTTCATAAGCGAGTTTTGTCATAATTTAGGGATATTCGTAAATTATAAACTATTCATGGCTTTATCTGACCATGACACTTCATATGAATTACAAGGTATGCACGACATCTCAGTCACTATCTCATTACAAGCCCTACGGAGTTGCAGTAAAATCGTTTTTTCACCGAGCTGTACAAAAGATATCATTGAGAACAGCGCCACCAGTGTTTGAATTAAAGTTTCACAATATACATACCAGGTAGGGTTTTCGGCAAAACTAAATATACAGGCTTAATGATTGTTAGCCCTTAATATAGTAATCTTATTTTTTGCATTGGAACATCCAGGGCTCTCGGTCGTCACTCGTCGAATAGGGCTGAAGTTCGCCTATCGGGGAAGTGGGATAAGTGGGAGACTTGCCCGATCTCCTGATAGATGGCGACGGCGAGGTGTAACCGCGTCCTTAGCTTGAATTTTAGTGGGCGCCGTATAAACTATCACGAGGAGAATTGATCCTTTGATCCTTGTGTAATGATTTGGGTTCGAAACAAGATGTTGTGTTCGTGCCAAAAATAACCAGACACTTCGAAGCATATCAAGCCTGAATTGTAACAATTCTCGAGGGTATCAAAAATGACGCAGCGTAATCTCCGGATTGGTATCGATGTTGGCGGGTAGGAGCTCTCATTTCGCTTGCAAGAGTAACGACCTCATCCTGACAATTGAATTAGAACAAACACAGATGGAGTCATTCTTGACCCAACCCGCTCTTCGGAGCCAGATCGAGGAATCATCGCCTGGCACAAAGCATCTACAACAGCGAACCCCTCTTTAGGAATCAACAATGCGCTCACAGCGATGTTCAATTCATCCCAAATCGACCCGAAAGAAGTAGCGAGTGTTACAATTGGAACTACGCACTTCATCAATGCTGTTGTTGAACAAGACGAAGCGAGACTTGCCAAGGTCGCCGTCGTGAGGTTATGTGGACCGTTCTCTCGTGGTGTACCACCTTGTGTGGACTGGCCTAAGAAGCTCAGAGAGTTGCTATGTGCATACTTCTGTTTCGTTGATGGAGGACTGGAAGTTGATGGCAGTCTGATTTCTGAGATAAATGAGGAGCAGATCAGAAAAGAAGCTGAGGTCATTAAGGAAAAGGGGATTAGAAGTGTGGTGGTGAATGGGGTTTTCAGTCCCGTTGATGTGCTTTATCAACAAGAAGAGAAGGCTGCTGCTATCATCAAGCAAGTGATACCAGAGGCGGATGTTGTCGTCTCGAAAGATGTGGCAAACCTTGGGTTCTTGGAAAGAGAAAACGCTGCAATCTTGAATGCTTCAATCCTTCCTTTTGCAAGGAAGACAATTGATTCATTTCAGAGTGCAATATCTCGCCTCAGTCTTCAATGTCCAGTGTTCATCACCCAGAATGATGGCACTATCCTACTTGCTTCGGCGGCATCCAAACTTCCCATTCGGACTTTCTCGAGTGGACCGACCAACAGTATGAGAGGAGCTGCTTTTCTAACACAGAATGAAATCAAAGAAGCTATGATGGTTGTGGATATTGGCGGTACAACCACAGACGTTGGGCTTCTTCTGGCAAACGGTTTCCCACGCCAGGCTGCAGCTTTTAGTGAGGTTTCTGGTGTGAGAACGAACTTCTCCTACCCTGATGTGAGAAGCATTGGACTTGGAGGGGGCTCCATAGTTAGACCTCGAGCTGACGGGTCGTTGACCATCGGTCCCGATAGCGTTGGCTATCAGCTACCTGAGAAAGCAGTTGTTTTTGGGGGTCAAGTGCACACGGCAACCGATTATACAGTCTTGGGAAACGAAAAGTTGGAGATTGGAGACAGATCACTTGTTGTTAAAGCTGGGCTGGAAAAGAATTTTTCTGGCTTCCAAGCAGTGGTCAAAAAGATGCTTGAGCGAGCTATCGATACCATGAAAACTTCGGCAGACGACATTCCTGTGCTTCTAGTTGGAGGAGGTGCAGTGATAGCACCGAATGAACTGACTGGGGCGAGTAAGGTTGTGAAGCCAGAGTTCTCAGGCGTTGCAAATGCTATCGGAGCTGCTACAGCTCGAGTAAGTGGTGTTGTCGACACGGTGGAAAGTACAGAGTCAAAGTCCGCATCCCATGTGATGGAAGAGGTTTCTAAGCGAGCTATAAAGAAAGCTGTGGATAATGGAGCAAAAGCAGACACCGTACAGGTTGTGGAGATGGATCATTTGCCATTACAGGTAAGCTTTTTCATTATTGTAAAACAATTTTGAGTCCTAGTTAACCTTTCATAGTACATCGCAAACAAGTCAAGATTTATCATCAAAGCCGTTGGAGACTTTGACTTCTCGAGAAATGTTCGAGATCAATCAACAATTCCACCATCTTCAGAAGCTGCCATTGACGATATGGAAGAGTATCAAAAAAAGTCTTCCGAAAGTAAACAGAATAATATTTCCAACGATGAGTCTAGCAACCTTCCCGATTTTGACATTCAGACATATAAGCCCAAATTCGAAGGTCGAGAATGGATTATCTCAGATACAGATCTACAGTGGATAACCATCGGCTGCTACATACTTGGTACTGGTGGTGGCGGCTCACCTTATCAGTACATGCTTCGATTACGCGAGCTCATGAGAAAGGGAAGTGTTGTCCGGGTCATATCTCCAGACGATTTAAAAGATGAGGACTTGGTAGCCTGTGGCGGTGGCAAAGGATCACCCACTGTAGGGAGTGAGAAGCTGGCTGGTGATGAGTAAGTGCTTTCTCCCTCCTTTTCTTTAAATTTAAGAATTGACGACGACTAGAATGATGGAAGCTCAGACTGAGTTATACAAGTATATGGGAGTAAAACCCGACGCCGTAATTGCACTAGAGATTGGAGGCGGCAATGGACTTCAAGGTTTGATATTAGGAGGCTCATCAAACATGAATATTCCATGTGTTGATGGAGACTGGATGGGCAGAGCATATCCCGTGGCATGGCAGACAACACCTGTGGTGTTCGAAACGAAACCAGTGTTCTTGCCTTCAACAATTTGTGATGGAAATGGCAACGTAATGGTATTTATTCCTCTAGGATCTATTCTTTTTTTTCTAAATCTGCTAACAATACAAGTTCATGACAAAAGCACGATCCGAATTAATGGTCGAGCGGGCCTTCCGTGCCGCTCTCAGTCAAATGGGCTCACATGTTGGATGCGCAAAGGGTCCAATAACTGGAGCTAATACCAAATCATGGGTTGTCGAACATACGATATCGCTCTCCTGGCGCATAGGTCGTGCCGTAGCGCTCTCTCGAAGTCTGAACAGTATAGATACAGTAGCCGAGTCTATCATCAATGAGGTTGGTGGTGAAGAATCAGCTAAAGTGTTATGGAAAGGAAAGATTACTGGTGTTGAAAGGACTCTGAGAATGGGTCATGTGTACGGGGAGGTCATTATTGAAAACGTGGATATGACGGGAACTGGAGATCCAGGTGATATTGCAACGGGTAAGAAACTGAAGATCCCGTTCAAAAATGAGAACATTCTTACCATCGAGGTAAGCGAGGATGGACATGAGGAAGTAAGCAACCACTCATCTGCGCCATCTTCAAAGTCTAATTATGTCCAGATTATTGCCTCCGTGCCAGATCTCATTTGTGTAATTGATGCTCAGAATGGCGAAGCTATTGGCACTCCTGAGTATCGCTACGGGCTTCTTGTAATCGTACTTGGTATTACAGCTTCGGAAAAGTGGACAAGCACCGCTCGGGGTTTAGAAATTGGTGGACCGAAAGGATTTGGTATGGATGATGTGGTCTATAAGCCCATTGGTGTGTTCAAGAAGCCGATAAGTGTTATTGACGAGTATGCGCCGAAATGATCAAGTATTGATCCGAGTCATCATAAATTGAGGTACCAGCTCTGATTCGCTTAACATCTAAGTGTTTTTCCCTGCGAACTCTAAACAGGTCATCGAGCTACGCCCTCCCTAGGTTTCAATGTGTGCTAATTAGAGAATGAGTTATAGAGTGTAGATTCGTATTAGGAATGTTTGGATTTGCAGTTTTTGAACTCAGAATAGCTTTCGCTCTTTGATGTGCATGGTGTGAAATTGAGAAGTGACGAGCGGTAATAGTTCAAGAGGATTCAACTTCAACACATTCGAAACATCCTGGTGGACAATAACCTTGGCCATGGTCGGTATTGTGGCTACTCTCGTCGACCCAGTAATTAACTTTAGCAATTGTCTCGGCTACTTCAGAAGCTGCACTATCAAGATTACTTGTGATCTGATACGAGGTCACTTGAGGTGGTGTTTCATCGACCAACACCCTACTAGGAATGGCAGGACTAGCTTCAAGTACAACTGAGCTCGTCGGCTTGGGGGCACAGTACTGATACGAACTTTCACACGGTCGTTGACATTCCAATTCATCCATTTCGAAGCTCTCCTTAGCAGGAAAAGAGTATAGGTAAGAAATATGACGGGAGTTTCTGAAGCTGAGTTCCATATGACATTTCAAATGGGCTCGCGGTTTCCTAGGTGGGGGTCTGTAAGCTCTGTGATTCTGTGGTGCTATCTCAAAAACAACAGGTCGGTAAATCAATCCAAGGAACTCCAGCAATGGAAACATGCTAGACTTTGAGATGCTGACAAGTGAGTTACACAGGAGCTCAACTACTCTGGTTTAGACTCGAGAGATAAAGTCGATCAAGATCAAATTACTGTGGCCTGTTAACGAATTTTCTTTGTCCGCTCCGCTGAAAGCATTCCTTTGTCCATAACAACGAAAAGGCACACTTCCAGTGATTTTTCTGTTCGTTGTCTTCAACTTGGTTCGATTGTCTTTGTCTGTTCTTGACAACGCTGTTGTTGGCATTGTTATTGCAAGATGCGCTTACAAGCGAGGCATGGGGAATGGGCGACGTTACCTCACCATCCACCTGTTCTGAGGGCTGTATAAATGGTAGTTAGGTGTGCCAGGCATATTCCGCTTGAAGTCTGTTCTTAAGCAAATTTCCCCAACCTTGACACCAAAAATTGAGCCCATCAACCATCGCCCCAGAAGTCAACTGACTTCATAATGTTTCACCAACCCACGCCAGATATTCGAGCACCTCTGGAAAATGTCTTGAGTAATCTGTCCCAAAAGCCTCAGTACTACGTTCATGATGGATGTTCACACCTGTTTCAAGTTCGCAACCGTAACCCACCAGACGGTTCCCCCACCCAGTTGTGTATCCCCTACGCCTTCAGTTTCAATGACTGTGGGCATTACTTAGAGTATCACTGTACAGTTGGAAGATCATTTCAAGCGGGAGAAGTTCACAACTTTTGCACATTCAACCTGCCACCCATGGCTAAAGACCTAAACAAGGCTGGGTATTGTCCTCAGTGCAGAAAATCTATCGAGGAACATGAAGAACTACTCTCGGCGTGTGGTCACAATAAGAGCCGCATCTCCCTTGCGGTTTCCCATATCTGGAAGCGTATCACCAGCTCCTTGACGGTTGTTGTTAACATGCACTCTTACCCAGCCACGAACTGGACATCATCCTCGGGTACTCACAGATTTCGCAGGTACCACTGCAAAGAATGTAAACGCGATGATGCCGCTCTTCGAGAGATGTTAAGTAACACCGAACGCGGTGTGAGACGAGCTGAGCGTCGCCAAAGATTGGCAAAGATGGCCCGCACTTACAGTCACCGCTGGGATATAGGAGCATGAGGGGTTCGTTTGGCGTATAGCACCCGGTTGCTTTTGATCATCTGTTGACGAGCACAGCAAGTTTCCTCAACACGCACAGCAAGGCCATAAACTCGAACCTCATTTGATGGTGGAACTAAATTGCATGTACAGCCGAGTTGCAAGCATTTTTGTCGTCAACTCGTATGAATTAATTTGCAATACCAAGCATTTTCGGTAAGTCACATTGACTTCCCAGGAACTAAAATGGAATTGCAAGCATCTTCGCACGGTGAGAATCAGGAGAATGACCAGTTGTTGTTAATTTGGAGTATCAGCTATGCTCCCAACATTATTGATCACTTGCTGCAGTGCGCTACGCAAACATAGAAGGACTAACGTGTCAAAGCAGACTGAGGAGAGAGGAGGTAGAGGGTATAACTTATATAGAAATAAAAAGAGGTAGCTAAATAGAAACCAATGAACCTATGGCAAAATTGTGCACATGATAAACAGGTAGGAAATGAAGTGACTTGAGAATTGCATGACTTGAGTGACTTTGAGTAAACAAGATGCGAGACACTTGACGTATTTTCGATTGAGTATTCCTGGCTTAGATTGGTGGGTATTGTAGTCTTCCAGGTTGCTAGAACCAATTGATGACACACTTAATTAACTGCTCACTCCCTGCCCCGGCTCGCTCAAATCGCGGTACGAGAGCTTCCTGAAAGAATCTTTGGTAACTGTTGCATGAGCACTTTCACTGCCCATTCCAATGTTGTGGCCATGTCGATATCTGGATCTCCTATCTGGGTCTGAATATTCGTTTGCTTGAGCATCTCGCCCTTGACTTTCCCTTCGACGTTTTCATCTTCAAACATCCACTTGTGATCGTTCACATAGTTTGGCCAAACAATCTTGTCAACGTATCCAGGTGGATCTTCCCAGAATCCTTCAAGAGTGACATATCCACTTCTGGCTTCTCGTCGCGCCTTAGCTTTAGCGTAGCTAACACGCAAAAATAGCTTAATATCAATATGTGGCTGGACTACTGCCATCGTGTCAGAATAAAGGAGGAAGCCATCAAATATGCAGAGCCGGACGGGGTTCTCTGCAGAATCCAACAGACCATGGCCTGGGTTTCCTGGCTCGCCCCAAGCCTTGACAGTTTCTTTAAGAGACTCAATCGTAGAATCTGGAACAGGACACTTGCCAACTGAATTCTGATCTTCTTTGGAGTCGAGATCCGGCTGCAAATCGTAAGTCGCCTACTTAGTTTGATACTTTGCACTGACGCACCGGAAAAGTCCCCTCTTTGTGAATGTGCTCCATCGAGCTTACCATCGCAGGAAGGTCAAGCGATTCTGCACAATCCCAATCCAAGTGTCCCTCCTTGCTAGGAAGCCTGACCCAATGTCAGCGCTGTTGGACTGGCGAACGGTATGTTCCTGTCGTTGAGCACTTACTCAACTTCGGCTCTGTAGAAGTCATCTTCGTGCAGGACAAACGCATTTGGGAAGATGTCTCGCAGTAAGCGACTCAACGTTGTTTTCCCACTCGAGGAGCAACCACTAACTCCTACGACAATAGCCTTCCGAGGTGAAGCCATCACGAACGCGGAATTTGAGGTGTCTGATGTTTTCCAATACGGCTGACCTTCAGGCTAAATGAGTGCAGGACTGAGGTCGATCGCGGCAAATGCAGCTGAGGCTAAAAGCCTTTAGATTGTAAATAGTCGACTTGTACAACCACAGGTGGTTGATATTATTACTCGGTGCCGAGGTTGCAGACGTCACTGATGCATCCGATCGTGGATGTTCATGAAGTGGGAGAGTATCACTACCATCATTGGATTTATGAAGATGGGGGTGTTGCTAGACGCGTGCCTAGGTACGGAGTATTCTGCAATTCTTTCTGTCCCGGGCATCGGATCCGAGTCGGGTGTCTTCGGAAGCCTAGCACCGATGTGTATGCTAGACCAACAGGGATAATCCAATTGACGCCAAATTTCCCCAGGTTCCGCGAGTGAGAAAAGAAGCAAATCAACCAGGTCATCGTGACTAAAGCTATAAAAACTTTGCGTACAACTATCACGCCAGTTTGTTTTCTTGTGATCGCTTGCCATTGACCTTTGTTTCCTTCTAGAACTCCATCCCCAACCAGTTCCGCTCCTCCCATCACAACATGCTCTCCTCAATTAGACTCGCCACCAGGCAAGTTGCTGTCCGTGGTGCTGCAAGAAATGTCGGAGCTATAAGACAAGCTTCGACGTGGGCCGACGTCCCCCAAGGCCCCCCAGTGAGTCTTTGCGCAATCCAAACCTCTGAGCGCAAAGTTACTAACATGCACACAGGATGTAAGTGTCTAGACTATCTGCGTGTAATCATGCGAGCTTGCTAACATCATCTCCTCTTCAAAGGCTATTCTCGGTATGTATTGAGTTTTTTGGGAGTCAAACAATTGCTTTTTCCTAACTGTGCTTCAGGTATCACGGAAGCTTTCAAGGCAGACAGGTTTCAAGGAGAAGATCAACTTGGGTAGGTGATAACGTTGCTACGTGGACTAGCAACGCCCTAACTCAATTGCAGGTGTTGGCGCATACCGAGACGATCAGGGTAAACCATATGTACTCCCATCCGTACGAAGCGCCGAGAACAAGGTCATCGAGCAAAAGTTGAATAAGGAGTATGCGGGAATTACTGGTGTACCAGATTTCACCAAGGCCGCCGCTGTCCTTGCCTATGGTGAAGGTTCAAGCGCCCTCGACCGTGTAGTCATCACCCAGTCGATCTCTGGAACTGGTGCGCTCCGAATTGGTGGTGCTTTCCTGCAGAGATTCTTCCCTGGAGCAAAGAAGATCTATATCCCAACCCCATCATGGGCAAACCACGCCGCTGTTTTCAAGGACTCAGGCCTCGAGGTCGAGAAATACCGATACTACAACAAGGATACGATCGGGCTCGACTTTGAGGGTATGGTTGCAGATATCAAAGGTGCTCCAAAAGGCAGTGCCTTCTTGCTCCATGCATGCGCACACAACCCAACTGGTGTCGACCCAACCCCAGAGCAATGGAGGGAAATCAGTGATGCTGTCAAGGCTGGTGGACACTACGCTTTCTTTGATATGGCTTATCAAGGCTTCGCTTCAGGTAACACTGATACGGATGCTTACGCTTTGCGATACTTTGTTGAGCAAGGCCATAACCCATGCCTTGCCCAATCGTTCGCTAAGAACATGGTAAACAAAATCACTTGGATTCTGGAATATCAAATACTAATTCTCATACAGGGTCTCTACGGTGAGCGTGTCGGCGCTTTCTCCGTCGTCTGTGCAGATGCTGCTGAGAAAAAGCGCGTCGATTCTCAGATCAAGATTCTCGTCCGCCCTCTCTACTCCAACCCTCCAGTTCACGGTGCTCGTATTGCCTCTGAGATTCTTAACGACCCTGCCTTGAACAAGCAATGGTTAGGAGAAGTTAAGGGTATGGCCGACCGTATTATCACCATGAGAGCTCTTCTCAAGAAAGAGTTGGAGAATTTGGGATCAAAACATGACTGGAGCCACATCACCAGCCAGATTGGCATGTTCGCCTACACAGGACTCACTCCTGAGCAGATGGACAAGTTGGCGAAGGAGGTAAGCAACAAAAACACATGTGACTAAAATGAAGCTAACTAGTGCACAGCACTCCGTTTATGCTACCAAGGACGGCAGAATCTCTGTTGCCGGTATTACCTCTGGGAACGTCAAGAGACTCGCTGCAGCTATCCACGCCGTCAAGCCATGAAAAATGAGGAGCGAAGTTTTCTAGGTAGATCTGATCTAATGAGAGTTATATGCTCTATATAATTGTATTAGATAGAAGTCAAATGTACAACATGATGAAGATATTCTAATTGGTTCATGTTTTAATTTCACGCTTACCGCGAGCAAAACTCGCAACTGACTCGTAGATTCAGAACATGCATCTTTAAGTATATTGTTCAAGATGCTTGCTAGGCTGGTAAATCATTTGCATCACCATGTCATATCCTAAGCCTTAGATAGCCATAGTTGAGCCTACATATATCGAATCTGACGCAGCCGTTACCCATGTACAGCTGCTACATGACCTAGCCCTAGACTTGCCAGGCTGAGGCAGCTTCCTAAGCAAGATTCTCGCCTGGTATCATTCCCAGATCTCTTATTTTACTCCTAGGCCTATCGACCAGCGATTTCATGTCCCATATAAATCGTAACTATAATTCCAAAAGTCGCTTATTTCCCACGAAGCCTTTCCACATCCCTTTGTACTTCTCCAATCTCTTTTCTCAACTCCCCATATACCCTAGCAATCTCTCTCATAACCTTTTCCTTTTCCTTCCCACCCTCATCCTCTTTCCTCCCTACCCCATAACCCCAGAGTATCCTTTCCGCACTTCTCTTCCTATCACTCAGTCTCTCTCTCGCATCCCTTAGATTCTCCTTGTATCTCCCCAGAGCTTCTACCGCCTCGGGTGTGTATATCATTTTCTTCGCCTTCACACACTTCGCTCGAGCTTCGAGCTCTACTTTTTGGGCCTCAAGTGCCAGATAAGTTATTTGCGTGAGGTAATGCCGTTCGAGAGATAAAGATCCATGTTTCGAGGTTTCGAGAAGCTGGATTGTGATGGCTATGGCATCTTGATAGGCTTGCAATAAAGTAGTCGTTTGTGTGGTCAGGGCGCTTCGTTGCTTATGAAGGGCGAGCCGCTTGGTGTCTATCTCCTCCTGCAGAGCCGCAATACTCGGATACAATTTCGGTATCGAACGATGTATAAATGAAGGATTCGTTGTCGGTGAGAGGACGCGCGTGAGTGCAGAAGCTTGTGTCTGTAGATGGGTGGAAAGCAGAGAGGCTATGTAGGGCAGATGTTCTGGTAATGAGCGCCATTGCGGCGTTGATTCCAGGAGTTTGATATGTGCAAGTGGTATCTGTGTTGCTGTAAGGCGGGATGTAAGGAGCAGGATAAGTTCAACGAGTTCTGACGGAAGTGGTTGGGGTGGAGGTCTAGGCTGTGTTTTTGATGGCTTTGCGACAGGCGGGGTTGAGAGATCTAGATTTCGCAGACCTGAAATCAGGAATTTATCTTTCGCAGAACTTGCTTGTGCTTTTCTAAGCGTCTTGTAAAGTTAGAACTATGGTGTCGCTGCTGGAATGGTTACAGACTAGTTGGATAACGGCCCGCTCCTTTTGAGAGGGGTGATTCGTCGTAGAGCCATCTGAGTTTAGGATGTTGTTCGTAAGGTTGGCATAAAGAGCAGCAAATTTCGGATTCGATTGGAGAATATGGTTGTCTACTGGGGGTATCATTGTAAAATTCGAGTGTTGTGGACGATTGTTTTGGTAACAACAAGGCTGAGGGACTGGCTGCTCTCGGGTTGTGGGGTAGCTTTTACTAAGTAGCGAATCGGTGAATTGAGAGCTTTCAATTGAGCTAAACCTTAAAATTATGAGTGGAAGCAAAAGCTTTATGGTCAGTAAATGGAACATTATAGCAGACTGTGGAAATTAGTTTTTTTCTAATTGAAATGTCGGGGATAATCTGAACAGTAGTACGAAAAAAGTTACATTTATTAGCTGGAAGACCGACAAGGACCCCAACATCTAGTTATGGAGATGGATAAGGCCTAAAATAGCAGATGTGTTGAGCTACCCCAAATCTCTCATAGCTAAGAAATATGTATCGATGGGGACGAAATAGAATGTACCAACATGTACTCAAGACATCCTTGATAGGAAGAGAGTAGCTATTGCAGTGGGCGGCCATGACACATTCTGCATGATGACCGAGGTTCTACAGCTAATCGATGTCCTAGACCATTGCATCTTTTCCCCAAAATATTTTCTCAATTGGATGGCCAAATAAGAGGATATATAAGGCTGAGCCACAGATGATTATGAATTATCAACCAAATGCAACAGGCTGAGGAGCCGAGAATGCGTACGTAAACGAAGCAATTGCATGAGCTCCGTGTCCCGTTCAACCAATAACCAAATACAAATGGTCCCAAAGCAGCAGAATAGATTGGGGCGAGTCGTCCCGGCCAATCAAAGGAACAGAGGCTTGAGTGTCAGACAGTGTCTGTGATTTGGGTCAAGCATTTTGATTGCTTCAAGACGGGGGACTGCGCCGTACACTAAATGGCGTTTTCAATTCTGCTGACGTTCTGAGCCAGGCTGTGTACATTTTCAATTGACGGACGTCTTTCTCGAAGAGGGTTTTCCATATTCACGGTCCTGTATAAACAAACGAGGCTTGCGACAGCTTTTGACAAGTACAACATTATTGAGAAACAGTGAAGAAGGATATCTCAAACGTCTCAGCCAAAGAACATTTCAACATGGCCTCGGACAATGGCTCAAAAGCATTATACGAACAAGAACGCGATTTCCTCGCTTCTCAAGCACATCTCATGAGCCAACCCGGGACGTCGTCTATTCCCCTAGATCCATCAAGTCCAACAACACAGGGACCTTCTGGCTATAACCAACCTTTACCGATGTAATCACAATTCCTTCACAGCAATGTCGAAACTTTACTGACACTCAGAGAAGAGTCGGCGACAGACCACCATCATATGTTGGCCCGGTTCGGCGCACTTCAACCTCCAGTACCCAATTAAGACCTGTTCCTCTTATCAAGGAGTCTAGCTGGTCAAAATTCGAAGTTCCCACCAAAAAGATAGATTTGTCTTCAGGTTTTGCGTACGATGAGAGACTAGCCCCGCTTCGAATTTCGCACGAAGAATGGTACCAATTCAGCAGCGAAATTGGCATTGCTGCCAAACTCACGCCCGGTGAAGACTGGGCTGCTTGGACAGCTGGTATCACGACTGGCACCCTTGCGATCCCTTTCCTCCTCGTCTGGGCTCCCAAATACGGATACCGAACAGGGAAATTCGTCCACAGAAAATCTGTCCAGAGCAATGTTCAGAAGAAATTGGTCGGCGATGGAGAACTGCGCAACGTTTTCAGGAAGTGGAACCAGAATGTGTTCGCGCATAAAGGATTTCAGGCATGGTTGGAGTTGCCAAGCGATGAGAAAGAGATCAAGCCCTCCTCCAATGCCACCAAAGAAGAGAAGGAAACACTCAAGAAAGAATTCGAGACATCGAAGAAGTTCAAACTGTTGATCCTGCCCTGGGACGGTTCGGATATGGGACCTACGAGCATGGGAATGCGTACGAGACAACCCAGCGTCCGTAATATTGTTGAGGCTGACGGCGATCAGATCCAAACAACGAGTCCTACTAACATTATACCTCCTCTGTCCGAGGCGCCGCCGCCAGAAGCTGAACATTACGCTGTGAGCCCGTTGTCGACTTCAACAAGCCCGCAATTTACGACGAACCCGAATCCTTTGCCGAGAACGATCAGTCGAAAAGAGCTGGCCGTTCACGGTGGGGAAGTAAGACACGAGATGGCGGGATGAAATAAAATTGCAGCTGTTGCTCGATTCAAGATGGACATAGTAATACCTGATTACACCAAAGACATCGAGTGTCCACAAGCAATGCGTTCTTGATAACGCATGTACAGGGTAGGGTACCACTTAACAGCTCAACTCTTGAGCAAAGTTTGATTTGTCCCGAAGTTTAGCTCCGTGGTCTCCTTCTCTGCGATGGTATGAAGTATATAGCCACGGTTTCTTCTCCTTGTGGTTGTAAGCATATATCCATGATCGTTCTCCATTTCTTCGCGAAATGATGGGGCACTGCCCGGTGGTTATTCTCCTACTGGGGCCTTGACGCCGATTTGTACATAGAGAGAGACGCGCGAGGAGAGTCTCAAGGAGACTGTGGTCGGATTGCGAAAGAATGCTCTTTCTGCTGTGAAAACAGCCGTGAGTGAGAATAACCGATAGGAAGAAATTAAAATCAGGATATACAAGTAATTTGTTGGAAACTCAAAGCGTGCAAAACCTGGAATAGAGCGTCACATGACTACCCAGTTGGACAGCGTCAGCAGCTACGGTGGGCGCAACAGACCCTATGCGCTATCAGTTATCGGAGAAAAATAATTTTTATCGCAGCTGCAGTGGAGTCTTGAACCCATTCCAGCACGACGACGATTCAATTGAGAAGCCAGGCGCAAGAGCCCGTATAATTCTTCACCATGTCACTAGAAGAAAAGCTCGACAAGATCCGATCGCCAAAGCTACAAAGTCAACAACAGGCAAGCCGCACCTCCCACTACTCTGTAATTAGTTGAACATTGCTGACCGTCAAGTGCAGACTCGGGTTGTGTTGGCCGCTGTCGAAGACACACTCCGGGACCAAAAAACAGAACCGTCGCCAACGGGATATTTCGCTGCTCTGCTGGCCCTCCTTCGAAATGCCGTGTCTGCCACCTCTGTGAATAAAGACTTGGCTACTTCAGTTGTTTACTTGCTGGATGTTGTTACTCCATACGCCCCACAACCCCTCCTTCGATCGAAGTTCTCACAAATCCTCACCAACCTCGCCCCTGCGTTGACGTTTGCGGAGGCAGATGCCCCTCTGCTTCGGCCCTCGATAGGATGTTTGGAATCTTTACTTATTGCACAGGACTCGGCGGCATGGGAACTGTCGCATACACAAATCGGTCCGCGGCGGGCAATAGCTGGACTTCTGAATTTAGCAGTAGACCATAGGCCGAAGATCAGAAAGAAGGCGCAGGAAGCAATTACGAATGTCCTTAAAAGCCCGCCTCCAAGCCCATCCTTAGACCATCCTGCGGCCGATATGTGCGCAGAAACGGCCCTCAAGAGCTTAAGTGATCTTGCGACCCTGTCGAATCAATCCAAGAAGAACAAAAAAAATGTGTCATCCGAGCACGAGCCGGCGTTAATACACGCGCTTCAATTAGTAAAGACGGTTGCTGCAGCTTCGGGTGGGTGGCCAAGCAAAAAGATCGAGCCGCTGTGCGAGGTCCTCCTACACATTTCCAAATCGAGTAACGAATACATGGCGATGGCCGCGTTTGAAATTTTTGAGATTATCTTTGCGGGAATGGCGGAGGCAACGTCCTCTTCCAAACTTCCCAGGCTTCTCGAGGTCATCTCAGAACTTCGTCCCTCCCAAAACGACTCCCAACTTCTACCACCATGGATTGCAGTCATCTCCAGAGGTTACGATGTATCCGCACAGGTGGAACCCGAAGAGACGTTTCAAAAGCTACCCGAGCTGTTTGATATGATTGCATCTTTTCTCACTTCATCATCCCACAATATTCGTGTCTCAGCATCTGAATGTTTGATCTCATTTATGGCGAATTGTGTTCCAGATTCGGTTTTGTCCGAGCCTTCCATATATGACGAAAAGGTGTTAGAGAAGCTTGCAAAGGCTGCGGTTGATCTTTTGAGCGTAAAATACCAGGCTGCTTGGATGGAATCGTTCAGTGTTATGGGCGCCATGTTCGACGGTCTGCGCTGGCAAGCCGATCCAATTCTAAAAGATGTTGTTCAAACAATTGGCGAGCTTCGCGGCAACGACTCATTTACAGGAAAGAAAGAGGCAGACGAGATTATTGGAAAAGCTATCCGGGCTATGGGTCCCCAAAGTGTACTGAGCATCCTTCCGCTGAACCTGTTAAAACCAAAGCCTGGACAACCTGGCCGAGCTTGGATGCTACCCATTTTGCGTGAATACGTTAGCAACACCAACCTTAGCAACTTCAAGACCGAATTCGTACCCCTGAGCGAAATGATGTTCCAGCGAGTTATAGACAATGGCGACGCAGAGAAAACGATGGAGATCAAGATTTTCGAAACACTAGTCCAACAAATATGGGCGCTCCTTCCGGGCTACTGCGATTTACCTCTCGATCTGATTGGCTCTTTCGACCAACCTTTTGCTGAGCTTCTTGCCAACCTCTTGTATCAACAAGTTGGGCTGCGTTCCGATATCTGTAGGGGTCTCCAAACTCTAGTTGAATCGAATAAGGCAATACTATCGATCGAGGGGGAGGAGGATATTGTTTTGCAGTCCAGAATATCCAAAGTTACCGCTCAGAAGAATATCGACCATCTTTCCGGGTTTGCAAGCAATCTGCTTGCTGTTCTTTTCAACGTCTACAGTGAGACTCTCCCTCAACACAGAGGTCACATCTTGCAGTGTATCAATGCATACCTAAGCATTGCTCCAAATCAGGAGCTCATGGATACTTTTGAAAAGGTCACCTCAATGTTACAGTCTTCCCTTGCAGAATCTGGGGCACAAACGCAGGCCGAGAAACAGAAACAGAAAGAGCAAAGTGGAACCAGCAAAATGCCTCCAATGAGCCATACTTTGATGGATCTGGTTATCACAATTTCCATTTATTTGTCACGAGAAAGTTTCAGCACTCTGTTCAATATCGCATCACTTATAATAATCATGGACAGTGATCCGCAGTTGCAGAAGAAAGCTTACAAGCTAATTCCAAGACTCGCCGAATCTCCAACTGGCAAAGAGGCTCTTGCGGAGCGTAGCAATGAGCTCCAACAATTGCTTCTGAATAGTGCCGAAAAGGTTTCCGCTCCTGCTCGAAAAGATCGCTTATTAGCAATCGCCACACTTATCCCGTTCCTGCCAAATACGTCTCTCCACTTCATTCCATCTATTCTTTCTGAGGTTGTCATATCTTGCAAAGAGGTGAACGAGAAAGCACGGACAACCGCTTTTGACCTGTTGATATCCATGGGGGAGAAGATCGTTGCAGCCGAGGGCTCGATCATTGATAATAGCAAAGTACCAAATATGCCAGATGACGCGCCAACAGTTTCTGCAAACCTGGAAGAATATTTTACTATGGTCAGTGCTGGGTTGGCTGGATCCGCGTCTCACATGGTTTCGGCATCTATTACTGCTTTGACAAGAATACTGTACCACTTCAGGCAGTCGCTGAAGGTCGATACGCTTGCCGAGCTGGTTGAGACAATGGATTTGTTTCTCACTCATAAGAATAGGGAGATCGTCCGAAGTGTATTAGGCTTCGTCAAAGTTTGCGTGATCAGCTTGCCCACAGAACTTATGCTTCCAAGGTTGAAGACCCTAGTACCAAATTTGATGGTTTGGAGCCATGAACACAAAGCTCATTTCAAAGCCAAGGTCAAGCATATTCTAGAGCGAATGATACGTAGGTTTGGCGTCAATGTTGTAAACCAAAATTGTCCCGAGGAGGACAGGAAGTTGATCACGAACATTCGCAAAACGAAGGAGAGGAACAAGCGACACAAGGATGCTGCAAAAGAAGCCGGTGAAGGAAGCGACGAGGATGGTGCAGAGCCCTCAGGTGGCAAGAGAAAAGGTCATTTCGAGAGCGAGTATGACGAAGCAGTTTATGGTAGTGATGATGAATCCGATGGCTCTGATATCTCAGACAACGAAGTGCTGGGGAAGAAGAGAAAAGCCGCAAAGAAATCTGGAAACACATATATCCACGAAGAAGAGGACGAGCCCCTGGATCTCCTCGATCGCAGGGCTCTCGCAAATATCTCGACTACTAAACCACTCAAGCAGCGTCTTCCTGGGAAGAAGACTAAAGCCAAGATGGACCTGGACGGGAAACTTATCCTTGGCGGTGATAGCGATGATGAGGCAATGATTCTCGACACGCCTGCCGACGGCGGAGCAGAAGATGATGAGGGCGGTGTGGGTGCATATGTCAAGGCTATCAAAGGCCGTGATGCTGTACAGAGAGGAAGGGGAGGTAGACTAAAGTTTTCGAATAAGAGAGGGCAAGACGAAGATGATGAGATGGACGTGGATGAAGCGGATGTGAAAGCTATCAGGAAAACAACTGGTGGTGATTCTAGGGGCAGCTTTAGAGCTGGCAGAGGTCGTGGCTCACAAAGAGGCGGCAGTGGCAGGGGCGGCATTGCGAACGGCAGGAGAGGATTAGGTGAAGAAAAAAGACACGGTAGTTCTGGAAATAGAGGTGGTGGTCGTGGGGGTAGAGTGATGAAATCGCCGAGAGGAAGAGGTCGGAGATAGTCTTGTGATGTATATTTGAAAATGATACCTTTGATGTTGGGATAAGCAGAAATGCGTTTTGTCTGGATTACAATTTTGGTGAGTTGTAATTAAACTAACTTGTCAACAGTTATGATGTTTTCTCGTATGACAAACAAGTAACGCCAGTAATTCTTGAAGCAGCTTCCCGTGATTTTTCAATTACTCCAGTATAAGTTGACATATCCTTCGCGAAGAGCGAAAGAGCAGCCGCTGGAAATTGGAGGTCACTAGATTCTGTTCTCTTCCACCTGAACTTCACAAGATCAAGTCAATTGTTACAGCTCATTATGATTCAGCACATGTAAAGTAGTTTCATTACTCTTCACAAAAGATTAAGCTATTATTCTATCACGCCATCTTCATAGGACATCCCTTATCCACACTCTCCGTCTTCGTCTTACTAGCCACAATCTCCTTTGTCAACCGCATCAAATTCTCCGCCAAGCTGCCATCCTTATCCTGGAACAGCTCGCTGCCTGGCTCCGGAATCGCAGGCGGACAGATATACTCTCCGCTCTTCTCGGTCTTCGTAGCCGCATACATCGAGCTCACACAACCCATCCAGAAGTCCTTCTTGAATGGCTTCAAACCAATGGCCATCGCGGCGCCGGCAATGGGGTATGGCTCGTAGATGTCTTGCGTGCTCATGGTGGACTCGACGACGCCGGGGTGTACGCAGTTTGCGAGGATGTTGGGGTATTCGGAGTTTAGGTGCTTGGTTAACCATTTGGTGTGTAGCATCGTGGCTAGTTTTGCACGGCCGTATTGGGGATTCGGACCAAGATCTCGGTTCAGCTCGTCGAGAGATGCGAATTTAGTGTCTTTAGGTGTGAATTCGTGTGCGTTACTTCCTACGTTGACGATTCGTACGGTGTGTCCGTTCTTGGCCGTGCTCTTCATCAGAGGTTCCAGGTGACTTGTCAGGATGGTGTGGCCCATGTGGTTGACAGCCATGTGTCTATCCATTCCATACTCGGTGAGCTGATATGTCATGATTCCCCTCGCGGCATCGTTGATTAGGATGTCAACTCGATCCGTTTGCTCAGCAATCTGGCCAGCCACCTCCGCAACTTTATGCCAGTCACCCATGTCGCATTGGAACCATGTCATCTTTCCTGCTGCTTCGGGAGAGATGGTGCTGCTGACGTCTGACTTGGCCTTTTCGAATACTTCCTTTTTCAGGGAGATGATAAAGACTTTGGCCGCACCGTGGGCGAGGAGGGTGTGTGTGCAACCATAGCCAACACCTTCGCTGCCACCGGTAATGACAGCTACCTTTCCAGTCTGATCTGGGACATCTTTCTCGAGATCGAACTGATATTCAGGTTTGGCGAGGCTGTGACTGTAGAATTTATTAGTCCATGTTACACGTTGTATTATGATTCAAACCAACATACCTGAAGCCACCAAGGTTCTCAGCGATAGTGTTCTTAACAGCTTGCATCTTGCGAGTGGATTTGTTATATCGGAAATTTGGGATAGCGAAGGGTTTATTTCTAAAATAGTAGTACAAAGTAAAGGGTACTTCTTAACTTATAACAAGGGTCCTACCAGATCTCGAGCGGCCCTGCATAATACATGTCATGACCTACCGATTCGATGACGTTGAGACGTCTATTCTGGAAGCACTTTCGTGCCTGTCCTCACGAAACTCCAATGGATCCGAGTTTTTGGGTGACCCCCTCGCCCTTCCATCTCTAATGAGCGCAGAATGATTGGGCGAGATGGGTTGTGAGCCTACCGCTGCATTACTAGTTCTGACTTGCAGCGATGGGAATCTCGATGTCGATGCAGTGCGAGGCTAGGATGAAGTCATTCCGAACACGTGATTCGGGCTATCTCCTTCGAAGGACAAAGACATCAGTGGACTCGTGGAGTGGGATCTAGATCTTATACGGGCACTGGAAATTGGAATAAGTTTGGCAGATAGACAATTTACGTATTCTAGGTAGGTATTTTTGTCAGGCAGGCTCAGGATTAGAGTTTGCATATAGGGAGGGCGATTTGAGGTATGACTGAAAACCAAATACCTTATTAGTGGTTAAGAGATAGAATTTCGAGGCTAAAAAGAAAGTGGTATTCGAGGTTTCAACGTAGGCAAAGAGTGCAATTGTAGGGCATCTAATTAACAGTATCATAGATGTCCATTGTGCTAAACTACTCCTCAAATTCTAAATGATGTTTTCTGGTTCCATACAGGTATAATGAATATCTCCACTGCCAAAATAACCTCCAGACTTAAAACGTCTCCCACTCCATGGCTAGCTCTTTGATCCGAGGTTCCCCCCATAGTAAACAAAACATTAACGTTATGAAAGAGTGTATGTGAATTAAAATTGGTGGGCTCGCAACCAACCAACCGAAGTACCCAAGCATGCACGGTCTGATAAACGGGTATACCCAAACTCCAAATTCACATGTTCCGCATGAAACGGAGATACAATTACTAATCAATCTGGATCCTCTATCTCTTCTCATCGATGAATCCGTAGCTGCTGCTCCTCGAGTGACTAGGGTGGGCATTGACTTCCACGTTTCGTTGTGCGACACCGTGGTGCACGTCGTGCTTCTCGTCGTGCAACGAGTGGCGATCTGCAAATGGATCGCGATCGTTCATATCTGGTTGAGTCGCGCTCAGCGGTCCACCGAATGTTGGGAACGTGCTGCCATTGTTTCTCTTTGGAGAACGTGGTGTAAGTGCGCCTCGATTATCGCCAGTATAACCAATAGGTCCGCCTTCAGCGCGAGTCTTGTCATTGGACATCATAGCAACTATGACACGAACCAACGCAATTAGCACGATAAAGAACCACAGCGCAATGAGGCAGGCCGAGATTATTGCTTCGATGCGTAACCCGTCCTTCAATTTGTCTGAGACCTTGGCGATGGCAGATGTGATACCGTCGCCGGTCACATCTCCTGGGTTTGCAAGGAAGGAATCGTCAGCCGTCGAGTTGGTGAGCGACGCAGCAGCGCCGAGAGAAAAGACATCTGGTCGGAAAGTCGGGAAGTCAACATGTGCGTGGTCATGAACCCAGGTGAGTCCCTTCTCTATGCCTGCGATCTTGATGCCAATGAGGCAGTTTACGAGACCTTGGACATGGCCAATCAGGGGTGTACCACCAAAGGTAGCGTTCAAAGCTTCGTTCATCTTGTCGGTGAATCCATTGAGCGTGCCGTTGACCGCTTCCGTTGAGGTTTTGACCCAGCCGAATAAGTCCTTGTTGACCTGTGCTCCAGCGCCAAGTATGACCTTGTTGGAATCGGTGGCCCAACTTTCTGAAGCGTTACCCATCGCGTAAACGACCTCGTCAGCGAAACCTCCAACCTCCTGTGCGATGGCTGGAACTTCCTTCTGGACGACTCGCAGAATGATGAGTTGACATATACAGCTGAAAAGACCAGCGAACCCAAGAGCAAGCACGAAGAGCGCAGGTATCGAGGTAATGTAGGCAAAAAACCACCGAGTAAGTATCTGGGCTTTGGTGCTTTTAAACCTTGAAGCGACTTTGATGCCAAAATTTGAAGTGTATGGACGTTGAACAATGTTGGTGATATCTAATCCATCATACCCATGCTTTCCAAAAAATAGTGCTCGCCTTTGCATGGTTCTATAACGCTTGATCTCGAGCCAAGCCATGGGAAAACAAACGGCGACGGCAGCAATCGCCAGGATAACGACAAAGGCAATCTTGGTTTTCTCCACGGTCTTAAAAAGTCCGGTAAAGAAATCAACGATTTTGCTATTTCCTGAGCAGAATGTCAAAGCCTTCTTCTGCGGGACTGGGAAGACTGATCCATCGAAATTGTATGCTGGAAGCGACTGATTGATGAGCTTCTTGATTTCCTCGAATGGGAGCCGGATGATGCTGTCAGTAAACTTGTGGACCTCGTCGAACGTGGGGATCGATGCGTTGAGCTTGGTCAATTCCTGGTTGAATTTTGTGGGGTCGACTTTGATGCCGTTTAGCTTATTGATGCCATCGGTAAAGTCGATCTGGGGTGGCTTGGCACCAAGGCCAGGTAAGCTGATCTTGCCCAGCAAGTCGTTGATCTTGTCCTGGAGTTGCTTGCTTTCGTTAGCAATATCGCCAGTGAGATCCTTAATCTCCTTGGTGAAGAAATCAGTAACGTCCTGAATCAATCCGATGGCGGCGGACAGACTGCCGCCAATGACAAGAGTAATAAGGCAGACATATGTGGAGGTCAACATATTGATGTAGAAAAGAATGATCTCTTCGACGCCGGTGATGGTAAGTAGTACCATCTTCATCAGTCCCTCAACAGCGTTGGTGATGCCATCAGCCGCCAATGCATTGACGCCTTGGGAGAGATAATGTGGCATCGATGCCATGGCACTGCCGACGTTCTCGACGCTGCTGCAGGCGGATAATGCTTCGTCTTTGGCTGAACCGATGGCTTTGTTGATATCTCCAATAGCGAGGAGAAGGCGTACGATGATGAGAAGTAGTAAGATGGTCCATCGGTTGATCCAGACTTGCGATAGTCGGGCTCGAAGTCCTAGATAAGGTGTGTAGTAGGGTACTGTGGAAGGAGGAGGAGCGGCCTCCTCTGTTGCGTAGTCGTGCATCTCATAGTTGGCGGCGAGGGATGCTGGGACGGCTGGGTAGCCTTGGGTTGGGGGGTTCCTCGTGGAAGACATCTCAGTGTGAGACGCCAGGAATGATCTAAGTCCATCCAGTGGAGCCATTTAGTCTGTGTTTCTATGTTTGAGATGTTGTGGGGAAGTTCTCTGAGGTTGTAAAAGGAAGATAATGAAGAATGAGTTGTGAATATGGTCGAGGCAATGGTGTGAGTGCGAAAGCGGAGGAAGTAGAAATTAATTATTCGATCGGCAACAAAAGTATGAACGGTGAATAAAATTAGACAATGAAACTATTCCTGAATAGCTCCTTTGTTCTGAATGGAATGGTAAAGGAAACAATGACTATTATGGTTGGGACAATAATAAGGAAACTCGTTAACGGGGGCACGTGAGCAAGGTGCATGTGAATAACAGACAAAGCAGAGCGAGTCAAACGGGCAGCGACTTACACTTAATAACCAACACACACAAAGCACTCGACGATTGACGAGATGAAGCGAGACACAAAGACGGCTTTGTTTCTAAATTGCAGGCCCGGTCGTAGGTCTATTTGCGACGATGTGGTATTGACTCGATTTCGTTTGATGGTGGAAGCGCATCCAAAAATAGCCGCTTTGACGAGGAGAGGTTCTCAGCCAGTCGATTGTCGGCGCAACGACGAGGTCGCGACGGAGTAGCGGGAACGTCGAGGCGGCTCAACAAAGGAAGAATATACTGGTGATACTTCGTGGTCGGTTCATGTGGAGTACAAGAGGTACACGGTCGGTACGAAAGGGCGCGCGTGGGTATATTTGGTATACTTGGTATATTCGTGGTGGTGTTGCTCCCAAAATTGACTTGCACAGATTCTGATATTGAAGACTGCAGCTGGTAGTAGCGGTGGAAAATCGTCTGCAAGGGGACACCGAGGGGGAGCTGGATGTACTTGATGGTGTCCATCTTTCGAAGCAGTCGCCTTCAGGTGCTGGGGAGCGACTTCCTTTATTCGACTCGTCTCAGTGATAATTGATTCTCTACTCTATCGTCCAACGTGGAAGCTGCTCCGACGCGACCTGACGACATGGCGGTTGGATGAAGCGTCTGTTGCCGAACGAGGCGGTGCATCTGGGAATAAGATACGAAGTTTTTTTCAAAAGAGCTCAATTCCTACCGTTGTTTGATCAAGCACGAATGAAGGAGAATATTCTGCCAGTGTGAGGTGAGGGAGAAGCGTGCGCTGGGAAGTTGGATGCGGGAATCAAGGCTTTTACCCACCCACCGCTCTAACCCCGCCAATGGCATTCACCCTCAAATCCAGGGTCCAACCCGAGCATCGACCTCGCTTACCACCGACTCCTTCTGCTCTCACGAAAACCGGTTCTCCTTCCCTGCCGCCAGCTGCGATCTTCTACCGTCTATCTAAACTCAGAAATAAAGACGGCAGATCAGGACAAGAATTAATCCCGAGAAATGTACCTCGTGCCTTGCTGAGATTCAGAGTGACATCCAATCGGTTGCATTTGAGCGACGGTCGTTTCAAGCTTCTTCGCTTGGCGGTGCTGATTCGCTTGCCGCCGTTCTCTCCCCCAAGTTTTTTGAACCGCCGTGCCACGAGGCCACCCAGACGCCGCCAGCTCTAAAGCTTCAATGCCAACAAGAGGTGGCATTCCCTGCAAGATCTTCGCTACCGTCCACAGTTGCCTAGCCTGCCGTCGCCAGAAAAATGAGGCTTCAACAAGTAGTTATCATTTGTCTATCTCCCTACATCTCGTGGTCCTTTTCACCGCCCCGGTCATGGCCTGATGCCAACCGTGATACCCGTCAATGATGATCCAGCTCTCCGACTAACCCTCCTTTGGCCGGCGCCCTGCTGGTATGAGCATCGCCTCAGCTTTTGCCCCTCCTTTTCCACCATACTCGCGAAGACTGGTATGGCAGGTACTTCGTCTTCGTGAAGACTGGTCGAGGCCCGCAGGCCTCCAATGTATCGTACACTAGAGCTCCGAATACCTCGTGTTTATTCAGCCATCTACAAGAAGCGTCTTCACATCCGCCACCGCAGCTCGAGCTATCTTCTTTAAGAACACCCTTTCATCTGCTTCTCGGTATTTTTCCCAGCCATCGAGTCCCTCTTTGGCTTGAATACTAAGCGTCTCGTAGCCCTGTTTGATAACGCCCGCAACCTGGATGTTGGTGAGATGTTTTCCTCTCCTACCTTGGCTGCCGTTCGCGAGAAGCTCCTTGTAATGTTCCGTGACACTAATCAAGGTGCCGATAGAGTTGTTTGGTCGCTTCCCTAACTCATAGCTGTCCCGAAACTTTACCAGGATTTCTCCCGTCTCAATCAACTTGTAGAACAAGTCATCGTATGCTGCAGGATTTAGGAGAAATGCTTCACCAGCTGACAAGGATAGGGCGATCAAGTTAACAAGATCGTCAAGTAGCGTATCAATATGATTGAGATTTTTCAGATCTGCTGTGTATGTAGTGAGAAATCGGACAAGCGAGAGAAGAGAACGGAATAGCTCTGCCCAGTGGTAGACCAATCGCGTGCGCGATCGCGATAAATGAGAGATGAGCCGCAAAATGATTCCAACGCAAAGAATATAGAGGTCAACATCCAGACGCCTGCGTAAATTGTGGTTTATCCCATCAATCATGGTGTCCAAGATACTAGCTGCAAGCATCCTTTCTCCCCGAACTAGGGGTAGATACGGTTGCCTCTGTCTGCACAATCTCACAGACATTTTACTCTCGTCACTGCATATCCTCTTGCAGAGGACTTGATCTTCAATCAAGAGTCGAAGGATTAGGAGGTTGATGTGCGAATACTGAGACGTCCGGAACGACGAGTGCGCATGTTGCAAAAGATACGAAGTAAAGGACACAAAACTGCTAATTGGCGGTTCCGATCCCTTCTCCGCGGGAAGAGTGACAAAGTTGAAACAAAATAGCTTGTTTGCATGTGCGAAATCGTATGTTGCAAGGAGGACCGCCGCCTCACTTCCTGGCCTTTGATCAATTAGCATCCGCGTATGTCATGGCAACGTGAGCTTACAGTCTCGCGAACATTTCTTTCGCTGCTTCAGGGTCAATGGTAGGTTTAGCTGTCTTTGCGCCAGGTGCCACTGAACCAAGGCCAATCATACTAAGGGTTGTGCTAATCGACCATCCCTCTGGGAGATCTTCCTGGATTGCGATATATCTCCCCCGGGATGTAGCGCACGTACTACCAACGGATCTAATGATCTTTTGAATTGTACCCTCGTTGACAAAATCGTCGAGTCGTAGTCGATATGGATTTTGGAATTCGAATTTGTTGTAATTGGCAAGAAGTCCAAGGAGGGTAAACGGTTCGAATGCGCGCGAGATGTTTTCGGAATCTTGAACGTACTGGACATAATTTAGATCCTAGGCTGGTTACAGGGCGACTGTGCTTACTTTCATTAGAGATGGGAAGAGATCTCTATGTGTAAAGTAGGAGAGAAGACTGGTCTGATATGCGCCAGAAACGACAGCGAGCGCAACGTCGATCGCTTTTTGTCGAATTTCAACTAGTGTTCTTTTAGCAATATCCCAACGTATGCCTCCAAGTTCTTACGAGTACGGCCAGTCCTTATTGTAACCTCCAACGCAGCTACGAAATCCGTAAATATGGCATCCACATCGTCTAACCCAGCCAGGACATTTATTATATCTGAGCTTGCATTATTGTATTTCTTAGGAAGTACAGAAGCGAGAAACGCCGTGATGGTCTGTCTCGTTAGCCGTGTCTTGCGGCCAGATCACTAAGAAGGTTCTTACGTCCAGGGCGTGAGCATCTGCCGGAGCGGTTCCTGTCTTGACGCAAGATATAGCCCTTGAAAAGAGCTGCCGTGTTTGATTCTATATCGACATCAGGCCCCGACCCCTTTTCGTCACATTTCGGCCTCGTACCTGGAAGTGGAGTAAATCATCTGGGCTCAGCTTATCCAGAATCTTGTGTAATGTTGCCTTGTCTGGCTTCAAGGCAAAAAACTCCCTCCAAAACCCTTCCGTTTTGTCAACTTCGTTTTCCTCGTCATCCTAAAAAAATGGTTAGGCTCGGGAAACTGGCATTTTCTATAACGCAATCGTCGCACCTTGAACAAAGCTTCGTAGAGCTCGACTACTTTCTGTTGAAAAACCTCAGGCCGAGCCTGTTGGGTGAGCGGTGAAGGCTCCATCGATCATGGCCGTCAGAGGAGAGTGTTCAGTCAATTGCCAGCTGGGATTTTGTGCGGTTGCGAGATTTAGTTTCTGTGAGACAGCTGCGCGTGCTTCGTGCACATGCGATTACGTTTGACCCCGATGCCATCAACTTTGCGTGTGCATGGGTAAGCCCGTACCGAACTAATGCCGAAAGGACTTAGCACGTGCTTAGCTATCCGGCGCCAGGGGGCCAGCGCTCGAAGGTTGTTCCGCTCCGATAGACTATCCTCTTCAAAACCACCATTGACTGGCAAAAGGCTCCGAGGCTTGATGGAAATAGAAAGCGTTCTCAGAATCCCTTCCCCTTCTTACTGTGATCAAGGAAAGTTGTTCGTTTTTCCAACTGTATTACAACACGCAGTTCTAGCTTTAAATCCATACGCTGCCACGATTGATTCCCCAGCTGACAATAGCTGTCTTATGATTGGGTAGACAAATCGTCACATTATTCAGCTTAGTCGGACGATTTAGAATCGCATCATTGTCCACACAGCCAAACCAACAACCTTCACCGGTCCTCAAAACTGAACCATCTTCAATGTTACCAATGTGTACAACATCTATCTTTACCTGAACCTTCCTCATATCGTCAAAATGTCTGTACCACGGGTACTTGCACCGCTGACATCATCCTCAACACTGGTACTACGATTTGCCTCACACTCCAGAATCTCTTCAACCTGGCCATGTCAACATGTTCTTCGCACATTCTCTTCCTCACAGCCTGTGCAGACCTCATCGAAACGAAAGATGCAAACCAGTACAGCATACCAGCCCTATCCTATGAACAATCAACCTCCGCCACCTCGAAATACTGGGATCCCCGACACTTCAATAGCCGGCGGCATACCACAGGTCAACGATACTAGACCACCTAAAGATGCGAATGGGTTCGATTTCGGGGAACCTAAGCCAGTAGAAGCTTCGACTCTGAGTCTGCCCGAAGTCGAGGCGCAAAAATCTCAACCGGCAACGAAACCTCGCAGATACAAGTTTAAACCAACCAAGGCAGCTATGAAACTCACATCAACTGCCGTTGATCAGCTGCGCGCAATGCAAGACGAGCCGGATGCGAAGATCATCAAGGTGGGCGTTAAGAATCGGGGATGCAGCGGTTTGGCGTATCACCTCGAATATGTGGAAAAGGCGGGACCATTCGACGAAGTTGTAGAGCAAGATGGCGTAAAAGTTCTGATTGACAGCAAGGCCCTTTTCAGTATAGTAGGAAGCGAAATGGATTGGGTGGAAGACAAGCTGAATCAGAGGTTCACTTTCACAAATCCAAACATAAGTAGGTTATGTCCAAATATTGTCCACTTCCCTGCTAACAATTTACAGAGGAACAATGCGGTTGTGGCGAGTCTTTTATGGTGTAATATTATAATAGTTATACTGTCGGTCCTCCATTATTGTGGCGTTATACCAGCATACAGGCACATTGGGCGGCGTTGGGCGATTGGATACCACTCTCAGAAAGAGAGTTCTTTATATGCATACAATTCTTATGACTGAATAATGAAACCCATGTTGTTCGAACCTCTTGATATTTCCAACCGTCATATTTGCTGGAACTCATCCTTCATTATGGTTATTCTCCATTTTTGTAACCTGTTCATCTTCACTCGTCCGCAACTAACTGCTGGCTCAGCAGCAAACCCGTACTGGGCATGCCATTTCCACCCATAATCCGCCATCACCCTAATATTTCCCCGGCTCATAATCCACCACCCTCACATTCTGTATAATCCCATCCAAACTCTTCACAAAAGCCAGATGTGCCGGATCCTCGGTCAAGTAGTATTTTCTATCCTCCTCGCTCGCGAAATGGCTTACGAATCCATGGGAGAACCCGCCCTGCAATTGCACAATTAGTTTGAAACTGCATCAAGGAAGGAGGGGGACTTCCTACTTGATGGCCCTCTGGCGAATTGTCTCTGCCTCCTGAGCTTTCGAGGATATAGGGACGGTTCGTCCGGGGATGGACGCAGTCGGCTTTCAAGGCGAGCATGCGACGGCAGACCTGTGGTCTTCTTAGTTACTAGGTCGAGAGGTGGGGGGACAGGCTCACATCTTGGATTACTTCGTGTTCAGTGGTGGGTTTGAATTCGAAGAGGACAATGTGGACGAGTGTCATGATTGAGATGGGTGTGGGTGGGTGGATGGTCACATAGTTTTGCTAGGGATTGTTTTTCTTTTGTTGCGCTGTCGCGGGTTTGGTAGAGGGGTGGCCGAAGATCGTATGATGCTAAGAAAAGCACCCAATAGAAAGGTGAAGTGGTTTCAACGTCATCCATGGTTGTTGATGATTAGAAATGCATACTTTGAGCATACTTTCTACAACAAGATCCCTGAAACTTATGTGTTTATAAAAGAACTAGTCTGATTGTATATTAAAATGCTGCCAAAACTCCCTAGTCGTTCAAAAAGATACCCCATGATTGTACTTTAGGATTAAATTCATGGAGCTCGAGCAAAAAGTACCCCGCGATCGCCAAGACTTTCGTACAATTCTGTCTTCGGAATTTATCCCACCTCAGTTGTGTAGGACACTTTTATAAGTCCTGCATCAGATCACCAAAAGAGCCATAGAAGAGACCGAATAAGAGTTTTCGGATTGCTTAAGAATACGCTCTTGGTTTCAAATCAATCCAGCATAACTTGTCCTGCTTATCTAGCAGGAACAGTAGTGCACAGGTCTGAGTCATTCGCCGTATCTGTTACATGTTTATCATTTTTATATCATGAGATGCTGAAACGGAATTGAGAATCATAATTCTAATTACGTCAAGCTCAAAATCTTTAAAGCCCTACAAAAACAAGAAGGGACAACAAGTTACCACCATGGCAACACCAAGAACAGAGTAAGGAAACCCCCTTATCAGTTTTTCATACTTCTAACATCCTTCAGCTTCCCGCCAGTACGGGCATGTCTTTTTGACATGGACGGTCTTCTGATCAACACAGAAGACATTTACACAATAGCCCACAACATAGTTCTCGCATCATTGAACTCCGGTCCCATGACCTGGCCGATCAAAATGCAGCTCCAAGGGCGACCTGCCCACCAAGCCATCACTCTCCTCCTCGACTACTTCAACCTCACAGACAAAATCAGTCTCGAGGAGTACACCGCCAAAGTCCACGAGGTGCAAGAAATAGAGTTCCGAAAAAGCATCGTGTTACCTGGCGTAGAGAAACTCCTCGGCGATTTGAAGAAAAGCGGAATTGAAATTGCGCTTGCCACATCGAGTGGGAGAAATCATTTTATCATCAAGACCGAGCATATCAAGTCTTTATTCTCGAATTTCAGACCGGAACATCAGATTTTAGGCGATGACCCGAGGATACCGAAAGGAAGAGGAAAGCCAAACCCAGATATCTATCTAATCGCGCTGAAAGCTATCAACGACACTTTACCTTCTGGTACTACGCCAATCACACCAGAAGAATGTCTTGTTTTCGAAGACGGCGTGCCAGGTGTAGTTGCAGGGAGAAGAGCGGGGATGAGGGTCGTGTGGGTACCTCACGCTGGGTTGGCGGGTGAGTTGAGAGGAAAAGAGGATGAAGTCCTCGCGGGGCTGGCGGAGGGGAAAGGGGACGATAGTGGCATCGAGGGCAAAGTGGGAGATGGGTGGGCCGAACAAAGGGTCACGTTAGAAGATTTTCCTTACGAGAAGTATGGAATGAAGATCGAGGCGTAAAGAGGCGCCAGAAACGAGTTCGTACTCAAAACAACATGTTGAATGTGTAGCCAAACAGACGATTAATTGATGTTTCGTTTGAAGGGGAATAAAACTTTGTAGTAAACTCAATTGTAGACCATCACTGCATAATTTCCACTGGCAGCCGGGTTCAAGCGGTGCAGAACAAATGAGACCAATAAATACCCATCGGCAATTGTGTCTAATATGAAAACGCATCACCAGTTGCAGTCAGATCACTAAGTGATTTATGGATTTTTTTGTTAAATTCATGCTTCCTCTCAAGCCGGTTCGCTGCCCAAAAAATGCGCCACAAGGTATTCATACCAAGCTGACGATGCGCTTCGTAAATATCGGCTTGAGCAGCTGCAAATAAGTCCCCTCTTTGACCCAGTCATTCCCCGTTATCTTCGTCCCCCATCATACAAACAGAGTGCGTCGCGGTGTTTCCGACCTTGTCGGAGCAGTGCAATTTGAGTATTGCGGGTTATGGTATTTATGATCAGCCCACGTTAAAATTACCCTGCTCTGTTCTCATTCCCGCAAAATGGAAAGAGCATAAGGGTACCATCACGATCCCAATTTAGTTGATTTGTCATCGGAATCGTTTGGAGTCGGTGAAGCCTAGTCGACGAATGCTTGCCGAGCAAAATAGCTCCGTGGCCATAGTCGTCGCGTAATTATGTAGGACTGAAGCCAAGTTGGCGAATGTGAAAATGTTAATATACATTGATAAATCGACAATAGAATGCGTGATGTTACAGTCCGCTGGTAAACCCGGACCCGATCAGATGCAGCACGGCGCAATCATTCTTCTTCGGAATCTGATTCATCGCCACTCGATTCTGGCTCCTGCGTCTCAACAGCTAGAATGTGTCAGCGCTCAACACTTTTGCAGCAAACCTCATAGCACCAGGTGACTTACTTTGTAAGACAGGTTCTTGAGAGCCCGATCCTTGTCTATCGAATTGGCCCATTTTGTTTTTTAGAGCCTCAATCTTCGCTTCTTGCTCCCCTGCATTCATTGGCTTATTCTTTTTTTTGGGTGCAGGCTTAGCGAGAGTGCGAGGTGCCTCTTTTTCAGCAAACTGGGCTCGGACAGTGGCGTCAACTTCAGGAGCGTACTCCATGATCAAGTCATGAATTTTCCAGAGAATTGGGGCGCTGACGACGTCGATATCAAGCTCCAAAGTACCATCGTCACCAACCTGAAATACATTAGTTATGAGCCAGTAACAATGAAAGGATACTCACATCCACACCCATTTGATCTTGCTTGATCATTTCGAGGACGTGAGTTGAGATGTCGTCTGGCAACGAAGAAAGTCCATTGGATATTACCTCTTTTTCCACTGTTCCCATATACTTGGGCTTCTTTTGGTTCAGCTTTTTAAATTTGTTTACTGGCTTTGGTGTCTTTGCAACGGAAGACTTCTTTGGCTTTGGTGCTTTTGTTTTTTTGGGCTTTTTTGCTGCTGCTGCTGCCTCATCCGCCGCCTTCTTAACCATGGCGATAACTTGTTCCTGGAGATTGATCTCCGATTGATCTGCGTTCTTGTTCCTTAAAAGGGCGATAAGTTTGGACTGTTCATGAATCAATCGCGTTGCTGCCACACTTTGAAAAGGGGCAGTAGGGGCAGATTCATCTTGGTCAGCCTCCTCTTCGCTTTCTTCTTCGTCCGAATCGAGCTGCGGCGAGGGACTAGCCATAGGGGGGGAGTGCTCAGCAACCCATGATTGCTTCTTCTCCCACTCGTGATTGAACACATCAAGGAACCGCTTCCCCATTTCATTGACAGGATTGTTTGCGGGGTTGAATTTGAAACAGTTTGCAAAGATCAACCTAACGTCTCTCTCAAATTCCTTTGCACTAGGATAAACACCATTGCGGAGATTTGAGGTAACAGTTTGGAGGTCCATGGGGTTCTTAATTATTGTGAAGTAATTGGGTATGTTCAATGCAACCGGATCAACTGGCTCCAAGAACGGAAGGCTGTATGCAGAGTGTTTCGGCTTCTTCATCTCGTTCAAGACGTGTTCACAGAATCTTAGTTCTGTGGCGACCTTCTTGTTCTTGGGTTTAGCCGCTGAATAGGGAAGGTCTTTAGTCTTCGGAGGGTGAATCTCCCTTTTCGGTCGATCCCCTTTGGTGGAGTCACGGCGAATGATGGGTGACTGCGTGTTTGGATTCAAGGCAAATGTGGTTGCTGCTGGTCCGACCGGCTGCGCTGGGGATTGTCCTGAACCCTTAGATTGCCTCCTCGCCGTATTCGCTCGCGGTGCCATATCAGGCGCTGGTGTGGGCTTTTTGGGTGCCTTGCTTTTCTCCCTCTTGGGCGCGGCTGGCGTGGGAGGTGGAAGACGTCGAGCCTTCTCAAAAATCGAGTCGCGGAGTTCACGGGCCTGCTTTGAGACGCCGTGATCAGCTCCGTTGAAAGTACAGCAGTTGTTGTAAAGCAAATTTATGTCGGACTTGAACGCTTGCATGTTGAGATACTTCCTGTCCCTGAGTCGATTATCGATCAACGAAAGATCAACGGGATTTTCAATTTTAGCAGCGTATGAAGCACCGAGTTCCGGCCACAAGTCCGCAACGGATTTTCTGAAATTCTTCCCAGCCAACGTCTTAGTACTGTTCCGGATCACCTTTTGCAACTCCTTCACCTCGTGGTCAGTCAGAGCGTCAGATGTCCTTGCGTCGTCGCCATTCGGGTGTGGTGTAGTCGTCGATGCGCCTCGCTCTGAGCCATCAGCTTCTTCCGTTTTCGTGCGTTCTGCTAAGGGCTGGTTGTCATCGTCGCCATTCTGATGTGGTGAAGTCGTCGATGCGCCGCGCTCTGATCCATTGGCTGCTTCCATTTTTGCGGATTCTGCTGGAGGCTGACTATCCTCGTAGCCATTCTGATGTGGTACAGTGGTCGCGGTGTCCCCTTCTAGCGCATCATCTTCTTCTATCTTCGCCGGTTTGGTTGAAGGTGAGGGCTCGCTGTCGTCGGTGCCATTCTCGTGTGGTACAGTCGTCGCGGCGGCTTTCTCTGGCCCATCGGCTTCCTCCGTCTTCTTGCGTTTCGCTGAAGGCTGGCTCGCCTCGTCGTCGTCCTCTCGTTCACGAGCTATTTTTGGAGGCTGAGGTTCAGGTCCGGCTTCGTCGATGACATTGCCTTCCATTGGCGCGTCGCCAATTGGGTCTGTGACCATGGCTGCATCCAAAGGAAGGGCGTCCTGCTCCATCTCCATCGGCAGCTCCTGCGTGACAAGAGTTACCTCTACTTGCTGAAGTTGAGGCGCGGCTTCGTCGATGGAACTGGCTGCTATTGGCGCGTCGCCCGTCGAGTCTGGGACAACCACAGCAGCGTCCTCAGGACGTGCGATCTGGTCCGTCTCCATCGGCACTGGCGATGTCATATGCGCATCCATGTGCTTCGGTGGGAGGAGGACGTGGTGGTGGTGGAGGGGGGTGGGGGAGGAGGAGGAAGCTCGGGGCGAATGGGCTGCGATCGCGGATCACCTTGAGGAATTTTGAAGACGAGGAGCAATCTACTCTTTGTATCTGCGAAAACATGCGTGAGCACGCTTGACAAAAACAGTCAAGGGGCGCGGCCCTGAGCGACACGGGCCGCCCTGCTAGTGCAGCCAATCAACGGTGAGGACACGGGCCAGGAGCGCGGTCTTTAGTGGTGCTGGGGTGTGTGTAGCGGGCGACGGCGTGTCCGCCATCCTCGGTTCACCTTCAGCCTCGCAGCATCTACTAGCCACACCCGCTCTCCTCCCCGCTTCACCCTTCACAGCCCCTCGAAGTGGTAATCAAACGCACCTTGCTTTTGGCGCTAGGCCGTATCGTCTCTAGCGCGCTCACTTTTTTTTGCGAGTGAAGCGTTGAAAGGCTGCCCGCTGGAAAAGTTCTATCGCGAATCAACACCGCAAAAACAGTTCATATTCGGATGCGTCTGATATATGATTTGGTCAACCCCTCATACCACCAATAGATATGTCTACCAAGAGGAAACTCCCGCAGAAAATTGCTCAGCCGAAGGTGAATCAGAGTGCGAAACCCGCGGGGAAGGAGAGGCTTGACGATTCAAGAACGGTCGTGTCTGGTGGGGGAAATGCCCTGAAAGCCCGCACGAATGGCGCCCAGGATGTAGTCGAGATATCTAGCGACTCGAGCGACGAGGAGGACGAGGACGAGGACGAGGACGAAGGTGATTCTGCAGATGAGAGCAGCGACGAAAAGGCAATGAAGACGATACAAGGAAACGATGTGGTAATGAACGACGCCGACGTCCCAGTTCCCGAGGAGCCGGAAGAAACCGCCGAACCCAGTTTTGGAGAGCTTGTGAGGGCGAATGCATTGGAACCCATCGATGTTGCCGGCGCATTCGAAGAGCCTGGCGTGGTCGCGTACTCGAAAAATTCTCAGATACAACCTCCGTCGGGCACATCTTTAGGGACTGTTCTGACACAGTCCCTACGGACAAATGACACCTCTCTCCTAGAAACATGTCTCCAGACCCCAGATGTTCAGATCGTGCGCGCGACAATTCAGCGCTTAGAGTCACCTCTGGCCGGTATACTGCTACAGAAACTCGCCGAGAGACTACACAGACGGCCGGGTAGATCAGGCGAATTGATGGTATGGGTTCAATGGACGCTGGTCACCCACGGTGGATATCTTGCGACACAATCAGACTTGGTGAAGAAGCTTTCGGAACTAAACAAGGTCATTGATGAAAGGGCTAGGGGGTTACAACCTCTGCTATCGTTGAAAGGTAAATTGGACATGTTGGAAGCTCAGATCGAATTACGGAAGAGCATGCAAAATCAACGAACACGAATGGACGAAGACGAAAACGACGAAGCGGTCATTTACGTAGAAGGGCAAGAGAGTGAAGACGACGATAGCGATGTTAAGTCGCAGAAGGTTCTCAGGAATGGAGGACTCAAGGAATTTGCAGATGATGACAGCGAAATTTCAGAAGACATGCCTACCACCAATGGAGTTATTGCAGATTCGGATGACAACGAGAGTTCCGATGATGACAATCTCTTAGACGACGAGGCAGAGGAGACAGACAACGATTCTGGAGACGAAGACGAAGTAGATCACGAAGATTATGACTCTGAAGCTGAAGAGAGCGATGATGGAGACGCTGCACCTCCTTCAAAATTGCAACGAGTGCGGAAATAAGGGACTCATGTTTCCCTTTGTCTATTGTCTAATTGTCCCTGGTTGGTAGTGTTTGCTTTGGCGTTGCATGGTCATGGCGTTTTAAAAAGCTCGTGGGCGCTGTTGTATGTATGCGGTACCTCGAAATCGACTTTGAATCGAGTATAAATATAAAGATTTCTACGAGGCAAAGAAACTTGACTTCTGAAGCCTCAAATTCGGATAAGCAACGCAAAGCTCTTTGAGCATTTCATATTGAGATCTAGCTGTGAAGAGCAGAGCAAGCCATAATCTACCTATTTTCGCCTTGGGCAGAAAGCGCTTAAGAAATAAGCACCTATAAAATGTGCTTTTCATGGCAACAAGGCGACTGAAATGAAGAGTTATGACCGAGTAGTACAATTCCTTTTGAACGTATAACCACCTGTTTAGAAATTATCCCTTACGTTATTACCGATGTCAAACGAACCCAAGTCCATGCCATCATACAAAAGTGGTTCGGGCCGGCATGGCGTTGCCGAGTTCGTGGTTTGAAAGACTATGGGCAGTACCTTGAGATTACGGGCTGGCGTACCGAGGTACTGAGAATAAAGACATCCAATTTCAATGTTTCTCGAGACACCCAAAATACTAAAAATTCATTATATTCAACTCATTGGATAATTCACGAGTGCCCTTCAACTGTTTTTAAATAGAAGGAAGTATGCTCTTTGGTTGGATGTGTCTTGCCGAACTGCCAGTACACGCCTGAGGACGAGTACGCCGGCTCCACTGCTGACGACGCCAACCTTCAAAATCTGCTATGCTTCATAACCTTTAATTACATTCCTCTTTGTCCATCTGTTCTTTCTCAATTTCTTGTCACTTTACACATCTACACTGTTCTTCTTCATACCATTTCCGCATCTTCTAGTCATTGCAGCACAAGGCTGTAAGTGTGCCTCTGTTTTATTCGGCAATTGCGAAAGACGGGCGATCAGCAACGGCTCCCGCGACTTGGCAGCGACCACCAGTGGCCAAGCAGCTTCTTGGCAGACACAACGGGGACAATAGGGCTGTGGGAAAGATCCAGCCTTGCGGGAGAGACATTGAAGTCCTTCTGGATGTTATTTCGGAGCAATTTTTCGCTGCCGACGCCGAAACGACGACTGGGCGCTTCTATTTTCTTGTCTTTTCTCTCGCTGTCTTCCATTTACTATTTCCTTTGCGATCGCGCAAGTGTTGGCACACGCCTACAGAAAATAAGCGAGGCGACTGGCTTGGGAGGTTATACGGGGATATGGAAATGGGGTGATGGAGATGGCTTGGAGGTAGATGAAGAGGGCTCTGGGGAAGCCGTTAATCTGGTGGTTTTCGGAGACTCGTGGGTTGATGATACTCCTCAAAGCGGGCAGAGTGGTAGAGGGAAGAGCTGGGCAAGAGTCGTCTGTGAAGAGGTATTGATATCCTGCTGTCTAAGGATGTCTCTGCTTAGGTACTGACTCTCATAGATTCATTGCTCCTCATACACTAGCTTTGCTGCGACGCAGCCGAGCGATGCGTATCCGGCGAACCCTCCAACCGGTGTTATGGCATCAAATGCAGTATACCGCAAAGCATTGGAGCAATCTCGTAGCGGATCAATGACCAATCAGACAGATTTACTCCCCGATCTTGGAAGCCAGATCCAGTCGTTTATCGGTGGGAAGCAATCAGCTGTCCGCGATTCGAGAGAAACGATATTTGTCCTATCTCTGGGCTTCTGGGAGGTTTACCATTATGCTTCCATGGAATTCGAATTTGCGGAAAGCACAACTGACTCAGCGGTCGACGGGCTTTTCGATCAAATCGAACTTCTTTATCGTCATGCTGTAAATAACACGTCGACCACAGCTCAGCAGTTAGAGTCAAACAGCTCCACGCCAGCAAATGCTCCAGTCTTTCGGGTTATGATCCCAAAACTCATTGATCCATCGATAACTCCAGGGTGGCTCACACACCGGCCTGTACCGCTTAAACCAAGCAGTATCGCAGAACAGCAGAAAAATGCTGCGTATCTTACCAGTCGCTGGAATTTGAGAGTGGAAAACAAGATGATCCAGTGGATGAAGTCCAATTCCATCGAAAATGAGGCGCCCGAGACACCAGAAGGGAGTCCCGATGTGACGCAAGATCCAAGAGAAAGCCAATTTCTCGAAAAGGACTTCTACTACTACAACGTAGCACGGCAAGTCTTGGACATGATTGTTGAGCACCAACTTGAAAAAACCGGAATATCAGATGCTTCTGGACTCGGCAAGGGATCCTCGCCATTCAAACGTGTTCAAACTCCTTGTCTCAGCGAATCTCAACTGCACGAAGACTTGGGTGAAAATTTCGACGAATTAAACGGCTACCTTCTTTGCAAGACCCCTGACGAATATATGTTCTGGGATGCATTCAACATCGGGTCCGTGGCCAAGAGGTCCATCGGCTCGGGGGCAGCCACAATGATTTCAGGTGGCCATAGTCTCCGGGCCAGGCTCAGCAAAAGTTATAGCAATAATGATGCTGCTAATAATCCATGATGGGCTTAGCCCAGCGGACTATATATATTGCATGGCGTTAGGGAATTTGAGGCAATTCTTTTTGGCGTTCATGGGTTTATTGCGCAGGTGTTAGGTATTAGTGGGCCCAATGCTTCCCGCCGCCTGCGCATGAATAGCTTTGTCTTGATTTTAAGTCGGAACATCGTCTTCAACCACGATTATAGCAAGCCGTAGATCTTTGATAGAAATATCGAACAGGGAGCTTTACTTTTGAAGTCATATTTGCTCGCAAGCTTCGTCCTATGATAGACCGTCCCGAACTTCACCATCTGCTTTTGCTTGGAAGTGAAATTCTTTGGCAAACTATGTTCAGCCTCCTATCACAATCCTATCCAAGAGCCATGCGTCCAGTCAATGGTGTTGAGCCAATCGATGTCATTCAAGCTGTCGATTTCCAGTAGTGTAGGGTCGTACATTTGTGTATTATCCGTCGAGGGAGGTTCCTCCACCTGTGGCTCCAAGACATGGTCTAAAACATTTCGCACCACTTTCTTCAAGCGTCCTGCCAATCTATAATTGCCATCCGTTGGTCGAATCCATTCCAAGAAGCCAATGAAGAGGGTAAGCTTTTGGATGGCGTCGGATCGAGAGAACCCGCTGTGCGGTTGCGGAGTGGTCTGTTTCTTGAGAAGCTCAACACAAATGATCCCGGCGCAGGGGATACCGTAAAAAGTGATCTGTTAATCGAAAGTCAGTCCTCTCCTATGCTAGCTGTATCAAAACTTGAAGCTCACAATCCAGTCGAAGAGCCCTATATAACCAGATAGCTGATCCCGCATCATCCAGAACATCAAAGTTATCTCTAATGATTCCATCGCTGTACATAGTAGACTCTGCGTATTAGGGATCCCACGAGCCATGGCGACTCGTTCCAAAAGAAACCTGTTTTGCAAGAAGTCGAGCATTATCTTTGCTTGCGAATATTTTTCTCGGCCCGTGCTAGGTTTCGGGATTTTGTTCTCGGCGTAATAGACCAGCTGCTCTGGGAGGCTGTCCAAGACATCTTGGGATCTTCGATGTATTTCACTGTTGCAACGTCAGCTTGGGACAAGAATGCAGTGCGCTTCCAACATCAAAAATATCTACTTCGAGAATTGGTTCTCGGCCTTAAAGTCGTCGAGCGCGAGACATGAATGAAGGTTTATCAACCTCGCATCATCAAACAAAAAGACGGTGGGTTAAAGCCTAGGTAATTGACAATCGAAGGATCAGTAGACTTACGCGATGCGGTTTTCGGATATCAGGACGTTAACTCCCAGCGCTAGCTCCAAGATCTCCTCTCGAACAGCGGACAGCTGACAAATTGCTCGATGTACGCTAACGCTATGAATTTGTCGGTCAGTATTCCATCCATCTCTACTTAGAGTATTTATTGAAGCATGTAGCTCATGTCGGGGTGAGAAGAGTTGTTCATCAGACAGATCCAGACATGGTTTCACATCGCAATAGAGGCGACTAAGCATCGGTGGCGTACCATCCATGCAGGCAGCCGTTTTGTCTAAGTAATATATAGTGGAGAATACTCTTCTCCTGTACTCTGAGGCTGTTGTAAACGAGGACAGTGTATGGTCCGGCAGCCTATGAAGGCCTGCCGTAATCGCTGAGGTGACCATGTCCCCACGACGGTGACCTATAGCATAGCCTTAAATCCATTAATTGCGTATATAGTGCATTGAAACGAACCACTTACTATCATCACCAAGCACAGAACTCTCGAGAACCAGTATTCGATAAGTGAGGGCCGCAACAAGCTCATTGACAGTCTCTGACATATGACACATTTTCCGGCATACATCAGCACACTCCGTCATTCTCCAAGCAGTCTCTCTTCTGTTTCTTCCACAGTTATCCTCAACCTCAAATAAAGGATCCCAGTCTTGCAAGGACAGATAGGTTCGACCAAAGAAACAAAACAGGAGTCCCATCATCTCAAGTCGAATATTAGAGCCCATGAATGTGTCAAGCCACTCTAACCCATCCTCGGAAGATGTTGTCAGGGGACACTCTTCGTTTTTGAATAAGACATCGGCTATAACTGCTAAATTATCGCCTGACAGAGGCGTGACAAGCTCGGCTCCAAATGTTGTCCACAACGTTTCAAGACAGTGTTTTACCATGACTGGGCTGATAACCAGGTCGTGTATCTCGCTAGACTTGTTCAACAATGCTTCACAAACCTCCCTAGAAGGTATGTTCCACAGGGCCTTAACAACCTCTTTCCTCCGAACGTCAGGGGCGTTGGGCCTATATCGTCCAACTAAAGCAAAATATCAGCATTTGCTAGTCATGACTCATCATTTCCAAAGAACACGATCTGTGAGGCAGAAGACCCGACCAGGGCGATGCCATGATTTTGGGAGAATGGTACCCGACACACCGATATGCAATAATATCTATCTACACTTCTTAAGTCTCCAAAGACATTTTGTAACTTAGACTGGCGACGCGCCGAGGGACAGACTTAATTTGGCACAACAAACGGTTGCAACCAAAAAGAGAGAGCACTTACGGAGAGGCTGTCCCAGTACCCACGCACCGGGATGCTTTCGAAATCCGTCTCCAATCTTCAGTACCTCGTTGCTATCTTTGTTCTCGTCCTCGGCAAAAATTGTCGAGAAGTTCGTGGGGCCATGATACCGTGCTGACTGCGGATAGACCGCTGTCTTCCAGTGATCAACGTGTGGAAGCTTCGGGGCAATGTAATCTCTGAATTGGTGGTGTGTTTGCTGGAGGCTGCTAAATTCGTAGGACCGATTTCTCTCAAAAGGTCTTGCTATTGTTTCGATTGGAGGTAGTCGCTGCTGAATGGGTCCATAGGACGGGACTGCTGGTTCGGAAACCGGGGCCGAAGAAGCAAAAGAACTTGTCTCTACGGAACGGGGTACAGTTGGCGATCTTGGAGGTCGAGCTTTAGTCATTGGAGCAGGGTGATAAATACATTTGATAGTAGTCTTCCGCCTGACACATCGTCCGCAGAATGGAGACCCGTGATCACATGCGAGTTTGCCCTTGGTTTGCCGTTAGCTTAGTACATGTATACAGTAGGCCAAATAATCGACTCAGATAAAATATGTTGATGGTAAAATCTGATAGTACATGCATACATATATATGTATGTATAGCATTTTTAGTAGGCTTGAAATCATGGATAAATGATAAATCTTGGTCTTTAGATGTTTGTAAGTTTATCGCCACCAGTTTGGGCGACGATTCTATAACACTTATTACGCCAAGGTCGCATTCTTGATAGATCTATGACACAGGGAAAAGAATCTCTTTACCTTCCTACAAGGCTCGCACGCCTGTTGCTTACCGTTGCGGCGATATCCAGTTCCCATCGCCGCCTGTGGCATCATGCATAGCTCGATTTGGGTTTCTCCCGAACAATTCGATTGTGAGTAAACAATAACACCATGAAAATGCGGGTATAATGAAATAACAAAAGGGTGTAAGGCTAAACGAGATCCGGTTCGAAGTGCAGTGGGTTTTGTTGTTGATTGTAGGTGACATTGATGTACCGAAGTTCATTCGGATGTATATTTATGATGACCTCCGAGATGCCGCCGATATTTAACCGGGCATGAGCCGAGTATCCTTCTCTCCTAACTGTCGCCGATGAAAATATACCTACGTCTAGGCAGGTATGATAAAACTACACTTCGAGTATATACGAAGACACAAACTCAATTATACGTACTCTGCCACAATCTCGGTAAAGGTCATCTCCTTCACAGACTGTCGCTCCTTTGTGTCACACCATGGAATCACAGTGTACTTTTGATCCCACACCTAACCCCGTGTCGTTCGTTTGTAGCTGCTCAGCATTGTCGGATCCCCAAGGCGGACTCGTGCTACTCTTTTATAGGTATTATGCTGCTCCGCCATCTCTGTCAGATCAACCGTCAGAATACAACAATGAGTCACTTGCAAAATTCCATGAGACTTTGACGGAGAAGCTTGGGCTTGGCGGCAAGATCCGAATCGGTACAGAGGGATTCAATATTACCGTGGGCGGCACGAGAGATAACATTGAAGCATATATGCGTCTATGCCTTTCTCACTGGTCTTTTCAAGGCCTGGAAATCTGCACCCCAGAACAAAAGTCGTCGTTCTTCAAACCGTCAGAAGGTGGTTGCGCATGTGCTTTTGGGGGTCCACCGGCGAACATCCGTATTGCCGCTGAAATCACACCAATGGGCGTTACAAACTATTGTCCCGAAAATTGGTATGGAATCGATGTTTTGAGTCCGGCAGAGTTCCATCAGAAATGTCACACAAATCCAGAGGTAATGCTACTGGATGTCAGAAATCATTATGAATCTCGGATCGGATATTTCATCAATCCGAAAACAGGAGAGCCAGCCCTGAGACCACCCATCCGAAGGTTCTCCCAATGGCCCCAATACGTTCGGAAGTATATGAGCCATGGTGATCAGACCGAACAAACCTCAGCCGATGGTAAAGAGTACTTGACTTATTGCACTGGCGGTATACGCTGCGAAAAGGGAGCCAGATATCTTCAAGAAAGGTTACGGCACCCTGGTGACAGAGTTGCAACGCTAGAGGGCGGGATTACTGCTTACCTTGCATGGATGGAGAAGGAGGTCAATCAAGGGAGAATGAAGTACGAGGAATCTCTGTTCAAAGGAAAAAACTATGTATTCGATGCCAGAGGGTCAATCGGTGATGGATTAGAGCCCGTCTCAACGTGTCACGAATGTGGGCTCGTGGCGGATAGCCTGAGTAAATGTCGCTCCAAAGGCTGTCATCTAATACTCGTCATTTGCCCGGATTGTAAGATAACGGCAAATGTACGATGTTGTCAGAGCTGCCTTGAGATGGACGTAGAGGTTCAAGGCATTCAGTCGGGTCCAAGAAGTATATGTGCATGCGAGAGACAGCGTGAAGGCTTGCTTTGGGGCGAGGGCTCAAGGAAGCTTCCCAAGTCGAAAAAAGTCAAGAAGAAAGGAAACCTCCAAGCCGGCGGATCGCGGTTCCTCGAAGTACAAGTCGCAAGTGTTAATGTCCCGATACCACAATTAGCATCGCCATAACCTTATTAAATTGGGAAAAGACGCAGCCTTGGGTAATGAGGTTTAGAACACAGATCGGAGTATAAGTAGCTTATGGCAAGCAACAAGCTGCGGGGCTCAGATGAGAATAACGTGTGGTACGAAGCACAGGAGCAAGTCTGGAGAACCTGCTTGCCTAGTACTCAAACCAATTTTTAAGGAATTGCCATGCGCAGCATGCTCACTCCGTGGAGTAGGGAAAGGCTATCAAATTCGTAAGTAGTAGGTTAACACTTCACGATTACACTTACTTTCGCCTTCGCTTCGAATTGACTAGTTGGTATCGTTCACAGGATTCAGATAATAGAGTCCACGGGTGTTCTGTTAAGGCAGCCACATAAGCTTGTAATTCGCAAAACTTGCTAGATTATAAATCCAACGATCCAGACTTCGAAACTGCCTCAGCACTATGCACGCCATGATCTACACTCTATCTGCTGCGAAAGAGTTGCCTCAGAAACAGTCTATGCTTCTATGTATTTTCTCAAACCCCTCAGTCTCTCTTTTGCTCTCTCCAGCACTTCATCCTCCTTGCAAACAGCGAATCTAAGCCAGTCTTCTCCTATATGGGCATTCTCGTCTGTGTAGAACTCGGTTGGTGGGATAGCGGCAACTCCCACCTCCTGAATAAGAAACCAACACAGCTTAAAGTCGCGCGGGCGATCTTTCACATGGTCCGGGAATGGATACCCCGATGGAACCTTGACCTTTTTCATGTTGACGAGTACGAAATAACCTCCCTCGGGGTCAGAGAACGGCAGGTCGAGCTCAAGCCATATTTTGTTGAACGAGTCCATCTTTGCTTTCATCTCAGTGATTGCTGTTGTCCAGAAATTATTGGCATCTGCTTGCTCGAATCCGGCGGCTGCTGCTTCCTGGAGAGGTGAGACAGATGAATAACAAATCCTGGTATGCGCTGCTGCTACATATTTAATCAGATGAGGTGTGCCAATAAGCCAGCCCACTCGCCAACCGGTAGCATAAAAATTCTTTCCCGCAGACCCAACGGTCAAGGTCAGGCGCTCAATTTCCGGGGACAAGGTTGCCATGCGGGTGAATGGAACATAGTAAAGCCTGTCATAGACCTCATCGGAGAGAATGATGATATTATTTTTGACGCATAGCTCGCCTATTTTGAGCAGTTCGCCTTTCGAAAACACCTTGCCCACAGGATTGTGAGGTGTATTAAGTACGATCATCTTAGTCTTTGAACTAATGGCGGCCTCAAGCTCACTAAAGTTGATTGTCCATTCCCCAGCCGAGGTGTTCTGTGTTGCACCATTCTCGGGTGGGTGTAAGGGAACGTACACGATCTTGCCCCCTGGCATCTCGATGTTCGAGATATATCTAATTATAATGAGCCTCCTGGTCAAATTCCAGGCCTGAAAATGAACTTACTGGTCGAAGAATGGCTCAAAAATAATGACTTCGTCATCTTTTTCGAGGAAAGCCATGAAAGCACTTAACATGCCTCGCTCAGGTCAGCTGATCACTCGATAACTGAAGCCTGACAACGTTACCTTCATTTGCCCCAGTTGTAATGGTAATCTCAGTATTGGGGTCCAGCTTTCGTCCCCAAAACGGAGAGTATGAATCCGCGATAGCTTGCTTTAGTCTCGGCCGCCCTCTAGTGGGAGAATATTGGTTGCATTCAACTTTATCAAGAGCTTCTTTAGCAGCATTAATGATGAAGTCTGGAGGGTTATATCCGAAGAAACCTTGGCCCATATTCACAATAGGTTGCTTTGGGGAGTTGGCAGCTCCTTCGTTGACAATCGTCCTACAGCAGCGTAAGCATCTCCGATGAATGTTATGAGACAAGCCGTATTGAGGAGAATTATACAAGCGACAGTTGAACTGAAAACGTTGAGCGGGAAAGACCCAAGCATGTCACTTACCACACATCTTGTCTTCTATCAGCAACTCTTGCTGCGGGTTGAAGCTGTGCCCTTGGATCTGTCATAGTGGGGGTGGGGTGGGAAGAGTATCTCTGCTCCCTAACGAGACCAAGAGGTATTCTGGGATATTGCCGTAAAAGGGTATAACAGGCTCGAGGAGAGAAGGTTCCACGAGGAATCATAAGGATACACGATCCAGGGAGAAGGATTACAATCACTTCGCTGCCTACTAGTTCTGGTGACAAATTCCCCAAGTGCAATCCGATGTCGAGCGCACGCAATTGATGCCGAAGCGGAGGGTCCGCAACAACAGATGGTGCGACTTTAGACTGGTGATAAATCCACTCTTGGAAAATGCCGATAATCTGCCGGCTAGGCTTCGGGACTTACTTTGTTTTGGCCATTCGATTTCAGAGGCACAGTATATCCATTACGAGTTAATCTGCTGGCCCCCTTCAATGCTTGAAGCGTCCCAGCATCGATCGAGTAGTCGAAACATGTTTGCGGAACAAAAAATGAGCCACGTCTAGTCTGCGCGCGTTCGAAGCGCGATACAACCACGCGATGGACTTGCCAGTCAGGACTGCGAATCCTCTTCATCTGACCATACGGTTTACCACTTCCATCCCGGATCTACTCCTGGATATTTCCGAGCCTGAGCGTACCACCGTTGTCGCTCTGAAGCATCTTCTTCGTTCACGCCTCGATCCTCCAACGTCGCAGCACCGGCTTCGATTTATTCAAGGTGGAAAGCTTCTCCAAGACGGCGATGTGCTCCATTCGGTTCTCAAGATCTCGACGCCTCCGCCTCGTACCTTTGATCCCAAAGGTAAGGGCAAGGAACCTGAGCTGCCGGCTCAACGCGTCTATATAAATTGCTCCATCGGCGATGTCCTTACGGCAGATGAGCTCTCAGCTGAAGCCGCTGCAGCAGCTCAATTGACAAATAGAGCCAGTACAGGAACCACAAACGGCTCCAAAAGCGGTAGTCCGAGTCGACCTGCAGTCACCACTACTGCTGTTCGAGGCTTCGATAGATTACTGTCTGGGGGGTTCACAGCCGCCGAGGTCAACCAGCTTCGATTACAATTCCTCTCCATACAGTCAAACATTCATACGCCAGAAACAATGCCATCACCGACAACTTTACGCCACATGGAAGATGCTTGGATCGATGACAACGCGGGTAATACAGGTACAGGCGGTGCTGCTGGCGGTTTTGACTTCGGAGACGATGGTCTTGGAGGTGGTGCTCTGGATGACCTCCTGTGGGGAAACGTCATGGGCTTCCTTTGGCCGCTGGGTTGTCTCGGTTGGGTACTGCGAGAAGAAGGAGTGTTGTCCGGTAGGCGTCAGATGGCTGTCTTTACGGGTTTCATGCTTAGCCTCACATTCGGAATGCTAAGAGTCATGTCATGAGATGATTTTATCAAGCCACCGCCTTCTGCTTGAAGGCCGGGTCCTGAAGAGTCCATCATTATCTCAGAGCGTCTCCTACCTGCGAGAGAACATACGATGGGTAGAACCATAGTGCTAGAGACAGCACACTGGGTTGGGTATAGGTTTTGCTCATCGAGGGCAGGAGACTAGCTTAGTTACTGGACTAATGTTCACAGAACATGGCTGCCCTGCTGGTACATAGTAAGGACTGCCTTTAGTAGCCCTAAGTTTCCTACGCCCTGAGTCCTGCAAAGTCTCAGTACTCGGGGCATGCCAGGAATTTCTCCTGTATAGGAATTCACAGCGTCAGTGTTCTTCAATGCATCTGTTTGGCTCAATATTTTTTGTATTGGTAGTCAGGGATATCGCAAGGACTCAGTGGAGATATGTTTGATGAAGACGAACAAAAACCATCTTGATGCTGTACAGTAATTCGGGAAGAAGCGCTCTATGCTTGTAATAAACGTGACTTTCTTGACTTTCTACAACACTATACCGCAAGAGGCGTACCAAACGTTGCCCCGGCTCTAGCCATCTTGGCTGTCTTCTTCTTTGGCTCTCTTGATCGTGGCTCGTAAGCGATGGCTCTTTGCGGCATCATCTACATATATCTGTCGTATATATGTATATATCATATTCGTAGTGATCCGGTTTGCTCTATTATAGTAGTCCTGAGGCCAATCAAGCTCCTCATTGAGGGTGTTTGCAATAGCTATTGCTATCCTCGCGCGGGGCTGCAATAAGGTAGCTGCAGGAAAAAGCCCCTCATGCGGCCTTGCTCTGTCGATTAACGTTCAACATGAATTATGTGGCGTCTTCCCATCCACTCCTCTTTATCGGTCCAAGCGCATCGCACCCTGCTTGTGCAGTGATACACGAATGTTATCGAAATCTTCCTTGTATTCGACCCAGTCGACTTCTCGTCCCATGTCGACTGATGCTTGTACCCTCGCGAGCGATAAATTAAAATGCTTCTATGTGAACGTCGCAGCTTTATATCTACAACAATATATTGCAAAAACATCGGTTTCAGCGTCCTTTAGCTATGTCGGGATCCAACGACCCTACGGCTGTCCCCGTCGCAAGCCCCGATCCGCAACATGAAGAAACCCTAGGTCAAACGGCTCCTATTGATGCTGGTCTAGCAGATGATGGGGCATCTGATGTGATTGATGCTGATGCAAGTACTTAGAATGCTGTGGTTGTGCTAGACTGAACTCTTACAAGGACACTTCCAACCTGGATGGTGATTCAGCTTTTGGAGATGATGGGTGAGTCCTGTCAGGTGCCCTGGAGATCACACATTAAGATGCGAGCCAGAAGCGAAAGAGATTCCAAAACATCACTGAGTTCCGGAATCACAAAGTATCGGTCAGTGTGCTCTCATCACCACTTATGTGACCCGGCTGATAGGCTCGTAGCGAAGAGGTATAAGTCGAATTTCCCATCCACCAAAACAACTATAGTGACCGTGCCCGTACCAAACGCTCGCAAACACTACGGTCACTTTCTCCTCAATTCCCAATGCGCCTGATTTTTAGTTTACTGCATCTCACCTGACATTACCTAGAACGGCAGAAGGTACCATGCCTACCGAGATGGAAAGTACCTGCTTGTAGGTCACGATGTCGCTACGGTGGATAATTGTTGCTGACGCATGCCAGCCAAACGATGATGCAGAACAAGACAGATTAGACTTGGTGACATCTCATTCCTCTAATTCATCGTCCGAAACCAATTGACTAACAGTCCTAGCACCACCATGTCTTCAATCTGGCGCTAGATGGGAAGCTCGTGATGGCCCCAATCAAGAATCCGCAAAGGGTTTTGGATGTGGGTACCGGAACAGGAATCTGGGCCATTGATTTTGCAGAGTATGTCCATCCATGAGCTGTGGAAGATGGGATTGTTAACCCGTTTAACAGCCAATATCCTGAATCCCACGTTATAGGTTGTGATCTTTCTCCAATTCAACCAGGATGGTAATCTTCCAACCTACAACTCCGCGCAATTTGTGCTAAGTCGGACAGGATACCTCCCAACCTCGAGTTTGAGGTCGACGATATAGAGGATACATGGCGTCATAACCCTTTCTCTTACATACACATGCGATCTCTGGGTGGTTCCATTAAAGATTGGCCGAACCTGCTTTCTCAGGCGTACAATCATCTGAACCCGAATGGGTGGTTGGAGATTGTCGAGTTTGAAGTACTGATTAGAGTGCAAAATGAACAGGATGTTGGGTTTCCTCCAATGATCAAGAAGTGGCAAGAAGGCTTGCACGATGCGGGCGAGAGGATTGGAAGGAGCTTTGAGGTTGCCACGCAGGCAAAGAAATGGCTGCAAGAGATTGGATTTGAGGATGTTACCGAGGAAGTGGTCAAGGTTCGTCAAGATCGCTCATACCGAATTTCCTACTGACAGCATCCTAGGTTCCAGACTCCCCATGGCCTCGTGACCGTCGTCAAAAAGAAATCGGCGTCTATCAGCAGCAGAACATGCTCGACGCATCGAGCAGTTACGGTCAGGCACACTTTACTCGTGTTCTGGGCTGGAGTAAAGATGAATACGATATCATGAGCGCGACAGTAAGAAAGGAGCTGAAGGATAAGAGATACCATGTTTACTCCAATCTTCATGTTATTTGTGGAAGGAGACCAGAAAATTAAGCTACTACAGCACACTACCAATGAATGAAATAATGATTGGCACATCTTCAGCGGAATACTTAAGTAGGAGGGAAATGTGTCAAAACATATCCGCTTTCCATATCAAGTGTGCCTGACGCTCAAGTTTATCCTTGATGCTCCTTACCGAGTGGCAACGAAGTATTCTCATGGTGAGTAGAAACGAAACTGGACTAATATGCTCCTCCGTTCGTCAAGAAAACGCTCCAAAGAAGTACAGTTCTCAATGCAACCTTATTGTGATTCTCGAGTGATTTGGTTTTGGGACTTTCATCGTACCAAAGGCAAGCATCTTTAAAAGCCTTGATTGTGATGCAGTTAGAGACTACTTGATGGGCAGTTAAGTAGGTAGCTACTAAAGCTGCAGTCAGGTGTCCGAAAATGGAAATGAGGCAAGTGACACATCCCAGAACACGCAAACATGTCCAACATAAAAATTTGGTCCCACTTGCAACATCTGTGAGACCTGCGCATGTACACACCTATAAACACCATGTGAGTATAGAAAGGACAACGGGTAGTTTTCCACAGCTAAGCGCATTTGTGAAGCTCTGACTACGACCTTGGTGTCCTGTTTCGCTTTGTAGAATCAGATCAGTGCAGAGTCACAATCTTCGGCATTGGAAATGCTCAAAACCGGCCAGCTCCCGTCGAAGCCGGCCTCGGCATTCAGCATTGCAATTTGAGAATAAAAGATCGGAGGGATGAATAGCCAGAGTCATCAGTTTAGCATTACTGCTAGCCGAAGAGCTCCACGTCTTATATTAGTTCATGTCTGAAATACGACGCATGGTTCATACCATCCATGAAGAACTGCAGAGATTATCCACCATTCGCCAAAAACGCCAACAAGAAGACCCAAGGTATGTCTATTTAAACTTGCTGTAAATAACAGCAATAATGAGAAGAACCAAAACTGTGATTATACAAACTGTTATAATCCGATTTGTAGCCATCCTGCAACGAATTTTAGGTTAGCGATAGTTTATTATCTTGTGTCTAGTTGAAGGTAGGGGTGCTTTACCTACGAGCCATACCGCGCAGCGTTTTGACACTTCTATCCACGTATCCCTCACTTTCTAGTAGCACGTCGTTCGTGTGCTGAATGACTTCACGTTGCTGAGCCAAATCTGAGAGGGTACTTGCACCGATAGCTTCGGTTTCGTAGGCCAACGCTTGACTGGCCCGTAATCTTTGAGAGCTTCGATCAAGTCTATCGGTTCCTGACAAGAGCTGCTGTCTCTGTTCCAGTTGTACATCATTTGGATTGTCCGAGTATCGCGAAGCAAACAAAGCCGATCGATCATCTGCGAAGGAGCGTAACTTCCGTTTCGCGGCGTCAACATCGGATTCGTGGTTTCGGAAGCGTTGGTTTACTTTCGTGCGGGTCGCAGAAGGAATATTGGACTTCTCAAGGCGCATGGAATCGAGCTCCAGACAGGTCAGCAGCGTTCTTAACGTCTCTTCTAGCAACCAATGCACATACCAATTCGTTCGCCTCCTCTACTGCTCGTTCTGCCTGGCTGATGGCTGCTTTTCTTGGTTCCCCGGTTAGGTCTGGAATCTGGTCCAACTTCTGGCTGAGATCCGCTTGAACGAGTTTAAGCTCGGCCTCGTAACTACTGAATAGCTCGGAGCCGGCATCGGTATCGAGGGGGTTTGACATTTTGATGGAATGATTGAAGGGGTGACAGGACCGGATGGAACGATGTATCACGGTGGCTATCTAATGTACTCGTTGCCTATGGGGTCGTCGCAATGCCCATGCAGGTCGATTTGGTAGAAGGATGAAGCGGCGCAGGAGTCTGAGAAGGTAGAGCTATCGAATGTGCCGAATAACAAGTGAAGTTGAGCCGTGTTCAATCGTGGATCTTGCTGCTGCGACGGGATTTCAACGTTGCTTGATGATAGATGTTCAGTACGACGACGAGACCTGAGATGGATCGCCCAAGGATCTGAGCCACAGCCATCATTGCTCGGCGCGGTTTGCACGCCACTCACCAATCCATGACAGCTTCCTATGTCACGTGTCGGCTCGGGCAGACCCACGCCCCATCTGAAGGGCAGCTTTCCATATGCCTTCCGCCGATATAAACAACGTGAAGTTTTAATGAAAAGTGTCAAGTAGAAAAGCGTTATGTGATTGATAAGGGCGATTGATATAGGTACCTGAGGTAGGTCCTTGTTCATATCAACTCATACGAATCTACTCACGTGCACGTACGAGCTATCCCCCAGTAATGGAACATTGGTACCTTGTCTTCCGTACCTAGCAGATACCAGGAGAGCACGCAACCCTGTACATCTTCGACCTCGAACCCGAACCTCTTCGATGCTATCTTCAACTTGACAAAAAAACACACCTTCCTGCCCTGCTGAACACAGACACCAGCTCACTAGATCTGTCGCCCAAGCTGCCAACCGTCACTTCTACTTCTCACATGCAAAATCTTGGAACGGTGCGCTATTGTGGCTGCGGAACTAGAAAGTAGCTTCGTCCCACAGCCATCCTGGACTTTTGTCTCTCCCCTTCCCCTTCAAAAGCAACGCAACCAACCACCTGGGCACCATGCCGTCACATAATAACCACTACGAAAATCACCCCGCGACTTGCGACACTCCTTCCCACCCGCCAGCCGGTGATCGAGACCTGTGATTATTCCTTCTTTACTGCTTCTTCCTCCTTCCTCCTTCCTCCTTTCCCTCTTTTATTATAGTTATGGGTTCTCTGACGACTCCAATCCCCAGAAAGAAAGTCGCAATTGTCGGGAGTGGTGTCGCTGGCATAGGGGCGCTGTGGGCGCTGAATCGCACACCCCACGATGTATACATTTATGAGGCAGCCGACCGCCTGGGAGGCCACACGAACACGGTAGAATACAAGCATGGTATCAGTGGCACGCTGGTCGACACAGGTTTCATTGTTTTGAACACCGCGACATATCGTCAGTGCTGCTCTAGTTCTTGCGCCTCCTTCCATTTGACATGCTAAACTATTGAAGCAAACTTTATAAACTTTCTTAAGACTATTGGGGTTCCGACGGTACCAACCGAGATGACCTTCGGCGTCTCTCGAGACAATGGATTATTCGAATGGGCCGGGACTTCGCTATCCGCCGTGTTTGCGCAACGAGGAAATCTTTTCTCTCCCCGGATGTGGCGAATGATTTTTGATATTATTCGTTTCAACCAATATGCCCTGGATCTGTTAAAGGTGGATGTGAAGAGACACAGATCGCGCAGTCAGACTCCATCGGTAGTAAATGGAAACCATGTACATTTCGGCGAGGAGGCGGAGAGCATTGGCCAATATCTCGAACGTGAAGGATATTCGCATGCATTTCGAGATGACTATCTTATCCCGATGACCGCGGCAGTATGGAGTACTAGTCCCGACAAATGCTCTTTGGATTTCCCCGCTGTCACTTTGGTCCGATTCATGTGAGTGCTGCAACACGCTGTGCAAGTTAGGTCCTAATTGACTATAGGTGGAATCATCATCTTCTGAGTACTGTTGCTGAGCGGCCGCAGTGGCTCACATTGAAGCATTGCGCGAAGAGTTATGTGGATGCTGTGATGAAAGGGTTCCCTCCTAATCATGTTTTCCTCAATACCCCCGTAGAATCTGTCAGCAACGATGAAGATGGCCGCGTCCGATTACATCTGGAGAACGGAAAATCGGAAGTCTACGACCATGTTATTCTTGCAACCCACGGGGATCAAGCACACGCGCTAGTGCTTCCTGAAGCTGATGCCGAAGAGCGCAGGATTTTATCGGGATTCAAGACAAGCAAAAACACAGCAGTACTTCATTCGGACCTCTCTTTAATGCCAAAACTGAAAACTGCCTGGTCATCATGGAACTACATGACGAAATCTGGACCAGCGTCGTCCAATGTAGATCAGGTTTGCCTCACTTACAACATGAATATTCTCCAACATATTCCTACCGATACATTCGGCGACGTACTTGTAACGCTGAATCCACTACATGAGCCAGACGAAAAACTTGTACAGGGACGTTTCAAGTATTCTCATCCTCTTTATAATCCTCAATCCATCTGGTCTCAGTCACAGCTTCCTTTAATTCAAAATACTCGTGGTATTAGCTACTGTGGTGCCTGGACAAATTATGGGTTTCACGAGGACGGGTTCTCCTCGGGCATCAAAGTTGCTCAGGACCACCTGGGTGCTCGACTGCCATTCAACTTCAAAGATAGCACGTTCAGTCGCGGTAGCCAACCAGTGCTCGGACTGCCAGATCTGCTACTTCGAGCCTGGATCTCAATGGTGCAGATGCTTATTTACTTGATTGAAACATTGTTCGGCGTTCGAAGAGATGGCCATCTTAAAACAAACAGCAATGGTATGAGCAAACAGGAAACCAATCATTCAAAAATTGCTTTTACTCAGGAGAGTGGGATGACAGAGCGGAAGAAGAAAAAGTCTTCGTAGGATTCAGCTACTGGGGTCGGCTTGATCTTACGCCATCTGTTTGTGGAAGTATACACGTTGCCATTTATACCCTTTCTGTAAGTAAAGCCGTATTCTTCTGTATAGACCCACTTTGTATAGTAGCACGTTATAGCCATATTCGAATTGCACCAGAAGCTAATATGGCGATCGTAGTCTATTGCACGAGAATGTGATAAATAGGGTTTTGATTAATTATGGCTGTCCAAAAAATTCGCAATGGACAGCATTATTATTAAAAGCCTAGAGCAATGATTTATGGCCATAATTTATATGCTGGGAAGGGTGGAATTGGGACAAACATAATTATGATCTGCTCGTTTTCCCCCTTGACCTAAACTCGACATTTACTTGCGCAACTAAAGCTTTTATCCGCCATAAGGTTGTCTATTAAACCCTGATATGAGATCGCAAATCAAAAAATAACCGATAGTTCTGATATTCCCACGTCTTTATGAGGTGGTGAGTACTTGACCTCCTCAAAGGGGATCGCTAGTTTGAGACCAGGAAGCCTCTTGAAGATCGACGCTACCAGAGATCAGTCAACAATCATTAGAATACCTGGATAGGAACGAGGCTTACCAAAAACAATCTCAAGTTCAGCTCTTGCTAGCCATTCAGCAACACATCTATGTTCGCCCCAGCCGTATCCCAGAGCTTCCTCACTTCGGCGTTCCCTCTTCATATCAAACACATCTGGGTTTGGGAACACCTCCTCGTCTCTGTTCCCGCTCTGGGTCGCAGCAATGATACCTTCTCCCTTTTTGATAAGCTTGCCGCCAAGATTTATATCTTCCTTTGCGACTCTTTTGGTGGCAAGGGCTGAAGCGGTGTGATATCTGCAGAGTTCCTCCACGAACTTGGGAGACCATTTCTCCGGCTCTGATCTGAGATCTTCAAGCTGCTCTGGGTGCTGAAGGGCGGTCACGATTCCTAACGCGATCATCGAAATCATGGTCGCATTGCCTGCGACGAGAAGGAGGAAGGCAATCTGAGTTACATCGGCTTTCTGGAGACGGCCTGCTTTGAGCTGGTTGTCAACCAAAAGGGAGATCAGATCGTTTTCTGATTTCTGAAGTCGCTTATCCACAAGTGCGTCAATATAGGATAGTAGAGAAGCGTTGGCTTGGGATGATTCCGTGGCGGTTGCCGAACCATTGCCACGAATAGCTGCTTGTTGGGTGAGATATGGTAGATCAGACAGCGGAACGCCCAAGATGCTGTAAATGATCTTGTAATTGGTCAGCTCGGGCTCATGAAAGCGGGATATGAGAACCCCACATAAGAAGGCACGGGTAGTGCAAACTCCTCCACGATATCGAATGGTTCAGCTCCCCCATGCTCGGTCACTTTGTCGAGAAGTTTGTCCACGGTCTCCTGTATCTTTGGGCGTGTGTTATCAATATGGGACTTGGTAAAAATTGGCTCGACCATACTCCTGTCAAAAGTTAGTCTTAGTACTAGCAAATGAAGAGCGTTCATCCCTTTGAGCCATGTGCTGAGGCGGATCCATGTCTACAAAGGTTGGCTTGCTCTGGGCCGCCAGCTTGCCTCCTGCGCTCAGCTCAGGGAAACCAGCACGAGTCCTTTCCTAGTTACTGGTCAGTGTCAAACCCTCCATCAAAAGTTAGACTCATTACTTTGGAGAGTCGCTGGTCGGTCAAAACAGCGCAAATATCTTTGTGCTTAACCACAAGCCACGCAATGCTACCATCAAAAAGCTCAACTCTCGACACAGGGTCATTCGCTCTCAATTGGGCATATTCCAATGCTGGTTGATAATCTGAAGGCCGAGCAAAGGGAAACTTTGGAGGAGTGGTGCTGGATCCCATAATTTTCTTGGCTATATTTGCTTAGAGAATGGAAGTCTAGTATTGGGAACGATTAATATGCGCGTGGTAATTGATGGCAATGGAAGTTTGGTCCATTGAGAATTGTGCTTTACGTCTGTCTTATATACCTTTTCAATTTTTGCCTTCGCATGCCTTTCAGCTTTCCGAATCATGCGCTCCGATTACGAAAGCACCCAATATCATTTGCGCCGAAATTCAATTGCTTCAAAGCCATGGTCATTATGTCAGTCAGCGCTCCGCAGTTGTAACCTGCAGGGTGGTACAATATCGCCAGGACCAATCTGCATAGTTTTACAGATGGCATGGGCGAGTCGCGAAGCCAATGAGATCGACGACATTGTCCGAAGACCCGATATGTGAGATTTAGGGACAGGAATCGAACGATGATCAGCCCATGGAATGTAATTGCCCACGGAAAAGTGTGAGAAAGCTCGTTTTGCGTTGTATACCCGCAAAGGCTATGTCAATATTTACCTGCCGAGGGAGCCTAAAGCAGGAACACAAGAATAACTGGTTCTCGTCAACTGAACTATACGCTTTCCGGGACCAATGAAAACAATCGTCTTTGTAGATGCAATCATGGAAATCAAGTCTTCCATGCCTTCAGTGTGTATAGTGACAGAATGTGGTGTAACAGCCTAGAAAGTGAAGAAGAGGCTGACAAAGCCAGTATTGAAGATGGAGTCGGGTGCTGTGTGCGTTTAAGTACTCGAGTGAAATGTGACTTTGAAAGCCAAAATCATACAACAAGTGTCTTACATGGTTATGCTATGTTGAAATTGGTAATGCTGCGGAACATTTTCTCTATTCGCTGTCAATTTCAAGTGTTTGCTCCCGGTGCCGTAAGATAGTGTATTTGAACAAGTCTAAATTCTTTGAGCAATGTACAGCCAATGAACATACTCTTCAGCATTGGTCTACATGAAAACTCTTGTGAGTTTTGTCTTTCTTTACTAACACTTGTTGAAGAGGGTACTCTTTCTTCCTGGCCGAACGCAAGCACAGGTGTCCTCGACTTCTCCATAGCTGACTGAGTATACAGCTGATGTGTGAATGTACGTTCAAATAGAGAACTACCAAAAAATCCGTTTGTTGCCTATTTATTTTTTGGTAACAAGATGTGTAGTCGTTGACCAAGTGCATTGCATCGTCTGGACGTACCTAGTTTCTCGATTCTCATTTGAAATTCCTCTCCTCTGACTGGCATCGGAGGTCGCCGAAACTCAGGTCGTCGGGGCCGGCTTCGCTTCCGTCCGCCGACAAGCTTAAGGTTGATTTCGGTCCACTATTGTCACATATCCTAATTCACTTTCAACGGACTGACAACTTCCAATTTAGGACATTCTTAACTTTTTGACCTCTCTTCCATAGTAAAATCACTATGGAGAGAAGAAAAGAAGCACTTCAATAATATATCCAAACTCATCACACACCCGTACCTTCTTGTATAGGACCTCTTGTTACCCCGCCACTAGTGTCCCCATCCTGGTATGAGAAAACAAAAGCCTTCCTCTTCCCTCCCACCTTTTACCGCCCTTGTCGGCCAGCTCCATTACATCTAGATTGGACAGCAGCCAAATTTGCCCATTATTTAAGACTGATAAGGACGGCCGGCCGCGAGCTTGATGATCGCTTTGCTATAGTTTGCTTTTTACTCTGTCACGCCGTAAGAAGGGTTATACTTTCATCATCTCCATCTGTTGACTGCTTCAGTCTTTCTCTCTGTCCTAGTCTCTTCTTATCTTTCCTTCCACCAACTGCATGATTCTAGCCAGATGGGCCATTGATACCCAGAGCACACAGTTACGACTTCACTTCACTCACCGCGATCCAACGCGTATCTGAGCTCGAAATCCCAACAATGGCGCCCATTGCCACTTCACCTGAACCTGCAGTCGAACCCTCAGCAACCCAATCTCTCTCGTCGGTCACGACCACATATGATGATACCCTCCGATTCTATCTCAACGGTACACGGGTTACCATCGATGACATTGATCCGGAAGTCACTTTGCTTGAATATCTGCGTGGCATAGGCTTGACTGGGACAAAGCTAGGTTGCGCCGAAGGAGGATGCGGAGCCTGCACTGTTGTCGTTTCGCAGTACAATCCTACAACAAAAAAGATATACCATGCCAGCGTTAATGCGTGTTTAGCACCGCTGGTCAGCGTCGATGGAAAGCATGTCATTACCGTTGAAGGTATCGGAAACGTCAACAAGCCACACCCTACGCAAGAGCGAATTGCAAAAGGCAATGGAAGCCAATGTGGTTTCTGTACACCTGGGATTGTTATGAGTCTTTATGCCTTGTTGAGGAATGACTCGAGTCCATCGGAGCACGATATTGAGGAGGCTTTTGATGGCAATCTCTGTAGGTGTACGGGTTATCGCCCCATTCTCGATGCCGCGCAGACCTTCAGCGTTGGAAAGTCCTGTGGGAAAGCTAAAGCCAACGGCGGCGGCGGCTGCTGCATGGAAAGAGGAGATGGGAAATCGGGAGGCTGTGGTAAGGACGGGTTCAAGGACGACCAACCTATAAAGCGGTTTACTCCACCTGGGTTTATCGAGTACAACCCTGATACCGAACTTATATTTCCTCCTGCACTTTCCAAACACGAGTTCCGGCCTCTGGCTCTAGGGAATAAGAGGAAGCGATGGTACCGACCCGTTACATTGAACCAATTGCTGGAGATCAAAAGTGTATATCCATCTGCAAAAATCATTGGTGGCAGCACGGAAACGCAGATCGAGATTAAGTTCAAGGCCATGCAATACACGGTCTCCGTGTTCGTTGGTGATATTGCTGAGTTGCGACAATTCTCCTTCAAAGATGACCACTTAGAAATCGGTGGAAACGTCACGTTGACCGACCTAGAAGATATCGCCTTGAAGGCGGTGGAACACTACGGCCCAGTTAAAGGGCAGGTGTTTGCAGCAATTCACAAACAACTCAAGTATTTCGCTGGGCGCCAGATCAGGAATGTCGGAACCCCCGCAGGTAATCTAGCTACTGCGTCGCCCATATCAGACCTGAATCCAGTCTTTGTTGCGGCCAATGCAACCTTGGTCGCTAAATCGTTGGAAGAAGAAATCGAAATACCCATGTCCCAATTTTTCAAGGGATATCGTAGAACGGCACTACCCCCGAATGGGATCATCGCGAGTATTCGCATTCCAATTGCAAAGGAGAAGGGAGAGTTTTTCCAAGCATACAAGCAGTCCAAGCGCAAAGACGATGATATTGCAATCGTCAACGCAGCCATTCGCCTCTCTCTGGATGATTCAAATGTGGTAGAAAGCGCAGATCTTGTATATGGTGGAATGGCGCCGACCACCATTGCAGCAAAGTCTGCTGGCGAGTTCCTAATTGGCAAGAAAATCACGAATCCTGCTACCCTCGAAGGTACTATGAATGCCCTGGAGCAAGACTTTGACCTCAGATTTGGTGTCCCTGGTGGGATGGCCACCTATAGAAAATCTTTAGCACTCGGCTTCTTTTATCGATTCTACCATGACACACTTTCCAAGCTCGAGGTAAAGGAAGAAGAAGTCGACGAGGAAGTCATTGAAGAAATCGAGAGGATGATTTCTCACGGCAAACAAGACACCGATGCTACCATTGCTTATCAACAGGACGTTCTCGGCAAAGCTAAACCACATGTCGCAGCAATGAAGCAGGTTACGGGCGAAGCTCAATACACAGATGATATTCCAGTTCAGAAGAACGAGCTCTACGGCTCTCTTGTACTGTCAACCAAGGCGCGCGCTAAGATCACATCCGTCGACTACTCACCGGCCATGGATCTTCCAGGCGTGGTTGAATGGCTTGATCATACCGACATGCCTTCACCAGAAGCGAATAGATGGGGCGCTCCAGTATGCGACGAAGTGTTCTTTGCTGTCGATGAGGTTTTCACCACTGGCCAACCTATTGGTATCATTCTTGCAGATAGCGCTGCCCATGCCGCGGCTGGCGCTAGAGCGGTCAAGGTGGATTACGAGGAGTTGGAGCCCATCTTCACCATGGAGGAAGCAATCGTAAAAGAAAGCTTCTTTGATCATTATCGATACATCAACAATGGGGATGTGGACACTGCCTGTGAAAATGCAGACTTCGTTTTTACCGGCGTGACACGGATGGGCGGCCAAGAACATTTTTACTTGGAAACCCAAGCGTGCTGTGTAATACCAAAACCAGAAGACGGTGAGATGGAAGTGTTTTCCAGTACACAGAACCCAACAGAGACGTTAGCAACCACCAGCCCCTTTACCTGATCCAGAGTTGATGCTAATGATTTTCTAGTCAAACGTACGTTGCTCAAGTGTGCAATGTTGCAGCAAACAAAGTAGTCACGCGCGTGAAACGATTGGGGGGTGGATTTGGTGGTAAAGAGACTCGCTCAGTTCAACTCACTGGAATTGTTGCCCTCGGTGCGAAGAAAACGGGACGTCCCGTCCGTTGTATGTTGAATCGCGATGAAGACATGATCACCTCCGGTCAAAGGCATCCATTCCTTGCCCATTGGAAGGTCGCTGTTAACAAAGATGGAAAAATTCAAGCCCTCGATGCTGATGTATTCTGTAATGGTGGCTGGACTCAAGACCTTAGTGGTTCTGTCTGCGACAGAGCGCTCTCTCATATCGATGGGTGTTATAAAATTCCGAATGTCCACGTCCGAGGGAGGCTCTGCAAGACGAATACTATGTCCAATACGGCTTTCCGTGGTTTCGGTGGCCCCCAGGGCAACTTCATTGCGGAGTCCTACATGGCCGAGGTGGCTGACCGTCTCGGTATGCCAGTAGAGAGGCTGCGGGAGATTAATTTCTACAAACCCCTGGAGGAAACTCATTTCAAGCAAAGCTTGAAGGACTGGCATGTGCCTATCATGTACAAACAAGTTCTCGAAGAGACAGACTACGAAAATCGGCGCGAAGCCGTGAGGAAGTTCAACGCAGAGCACAAGTGGAAAAAACGCGGCCTGGCCATAATACCAACGAAATTCGGCATCTCATTTACCGCGCTTTTCCGTAAGTATATTTCCTCTACCAATATCCGTCTTTGATAATCAACCATTTCACTCCTTTTATGTACAACTCCATTTGGTCTTTGCTTGCATGACCACGAAGCTGACCAAAATGTTCTAGTCAATCAAGCTGGTGCTTTGGTGCATATTTACCACGATGGAACGGTGTTGGTTGCTCACGGTGGAACCGAAATGGGTCAAGGTCTCCACACGAAGATGATAATGATTGCAGCTGAAGCACTCAAGGTTCCGATGTCTGATGTTCACATATCAGAGACTGCTACCAATACCGTGGCAAACACATCCTCCACAGCCGCCTCGGCATCTTCTGATCTGAATGGATACGCAATCTTCAACGCGTGTAAGCAAATTAACGAACGCCTACAGCCCTACCGAGAGAAGTTTGGCCAGGATGCGCCAATGAAGAAGCTGGCGAGTGCAGCTTACTTCGACCGAGTCAACCTTTCGGCCAACGGCTTCTACAAGACGCCTGATATTGGATACACATGGGGTCCCAACACCGGTCAAATGTTCTTCTACTTCACCCAGGGAGTTTCTGCCGCTGAGGTCGAGGTCGACACACTGACTGGTGATTGGACTTGTCTGCGCGCGGACGTCAAGATGGATATTGGCCGCTCAATCAATCCTGCTATTGACTATGGCCAAATCGAAGGTGCCTTTGTACAGGGAATGGGTCTCTTCACTATGGAGGAGTCTCTTTGGTTTCGTGGCGGGCCAATGAGGGGGCAGCTTGCCACTCGCGGTCCTGGTGCATACAAAATCCCTGGATTTCGAGATGTGCCTCAGGAACTTAATGTCTCGATGCTTAAGGGCGTCACATGGGAGAATCTGCAAACGATCCAACGCAGTAGAGGTGTCGGTGAACCCCCACTGTTTATGGGAAGTGTGGTATTCTTCGCAATTCGTGACGCTCTAAAGGCTGCACGAAGTCAATATGGAGTGGAGGCTGAGATAGGGTCCAATTCGAAGGACGATGGGCTGCTGAGACTGGAAAGTCCTGCTACCCCCGAGAGAATTCGAACGTCCTGTGTTGACCCAATTATCAAGAGGGCCATTGTGAAACCTTTGGAGGGAGAAAGAAGTTTCTTTATTGCTATCTAGTAGGACTTGTTCGCTCAGTAGACATTAGGTATTAAACTGTATCGTGTCCCAATTTGTTCAACTCGTGTTTAGCACATAGACCAGTGACTCTTTGTATAGTGGTTTCGTTATCGTGTAACCGTTTCTCATGTTATGCCTATAAGAAAAGGGGAAATCCTTCAGATCACGTAGCATATGAATTTATTGGCGAGCAACAACTATCTCTTCGACTCCCGAGTCTTTTTGTTGTTCTATCCCGCCAGCTGCGGCGCTATAAACTGCAGGAAAGACTATCCTTACTAATCTATTCGGCTTAATTAATATGATGGAGCGAAACATCTCTCCACTCGGTACGTGCACATTTATAGACATCTTCCGGTACTGAATTGGCGGGGGTTGATGGTTTTCACGGATGAAGTCAGTGGGAGATATGATCAGAGTATAGTAACGAGTGATCTTTGTTAATTCTATATTACAACTCTCCTAGATATACTAAGTGATATTAGAGTATGCCTTCGGCCTCGAACACAAGGCTACGAAGGAGTTGATCACTATAGCGAATAATAAAACGTCTAGTAGACTATAAACGCTATTTAGTATAGATTAGTATAACCTCTTTAGCATTTGAGAGGATCTACTATAAGATGAGAGGTGAACTCTACGTAAATAGTTAAATTCCATACTATATTACCTTGTAGTTCTGTTTTATACCTAAGAGGCGAGGTTACGGAATTATTTAATATAGTGGAAAAGCTGTTAGGTAGAAGGACTCTTCGCTTAGAGATATATTGTCGAATAGAGTTGGAATGTAAAAAGGCAATAGTCCGAAAGAGATGGTGTTCCACTTAAATTACCTTTTTGTCGCGAAGCTCACGCTTTGGCGTATTGATTTACGTTGAATTAGCGAGCTGGATATAACTGAAGTAGCTCCTCGATATTTGGGTGTAATTTTGAAGGGGGGTAAATGACTGGATGTGTCGCCATGCGAGGGTGTTAATCTAACACTACATGTCTCTACGACATATTGAAGATTGAATAAATGCGGATTAGAGGATTGCATAATGTCAGCTTAATTGTAAAAGAAAAAATAGATACTAGATATGTTAAGTTAAGAGCTTTGTTAGAGCTTTATGAGAAAATATGTAGAGAAAACCTGTTAGCTAACTTAAAAGGATATTAATATTGTTATAGGCTAGACAAGACGGGTCATACGTTCTTTAGATTTTGCTGACATGATTATCTACTTAGTGTTATTAGGTAGCTGGTGTATGTAGTACTTCTTAATTTATGTCTTGATGAAGAAAGCCACTTTGACTCTATCCCACCGGGGCATTATACACCACACAGGCTTTTTCATTACAGCCATCATAGTCGGCGAAGATCCTGATTGCTCTGTTTCCATTCATGGCCCATCAACTACTATTTGGGTTGAGAGTTCGACCGGATATTTTTCCAAATATGCGCATAGTTGGATAGGAACGGCCGAGCTATTGGAGTGGGACCCTAAGCAGGTACACCAACGGGCGACATTATTATCTGCGAAGCTAAAACCTACACACTAGGATTTCAACGGCAGAACAAGACCCAGATACAAAAATCTCTATAACATTCTAGCTTATACCTTGAAATGAAACTTTACGAACAAAATGGCAGCTTTTGATTGTGGATTTGAGTCAGTTGCTTTCAGAATTCTCGGCTGCGCAGTATTGTGTTGCTCACTGATGCTATACTAGTCTATGTGATCTTGATGTATAACTTGACTTAATGCAGTACTTCGCTTGGGCTGGTGAGCTACAATTGCTGGAAAATGGCCAGCAAACACTTAGCAAACACTCACTGAGAGCTTCTCATGAGCACTTCGTACACTATGGGACCAGGACAAAGTCGAATGCGATGACCCTCAAAGCTCGAAATAAAGAGTCAATTGATCTTCGGTCTCTGAATCGCTGGCAAATTCTCTCTTTCGTTGGCAAGTTTTCTGTTTCGTTGTGCTGGATGAAACAGGATATGAAATTCCATCAGCCAAACTTGGACTGCTTGAGTTCTAGTATAATAGTCCTCACAGTATATGGTCAACGTAGTTCCGATTGGACTTTACTTACATTTTCTGCTTTGCTCTTCGATAATAATGAAATATTAATCATCTTGCACCCCAAAACTTCGCGGTTTTTGAGACTGCTTCATTAATGCTAACATAGAGAATCTCTGTAGTCTAGCCTGCTAAAACCCAGCGGCGTTCAGTAAGGCAGACCAAATTTCACCACGAGTGGGAAATGGGGGAACAACGTGTACCATCTCCCTCAAGGTCATTCCTCGCAAAATGGCTACCTGGCTTGCATTTGCAAATTCGGAACCCTCGATACAACAAAATGTTGCACCAACCAACCTATCGGTTTTTTCTTCAATGACCCATCGAGCCCAGCCAGGCTGTGCATCGCCATACAACCATGCCCCCGGTATGTTGAAATCGCTGTCAACAGCCCTGACTTTCAGACCAGCAAATTCAGCAGAGGCAAGTGTGTGGCCAACGGCGGCGATGTTGGGTTCCGTAAAAACAACCTGGGGAAATGTGTTTGTAAAGTCCTTGGCTTCTGTGACATTAATTCCAACAGGATTGCTAATGTTGAGGGATGGCTTCGTATTCTGAAGGAAGGTCAAAATGGCGTTACTGGCAATTCGAGCCTGGTAAATTCCCATATGTGTAGTAGGGCCAAGACCATTCACATCCCCAATCGCATAAAGCCATGGCTGAGTGTCGGGAGATATAGCAACGGCGAGGCTTGCATTCGTTTTCAATGGCTGACCTTCTCCGACTAGGCCGATGCTGTCGAGCCCAAAGTCAAAGGTTCTGGGCCTGCGTCCGGTTGCGTTCAACAGCACAGAACCTGGAATGGTTTCTCCATTGGATAACACGACAATGAATGAGTTGGCAGCTTGCTTCTCAATCTTGGAGACACGCGAGGATAGCCTTACCGAGACGCCACATGCCTCCAAGCTATTCCGCACAATCTTCGCAGCCTCATGCTCAACCTTGGGCAAGATCTCGGCAGTGGACGAGATTAGTGTCACCTTGGAGCCAATGGCGGCATAAAAAGTTGCCATCTCAGACCCAACAGCGCCAGCACCGAGGATGATCAGATTCTCAGGAACGGAATTTGCTGCGACTGCATCCCTATTGATCCAGAGCTCCGTTCCTTTCTCAAGACTTTCGATGCCCGGAATCGCAGGCAAGTTATGTGTCGAACCCGTGGCCACAATGACCGCAACGTTCGCATCAATATTGTATTTCTGCGTCTCTCCATGGGGTTGAATACTAACTGTTTTGACGCCCGCAATACGTCCAAAACCTCGTACAAGCGTCGCACCACTGGCTCCGTTTGAAATGGAAATCCAGTTCCTGTCATCCCACACATCTACGATCTTGTCTCTTCTTGCGAAGACGGCGGCAACATTCAGCTTGTTGTTGCCAATCGCCTCTCGAGCTCCGTCAATTGCTCTCGCCGCTTCAAAAGCTTCGATTGGTCTAAGAAGTGCTTTGGACGGAATGCAGCCAAAGAAGTGGCACTCACCGCCGTAGAGCTCGTGTTGAACGACGGCAACACTCAGTCCAGCTTTGGCGAGACGAGCCTCGGCGAAGTTAGCAACAGGGCCTCCACCAATAATGATGATGTCGAAGCTTGTTTTTGTGAGGGAGGCTGGATGGTAGCCTGTAGGATGGATATTGATGTTTCTGGATGCCATATTGAGCGGCTTGACGAGACGAAGTGGATAGGTGAGCCGGGAGTAGGGTACAACAGTAGCAGTTGCTTAGCAGGTGCGTTCAATACTATTCTAGGGTCGAACAGTCGCAGAGCAGAGACGCACTTTATATTCAAACCTCTCCTCGAAAAACTTCTCAAAGAGGGGGTGCTTGATTCCATGCTGCATTACTGACTCCATTCTGCGTCATTGATTCCATCCAGCGTTATTGATTCCATCCTGTATTACTCGACGCTATACAATCTGGATGAACTTAACAGCTGCTCACCTGCAGTCTTGCTTCCCTGCGACACTGGACTTACTCAGCATTGGCAGCATTCGGATTTGTCAGCTTCTGCAGCCTGACATTCAAAATGCCAGGCAGAAAAGAAGAAAAGCTCGAAGGCCATAGAACGCGTAGTCCGACACTGTATATCAAGGGGACGACGCAGATCTCCATACTAAAAAGTGTGGTTTTTGATGTGCGATGCTCTTGGTAGTTGAGGTTGAGGATATGCATTAAATAGACAACACACTATGCCTATGATAGATCTTCCTCAATCCAATCATGGGAAAGACCGCTCTATCAAGAGCGGGTTCGTTTAAAGTAGGTATGTTGACTTGACACTCTTGCAAGCGACATCTAAAGGCTTTGCCTAATGAATCTTATAGTACGTACAGTACGTAGGTACCCTTGGCTTATACCCAGCCATTCACTTTAGAGTAATTATTTTTGTTGTTGAATTCCACGCGACTGCTTCTGTAATGATTAATATTAGTCGTGTAAAGCGCTGTTTGGAAGTCTTAAACTTGTTTGCGGTATCCTAGCTTGCTCCTTCTAGGTCCCCCCCAGCTCTTACTGCCGAAGCAGCCAGAGATATTTACTCACTCTTTTTGTGATTAGGAGACCAATTCCTCTGATACCATTGAACTGTCCGACTGATGCCTTCATCCGTGTCGCAAACTGGACTATATCCTAACCGCTTATTTGCTTTATCGCTCGAGTACCAGCAGCCTTTCCTCATGTACTCGAAATTTCGCCAAATAAAACCAGGTTCCTTGTAACCTAGCGTGAAGATATTGTAAGCCCATGCCATAAGCATGAGGTTGAACCATAAGAACCACAAAGGAATAATAACAACTTTAGGCCGCGTTTCCCCAGTCCACGCCCTGTCTCCAGCCGCCTTCCAGAAGCGCGAAGCAAAATCCCAAAACTTGATTGGCTTCTCGTCAGTAATGAAGAATGCCTCTCCATCAACAGTTAGATGCCCATCTTTATGCTGGCCTTCCAACAAGGCTTTGGTAGCAAGAACAACACCATAGACAGCGCTCTCGATGTAAACCCAGGAATGCCATGCTTTGTTTGGCCCCAACTGAATACGAGTCCCTAGTGTATTGGCCATTGAGTAGAAACGTTCACTGATCATGCTATCTCGTGGTCCGTAGATGCCAGGGAAGCGAATGACTGTCGTGAGAAGATGTCCCTTGAAATCAGCTTTCGATGGCCTCTCTGGGCTATTAGATGCAAGAACGAGAGCATCTGCGGCTCCCTTGGTACGAGCGTATGGATTTGACCCAGTCTCGAGAGTACACAGGACCGAATCTTCTTCGGTTTCTGGCTTTGTGTTTAATCCAGAGGCAAGACCAACTGCTTCGGCGGAACTCACGTAAACCAACGCTCTGACGGTAGGGTGGTCTCGTGCTACCAAGAGGAGTTGCTTAGTGGACACGTAGTTAACGTGATATTGAGCCTCCGGGGGCGCAAAGGCTCCCGGCATTATGGTGTGTACAATGATATCTGGATTGACATCTTCGAGCAAGGCCACAATCTGGTCGCGATCCGTGACATCACAAACGTGGTAGGTCGTTAGCGGGTTGGTATGTTGACCAGGTCTTTCCTGTCGATACGTTGCTACGACTTGGGCGCATTCGGGGTCAGCTGCGAGAGCGTCGACTATATGAGAGCCGAGAAATCCGCCTCCGCCCGTGACAAGAACTGTTCCGAGAAGAGGAGCCATTGCGGCAGGTCGAATGGACCTAGTGGAGTTTGCGGTACGATGTAATTCGAAAAGGTAAGGTCGAGTGGTTATATTACAGTAGTGCTTGGGCGGGTTTCATGAGTGCCGCTGACAACCTGTTTTCCCAGGCGAAGGAACACCAAAATAGTAGTTATCGACTGACTTATATAATTTGTACCTAATTAGCATTGAACACGAATACTCTCAAAATAAAACCCACAGTAATGTATTACCTGTTCCTACTTTTGACTAACTCAGAATCCTGGTTACTATTACTACTGTAGCGTGGTTGTATCTAAATCGCTACACATGCCCAAAATTTGGTTAGCGCGGCACTCATGAAAACGCACCCAGGTACTTAAAAGTCAGATAAGTAGCTAGAAATAGGTTATAGCGATATTGATAACTAGCGTATAGTGCTGTATAGTAAAGGGCTAGCTTAAAACTTAAATTTCAAAGAATGTAATTTGGATCGCCAGCCCTAGCGCCGTTGAGTTGGCCCATCTCGGAGTCGACCGCTTTCACGTCACTCCTAGGTCACTAGATTAGACCGAAGAAGACATCTTTTGTGCCCAGCTTCGCACGTAAGGTGCTATTTTCTGGTCGCATCGTCGCTGCCGCCTCAGTACTTGGAGATAAGCCAGCTCAACGGCGCTTGGGCTGGCGACCCAAATACCGCCGTTTTTCCAACAGGCTACTTGGTGGAAGTATATAGTATTGGTGGATTGGGTTGATGGTTGGGGAGGTGTCATGATTTCATTAACGGCTTCTGGAATTAATTCCCAGGATTTGTGGGGCTCCCGCAGCCGACCTCGGGAATCAGCTGCCCGCAAGATTATTAAGCGTTTACTAACAAAGCTAGTGAGAATTAGCCAATTTTGGCAATATAGTAGCTTTATATTTGGGCCGCAGGGACGCCTTACAGGAAACCGAAAGTTTAACATTATTGTCGTTTTTTCAGCTAAGTAAACCGAGCCCTAGTCTGTACACACTTAACTGACTCCAAAATGCCAAACATCGTCGTCCTCGGGTATACACCACTCTCCCATTTGCCAAACCACAAGCTAATACCGCATAGTGCTGGAGTCTCAGGACTCACCACAGCTCTCTTGCTATCCAAGAAACCAGGATACAATGTGATTGTGGTAGCAAAACATATGCCAGGTGATTATGACATTGAATATACATCACCATGGGCAGGTGCAAACTATTTGCCGTATGTTTTCCTAACCTTACATCACAGGTGAGCGAGTCAAATTCTGACTGTGATGCAGAATGGCAGATGAGGCTGGATCGAAGTATGAGAGGAATACTTGGCCGGAACTAGCTCGTCTTGCGAGAGATGTACCGGAAGCGGGTATTCATTTTCAGAGTGAGTTGTATATCCTCATCTATCTACATCACATATCACCACAAGGCTTGAAAGAATATGCTCAACTTCGCTGTATAATATTTGCAGCATTTATCTCTTATTCAATATATTCTCCTTATCATCCATCTTATCTCAATCCAAATCTATCTCTTTGATTCCCCTCTCAACCCTAAACTAACATCCCCAGACACACTCTCCCTCAACCGCAAAAAAGACGCCTCAACCCCAACAGGCCAATGGCTTAAGGTCCTCACCTCCCAAGACCCCTGGTTCAAAACCGTCGTCCCTGACTTCCGTATCCTCCCCAAATCTGAAGTCCCTCCAGGCGCCGACTCCGCAACAGCATTCACATCCGTCTGCATCAACACCGCCATCTACCTCCCCTACCTTGTCTCCCAATGTCTCTCCTCCAACGTCCTTTTCTTCCGCAAAACCCTAACCCACATCTCGCAAGCCCGCTCTCTCCATCCCTCCGGAACCGCAGACATAGTAGTAAACTGTACTGGCTTGCTCGCCTCCAAACTCGGCGGCGTAATGGACTCCACCGTCATCCCCGTCCGCGGCCAAATCGTCCTCGTCCGTAACGATCCCGGCGTAATGCTGACCATCTCCGGCACCGACGACGGCGACGACGAGGTTTGCTATATCATGAAGCGCGCGTGTGGCGGGGGTACGATTCTCGGCGGGACGTACCAAAAAGGACGATCCGAGTCGCAGCCGGATCCGAATACCGCGATGCGCATTATGAAGCGGGCGGTGGAGTTGTGTCCGCAGTTAACTGGGGGGAAGGGGATTGAAGCGTTGGATGTGGTGAGGCATGGTGTTGGGTTGAGGCCGTTGAGGACGGGCGGCGTGAGGATTGAGAAGGAAAGGGTGGATGGGGGGTGGGTGGTTCATAATTATGGGCATGGTGGATGGGGGTATCAGGCTAGTTATGGGTGTGCGGGGGAGGCTGTTGATCTTGTGGAGGAGGCTCTGAAGGAGAGGGCGAGGTTGTGAGGGTTTATAATTAGAATTTGAGAGCGTTGTAGTGATGGTTTTGGAACGGTTATGAGATATATGAACAAGGATATTGATGACTTTTCTAGGGATCAGCGAAATATATTCTGTATTCGAATAGACCACTAACAAGTACATAAAGATTAAGAAACGAAACCCACCTATCCGTCTCCCATATTCCGACATCATTCAACGTCCTCATTGTCTCTCTAACTAGCACCTTTTGGTGCGACGTCTCCATTCGAAATACCTTCTACTTAACATTTCTGACAACTTCCCTTTCCAAGCTCTCCTAAACCTCTTACCTTCGACGGGCAATGCGTAATATGAATAGAGAACCGCCAGATTAGGAATTGAACAACAACTCAACACACAGGCGTGTCATCTCTGTGGTGGAGAAGTATGTTGGGACTGTAATTATCCTATGAAAGACCACGAAAGCCCTGACAGGAGGATGCAATTCGCTGCAGATGAGATACGAGATTGAGGTGTCAATCCTGCGCGATTTGCTAAGCTTCAATTAAATTCAGAACGGTGACAACGCTGCTTTCGGTGACAATAATCCTTTCGTCGGCTCCAGCCTTTGCTCTCCCTACACTTGCGCCAACTCATCCATTCCAGGAGACTGATTCAATATATCATCTCCTTGCTCTATTACGACTAGGGAATACAAGTCTCACTCATCCTCCTGTTCCCAGAGTTCAAAGTTTAGTTCGGTTTTTCTTTTCGTTACTGGAGTTTGTTGTTCTTCTAGATTTTATAGTGCGAGGGTCTTATCGAGGGTATAGTGGTTTTGGTACTTGATAATAGTTGTGGTATTATGAAGTGAGGAATTAATAATTCTTTTTAGGAGTAGCGAGGTGGTTTGTCTTGAAAGGAAATGTGTTTAAAAGAATAATAGGATGTGGGTTGCAACATAGTGGAATATCTTTAGTAGGCATCCTTTATATTATCTTTAATCTCTCTGACCAGCCTCCGAACTAACACGGCTTAGCAAACACAGATTCCAGAGGACGAGCTTGACATGGTCACTAAAGCACTTCTAACTAGCACTTAAAAAATCTAATACTTCCATTTTCCCATTTCCTAAACGCACTGCCTTCTCTAAATTTAAAGATTATTCAGATCTGAATAGATATGCAAACTATTTCGGTAACGATTTTATATTCGGTGACAACACTAATCTCGCTGCCAAACAACTTCTATCCTTAACATACAAACCATTGTATTATAATAAATCTACATTAGGCTAATATGCTTTTTGTTTTCCTAAAGCATAGACTTGTCCGTAATCAAGCCTAGGTTTAGGCCGTACAGTGCAAAGACCAGACACCAGAAGTTTCGGTCTGCTTTGTGTTAGGGTTGAAGTGTGTATGTAAATGCTAACTTATAAGGCGTCTCGACCATCTTTTCTTTTTCCCTTTTTCTGGACGTTTTGAAAATAACAGAAACATGTTAGAAGAGAGCTCCACTCATCATTCTCAAATCCGATTTTCTCAAAATCCCCCATTGATTATTCAAATGATGAAAGGGGAATCAACTCGGCTATGACTGAAATTTCACTGAGAAAAATACTAGTCTTGTACTTGATGGTTATCAAGATATACGAGAATCTTAACCGTCAACAAGGGTAGTCGTACAAAAAGGAATGAAAATTATTTCTAATGCCCTGACATCCATTTCGTCCGACGAAAACGACATCTAGAACGACGCAATTATGAAATATCCAAAACCCCGGAGGAAAATAGTACATTGAGCTTTACGCTCATGGTGTGTTAATCTATAGGTCATTGTGGAACTATGGTCGGAGGTAGATTGGGTACTTGCAGAATCTGGAAATGCGAAAATGTCAGTCAAAGTCGCGCTACTATGTATTCAGGAAAGTGCTGAGACTCTGAATTGCTGGACCGGCAGTAAGCTTGGTAGGAATATTCATGAGTTTAAGACTAGTTATGGCTGCGTGGGAGAGGCGTTAAGGGGGTAGAGAATGTGGTGAAGGAGAGATAATTTGACTCCGCATTTATATTTCCATATGTTCTCTTCTTCACTTCTGCATCTTTATTAAAGAGAGGAGTCTAGAAAGAAACCCCAGCTGCCAGGGTAACTACTCTTTCCCAACCTTTGAGTGCCGTATTTGACTGGAATATCCAACTCTAATCAATTTGCCTTTTTCTTGACTTTTGATGAGCGCTTCCGATGCTTGGAAATAGCTTGGGATTCGAATAATGCATTTTGGTGACGAGGCTGGTTTCGGTGACAGGGTTCTGAGAAGATCTTGATTTCTTTGGAATGTACGTTTTAGCTTTAATCGAGCATTTTGAGAAGGGTATTTATGCAACTGAAATAGTGTTGAAAATGTATACGTGGAGTGGCTGATCCGATCCATATATATCCAAACATGTCATAGTACGGGGGTAGTTGCTCCGTCATGGAGTTCTCAAGAGCTGAGGTTTTAAAGAAGCTTGAGTGTATTTTCTGAGTGGTTGGTAACGGTGGAAACAGATCATGACGACAGCCTTACACGGTTGTCGATGAGGATGGGTATGATCAACTGAACTTAGTACGCACTATGGGAAGAAGAAACGATTGTTCTCTGATGTGTTGGATATAATTACAATGAAATAGGTAGAACATATCATAAAAACTAAAACACAATAACGAAATCGAAATTTGCTCTCCACAAAACCAATAAACTCATCTTCTTCAGTAAGTCGGTATAGATACTCATATAATTTATTATCGCTTTAACAAGCTGCAGAAACAACAGGAAAAGAATAAGCCTAGAATTCTTACTAAAACAATTTAACTAGCACCTATCTCGATACGGAAAACGGGGTCTCACCACTACCAAAATGGGTTGGAAATGGCCTTGTTTCAGCAAGAATTCGTATTGAATCATAAAAGAATGTTTTCAAACAAAAAGAGATTACCTTCCGTTGGCAGACTCTCCCAAAGGCACTATCCCTGCCATCTATGAATACTATCGACACAAATTGTTTCGGTGACAACCTTGGGTTTGGTGACAACACTGATTATTTCTGCGACGATGTTAACTTCGAGGCCGTATACAACCTCCGCTCTTATCAACTAACTTTTACACTATATCAAGTCTTACCACACAAAGTAGCAAGTCGATGTTCTTTCCGGTTTGCTAGAACATATACAAGTCGCTAATTGTGCCTAATACTCTTCAAGTGACGATTAATGTTTTGCCTTAAAGCACGTCTATAAATACCGAGGCGTATAAAAATCTTTGGTTGACAGATATTAAGAAATGAACAGAATGAGAATGTAATGTTACAAAGCTCGACCAGCTCAACGCGTTGTTTCGAATAACTTTGAAAACGCGACATCACGTGCTTGATTTGCAAGGGTCCTCGAACGTCGACGTCCTCCAAGGACTGGAACGATTGAGCATCTTGACAATGGACAACCAACCCTCGAAGTCAGGTCACTGCGATCGCGAAGAGTCTGCGGCTCGTCTGTCGCGCTTCTATCTACGCTTTCCAACATGAAATAATCCTTTACAATGGAAAATTCTATAAAAACTCCGGAATTGATAGTACGGTTTATCTTTTTCTGCAACCCAAGCTACATTGCAATTGAATTTTAATTGATCTACTGCAGGCTTCCACCGGAAACGTCTACAGCTGCTCCATTTCCGAATCGAGGGGCCGCGAGAATGGATCCTTAGATAAACCTCCTGGACAGCTCAGTCCGTCCCCGGAACCGCGAGAAGAAGACGCAGAATGGAATTACTTCAAGAGCGCCCAATGGAGCGCAGACGGCACCTCCCTCCTCACCAACAGCGCCGACAACAAAATCCGAACCTTCATCCTCCCCCCTGATCTCCTCGAACCGCACTCCTCCCCCATCACCCTCTCACCATACACAATCCACGCCAACCCCTCCCCAATAAACACCCTCGCACCCTACCCATCCTACACACTCTCCTCCCCCAACACAACACTCTACCTGACCTCCCCCTCTTCCCTCCCAATCCGCCTCACCAATTCCCTATCTCCAACCGCAACGCCCGCAGCTGCATACCCATTAGTATCACCCACAACCGAAGCCTACCAAACGCCCTCCTCCCTCCTCTGGACAAGTCCCACCACCTTCCTAGCAGGCACAGACTGCCTCATCGCCCTCTTCGACATCACGCGACCTGGCTCCGGGCCTACACAATCCCTCCCTACCATTCCGTCAAAACGGCATAAGATGAAAGGCGGGGGCGTTGGAATCCGTGGTATTATCTCCGCACTCTCTCTCCAACCTTCAGCCGGCGAGGAGACTGGCGTCGGTATGGTCGCAGCAGGAACATGGACGCGCTGGATCGGTCTTTACGATATGGCTGGGCTCGGCGGGACGGTGGCACAATGGAGTATCGCCGAAGCTGCGGATTCGGTCGCGGGGATTGGAGGGATGGGCGTGAGTCAGACTGCGTGGAGTGCGTGCGGACGGTATTTGTATGTTGTGGAGCGGAAGAGCGATGGGGTGTTAGTGTATGATATCCGGGGAGAGCGGAAGATGTTAGGGTGGTTGGTGGGGAGGCACGCGGGGACGAATCAGAGGTTGGGTGTTGATGTTTTTGGGGCGGATAGGGGGATGGAGGTTTGGGCTGGGGGAGTGGATGGAGTTGTGAGGGTTTGGGAGGGAGTGGGTTTGAGTGAGGGTGCGATGGAGAGGAGTTGGGAGTGGAAGGCTCATGATGGTGAGTTTTATTCGCTGAGATGGTGGTGCTTGCTAATGTTTGTAGATCCTGTGACTTCGACTGTTGTCCATAGCTCTGGGACTGTTGTTGCTACTTGTTCTGGTCAACGCTCTTTGGGCGTTCAAGAAGCTGATTTAGAAAGTGATAGCGAAAACGATTCCGAGTCGAGCAATTCGACTGATCAGTCGAGCTCGGATTCGGATTGTTCATCAAGTGATTCTGATGACTATCACAAGAAGAGTTCTGGCATCTCACCTCAAACTTCGACACGACCAAGTACGACAAGAGTACCAGATAATAGTATAAAAGTATGGAAATTATGACATTCGAGCTATATACAGGCTAGATGTGAGATCTACCTATCGTTTACTTCACATCAAATCATTCAAATAAGCTATTCCAGCAACATACCCTGCACATCAGCACTGCCAAATACATATGCCACATATTACCACCCTTCAGCACTACCCCGACCCCCTTACACATCACATCCACACCCCATCAACAACATCACTAACCCTCTCCACAACACCCACACCACACAGCGCTCCAAACCGTCTAACCCTCATCTCCCTCCCCATCTCCACAAAAGCAGTCAACCCATACAAGCCCGCCTTAGAAGGACTCAACGCATCCACGCCCTCCGGCGCCTTCAGATGCGCAATCACCTGCTGCGCGGCATACGCATTCATTCCTGCCCGTCGTAAGAATAGTTCCCAGTGCGTCTCGTCCTCGATTAAGACTCCGCCCTCAGAACTCCTGTATGAGAGGATCATATGAGCTATCCACCGCGCGAGCCCGTCCTCGGGGCCGACAAAATACACAACTACATTCCCCTCTCCCCCAGCAGCGAAACCAGAAATCTCACACAGCGCCTCAGCATCCCCTTCAGCCACCCCATCCTCACCTGTAACAAGCACAAACAGCATCTCATACCGCCCTCTAACCCTCGCAATCCGCTCCTGAATCGCATTTCGTCCCTTACTCCCTGGCAACACTTTCTGCCGTATTTTCTGAAGCGTAGTAAGCACCAGTCCGGTCTTGGGCGAGATGATTAGATCAGCTTCGGAGTCTAGCGGAGAAGAGACGGGGGACCGGGCGACGGAACCGGGGAGCCAGAGGGATGTGTTGTGCGTGGAGAAATCACGTTCGATGAGGATTAGGGTTGGGAGGAGGGAGTGCAGGGTTTTGATTAAGGGGCGGTTTTTTAGGAGGAGAGTTGAGATGAGGATGTGGAGAGGTGTGGTGGGGGGTTTGAGCGGGGCAAGGGGGAGGGAGGGTTTGTGGTGGAGAAGGGGCTTTGGGGAAGGGTGGTGAGGGAGGCGGAGGTCTTTTTCGTGTGCGGGATCGGAGTTGAGTTGTAGTGAAACTGCTGGGTTCTTGGGAGGTTGAGTGAAGTAGTTGCTCGGTATAGGCTTGGGTTTCTTTTCGCCGCGAAGCTGTTTGAAGTTTCCAATCATGTCTAAAGCTGAGAATTCGTCGCCGAGGAGCATATTCGGTTCTGGTAACTCATTGAGTTTCTGAAGGCCTGTGTTTGCTGCGCTGATGAGAGGTTTTGGTGTGTTCTTCCTCTTTTTCACTCCCTCTACGCTCTCCTTCTTGATCGAGAGTAGAGCGTTGTCTTTTGCTCCAGGAACAGCGTTGATATCCTGCTCATCCAGATCTCTAAGATCTAGTTCCAACTTCCTCTTCCTAACCAAGGACAATAAATCTTGACGAATCTGATTATCAACCTTCTCCATCGGCTCCAGTTCATCATCATCATCCTCATCCTTCAAGATTCGTAATCCAGGAGGCTTCCAAGTCATATCTCCACTGGTCATAACAGTCTCCCGGGTACCCAAGAACTGTTCCCACGTCTTATCATCACCCAAGGCAGGCTCACTGAAATCAACTCTCGTCATCGCACGCGGAAATGGAGCCCACCTAAGTTCAAGCTGATTAGGTCTCTTCCAAGTCTTCAAGTTTGTCCCGACAGTCAATCTCATCATCTCTTTTTGCAATTCCAGTAATTCCGCCGGGGTTCTGCATTGTCTAAAAGGCTTCCATGGCGGATCTGGGATATCTCCAGGCATGTATGGGATTCTAACTCGCGCTGTGACGTCTTTCTGCTCTAGTTGTTCTTGATTGATACGTTGTGTGACATTCTTATATGCCTCGCCGAAGTTACTTTCAAGCGTTTCTTTGATCTCATCGGACCCTGGGGGCGGAACTTCGTCTAAGAGCTCTGGCTGGACGAATTCGACTGTTTGGCTGAATCTGACTTTGGGCATTGGAGGGGTGAGAATGTCTTCTACTTTGTATTTCTCTGACTTGAATCGCTCGGTCGAAGTTGGTGGTGTGGTGGCACTTTCCATGAAAGGACGGCATACTTCTTCCAATTGTTCTTGTGTGGTCTTGAGAGGAGTGGAATCGTCGCTGCCATTGCCTTCCACTTTGACCCTTTTGCGAAGTGGTGTAGGGACATCTTGTGCAAATATCTCCCTTTCGATCTTCTCCAAGTCTGTTTTGAATAAATCATCTCCATCGTCAGCTAACAGCGGAACTTGAAACGTAGGATCCGAGGAAGAAGGTTCGAATAGTTTTGGCGGGGGAGACATCGGCAGTAGTGGAGGAGTGACAGGTTCGTAGATTTTCTTCTAGGAAGTATAAGCAAACTTCCGTGGCAGGAACGATCGACATACCTTGCGATATCTCTGCTCACCTCTCCAAAGCTCATCTTCGTCTTCTCGTGTCCAAGACGATTGGATTGCTCTTTGAAGAAATGAAATCGCCTCTCTCGACACCGCCAGCTTCTCCATCTTCAAGTCTTCAATAATCTTGGATCCCAACTCATGGTGTCGATCTGGGAATGTCATACCTTCGCCCGCACTCTCATCTACCAACTCAAGTGGTAGTTTGATATCTTTCAAATCAATCTCGAAGCCATCACGTCGCGCGAACTTCCTCAGATCCGTTTCCAGGTGGCTCTTCAGCAGAGGAAGCTCGATTCGTAGTTTTCTGACTCTCTGAACATCTAGACTCGATAGCATCAGAGCTTCAACAAAATCATCGGTATCGTCTCTATTGATTTCTTGAAGAAGTCGTGCAGCTTCCCGAGTCAGAGTCAGACGCTCCTCTAGTCGGGGTCCAGGTCCGAAATCCACTTGGGGAAGATGCGAATCATCACGAACATGACAGTCGAGGTTTTGGTGAAGTGCATCGATGTGATCGTACGCACTGGTGTCTGTCAAATAGTTGCGAGAAAGGCCTTGTTGACGCGCGTATTCGAGAGGTGTCAAGTCGTCCTCATCCTCGTCTTCATCTTCGCTTTGCTCTGTACTCAGCATCAGACTTGGGACTGACCCATCCGGTGTGTTTTCAAAATCATTCGCAGCCATTAAGATGACTTATTAAATATGCTCGCTGTAGTTACCCGGTAATTTTGATGTGTCTGGAATGAATATGCTGGTCTTGAAAGTGATAATGATGGTGATGGTTTGGAGACGGCAAATGAACGAACTGTGATAAAGGAGTAGCGTTTCCTCCACAAAAGGATAGACAAGCCAACACAACCCATCCAAAATTTAGGCATATCAAGTCAAATGTGTGCTAACAATGACTTGGAGTCTCTTGTAGACTACTGCTGATATCTTTCAGCCAGCTTTCCATTATACAGACACCTAGGCGAGGCACAAGCCGTACATACCGTTTTGCAAACGTCTAAGGCGCAAATCACCAGCCATCAGCATGTTCCTTCTTACTATTCAAGCCCTAGAATATAATTCAACTCGATGCTAATTACTAAAAGCTTTTTCTTATTAATCATGTATGGCAACAACTGAAAGACTTCTGCATCGAATACGGTAGAGTGTTTCATGAAGTGATCTGGGCCTTGAACCGCCAAGTTGATCCCGGCCCCTAGCAATCTGCATTGGTATCTTTTTTCTAGCTGATGATGAATGCATTCATCATATCATACTCCTAACGCCGGCCAATCCAGAAACTCGTTATACATCAAGAATAGCCAGTATGCAACACAAACCAAGAACGCTAATATATACCGCTTCTTTTACCGTTTACATTATTCCCGCTACTCCTCGCCGCCAGTCCCCCAAGCTGTAGATTTTGAACACTTTCCCGCGCCCCGCCCACCTTGCCTGCCACACCAAGGATGCTTTGTTCGAACTCTCGAAGGGCAGCAGCGAGTTCTGCTACAGGATCTTCATGAGCACTCGAGCTACCGCTCCTTTTCGCAATGAATGCGTTGATCTGTTGAGCGCTTGCACCCTCGACGTTACGAAGATGTTGTTCTATCTCATTAATATTCATCTGATACCTCTTCAGAGTAGACGAGAGCTCGTCTGTAGTAGCAGAAAAAAGGCCTACTATATCCTGCTCCTCCTCCCCATTACCGGATTGATTGTCTGAGGATTTTGTGGACCAGATTCCAGTGTTGTGATACTGAGGTGGTAATTTGAGATTGTCAATAGCTTTGAAACTTAGTTTAGCATTCTCAGCATCAACTTTGACCAGATCTCGCGCGACTGCTATTGACTTCACATCAGAAACAAGCGCTCCTTCAACACCCATCAATTTCCGACTGCAGAAAGCGACGTCGCCAGGAACCTGTGATAGTTGTTGGTCATGAGCTGGCATGATGGCGTCACAATCATTTTTCAGCTTGATCTGTCCTTGTATCACCTCGTCCATCTTCATAATAGTCTGCTGGAGGTCGTCATACAGATCATTGAATCTTGTAGTGCCACGGAGATTCGTTAAATCGATGCGTACGCCAGGAACACTCTGTTGGTTTTGTGCATTTCCCTGGCCTAATGAAAGCCCCCCACCAAGACCACCTGCATTTTGTTGTTGACTTTGAGAAAACATAGAGTTTTGTTGCGCTTGAGGCTGATTCTGTTGGGTTTGGTTATTTCCTAGACCACCGCTTCCAATGTTAGTTGAGAGCGTAGTATCGAAAAGGAAAGGGCTTACAATAAAGACGTGGCCGGTTTATTCTGACTTTGACTGTTGAGACCACCAAACAGACCTCCTCCTGTCTGGGCTTGAGAAGTGGCTGCCGTTCCTCCGAAAAGTCCTCCCGATTGAGGTTGCGAAGTGGTTGCTGTCGAGGCTCCAAACAGGCCGCCAGTTTGTGGTTGAGATGTTGCTGCAGAAGCTCCTCCAAACAGTCCACCAGTTTGTGGTTTTGCCGCGGCAGCTCCAAATAAGCTCCCAGTAGCTGGCTGCGAGGTTGCAGGCGCGTTCGCGGTTCCGAAAAGTCCCCCAGTCTGCGGCTGCGTCGATGCTGTGGCCGTACCGAAAAGCCCGCCAGTTTGCGGTTGTGACGAGGCCGTCGCAGTACCAAACAGCCCTCCAGTCTGTGGTTGAGAAGTTGTTGCCGTAGTCCCAAAGAGTCCTCCTGATTGAGGTTGGCTTGTTGCACCTCCAAAAAGACCTCCACTTTGAGGAGCAGACGTAGTCGTCAGACCGAAAAGCCCACCCGGCTTGCTTGCGCCCGTACTTCCAAACATCCCTCCGGCGGCGGGTGTGGTGTTGGAAGATCCGCTTGGAATGGTGTTAGAAATCTTTCCATGCAAGGGATCGACGCGGTGGAAGTTGTGTTTTGGCGCGAAGTGGATCACTTACAGCGACGAATTGGCAGATGTTGTATTGATGCTAAGTCCAGCAGGACCACTCAAGGATCTAGCAAGTGCCATCTACTATAGCATTTGATAATTCACTGATGCAATTCGATATATAAAATAGCTGACGGACAATAATTGTTGATTTTGGGAGACGCGAATCGATCACACGCTGACTAATTTGATGAAGCTCTGACCACCCAAGCTTCAACCTCCAAATCACAACAATTTCACCCAACATAGATACAACAGCATTCAACATGGATGTCGACGAAGACGATGACTTTTATGCACTGGACGATGCAGTCAAACCCGAGGAATCGAAGCAGGACGAGACCCCAGCTTCGGAGGATAAACCAAAGGACGAGGATGAAGACTTAGAGGAGGGTGAAGAAGAAGACGAGGAGGGGTCTGATGACAGTGATTCGGTACAGAGAAACCTTACTCTTGGGTCGAACTATGCTCATAGTCTTATAGGATATAGATATTATCACAGAGAGAAAAGATGGGGGCCAAGCTGCTCCACCTACGTATGTATCCTTGTCTATAGGTAAAGTGTTGTCTAACTGTATTGCAGTCAAGCGCGTTATAACGAAATCCGAAACGTTCCACAGAGAACGAGTACGAATGACACCACGCCGGCTGTTGCTCCTATAAAAAAGGAAGGCAAGGACAAGAAGCGGGCACCCTCTGTTTCAGGCGCAGATTTACCGGGCATCGCTACATCGAAAATCGATGTCAATGCAAAGCCTGTATACGAACCTGCTGGAAAGCCCATTACCCAAGTAAACATTGATGAAGGTACGTGACGATATCTTGGCCATTTCATTGAAGGTAGCAAATCTGACGAGGCGTAGATTTGAACGAAAACGACAAGCCCTGGAGGAGACCTGGAACAGATGTCAGCGATTATTTCAATTACGGCTTTGACGAATTCACGTGGGCACTATACGCCAGTAAGCAAGACAGTCTGAGGTCGGAATACAGCTCAGAAAAGATGGCCCTCAACCAGAAGAAGATGTTTGAGGAAATGAACATGATGATGTCCATGGGTGGTATGCCCGGAATGGCTGGTATGGCGGCTGGTGGAGGCGCTCCTTCGATGGATGGATTTCCACCAGAGATGCAAGCTATGATGCAACAGATGATGGCAACTGGAATGGATCCAAGTCAAATGGACCCGTCTGCTATGTATGCTGCTATGCAGGGTGGCGCGGGCGCTGCTGGAGGTGCGCAGGGCTTTGGCCAAGGTCAGAATCAAGGAATGGGTTATGCCTACGACCAACAAAACAATAGTAATGCTGGCGGAGCAAACCGAGGAGGAGGCAACTTCGGTGGTCGAGGCCGTCGGGGACGAGGTGGTGGATGGTAAGATTATTTACACCAAGCTTCTAGCCTTGTTCTGGGTAAAATGGGATTGATACCCTGGGGTAACGGCGTCAATTGGAAACATTAAATGAAATCTGAAGTCATCAGAGGACCCATTTCACCAGATACCCTTCGGCCCATCCTCTAAATCTCCTTCCAAATTGTTAAGGTGACGAGTGATAGAAGTTTATGCACAACGTGAAGTGTAGATGTGTTACACCGGTTAATCTAAGTAAAGCACTTAATGCTGAGAAAGTGTCGATTTCTACAGAAGTTAACTGATAACATTAAAACCAGTTGTTAGTTAGGATACATTAAAGCTTTCCCCCATCTAGAGCAGAATAGAACTAAAGGCAAACTTCTGATTGATGGAAACCTTGAACTATGATGACAATTACTTAGTAGGTTGTAAAATTGCCTTCAAAAGCGAGTATACCTAAGCATACAATGTAAAGCTTAGATAAGCCCGAATAATTTGTATCAGTAGGTAAGGTAGTCTTGATGATACCTGGTCAAGTCACGTTACCTATATTAATTTAAAAGTGGGGCGGGACTTACACGACATGTCTGAATTTGCTCTCTTCACTTTTGAATTCTGACAGCATCTTGAAAGTTCAAAAACATCAACCATGAATTCAAACGAGTTAAATGCTTTGGATTGATATAATGGAAGCTACGAAGCTTCATGTGTTTGCATATTAATGGAGATGAATTTTGATGAGGGGCTTCGTAAGTTTTAATCGTCCTTCTATTCAGTTTTGTCAACTTCAAATACATGAGGTAAAGACATTTTAATATTCAACTCTGTGACGATGAACATGAGATCAGTTTCCGTAGTTCAGACTGGCTAATACTGAAGCTAGCTGTGATGGATGCCGATATCACTCTGCACCCATTCTGTATAAAGCCAAAATCCCATGAAGAAAACTTGCCATCAAGTATTCCAAATATTCCCAGCTACTCACCTCTGTGAACCCATGCTACAAAGAGAAGTAAAACTCTTTCACCATTGTGCAGTATTCTGAACAACTTTACACTGTGGAAAAACTCTGTTTGTACGTTATTCAACCTTCGCAGGGTTGCAGTCGTTACATGATAAACTTCTATGTGATAAGAATATATCCAGATATATCTTATTCCATTCCTCTGAATGGGAAAGTGATAATCGCAGTTCAACAATTGCTCTGTATACTTGACTGGCCAACCTGTTACTGGTTATGCAACCTCCCGAAGACTTAGCCAGGCCGGCGGATGCTTGGTTGTTCTTCGTTTGTTAGTAGCACCGCCGAAAGGAAAAACTACAACACAGGTTTCTATTACTGAGAGCAGTATGGCAACATTCTCGATACATTCTTACGTACATGCACTCCATGAGGGCCATTGGAAGTACGAAAGTAAGGAGGGGCGCTTCGAGATGGCTTCCCTTGTCGAGCTTCAGGCCAAGGCATCGCAAACCCCACCAACAAGTCAACGCACACGTACAACGATCTTTTTGACATCGCTCGACGACACAGTTTCAATCGCTAATCCTTCGCGGCAAGAAAACGAGGTATCGAGGCTAGGTACGGTTTGGATTTCGAACGTTGGACAACAGCTATTTGAAGGGGCACCCAAGCCATTGCATTTACGTTTTGCACCTGCGTCGACTGCCCAACGCCCCAATGGGAACCCCGACTCTTCTTCCTGCACCAGAGATTTTCCACGATTCGTAACTCATACGCGAAGCGGTATGGATAGAAATAATGCAGTCGGGAGGGCAATGGAAGCCGCCGCATCGAGATGGTTGCCAAATTACACCCGGAATACTCGATACATCTTATATCTTCGAAGACATCCAATCCTACATGTCGCCAAAGGTCAGGCTCTCAGAGCAACCAGATCTCTTACTACTCAGCATAGATGGAGGCATATGGAACAAGGCAACAGCTGGAAGATTAGAAAGTGCGAATGGGATACGACGGCCCTCCTATTCTGCGGAACGAATAACTACTCGAGCTCCGCCTTTCCTTGCGCACATGCCGACTCCCTGCGACGAAAAGATAAGGCTTTTTACACGATCTTACGTTATAGAGAGAATATTTAAGACTATCTGAACATCAACAGTTCCGCAAGAGGCGTCGCTCTTGGCTTCAGAGAATCTGCCGAGCGTCGACCTCGACAAACAGGCTATGCCGCTCCGTAACAACGCATCCATCTCCACAGAATATTTGGAAACCAAAGGTTCATACTTTTCGCAGGACAAGGCCGTGACGTTGAGAGTCTGTAAATCGCGAACGGCCGGTAATATGACAGTCTGGTACCATAGAATGGTAGAGGGGAAACGGCAGCATAATCGGAAAATATATCAGCGGCAAATCGACGAATATTGTGAAGAATGGAGTATTAATCTCGTTCTCAAAAAGTCGCAAAGATTGGGAGAATTTAGGTTCTGCCTGGCACATAACAAGAACAAATTTAGAACAAGACGGGAACCACAAGTTTGGTATCGAAACTTTCAACTATATTCCTCCTCATAAGAAATTTAAATGGGATGCATCCTTAGCCCGCGAAGGAATCGACAGTCTGAGATACGGATGCCGAATCTGGCAATACTCGATGCTTGTCAAGGCTTTTAGTACACAGTCAGACTGCCCTGGACACAGTAATGAGCTTCGGAGTACAAAGAATTATCCCCTGATTATGTAAAGAAGATATTCAACGCACTCGGGGAGTCATGCTTCTTGGTTTGATTCCTTTTAGGAGTTTACATACAAAAGGACTAATCTCTTGGGTCTTTCCCGCCATGGGAACACCACAAATGGTTTCCATATTCTACCTTTTTCTCACCAGACTAGCCGATTTTTCAAAAAGCTCGCTGCGGGTACCCCCCATCAAGAACGGCTTATACCCGGACTTAAGTTAGTCTTTCACCTCGAACAGACTAGCTCCTATCGATAGCAAACGGCTTTCGATGTGGGATGGTATGGACGGGAGACTGCATCATAGCAAGGAACAACCAAGTCCACGTCAATTCAACTCCCTAGTACCCTGCTGTAAGATGGGCTAGCGATCGATTCTGCTAAAGCTAATATGTATCTTAGGCTAGCTTTCTTCTATATCGCTATCTTGGAACGGAACATCTAAAGGCGAAAGAAGATTGCTCGGAATAATGAATCGATGCCACGCACTACTGCGACGATCAATTTACATCCCAGATTGCTTGAGGAGTTGGATTTATCTTCCTCGCCACTCCTCGACGAACGAGTCGACATAAATAGATGCATACAGAATCGGAACGAGATGACCCTACTTTATTCTTCAAGGTACACCACTATAGCTGCTTTAGACTTGGTCGACCCTGTCATTGTGTAGATGCGCTATACTGAAGCAAGTGCTTCTGAAAGTAGTGTAAATGCACAAGTTTATGCCAACTTATGCAAGGGACTTCTTGCACGTGCTCGCTTAACAAAGGGGGTTGAAGCGAGAAAGTTGTGAGGAAAACTTAGACCGGAGAATCATCTTTTGTGTTGCAGGCTTCTGAAGCAAAAGATGATTGATCCGTAACAGATTATAAAATATCTCTTCGGGAGTTGTCTTCCTGAATATGTCTGTCTTCAAGCTTTAGTGGAAAGAGTTCTCTTATTAATTGTAACTTCCTTATTACAATTAGAGAAGACACTTGGTCTTAAGCAAAGAAAGGGTTCTTTTTTCACTAGCAATATATAAACAATTCTGAAAGGAATTTATTTGCTCTAGCAAAGTATCGCTGGAATATCAGCACTCGTCCTGCTGCTGAAAGTGCATCCAGCTGACTAGCTTGTAAAAGACCGGAAATATGGCCATAGAACTCTGGAGCTGTATATTTCCGGCCAGTTTGTCAAGTGATAAATTTGCAAGAGTCTTCCAATGTCTTTGTGTATTTTCTTCAACATCACTTCGTTCATTCATTGTGCTTGTATGGCGGCTTCGTTCATTGCTCGATGCCGCTCTTTGATTTTGTTGCATAACCCTCGCCCCAGAATTGTGAAGCGTTCATCTTTGCCAAGTTGCAAGCGTCTCGCGTCTCTCCGATGGCGGATAGAACCTCTGATGTTTGCATTTGTCTCTTTCAGGGATGCTGATATTGCTTCGTCTGTTGTCCAACGCTCATGATATCTGTTGATGTTGCTGGCAGAGCACTATCCTTGCAGACTTGTTGAATATTTGTAATCTTTCCGTTCGACTGCGTAGCTTTTCGTAAATCATCGGGTCGTTCGATTCTTTGGTAGTGATTCTGCGAACTGCAAGTGCCAGGTACGGTTAGCATATGTGTCATATGTTGAACGGTTAAAGATCTCTAGCTTCTAAACTCACCGACGCTGGCATATTTGGTCTCCATAAGAGGCCTGGCAACCACAATTGCGTTGTTCAGCTTTTTGCCCTTTCATCGCCTATCAAGGGGCATAAGTCGACTGCCTATCGACTTTCTACTCCTTTCGCAGGTCGTTGTACTCGCAGATGCAATTGTCGTTGATCTGGAACGTTCTGATACATCCTCGAGTCGCGTCACTGTTGTGATGTACGAATAGTTTCTCGAGGCCCATAGAGACTGACAAACCAGTACGGCTTGCTTCTACTAGCCTCTGGTCGTCGCTTCTGTTGCTCCTGATGCTCGCAATTGGTCTGGGATATTTCACCACAATGGTTCAAGCTGTAACTCTGTACATCCATACCAAAGTTATGCCACTTCTATCATGATCTGCTGTTTTGCTTCTGGTGTACAACTGGCTGTCGGTGGCGAGATGCCGACATCTGTTCTCCTGGCGATTCCTCGTTGGGCTTCTTGAGCGTTGGTGACCCATATATTCAGTTCCAACCACAACTCATATATGCTGCTTATGTATGTGATGATGGTGTTTTCGGATCAATCTCGTCGCTCCATTTGACATTATCCTATTATTCCATTATTGTGACCGGCTTTTTTTTCTGCTTTGCGTCCAATGGTAGTTGGCTTGATAAATAGAGTCATGCTCTTCTGCTCTGGGCTATGTATCTTCTAGGGGCTTTGATATATTTTAAGCAAGATGTGCCAGAGCTAGGTAGCTTAGACCGGAGATCCAAGTTTGTTGTCGTCCACCGTGAAGTTCGTGCTTCGTCCTTCTAAGTCGGGTATGAGTGATGGCCGTATTTAGCTTCTTGGTGCTCTGCTTTGACGGTCGCATATTCTTGGTGACATTTTAATATTCTCCCTCGGGGTCGCTTCCTTCTCGAAGCTAGAGACCGGCTTCCATGCCATAGGCCTCCGCCGCTCTCTGCTGTGGGAAGTTGATGCTGCTTGAAATCCTCTACTCCGCTGGTATCATTCGCTGGCGCAATAGCATAGGACCTTGCAAATATCGAAGTTTGGGTTCCATCTCAAGGTCATCAAGGATGACCCAGTCCAAGTCTGAACCAACCGTGATGTGATGAGTTCCTGGTGGCAGAACACAATTGTAATTGATGTCTGAACCAACCATTCTGGCTTGTAGCTCTGCCCATGGATCTGTTTGCCCGCTCTGTGGTGTATTTCATCGACTGGTGTATGCTTTCTTCTACTGGTTCATCGTATGCGAAAGTCGACGTTGCAGATTACTCTTTCGTCCAAGCCGTAGTCGTAGGTGCGCGTTCTGATGTGCGTATCACAATCTCGCTGGGTCCTTCGTCGATGTTGCCGCCGGATCTGGGATTTCTTTGTTCATTTCGTCTTTCTCCGTATCTTTCTCCGTCGTGTCTGCTCAGTAAACTGAGGTCGCCTAATTCGTGTTCTTTGTTTTCTGTTTTCAGTGTTGTCGCCGCCACAGACGGCAGTCCCGCTGGTCTCTTAGGATAGATCTCCAGGGCGCCGCTGCGAAACTAGGTGGATCTTCAATATGAAAACAAAACGAAGCTTGTATTTCGTATGCAGATATTCTTGGTCTATTCTGGTTCCTGAGAGTATCTGTTCACCGTTGATGTTCTTGGCGCGTGTAATACTATCTTCACCGCAGTACTATGGTTGTTATTGGGAGTTTATCAAAGAAATTACAAACAACGCGGCTGCACAAGGCTGTCTAAAGAATCATACTTTGATGTAGAATTTGAGACTTGATGTATTTTCTAATGGTACTATTCCAATATCATAGAGAACATAGTGTAGCTAAAATCTTGTATGTCTAATTTGTATTCATGCTTCTGGTCTGTTTGTTTTGCCATAACTGCCCATTTCAATTTCGATTTCGGATTTGTGCGCGCTCCTCCAAGCCATGCGAGGTGTTTGGTGACACCTCTGTATTTGGACCAGCTCCTTCGAGGACAGCGAGCCCCAACATGGTCAATGTGACTTCGTGTTAGACAGGCGCGCTGCACTCGTGGGAAATCTCCCTTTTTGAGAGTGTATCTGTAGCATTCTCAATTTCAGTGGGGACAGTTTGGAAGTGTGAATGATCAGCACGTAGTCTCTAGTCTCTCCTGGCAATTGGCATGAATCTTTACAGGTTTGATGGGAATTGATAGCACTCTGGGTAGTATGAGTGCCATTACACATGGAATGGAAGTGTATCACGGGCAGCATCAGCTTTTGAATTGCCATAATAGCTAATATCAAATACATAAATACATTGACTCGCTCTGTCTTTCTTCAAACCTCCATAGTATTTACGTTCTACGTGCAGTATCACCCCCCGACTAGCATCCGCCCTACAAGATGCTCGACCCATTGCACCAAGAGGTATTGTCGGAGCCAATCAAGGCTGCCAAAGATAAGATGTGTATACAAACAAACCGGCTATCGTCAATAGCCGCGTCGGAGGGGGTAGGTCTAGAGCGGCGAGTGTGCCTGTTGCCGTTCACTGGGCGAGCTTCCGACTCTCGTCGCCTAGGAGGTATAAAGATATCCCGACCTTCATTTTCCACCGACCTTCTTCTTTCCTCCAACAAAAAGTTTTCAAAAATCTTCTCAAAACTCCAAACCACATTCGTTCAACGTCAATTGTTTGCAACCACCCACACTCTTCGGTAAGTCCCCTCTGATATCGATCTATTCTCTTGCACTTCCAGCAACTTCCTCGACATTGCGAAAAAATTCGGCGGTTTTCTGAGGCTCGACTGCTTCGATCTGTCTCGACACCTAAAAGCAATTCGACTTTGGCACATCTGTGGTCACTCTCAAGCCTCAGGTTCCCTCGCACACGTTCATATCTACCTTCGCCTGCGTTCGATTGCTACTATCGACTGAAGTTCTTCTGCTAACTTGCCACAGCCTCTCCTCACTCACTTACAACCCCAAGATTGGACGTCTTTTAGACTAAAATCTACCTCAAGTTTACACTTGTAAGTTGTTGTTGTATTACTCTTCAGTAGATAGTCACGCTAACTTCAGATCATAGTGGAAGTCCCTGGATTCCAAGGCATTTTGCTACAACCTATTTGTGCTTTCGATCAAAGTTACACTGTCGTCGTTATCAAACTCGCTTAATTTCGCAAGGTATGTCATTCTCTTATGCTACTACAACATATTGCTGGCCTTCCCCAGCTGGTATCTTTCTACAATGCATCCTTTTCTCCTTGCATAATACGTCTTACTAACTATTCAGTAGTTCATACCCAACACAAAACAACTTCATTGACACAATGGATTTGGAAAATAACAACCTTGATTACGAATTCTCTGAGGAGCAGTGGGAAAGTGTCCACCGTAGGACGGACCATTTCAATCGAGATGTAGACAATGATTTTGATCAGTATATGGGGAATGCTGCTTCTGGAAACCACCAACATGCTGAAGATAGCATTGACCCACAATTCCAACAACCAGGCTCTCAGACTCCATTCACTCATCAACCCCAGCCATTGAACCCTTCTCCAGCTGGCCGACATTTCATGGTGAATTCTCAAATATTCCCACAACAAGGCACCCAGAATTTGCAACGGCATGCCGCTTCATCTGGTGGGGACCCACCAGCATTTCGCCCTATTTATCAGAGCCCGCACTCCTCTCAAAATATTTTTTCTTTTGGACCATCTCCCCCTCTCCCTCGTCCTTCTTTACAACCTCAGCAAGACCACCATACAGCCTCCTATCTACAACTTTTCGAAGATACAGATAATAATATTAATATCGACGGCTCTACTGCTGAGCTCAACTCTAATTCTTTGCTTTCAACTGATTATCAATATCAACAAGATAATCAGTTGCAAACCACCTCACAATACTGGCTCGCGCAGCAACAGAGCGCAGTACATCCAGTCAACGCCGGTAGTCATTATCATAACGACCGAAACTGCCAAAGTGCTCATAATTATTCTGCCCCTCAACATACTTCTTGGGAGCTAGAAAGCACTATGGCCGATGACTCTTATTTGGATGAGAGCCGCACTGCCAGTATGGGAACCCAAATAGATGAAGTTAATAATTCACATGATGGTTCTCAACTATATGAGGTAGCTACAACTTCTTCCCATAACGGCAACCCACCGTCGGTGGACAATGAGGGTTCTGAGTACCACCCACACTCAGAATCCGCTGTGTCTGAACCCGACCTGGATGCCTGTCACCAGGGAGATGGCGAAGAGACTGGGGAGGTTGATGAGGCTGATGAGGCTGGCGGAGAGAACCTTGAAGTCGACCCAGAAGAGGATACTGAGAAGCCAAAAGGCAAAAAAAAGAAGACAAATGTCGTAGTACCACGACCACCGAGAACACTCAAACCTCAAGATCCTAACGATCTTATATGTCCTGGTACTATCACCTCAGTGAGTGATTTTGAGTATAAGAAGTGGGAAGCCGTCATGGCGAGGAAGCGCGCCAAATTCGTACCTCAGTTTGATCTTACAACTCCAGAGGGACAAGCTGCAAAGGCGAAATACGACGAGTTATTTCGCAATCGTGTTGCGCAGATCTTCAGGGCTGTTATGGATTGCGACAACGAAGAGATTATTGACCTGCCGACTAAAAATGCGGAGGGAGTCAGTGCAATTGCCAAGAAGATAGTCAACCACGTTTTCGATCCCGAATTTGTCGAAGAGAGGTGTGCCCGTGTCGTAGTAAGTTCCACTCCTGGGTATATAACACAACCTGTGCTAATATCTTTCGAATTAGGAGGCAATTGTAGACTACGATAATGGCATCATAGGCATTACCGAGGCAAATCGCTCTCTTAAGATCGAAAAGAAACTGACATTCGACGAACGGTTTGAGCTGGTCAAGAAGGCTCTACGCAAGTCTAAAAACACATGTAAAAATGTCCTTAAGAACAACGACTATATTTACACGTTAGTCGCGTCTCCTTCGGGACATAGTAAGGTGAGTGGTCTTCTGGTCTTCTAAATCCGATAATGTCGGTTTCAGTTGTCGCTGACGTTATCCATAGCGTACTGAAGTCAATAATGTACTAAATATCAAAAGAAGTATGCAGGTGAAAACAGCTGTAGCTCTTACCAAACTCGCTAAGGGGGAAGTTCCCGAGGTTCTCCTTCCAAGGGTGGACGAGATGAAGGCGCTGGATGAAATGCCCAAAGGTCCACGCAGTAACGCCAAGGACCCAAACAAGCCGAAGCGAAAATATAAGAAGAACCCAAAGAAGGCAGCAACAGAAACTACCGAAGTTGACGATGCTGCCCCTTCACAGCCACGTCAGAAACGCAAGTACACCAAGCGTACGCCGGCGACCCAGCCTCCTGCTGAGGCGGACAACGCAGAAGAGAACACCGAGCAGACGCAGAAGCCTGCCAAGCGTACTCGCACCAAGAAGAATGCTGAGCCCAAACCTGTTGAGGAGGGTGGCGTTTCTGCAGTTGCAGGACCTTCTAGACAGGTCTCGCGCACAGCTTCTGCTGAAGGATCCTCTCGACAAGCATCAAGCACCTCTTCTGGTCGTCCAGGACCAAGCATGACTTCTCCTCATGCCTCATCAGAGTTCACTTTCCGGTCTTCTTCCGATGAGACAATGGCGATTAATGCGAGAATGAACAACACGCAACATGTCACAGGTCCACCACCTACTCAAGTTGTTATGCCTCGTGTACCCATGTTTGGAGCACCCGGATCTGACATCGTTCTGGATGTTAGACATGCCGTTCGGACTGTTCCGCACTCCGCCCCTCGTCACCAGTCTGATGGGAGAATGTCATTTGCTGACGATTATTCCGCGGGTAACCAAGACTCAATGTTCGAGTTTGGGGACTTGGAAGAACCTCTATTCGGGGATGAGTAGACCTCTGATACTTTGGTGTCAGTTTCAAACCTCTTGATGCCTCAATCGTGGGGTAGGCTTGAGATAAACAGTGTTGTATGATGAGTTTTCTGCTTTCGTCTTCATTTGTTATTGTTTTCGCGGATACCCTGCTGCCTTCTGCTTTTCGGCGTATCCTGTTATTGCTTATTTCGACATTCTGGGTCGACTAATTTCGACTATTTCGACGTACTTATTATGTTTTCAATATCTCTTTTTCGACGTACGATATCACGACATGACGACGGTGTACAACAGCGTGCGAAGGTTTCAAACTCTTGATGATACGATAATACGGCAAGGTTTCAAACTCTTCTGTCTTGATGATACGATATTACGACGACGGTAAATAATGTTTATAATGCTCTGTTATAATGATTTTTGGTTGGCGCACGCGGGAGTCTACTATTGCGTAAGATACCCATTTGACATCTTGGTCATCGGCGGCGTTCTGTTTTCAATGGCGTAATACCCGGTCAGACATTTTGGTCTTTTCATCGGCGTTGCTTAATTTTTTGATGTATTTGACTTCCGTTTTGGAGTCGCTCATATGAGCTCTTGGATATTTGTATTTAACAGATATTGGCCTTCTGTGTGAGGGTTGAATATGGAGGTTACCACACTGAGGCTTTTGCCGTTAAACTGCTATGCCTCATGCAGGTTTTAGATAGTCAATAGACGAGTTTAATAACTTTTTGTGCTGTGCCATGTCTGTAATTTCGAAGTGTTCCGAGCCCTTCTTGCAACTGCAAGGCTGTGGAAATGCCTTGTGGTATACTTGTTCTGCAAGAATCTTGAAAGTTCTTATACAAACTCTTCATCGCTCTTCAACGACACAATTACACGTCTCTAGCTATTGGCTTATTATTAGTTTGCAACGAACAACTCCATCTCAATTCCCAGAATTTCGATCTATCCAATTAAACTCTGACAAGTGCAAATCTCTCGAGCCGTTGGTCAGAATTACATCAGAAATCCATCATTGAATTAAGTTTTCACCAGACACGTCAGAGAATCAGCAAACATATGTCAGAATTGAGCAAATCGAGCAATCATTTGCCAGTAGCAATCATCGATTAATTGATTTGCGTTGGCATCACGGTCCAAAGTCATCTCGCGGTAGAGTTTGGTCAACTTCGTGATTAGATCGCACAGGTTTGTAGCACAAATTTCCGACTTCCAAAATTCTCAACGTCACTTCAATTCACAGACGCAAATCAAACATATTGTCGTCGCCATAGAGATCATTTACAGCCATAGATCGAATTGCGTGATCCTGCTGTCAGCATGTGTGTTCTGATTTTGACTATAGCAAGGGGGGGCTGTCATGTGACCTTGTAACACCGTGATATTGGGAGTTTGGGATTCGAAGATAGAGAAGACTTCCACGATAGTTGGGAGGAAAAAGATCAACTAGTAATAGAAGCAGAGAGAAACCAGTTGCTTTGAATATAAATTAGAAAGATCTATGCTTCCCACAGATAAAACGCTGGTTGTGTGCTCAAATCCCAATATCAACATGAACACTTCCCATTTGCATTCACACCTCCACCCACAAACCACACGCAACAGAATTTTCACCGTCCCTCTCCCCTCTCAGGTCAAAATTGCAATCTCGGTCCCAAATCTCAAACTCCCCTCTCGGCCGTAACGCCAAGCCACCGAATCTACAAATTCACCTCGAGCAACAGAACTGCACCTCCGATATCGTCTGCGCAAGTTAGGGCAAGCCCTATCCTGATTCCGTCATTTTAAAGAGCGTAAAACAGCGTTGGATTCGGCGTATGATTCACAGATCCCTGTTGTTGTCGGGGGGGTTTGGGCGGTGGGGTGGTAATTGGAGCTGAAGATGCTGTTATTGGTTGCTTTGCAGGGAGATTTGAGGATGATGTGAATTGGGATTTTGGGTATGGGTTTTGATGAGATGGGGTTGTGAATTGGGTTGGGTTGAGATAGTTGATATGATTGAGAGAAGGATTGGCAGCGAAAGTGTAGCTCAGCTTGTATACTAGTCAGCTCTAACTTTGAGTACATTAAGGAGAAACATTATCTGAAAGCGTATGTATTCAAAAACACAGTCATGACGTGAAATATAGTAGACAATTTCATTCTTAGTACCATAGAATTACAGATCCATGAACCTAGACCCAGCATAATTGTGTCTACACTTCTGTGCCTTGACTATCGGAACCTAGCACTATTCCCTGATTATGCGAAACTCGTACACACACTATCTTATAGTATTACACCTTGCTTCAAGGAGTAATCTCGTTACCCAACAGCTTCCCAATTTCTTCTGCAATTGCCATGATTCTTTCCTCGGTAAGACGACGTCCGATAATCTGTACAGCAATTGGAGCACCATGATACGCTTCCGGATCATCTGCAAAAGTTAGTATGTATCCTTGTGTTGGAGTTCGAAAACTTACATTCAGCTTGTACAGTTTTATCAATCTCAGTAAGCGCCTTGAACCCCTCATTGATCTTATCAATATTCTTATCCGCAAAAGTAACTGGCACAACCACACTGGTAAAGTCCAAGAGGTTTATCGCTGCAGCATAGCCGTAGTATTTAAACTGGTTATGTCTGATAGCAGCAGTGGGACTGATCGGTGCAATGATAGCATCAAGTTCTTTCCCATGTTTCTCCTCGAAGATGCGGAATTGCTCAAGATATTCAGATTGATACGCCCATTTCTTCAGGTGCACTTCCCAGAGCTCATTCATATCAATCTTCGGTAGGTCTGGCTTGATGAGATCTCCAAAGTTGGGGATTGCAGGCTCGCCAGACTCTTTGAGAGTGTTGAATACATCGGTTCCGCCGTCTCCTGCGTAGATCCCGTTGATGAGATCAACGGCGTATGGATGCTTGTATGGCTCCCATGGGAGAACTGTATGGCCGGCTTTCTTCATCGTGGAAACAACAGTCTCGATACCTCGTAGAATTGGTGGGTGGGGTAACACATTGCCATCGCAGTTGTAGTATCCCAGAGTTAAGCCCTTCGAAGAAATCTTTTCTTTTATCACGTCGGCTTCTGGCTGTCTCCACGGCATTGGAATGACCTTTGAATCGTATTTCCATGGCTCCTGAGCCAGAACCGCCGTGGCAAATAATTTCATATCTCAGAAACTTAGTGATTGGCTTTCTAGAGACTGGGAAGTACGTACCAGCAATAGAATGAGTAAGTGGTCCACAAACTGAATGAACAGTCTCCTGACCTTCCATAGAGTTGGCCATCTTGCCATATGGAAACCTCCCATGCGACGGTCTCAGACCATATAAAAAGTTGAAAGCAGAAGGAATACGGATTGAACCCCCAATATCCGTCCCCACCCCAATCACACCACCACGAAGACCAACAATAGCCCCTTCGCCACCAGATGAGCCACCGCAAGACCAATTCTTGTTCCTTGGGTTGACCGTTCTACCTATGACATTATTGATAGTCTCACAGACCATCAAACTTTGAGGCACGCTGGTTTTGACGTAAAAAACCGCACCGGCTTTGAGAAGCAACTCAACCAAGTCAGAATTCTTCTCTTCGTACTTTCCAATCCAAGCGACGTAGCCCATGGAGGTTTCCAGGCCCTAATTCAAGATTGAGCAATTGATCAGACAAGCAAATTGATGTTATCTTACCTTGACACGAAACTGATCCTTGAGCGAAATAGGCAAGCCATGCAGTGGCCCGACAACTTTACCGGTCTTCTCCAGGTGTTCATCGAGTTCCTTGGCCCTCGCCAAAGCCATATCTGGGAAGAACTCTAGATTGCAATTGAGCTGTTCATGTTAGGTTAAATCCCATAAAGAAAAGAATTGGATGCATATATACCAGTTGATGTGCAAGAGCGGCTCTCTTACAAAACGCAGTTGTAACAGCAACAGAAGTCAGCTCTTTCTTTGCCAGTTTTTCAACTAGATCAGTCGCCGAAGACTCCGTAATTGTAATTTCTTCATCCGTCAAGATTCCACACGTCTTGGGAACATCCATTACATTGTCCTGCGATGGGAGTTCTTTGAGACGCCATTCCTGCGGAATGGTCGCTTCAAGGCGAGTTCTCTTATCAGCTACGATATCTTCCCACGTCATTTTCTGGCTTGTTTTTCCCATGAAGGTGGCTTGATTTTCGAAGTACTGTTCAGTTATCAAACAAATAATGTGATTACGCTTCAATGGCAGAAAGCTAAAACTTTGTTATGAGATTATCACCACTCTTGCAAAGGTTCGTCGTCTAGTGTTGTCTGATATCACCGGCGCCACTTTCCCCGCTTTGCTCCATTCGTTAGTCAAAGTCGGTGATTTATCTGTACAAATACACCAACAGACGAATTGGATCGCGGGGAAGAAAGCTTGGTGGTGTCTTTACCTTATCGCATGGCAGGTACGATAGGTGGGGTGGAAGTTCCCCAAAACTCGGCTCGGGAATAGCTCGTTCTGCTCTCGGCATTTTTGAGTCCATACCCCATCTTTGATTTTTAGATGTACAATGGTGTTGAGAGAACAGGATACATAATGACGAACATCCAGACGCCTTGAACTGGTTGGAATGATCAAAGAAGAATGATGAAAGAAGGGACGTCGTCGGAGGGAGATATGCAAGGTTCCAGAAATGGCTTGAGCTCCATACTCCGCATCTCATTTCATCCATTTGGAGACGACTTCAATCAACCTCATTTACTTCTTGTATCGCATGGAAAATCTCTTTCTAAAGCTTTAATGAGGAGGACACCTTAACTTGATAGCAGCATCTCAGCAAAAGGTTCAGATTTTCATTGGTTTGACACTGGCACATAGTCGCTACCCTACCCTTATCCTCATGCTAGCAACTTGAGAACCCTTCTATCCAGTACACAAATCATCTAAGTAGATCACAATCACTCAGTCTTGGATGTCTTTATTCATTGAATAGCCCGCCGCAATTCTCTGACATGATGAAATAGCTCTTTCATTGCAAAAAACTGCTTCATCAGTTGGATAACGTTTTGCTTTGGCTAACTTCCGGACAGATTGACTTTGCCTTGTGAGTAATTGCTATCTATCAGTCTAGATCTTCTCAATTCGCTTACCATGTTGTCCATTTATTCCAAGACTCACAGCAGCCTCCACCCGTTTCCACCGCCTCGCTAGGGGATCTGTTGTCGATCTTCTGTAACCGATGTCATGTGTAGCCGAAAAAACACTCCAAATCCACAGAAGAAAAATCATTGATTCATTGGTTACCAGGCTGGTTTACATGTTTCGGATAAATTTCTGTGGGACTTACCGCTTCCAATGGTTCCGCCAGGACCCTCGGTCACTGAGTTGTCACATACGACAGCTGATGGGGAACTTTTGCTGAAATGTTTGAAGACGCTACTCTAGTCGGGTGACCTGGAGAGTTTTGAGCGGTGCGCCTAAAGAGCCAATTTCTGATTTTCTGAGTTCTGCGCCTTGAGAAATCCCAATCTCGTGATGCCGGAATTCGAAAAGCGAATCAGCATAGTGGAATTCGACTGTCGTTACGCTTTAAGCCTTTAACCCTTTGAGCTCTTGAACAGTTCCTGGCTACTAACGGGACGATGGTTTCTTCTAGGAAGTTTCCCAGTCTAGCAAGCTAGTTGGCAAAATTTGTGAAAGTACGATGTTGATCTCTAGATTAGATGAAACAAGGCGATTTTATTCGTCTTCCCCATCAAGTAGCTTCGTGACTTACCTCATATTCTGGGTTTGAACTTGTAGAGCCCATGACCTGACGTACTCCAAATGCCGAGTCAATCGTGGCACAGTAGGCACAACTGTTTTTCAAACAGGGACAGGAGGAAGAATATGTGCCAGGCACAATCCGATGAAAATTAACCATGAACCCTACTCTTTACTAGCGAGAAAAACTTTGGAACGAACAGCTACAAAGTTCCACGAAGAGAGCAAGTTTATTTCAACTTGTCACGCTTTACTCGTCAACCTAGCTGCTTTATCCAAGTATCCACAAGTGTGAAGATCATACAATCCTGGGAACTGAATAGAGGGATCATTGGAAGCAAGTGGGTGTTCTCACCGTTGAAACATTCATCAAGGACCAAAGCTCGCTGCTCAAATTGTAGTACTTAGCATAGATAGGTACCTTCCATACAATCCCGAAATCTGTTTTCTCGCTTAAGTCCAAGGGGGCACAGGAGTCTCAGTGAAGACGCCATACTACATCGTAATATCGAATAATTGGTGCAATGAGCTACCAGGAAAAGTTCTCTGCATGCTTTAAACCTGCGAAACATCCACGGCAGCTAGGTGGTGGAAGCGGTGTAAGTTTATACGGCGAGGATACTTTAAAGCGAAGTCAGTCGTGATGGAAGACACTCCTGACTGAAGTCTTGAAGTCGTTTCCCGATCGCTACAAAGGATTTTGCCTAGACACAGGGAAAGGGAGTTTGACGTAGTGTGGCTGCATATAGGATGTTCTACCTCGAAGATCTTCGACTGATTCGGTAGTCGAAAGCTCGAAGTAGGAATTCAACACAGAGCTCGCATAATCGAGGTATTAAACAGATACAAGAAAGGAAGCCTAGCGTTCTTAATCATGACAATTATCTATCACAATCACGTGTGGTCTATAGTATATCTCTTACCATTGGATACCACAAAACCAACACCAAGGCTTTCTCCTCAAACAGCTTCAGCTAGTGCGTGATTTCATCACAGGTTACAACTTCCTCGTTCCACAATTCCAACTTTCGGGACATTTCCACCTCTTAAACATCTTACCTTATCTATCTCAACCCCTCCACCCGTCACATGCAACGCATTTCTCATCGCCAACCAAACATGCATCCATTCCCAAACGCCTCATCAGCCCTCCTGCGTCACCATCTCTCCAACAACACAACGCGGATAACCCCAACGCCAAGTGGACGATAAGGCATGTTATCTACTTGCCGCACGGTCCTAAGCCAATGAAATCCACGTGGGGTCCATGTATGGTTGTGAGGATCCCGGAGGTATAAAGTGTTAAAGAGACTCCGAGTTTCCTCTTTGCGCGTAGCAAGGTGGGTTTTGTGCGCCTTTTTGAGACCTCGATATTTTTATTTGATTGAGTAAATGTTGCCGTGGGTATGGCGAGACACGTGCCTCAGCTGGACCTGCGTAACACCCTCGTCGGGTCGATTGAAAAGGGGATTAATATTGTTCCGGGGTTGAGGACTTCTACTGGTAAGTTGTGGAGATTTTGATTTCTCTTCCTCTAGTAAAAGGAGTAGTCGAATTTTGTTGAGCTTTACGAGTTTTGTCATTTTCAAACATTTCGTGCTCTGTTGGTGGTTGATGCTGAAGGAGGAGAAATTGATTGTGAGTACCGAACATCCGAAACTGGCGTAACGACAAGAGCTGGGCTGGGCAAACCGCTTCGCTTCGACTACAACTCTTCCATCAAAGCCAGACGGACTGAATCAATAGCTTCTAAATGCTGCCAAAAGCCTAAGTTCATAATACTAACATTTAAATATAGCATTCTTCACATTCCTCCGCGCAAATCTCGTCCTCCCATCCTCAACTCTAAACTCCAACACGAACACCCCCCTCCTATCACCCTACTCATCACAATACCTACCACCACTCCACACGCTCCCACCATCCTCCCTCTCCATCATGTCGTCCTCCTCCTCGCCCGTCAACACCCCCTCCACATCCTCCACCCCACCTTCAAACCCACTCGACTCCATTCCTCCCCTCACAACCACCATCCTAACAACCGACGACGACAAAACCGCAGCCCTAAAGCTCGTCGCAGACTCCATAGCCCAGCAGCGGCAAGCCGCCTCTAAAGCAATTATCTTCCATCCCTTGACCCTAGCTATCTACGCCATTGCTCTCGGCATAGTGACCAAACTCCTATACAAAGTCCCCAACGATATCGGTATCGTCTTCACAACCTGCGCAGGAATCACAATGGCAGGAATGATAGCCATCCGCGGTGCAGTAGGTGGTTATCTTTCTCTTGCCGAGGAGTTGAAATGGAGTTTTCTCAAGAATGACTCGGGAGAAGAGGATATAGTGCTAGGAAGTCGCTTTGGGGATAACCTGATAGGCGCGTTGATATTGCGTCTAGAGCGGAACCCACCGTCCCCTACATTCAGTACTGCGGGGAAGAAGAAGGGGAGCGGGAATAGTCGACAAGGGAAGACTGGTGGACAGGGGGTTATACGGGCGTGGACGGTAGGTGTGAGGTTTAGAGGGAAAGGAGTGGGAACAGAGTTATTGGAAGAGGCGGTTAAGTCAACAAGGGAGAAGTTAGGAGGCAGTGCAGAGGTGGGGTTTGCGAGGGAACACGCTAATAGTAAGATGGTTGTGCCGGAGATATTTAATGGAGGGTTTAGGAAACGCGAAGCTAGGGCTGCGAGGGCCTTGGAAAAGGTTGTGGGGGAGTCTAGGAAGAGGTAGGTGCTTTTGATAGATTTGGGAATTATAATGTGTTAGTTTAGATTTATCTGGTACGGTAAGTAAGGTGGCATATAGTTTGTAATAGATTCTACGAGAAATTGTTATTAAATCCAGAAAAGTCCTGTCGATACTTCATATATCGGGCGACTTCCTAGTTTCGTTTCCATGATACATCCCAAACCAGCTACTGGCATTCAACATGAGTGTGTCGAATACTCCTGGTGTGGATTGAGAAACAATTAAACGCCAGCACAATCAGCTTACCTCGTCTCACTCAAACAGGTCTTACCTCATATTCTTATACATTCCATCCTACCAAACCCAAGACCACGACATGTCGAAACCGGTAACGGAATAGCAATCGGCAGCAACATCTCTCTGATATTCAATTTTGTCGAAAACGCCTTTGGCTCTCCCATCCGCAATAGACACCTTGTCAAAACCTCTATAAGCAAGATCAAAAGCAAAATTGAGCAGTCGTAACACAATTTTCACTCCGACGACATTACGGCGTAATATAGACGACATGATGTTCGTATGTAAGTATAGCATCTAGTCAAGACTTTTATATACACGAGCAATTCAGTTTTCAAGGGCTTGAGAAACACGAAATACTCACTTTCTAGTTGTTTAAACTCAGAATGTAAAAGAATGTAACACATATATACTTTCTAGTACTAAAACCCAAGTCCTATTTAGAAAAACGTCTAAGGCGTTCTTTGAAATCCCAAGCTTCCGCAATATAAATTTAATAAAGTTGCCTCTAGATTGAAGCGAACATTCTGAGCCAACTTCTTCAAAATGAGCTGGCATTTCCAGGAATTTGTATGGAATCAGATGAACAAGGGATAAACTCCTAAGTAAGAGTATAGATTATATAGAACGTAAGACGGTTAAAATCGTTAGATACTATGTCCATTACATGTAGTGGCAAATTCAGGAGAATTCACAATCGGTAGTAGCAACATTCTCGGCAGCAACATCGTACTCTTCCGACTGCGAGCATTTCTCAACAAATATCTGGCCAGAGAATATTTCCTATACAATAAATATTGCTGTCTCACTATCTGATATCCCGATGTTCATGGAGTTATCTTCTTTCCTGCTCTTTACCTCAATTTTCCATTGTTTGGAACTTAAGTAGTGAAAACTTGGTATTGTGTTGACCTTTTAAGAAGTTTAGTACTTGTAAAAATGATAAAGGAGAGTACCTAGTTTAGGCATTTACTATGCTAATGAAAATTGTAAGGGTGGGTTTGTCTACTACAAACAAAATGAAGAAATTGCTAGTGTTATTTAGGTACCTTGGAATTAGTCAATTAAGTGTAACCTAAGTAACGACATTACTATCACATGCTAATAAGCTTTGTCTTGTTCTTTTACTGAGACTTTCCTGGAGCCCTTCTATCCAGAAAACACCCAGCTCTCGATCAAACGACATGTCTCATTTCGTAAGATTATATTCCTTTATATTTAAAATTCAATCGAGAAAAGGTTAAAATAGAATGAAACGTATCCCAAAATCCTTATTTTATTTATAGAGATAACAGAAATTTAAGTTTTCAAGCTCCACTAATCACTCAATTTCAGAAAGGATTGGCATTTGAAATGTGCTATCGCAGTATTAACTCATTATATCCAAAGTTACCAGGAAGTCTAGTACTGTCATGTGAGTAGCCGAAGATGTCACTCTGGACTCTGTAGAAGTCAATGACTTATTCAGTAAAAGTGAAGCTCTAAAATTTCGGAAAGGCCGCCGTTCAGATGTACTTTCTTTGCCTTCCTAAACCCTGAATTTATCTTTTGGTATAGTAGGTAGAGATCCGGTGATAAGTTGTTAATCGGCAGTAACTGTGGAATTTAAACTTTTGGTAGGTCTTTAGTCTAGGGCGGAATGATACCTTTACACTAAAATATTACAAAGAAATAATTCTTTACCTAATAGCAATACTTTAGATATACTTAGAAGATATCAAACACCTACATATATCTCTTCATCTTGGAGTTCTACTATTGAGGTTTAACTTGTCTCTTCTTTGAGTAGTTTTTTCTATTTTTATATAGCATCGCCCACCCTTGCATGTCTCTTTCGTACTTTAGTGACTAGAAGTGACCCTACTCAAGTTATAGTAAGACTACGGAGTCATTTTGATCTCTTAGAATGTAGCGATTGTGATGTCTTTTAACGAAGAAATATTCTTAACTGGTAACCAATTAGCGCAAAAAAAGTACTATGTTCGGGATATGAATTTGTGTTTCTTACCTTTAACACAAGTATGTTTTCCCTTTACGCTATCATCTCGTAAGATGACAATAGAGCTTGAACATACTTTGTTTGCGTTAAATAGCCCGATTTGGAATTTATCTTTAAGTTCCTCTCCGGGAAGTAAATTACCTTCCTTTATAGTTTTTCTATAACTAACCGTGGCTTACGACGCGAGCTCCTCTACGACGAATCGCACATACGACGACATATAAAATTCTGTTGGCTAAACATAAAAATGATCACCAGTATTCCGCCTCTTTTCTGCAATTGATAGATACTCTTCCCGCTCTTCAATTATTCCCACAATTCAATATAAGGAAGAACTACAGGTTTTCAAAAAATGGTATATGTAGTCAAAAGGATGGAATCAGCGGTGACTTGACTTTCGGCAGCAAAGAATAGTTCTTAGTGTCTGAAACAAACTTGCCACAGATAGTTTTAATGTAGAAGTAGACTTTGAATATAACACGAGAGCCAAGTTCTCGTTGTTTCGGTATTAGGTATTCTGAATACTCTTTGTGGTCTTGGGCTTTTCTTGGAACTCTTCTACACAAATCACCACAATTTCGTATAATTATAAACTCATGAGGATGAGAAGATTCTAGACGAGCTTACTGAATTCCCAATATTTATTGAAAGCAAGGTAAATATACACAAATTGCACACTCTGAACCTGGTAAAGAGGAGTTGATTGGAATGCCAATTGAGAGGAAGGGTGAAGATATTAAGGCATATAATTGAAGATTATCACTTGTTTATTCGACAAGTTCGTGATCTTTCGTATACTTCCTGAGGTTAAAAGTAGTATATCTCTTCTCTGTCAGCTATTAATACCCCAAGGAGACTATGCGGGAAAGAGACTGAGCAAAGATACCCCTCATGTACTGTCTTTTGCTAACTCTAGATCTTAGTATTTCCGGCTGCCCATAGGTTGAATCGATATTGGAGTTAATTTTAGGCATATGTGATGCTGTTTCGTATTTAGCTAGTGATAGCTTTATATCTGACAGTCTTCCATAGAGTCGTGCTAGAAAATATTCTCTAGCTAGTCCTTCAAATGATCTCAAACTTCAAAGGAATTTAGCTGTTTGCATTGTATGAAACACTCTACATTCCTTGACTTCAATTAAATGAAAGAAAACTATTTAAATCCCCCCGAGAATGCCGAGGACGCCTCCGACATCCCACCTAACTCCTCCCACCATCACCACAATCTCCCTTCTGAGATAAGAGTTCTAAAGACAAAAAGGATTGCAGTCCACCGACCGATCGTCTTATTCTCAGTCCAAAAAAAGAGTAGTGTTAAATGTCCCAATGGCAATGAAAAGAGATCACTTACTCTAGGAACTTCAAAATCGGTAGTATTTCCAACATTATTAAAAGGTCCCGCTCCTACTATTGGACACACGCAGCCCCGCGGTTGTAAATAGGGGATCTATAATGTTTGATAAACACAGAAATAGATATAATTTATGTCATAAACATCCTCCTCTAACAACATTTCGACAAATTAACTTCTAAGAACTCGATTTTCGATCTAATAAGATTAGATAACCGTATTCGTTCCATCTAGGTTCTCGCCAAGATTTCAGGGTTGTAATCGGGTACTAGCGCGAGTAACCTTAAATCTACGAGGAACCGTGTTTCAATTTCCATGTCTTCGATGAATATCTACGATTTCCCTTTTACGGTATTATATCTTACAAATTCCTTATTCTTAAATCTATAGTAATATTCGTACGAAGGGCTGTTTTCTCTCATCTAGGTCAAGATCGTCTATACAAGCCAAGCTAGTACACGCTGTGCCGCGTTCCCCATCATTTCGTTATACCCTTGCCCCTCGGATTCGGGGACCTTTACTACGTCAAACTCGTACCTTACGAAAATAGCCCGCTCAAAACCCGTCATTATTCCGTGGTAAATTCAAATCGCTAGGCCTGAAAATTTCGAATCTAATAAATTCTTATTAGATCATTAGATTAGATCGCAACATCGTCAACCACTACACACGTGGGAATACAAGATCGATGGATTCGTCACGCGTTCTCGAGCCTTCCTCTCAAGATGGATTGCAGAAAGACGTGCAATTCTCAGAAGGTCACGATGCGGAATCCGAGAGCAGTGGCCATTCCACGTCTACTAGTGCTTAAGCGGGTGTGAAGAATATCGAAGCGGTTTCTATGACATGGACGAAATGGGGGTTGATCGCTACTTATGCTAGGTAAGATCTCTGATTTATTTCCAAATGAAGAAGTATTCGGAAACTGTACTCATCGGTGACAACATTTGGAACTCTTAACCCGATTTAACAGTTAGGAAAAGCCACAACAATCCAAAACTATGACTCTTTATATTTTTATATACGGATGCCCGAAAATATACTCATTAGGATCAATTAATGGACAACGATACCTAGCAGACAATTCGGCCCAACTGACCAACGTAGTTTCTTTGACACCAGGTATCCTGCATTCCTGCACTTATTTATACACTTTTAGCAAGTTCTTTTAGAAATAGTAAGCAACAGAAGTCGAGCAAAATGTAATATATTTTGAGCTTTAAAGTAATGCATGTCTGAAATCTAAGTTGAAGGGTTTGTTGTCTAGATCAAAAACGTGCAAAGTCCAGTTCCTCGGGTGGAGAAAAATCTCCAAGTCATGGTCATATTGCAACATAGATGTTGCAGCAGAGGTTTAATTCTTTCCAATAGAACTTATATTCATACCTGATACCACCTTTAACTCATCGGCCACCTTTTAATTGTCACTCACACCATATCTCTAAGCTTACTTTACCATAAAAACATCCCAAACCCCCTAACTATAATCAACCTTCCCAATTCCATTCCATACCGCCAGAAAACCTCATCTTACTCCATCAAAACACGAGACATGTGCAAATTTCGAATAAAGATGAAAAGGTCTTTTTCAATTCCTCTTTTTACCCTATATGATACCTTAAAAGTAAGCCGATGCTTAGTTACGAAGAATGTGTTCGTGCAAGAATGAAGCAGCAGACTTTTCGTCTACTGAAAGATGAGCAGTGAGTTCATTGAAAGATGTTTGTGTATAATGATCAAAGTGTGATTTTTGGTGGAAATAGGGACGGCAAGTATTGTCATAACCTTGAGTTCAGCAAAGAAGTATAAGGTGGAGATTTGGAAACGAGGGCGACTTCAAAATCGGTGACAGAACTCCCATTTCCATTCAAGCATGTCAACAAGTACCCACCCAGCCATCTCCTAGCGATACCAATTTCCAGACAGGCGACCCGATCTTTGAATTAGGAGATTTAACATGCCGCTTTCATTCGTCACCCAGCGACCATCACCCAGTACATCGATTTTGGAGATCTTCCACCTTCCAAATTAGTAAATCTAAGAAACATTACATTTATACTTCTTCTGCTACATTTTGCAGAATCCTAATTCTTGATAATTAAATACTCTTCTATGGAATAGAAGTGTATGGTGAGAGTATTGTTGGAACGGCAAGTGAAAGATATAACAAAGGCATGCGTCAGAAAGCTTCTCTCCTTCAAAACCTCTCGTACGTATAAGAAATGAAGTGAAACCCCATTTCAAGAATAACCCAACTCCAAATTTACTACACTTCCATAAGACGACCCCTTAAATCCCACCTAAAACCAAGATATCTATATATATATATACAAACTCACATCTATGCTCTTCCCAAACGCTAATAAAAGAGCTGACCTACGAGAACTGCAGGAGTGGCTAATTGCCAGATATTCCAGGACCGAAACAAGCTCTTTTGCTGCCCATCGTTCCGCACGAAATTAGACAGCCCAATCAAGACAGTACTACTCGGAGATCCGCCAGGCCTGGGGAAGACCTTACCGGCCATATAATTCGATATGCTATACAGAACTCGGTATAGTGTCGACTCCAGGGATTTCAGATAGCCACAGGTTGAGAGAAAACTCTTAGGAACGACCGAGCTGAGCAATGTGAAGTAGAAATCGGTGACAGTTTCGAAATCGGCAGCAGAAAACCCCTTTGCGTGAAATTCAACGTTCTAATGATAGTAAGAGACAGGATTTTGAGGATAAGGAAAAAGATTAATCAAGCAGAATCAAGTCGTTTGAAAAGGCTTTTTTCAACTTTAATTAGAGCTACAAGCAAAACACATACATTCGTACTGAAATCAGAAATTTGGCCTGTAGAGATGTTGTCAGGAATCGCTGCTTAATAAAGCGTCCATTCAGTGAATTTTGAGGAGGATTTCGCGATATATCCATGCCTGAAATTCCACGGATGCCTCTATTCTGTTATGATTCAATTAACAGTTTCCACGAAATTGCAAGTTCGCATGTATGGGTTCAAGGCTGAATTCATAAAATAAACTTCCCAGCTACCTAAACAAATGCTATGCATAAACTAATAAGACCACTCCTTCGTATACACGCACCAAACCAACTCCACCCCCTCCTCACCCCCCGTCGCCCTCTTAAATCCCTCCAACACATCCTAATTCTGACCCTGCCACCCCACCCAACTCCTCGGCATAACCCTCCAAATCTTCACCTCCCCACTCCTCAAATCATCAAGCTTAAAGCTCTCAAGCTTAACCTTCTTGCTCTCCCTACCTTGTTCCCAAGCCCTTACCTTCTTCTTCGTGCCATCCCACTCGGATACCACACCAACGTGATCCGGCTTCCCGACCTCCATACTGTATTTGGCATGCATAGGGCCGTGTTTACCTTGGAACTTGGTGTTGCGGAGGGTGATGATATCTCCAGGGCGGATCTCATCGTTTTGTTGGGTCGAGGCGTTGGCTAAATTGCTATACACAACTGCGCCATAGGCACGATTGCCAACTGGGAGAAGAGCATTTGTGAAGGGTCTAAGAAGTTCTTGGATGAGACCGTGGGGAGTGCCATCTCCTACGACGGCGTTTTGCTTTGAAGTCACAGCATCATGAATACGTCGCCCAAACTGATCATGTGCCTGCTCTAATTGATCTTGTCTAAGTCGAGCTGGTGGCTGCTCATGGCGTTGTTGAAGATCGACACTCGCGGGGTCTTGTGCGTCAAATACGGCAGTGATAATAGTCTGCGAATAATCTTGGTAAAGGACGAAAAGTTCCTTAGTAATTATGGTCTTGCCATCTTGATCCGAGCTTGTTTCCTCAAGCTCGTGCAAAAAATCTCTCCTGCTCTGCAAGGCAGGAGGAATACTCTTTGGTTGGGTCCACCAGTAAGAAGCCCGACCAAGATCAATATCATTTGCTACAAAACCAGAATCCATTGACATTCTACCGAGTTCAACAGATCTGCGAGAAGAAGTTGCAGAGCGCTTCACATCAAGAGACTGTCGTGGAGGAGCACGAGCGGGAAGTTGCATACTACTCCTCCCATCTCGAGGAGGTGGAGGGGGCGCCGCTCTATCTTGAGGTGGCATGCTAGGTGGTAGACTTGGTGGCATACTAGGAGGCATACTAGGCATAGCATGCGATCGTGGTGGAGAAGCAGAATATAAGTCCTCATCGTTCTGAGTAATTTTTGGAGAGGGAATATCAACTCCACTGAGATAGCTTTGTTGTCTGACAGGAGGCGGCGCTTGCTTTGGAGCGGAATATTTGAAGGGGTCGTATTCATTATCTTCCGGTTCCCACGGCGCAGGAGCTTTAGAGGGAGGCGGTGGAGGTGGTGCAGCTCTAGGAACGTCGACCGACTGTCTGGTAGGTGGTGGTGGAGGTTGTGTAGGTAAAGGGGGAGGTACTGCCCTGGGTGCAGTTGGAGGTGGAAGAGGAGGAGGTGCAGCTGCTGGGACTGGGGACCGAATTGAATTGTCATCGTCAGTGTTGGGCTCTCTGGAATGAGCTTTCAAAGCGTCTTTGTGTGTGGCCGTAGAAGCAATGTCGGTATCATAATCTCCTTCATACTCAGTGACTTCCTCCTCACTCTCATCCCTAGGTTGCATTCTTGGAGAAGATACTGGGCGGTGATCACCAGTTGAAGCACGACTGAGGGGAGCGTTTGCTGGGGGTGGCGGAGGCGCTCGATTTTGTGGTACACTTGGATTTCCAGGAATTGGAGGAACTCTGCTACCACGTCTTTCTTTTCCACTTTGACTAATTGGAGAGATTGGGGAAGACTCGTCTGCGAAATATGAAGCTCTTTTGGAAGTTGGAGATCTTGGCGAGAGCTGCGTATCCAGAGGCCGAGGTGGCGCGCGAGGTGCCTCTGCTCTGGGTGTCGCTAATGGTGCTCTTTGGGCGCCGGAAGACATCTCGTCGTCTGATTCTGAACCAGGACTTGGAGATCTTATTGCAGTGGGGCGAGCTGAGGATATTAGCAGAGGAAGCAGAATTGTTCAGAAAAATCTTACATTCTGTTGGTACCGGTGGAGGAGCTGGTCTCCCCCCGGGAATAGGTGGTGCACCGCCACTCTCAGAAGAAGGGACTAAAGATTTCATTAGCTTCGCTGGATTAACGGAGGCTTATAAAGCATACCTGGAGGTGGAGGACCGCGGCTCTGGTCTGGGACGACATCCTCGAGATCAGGAACTTCATCGGCTGGTCTTGTAGAAGTTATTGGGGCACGTTCTTCTTCTTGCTCTGGACTCTGAACTCGTTGCATTCCCGGCATGGGTATCATTGGTACAGGAGGAGCACTTGTATTCGCTGCTGCATCGTCATATCCGTATTCCCCTGCCCGAGGCTGTTCGCTTGTACCAGTAGACTTCTTCTTCTTTGGTGGTGGTGTTGGCATCCCCATGCCCATACCGGCGGGAGGACCGAACATGCCATGCATACCCATTCCACCACTCATCTTGGCCATACGTGCCCTGAGCTCTTCTTTTCGGCGAGCTTCAGGGTCCATCTCTTCCTCTTCTTCTTCATCCTCGTCATCGTCTCGCTCCTCTTCAGATTCCTTTGCAGCACCCTCTTCCTCGCCAACGTCAGGTTCACGAACTGGGGCTGTAGGAGCACGGGATGGCGGTTGAGGCGGACGCGCTCTCGGCTTCTCATCACTGTCATCTTTTCCAGTGGATATCTCCTCGGGTTCTTCATTAGTATCACCAGCTCCAGAGACATCTGCCTCATTTCCATCACCAAACGACTTTCGTGGCTGCAAGCTTGGAGTTGTTGGCGCCCCTCTGGATGATTTACGTCTTCTTGGTGGGGGTATATCCTCCCCGGTCGAGTCCATTGAAGGTTTGCCAATCGTCTCCTCCGTGCCGGTTCTCTCAAGCGCAGCACCGTCTCCTTCTTCCATTCCGTCTGGGGCATGCTGAGGGTCGGTGCGCTTCTTCGCTGGCTTCTTCGGTTTTTCTTTCTTCTGGGCAGCATCCGCATGTCGCGCAGCCTGTTCCATTTGTTGCTTTTGAAGAAGAGCAATCCGCTCTTTCAAGCTCGTAGGTTTCGGCTGGTCTTCACCTTCCTCATCGTTGCCTGCAGGAGCCAATCCCGCTCTTTCCGCCAGCGCCTGATTTTCAGATTCTCTCTCCGCAATTTCTGGGTCTTCCTCTCGTCTGTATATTGGCTGTTGGACTGGTTCGCGAGGAACTGATGGTACGTAGGCATTTTTGCTTGGCGGAGGTGCCACGAAAGGCTTCTTGATAAAGTTGCTAGATCCCCCTCCACCGAGTCCGCCTGGCTTAAACGGGGCTGGAGGTGGTGTAGCTTTATTGAAAGCAGCAATTCGATCCTTGAACGAGTTTCCGGTAGGCTTGTCATTTACAGGTGGGGGAGCAGCTGCCTTCGGGGGGGCTGGTTTCGAAACGGCAGGTTGCGGGGCTGGCGACACAGCTCGTGGTTGAGGAGGAGGAGCTACGATTTCCTGCTTTCGAGCTGGAGGTGGTGGCTCTCGAGCAGCTGGAGCTTCGTGAATTGGTTCCGGGTCACTATGGGCATCTTCCTCTTGCGCTACTTCAACTGGCGGAGGTGGTGCTGGCGAAGGTTCTCGCGCTGGCTCTGCCTCTTTTTTCGGGCGATTTGTACGAGTAGGTCTTGGAGGTGCCGTAGGCTCGAATTTCTCCACAAAGTTCCTTGGGAAAATACCCTCCTGCTTTACTCCCGAAGCATCCACGTACTCCCCAGCATACCAGTCTTCATCTTCCTCCTCCGTAACTGTAATTATCTGCCCTAGTGGGAAATGGAGATCATCCTCGTGCGGAGACGTGTATTCATAAACTGCCTTGACTTTGAAAGGTGGGCTCGACATCTCGTAGGTATTGAATGGCGAATTCTGTTGTTGCGAATTGATCTGATCGCTTGGCTACGTGGTACTATGCAAAATTGCCCCGAGGCGGCCCAGAAGCTGCCCGAGACGATGCTACAGTTAGGACAGTTCGCTGAGGGCAAATCGACGAGTAGACTTGTTGTTGTGTTATTGACTTAGGAAAACGGAAGCTCGCTGTGCACTGGGCGGGGCGTGGACCGTATCTTGAGCTAGTCTACGTCAGCGCATGAATTATGCTGTTTGGATTGCTAAATATAGTAGAGACTTGAATCCGAACAATGAAACTGCGAAAGGAAACTTACATTAACACGGCGACCAGGCAGACGCCAGTTTGTTGCAAGTGGTGATTGAGAAAGCAGCTGGTACATTTGAATCGGAGAGTGGAGGACGTCAAGTTGGACGGAGTCTGAGTTGTTGCAGGGGTCCTGCTCCGCGGTCCCGCCCATCCATATGGGACCAAGCCCTCTCAAAAAGCCACTTCAAACCATATTTAGTTGCCACAGCCAGTAATCCGGACTTGTCACTAAAGAGTAAGCCATGATATCTTGTCTCCCAAACACATAATACGGAAAATATGGCGAGTCCAAGAATGCCGAAGCCTATACTGAAGAAAACCTCCTACCCCGCCACGCCTGTCCGTAACACATCGACTACCATATCTACCCCTTCGCGAGAAGAACGAGATCGAGAAACAGCATTACAACACGCGCGAATACTACAGGCGCGCAAAGAAGTCGAGCTTGATATTCTCTCGGCTATAGAGGAACTCTTAGACTATCCACTCGCCGGTCCACCGCACGATTCAAGCAACCCTTCAGTAGAAGATGCGCAAACCTTCAAGAACCTCCTCAAGCCCTTCCAACCCAGCGACTATGACGATTTAATCGTTGAACGCAACATCGGTGAAAACTGCGGCTACGCGCTATGCGCGAAGCCAAGAGTGAAAGATCCTTTGGGAGGCAAGTACAGGATTGTAGGCACGCGCGGTAGAGCAAAGGATTTCAAGGTAGTTGAGAGAGGAGAGCTTGAGAAATGGTGTTCAGAAGCTTGCGCTAGGAGAGCGCTTTATATAAGAGTTCAACTCATTGAAAGTCCAGCGTGGGAAAGGGATGTTGCTCAGTCATTTGTCAAAATCGATTTACTTGACGAGCCCAAATCACAAGATATCGTGGGAGGCTTGGAGAAGATGAACCTGGATGATAAAGAAATACAAGATTCCACGCAGAACCGACAAGATTTGGCACTTGAAAGAGGTGACCAGTCATTTGCTTCTAGGAATGGGCTTGTTGATGTCAAAATATTAGAGAAGGATGTGAAGCGCGAGGCTGAGGCTCCATCGTTGGAAGAGGATCTAAGTGGAAAGTTGAACACGATGCATTTATCTTTGGAAGGGCATTTACCAAGATTTGAGCAACAGAAGAAATCGCTCACAGAAGACGATGGCGACGAAGATATGGACTGGAAATTGTAATTTAATTATTGGCGTTTGGTACTAGATATGGAAAATATGATACCCAGATCAAAACATTATACTTTGCCTTCTTTTCTTCCCCCGCCTCGTGCATCTAGAACTAAGCAAGGTTATTGAGCTAGGCGACATAGGCAACTTACCTTGCTAGATCACATCATCCCTACTTACGTCGTTGTAGTATTGGACAAGTGTGGTCGCAATGTTAGATCTTTTCGGCAGCACTTCGTTGGCGTTCACAATTCACAAAGCATGAAAAAGAAAATGGCAATCAAGCGTCATCTCCGCAAGGAGAATCAGCGACACCTGTGGTTGGGTATGTTCCTCACATTGATCTAGTATAACCTGCCAGTCGCAATACGCCTTTTCGCAAATCAGATCCTTTCCCAACCAATCCGGGTATTTGTTTTTGTATCCATCTCCATAACTTAACGCTGAGGACGGTCGTTGAATCTGCGTGGTCCGCGCTCGAGAGTTTGCTGTTGGCTGACTGCAACGACGTTGACTGGGATGGAATCGAACTGCGGCTTGTTAGCATGCGGGTTTGAGCCAGCAATTAGGATAACTTACTCCGAGGCTCTTGAGGAGATCCTTGGTCTCGCTGTCGACTTCGAGCTGTCCTGATTCGCTCTGGGAGACGTCGAGGGCTGAGACTTCTGGAACGTACTGATCCTTTCGCTCTCTCTCTTCTTCTTGGAGCTTGAAGGAGATACCACGGACTGGACCACGTTGAATTCTCTTCATGAGATGGGTAGTGTAACCAGCAATCTATTGTAAAGCAATCAGAAGAGATCCTTGAAGTGCGAATTTCCCTCTCGTACCTTGTTGCGGAGACGCTTGGAGGCAATAATAGCAATCTCATCGCAGATTCTCTTGTTGGTCTCGAAGTCAAGGGTCAACTTTGGATAGTATCGCTCAATAATGACCTTGGCGGACTTCTTAACGGTCTTAGTACGAACGCGACCCATGATTGCGGTTGTATGGAGGTTAGTGGAGTTGTCGAAAGTTGGCGATGTTTCTGCAAGTCGAAATGTTCGAGTATATTTTGGAATTGAAGTGTGTGGGTGGACCGTGCATTTCCCCACCAAAGCCATACTCATCACGTGAAATTGGATCAACTGCAATGGAAGCTCACATCCTACTTCGGTATGATCATCTTTCATAACTCAGTAAAATAATTCCCAGGTATTCACTTTCGTGCCTACTAAACGAAATGAATCTTTTAGTAATCTACGCTTGAAGTTGCCGAGGCGGATGTAATTGAAGTATTATTGTTTTGCTCTATCAAAACAGAGTCTAGCACTCACAGCTTTTAATGTCAATAGAGAACTGATCATACCAATGACATTTGTATCCATCAATGAATATGAACATTAAAAAGGAAGGTCGTAAAATTTTATGTTTGACGTGCCGAACTGGTATCATAAATTGAAAGTCTATCAAATCCCTGCCCTACAACCTCTAGCTAACTCCAAACATGCATCATGATCATTAACTTCAACATTCCAAGCTCTACTTGTTAGAGTCCTCTTTGAGACTGACAATTCTGTTTAGAATAACCTTGTCGTCCGTACTATCTGAATCCACAGCCTGCAAAGGAATTAACACAAATCAGTATCGCGGGCAATAAGCGACTTACCATGTAGGCCACTCTCGTAGCTTGGAATCGGATGGATTCTGGACCTCCTTTGCCCAGTTCTGACTCGCCAGCCGCTTCTGGCCATGGAGCGCGTCTCTTGACCTCATCAAATCCAGACTCAATCAACGCATCTGACCAAATCTCTTCACTGTTAGGGTTGATGTTTGCCAAAAATCCTCCTTCGGCATCGTCTGGCTTATCCGAGTTGAATAGCGAGTTATGGATTCGTACTTCAACCTTTCTTGATCCTTCAGGACACCAATGAATGTATGTCTTTGGCTTCTTCCCCTCCTTCACATATACAGCGCGAATTTCTGTGACCTTATCGCCATCCTTGGTGAAAGACACGGCCTTGATGGGATATGGAACTTGGAGCAACCCAACAGCTTTTTCTGGTGCCAACCGGAAATAATCCTTGCTATCGACCTCCCGGAAATCACTTCTCTCAATGTACACAGTTTTGGTCATCTTGAGTTTGTGACTGCCCATAGCGGGTGCCTTGGCGTAAAATGGAATATCGAGCTCAATTTCTTCCGCATCTTCGATCACAACGGGTATAGGATCAAGTACAAGCATGAGCCTAGGTACTGTGACTTCCAGATACTTTCGTACAGTCTGGTCAAATCGTGCGAGTTGGATATTCGTTGGATTTGTCGTAACACCGAGCTCGTTGACAAATTCAAGAATGGCTCCAGGAGGAACACCACGTCGCTTAATTGCGATCAGTGTAAATAGTCTTGGATCGTCCCAGCCTCTGACATATTTCTCGTTGACAAGTTTTGCGATTTTTCGCTTCGACAGAACAGTCCCGGTAATGTTGAGTCTCCCATATTCTCTCTGCATTGGCTCATAGATTTCCAACTTCTTGTTCAGCCATTCATATGATACCCTTGAAAGAATGAATTCTGTTGTGCAAAGCGAATGGGTGATGTTTTCGAAGCTATCGCATATGCAATGGGTGAAGTCGTAGGTAGGGTATATCTTCCAGGTATCTCCCGTACGGTGGTGCGAAGCATCCAAGACTCTGTAAGCGGCTAGATCCCACATTTGAGGGTTTCCATCCTCGATATCCTGCTTCATCCGTAGGAAGGCCTCTCTTGGTTTATATTTGCCATCTCGCATGCCTCGGAATTCCTCCAAGTTCTGTTCGACGGGCTGCTTCGCGTGTTCACAACGGAATCGTGGGCCATGTGACTCTCCACCTCTCTGAGCCTTTATCTCAGCATCTGTCTATCATCAGCACATAACCACGGAACGGGAATAAAACTCATACCCCCACAATGACACACATACGCTCCATCCTTCTTAATGAGATCCTCTGCTTTCTCGTAAAGTTTCGCGAAGTTATCGCTGGAATATGTGACTGCGCATGGTTCGAATCCCAACCATTTAACCATCTCCTTAATCGCTACGAAGTATTTCTCTTCCTCGGCTTCTGGATTTGTGTCATCAAATCGTAGATAGCATTTCCCTCCATGGTACTTCGCAAAACCGAAATTGACAGCAATAGCTTTCGCATGTCCGATGTGTAGGAATCCATTGGGCTCAGGAGGAAATCGAGTCACGACTGGCTTCACTGGTCTTTCTTTATACACTTCATCCAGAAACCCCTGGGCAAACATGTTCATGGGCTCCGCCTTTACGACCTCCTGGACCTTGCCAGCTTTTGGTGCATTGTTCTCTTTGGCGGGAGCTTCAGACTTCGCTTTCGCAGTAGCCGCTTTCTTCGCACGTTTTGCCAGTCGCTTCTTCAGTTCTCCTTTCGAGACCATTTCACCTGTCTCTTCATCGAGCTGCAATTTCGCAGTTCCTTCCACAATTGCGTCCGCCATGATTGTGTTGTATAGCTATTTATTCTGGTTTAAGCTTTCGGTGGTAAGGTGGCCGTAATACAGCACTTTGAAGTTCGAGTTCTTCGAGGTTTTGGTGAAATCGAGTCAAACAGGCACTGTTGGCGGGGTGTTGTAGTGACTGTTCCGGCAATATAATTTAAAAATGGGGCAGGGTGGTCCCGCCGCTTTAGGCTTCGCGGGGTCGAATTCAGTAATACTTCAGAATGTACTTTTTCATGAACTCAGCAGGATCTGATGAAACTCATTACTCTTTCACCATAAGACTACCTGATATTCAAGTCCATAAACTTGTCTTCTTAAATTCACAAAATATTACAATCCTGGCACTAGTTTGGGTATCTTGGTCTTGCTAGATTGCTGATTAAAAACAGCCCTGGAAATCCAGAGCTTCATAGCTCCCGCGATACTCGAGTACCCGGCTTGCATCTTCGTGGTCCAGACAACGTCATTCCATTTCAAACAGCACAACTCAGTCATCTATAGTACCGAATGCTCGGTATTAGAAAAGCAATGGCGACCATATCTGCGGCAGAAATTCCTACAGTTGCCAGCCTCTACAACCTGAAAAAACTCACCCCTGCGTCGATTGATTCAAAGACCGCTGCAGTTACAGCAACACCGTCACAATCATTTAATGACCGAATCGGGCTCATTCGAGGAGACATAACAACTTTAAGCGTCGATGCCATAGTCAACGCTGCGAATAACTCGTTACTGGGAGGTGGAGGAGTTGACGGTGCTATACACAGAGCTGCAGGACGTGGGCTACTAGCTGAGTGCCGGAAATTGAAAGGATGTCAAACTGGCTTCGCGAAAATCACAGACGCGTACGAGTTGCCTTGCAAGAGGGTTATTCATGCCGTTGGGCCTATCTACGATTCGCGGGAGGTGGATGAAAGCGAGGAGTTATTAGCAAGCTGCTACACAACGAGTTTGGAATTAGCTGTCGCCAATGACTGTAAGAGTATTGCTTTTAGCGCTCTGAGCACGGGAGTTTATGGCTATCCTAGTGACGAAGCCGCGCCGGTTGCAATCAAAGCTGTGAAGGATTTCCTAGAGGGGGAAGATGGAGGTAAACTACAAAAGATTGTGTTCACAACTTTTGTGCCGAAGGATGTTGCTGCCTACAACAAATGGCTTCCGTAAGTTGACAACTTTTACCGTTACACCTAATTCAACTAACGGCTCAGACATTTCTTTCCTCCTACCGACCAAGATTTAGGCGTCGACGCTGAAGAAGAAGACTGGGAGGAAGTCAAGGGTGGAGAATCTGCGGATAATGGTCCTGTCGAAAAGGTCGATGAAGCTGCCAAAGATTCTTCGAACAGTTCCCTTTGATCTCCCAAAGTCAAGGTTTCAGAGATGCTAGCAGCACCACACTGATGGAAAGCAAAAATAATGAGAACCGATTTAGTAAAGGCGTTAAGATACCATTCTGTTGCTGGGGTCATACATTATTGGCATGGCGTTTGGTGTTGAATATATTCGAGAACTCTTTGTGACCTTCTCGAAAAATAAATCATTCAGCACATGGAGTATATGTGGACGCGGCTCCCCACAAGAAACTCATTGATAACATCATCCCATAATAAAAATAATGATTCTTGCATTTCCGATCAAGTGGACATGCATGTGACCTAGCGATTCCGTCTACAACAACACCATTTCTACTCCAACCAACCCGCAACCGAGGTCACAACCTCACCATGTCAGGCCTCACAAACATCTACAAAGACGACGTAGATTTCGCCGCACTAGCTCTCCAGGACGCCGATTTCGCCGCCGTGTAAGTCACCATCCCATTCTCAACCTTTGAACAACCCCTCCACACACAACCAATCTCACTAACACTCCCAGCCTAAAAGCCAACGGCCAACTCGACTTCAGCAACCCAGAATCCGTCCAACAACTCACTAAAGCCCTTCTCAAACGAGATTTCGGTTTCAAGCTCTCGCTGCCGCCGGATCGGTTGTGTCCGCCTGTAGCTCTCCCATCTTATTGCCAACCCACGTGGCTAACAAACACAGGTCCCAAACCGCTTAAATTATTTACTATGGATTCAAGAACTACTCTCGACTACTGGTGAGAACTACGGAGATGAATTTGATCCTGAGAGGGAGGTGTTGGGATTGGATGTTGGGACGGGCGCGAGTTGTATTTATCCGTTGCTTGCGTGTTCGAAGTTGGGGAAGTGGAGGTTTGCGGGGACTGGTGAGTAGTATCTTGGACTTTATTTTTGGGGGTAATTCTGATGCATTGTTGTAGATGTGGATGAGAAGAGTTTGCAGTTCGCGAGGGAGAATGTGAAGTTGAATGGGATGGAGAGGAGGATTAAGCTTTTGAAGACAGAGAGGAGTGGGCCGATGATTCCGCTCGATGGGTTGGGGTTTGAGAAGTACACCTCAATTCCTGAATTGGGGATTGAATTGCTGATGAGTTCGTAGCATCGATTTCACAATCTGCAACCCGCCTTTCTACATATCCACACCCCAAATGATCCAATCCGCCTCCCAAAAACTCCGCCAACCATTCACAGCCTGCACAGGATCTGAAAGCGAGATGGTCACCGAAGGCGGTGAAATCGCCTTCGTGTCCCGCATGATCACGGAAAGTCTTGTTCTCAGAGATAGAGTACAGTGGTACACTTCCATGCTCGGCATCTTCTCGAGCGTCTCGATCTTGATTCAGAAACTGAAGGCAAATGGGATTGAAAATTATGCTGTGACGGAATTTGTGCAGGGGAAGAAGACGAGACGGTGGGGTCTGGCGTGGAGTTTTGAGGATTTGAGGCCGAGGATGGCGGTTGCTAGGGGTGTGGGAAGTGTAACGAAGGCATTATTGCCATTTCCGAGTGAGTATTGTATTAATGTGAGCAAATCTTCTGGGTGGTGAAAGGTTTAAAACTGATATGCAGTAGTTCGATAATGACACCAGTGTCGAAACAATCAGCAAGCACATCAACGATATTCTATCCGAGTTACCGCTCAACTGGATGTGGAAAGCTAGTATATCCACCGGATTAGGCTTTTGCCAGAAAGCCGTATGGTCTCGGGCGGCTCGTCGGCAGGCTGTTCAGAAAGATAAGGATATGAATGATGATGATGATGATGATGCGGCATTGGGATTCAAAATATATGTGGAAGAAAATGTGGAGGACGAGGCAGGCATTCGAGTGACTATTAGGTGGTTAAAAGGGAGAGACTCGGTACTGTTTGAAAGCTTTTGTGGGATGTTGAAGAGGAAGTTGGATGAGTTATCGACATAAAGAGTGGCGTAGTCTACAGAGGATAGATACATCTAAATGCTTTCACCAAGCCAGTTGACCTTCAATACGTGGAACTCTAAGAGTGAAAGCCTTTACTGAGGAACTCGAGCAAAAGAATAATCACGAAACAATTTGAAAGTAGCGCAATGCTGTTTGAACGGTTTTGAAGTCAACATCCTCCGGGCTCACAGTCCTGGAGACGAGGTATTCTATACAATCGCCTCCCGTGACTAGTACAACAGCCGAAACCAAGTCGCGAGACGAGTAATGAATGATTGAGGAGCTGGTTGAGTATTATCTTGGCTTAAACCTTATACGATATTCCATTATATGGGTAAATAGGATCTTTACGTCTAAATAGAATTCGAGCAAGACAGGAATATCTGAAAAGCCAGGTATTGTGAGCACCCCGCAACATTAGATCAACCAGACGGCGAACGACATAACCATCCCCAGCACCAAACCACCATACACCCCATCCCCATCCCTCCTCCCCGCTCCGCCAGTCACCGGCGTAGATATCGCTCCATCAGCGGTTCCATTACCACCCCCGGCCTTCTCATCAGCAGTCGGCAGGAAACTTCCTAAATCCTTGAGCGTAACACCAAACGGTCCCTTCTCCGACGCACAAAAGTGATCTGTCCCCGGCATCTTTCCGGTCTGAAAGAAATCATGAATTTTCTTGTTCGCGCAGGCGTTTTTGAGGATGAATGAGCAGTGCTGTTTGATGTTAGAATGGTGTGCTAATATGGGGGGGGGGAGTAGGGGAATGAGGACGTGGACTTACGCCAACGGCGTCAATGGTGAGGAGTTGTGAGTTTTTGTAGTGGGGGAGCCAGATTTTGCTGCTGTGAGGTTGTTAGCGGATGAATTAAGGGAGAAAAGGGGGGGAAGTTACTTGTCGATGGCTGTTGCGGGGTCGAATGTGTTACTGATGAAGAGGACTGGATTTTTGGTTGCTGCGCCGAGAGTGCCTGTGATGTTAGTCTATTATCCAATATGACCAAGGGAGTTTGTGCATGCCTGTAAACTGCCATTTCCCATCAATAGCCCATCCACTACACAATATCTTCAACGACGTCCATCCCACATGCGCAACATACGATTGGTTCCTAAGCATCGAATTGCTCTCTGCGTAATCGGCGATGGTTTTGTTGTGCAGGAATGAAGATTCTGAGCAGAATACAGCTGGTGTCCATTCTTGCAATGCAGGACTGACTCCTGGGATGTCAATTTCTGCGGGAATTGCAATTTGACTGGCGATTTGGATGTTTTCTAAAGTCAAGTTGCTGAGTGTGTTTTCGTATGCTACAAGGGTCTGCGCCATCTGGGGGAATCCGGTGACAGGTGTGTATGTCATTACTCGCAGGGTCGATAACATTGTGCCAAGTGAGTTCTCAAGCGTGGTTGCGTTTTCCCATTTTTCGGCATATGCTTTTGCGACGTCGAATTTGTTAAAGAGATTTAGGAAACGCGTTTTGATGCTTTGGGAACTGATTCCCGTCGAGAATGGACATAGTTCAGGACCAGCCTGGAAACAGTATTCAAAGAAGATATCCACGATGGCATCGGAGTAGTAACTTGTTGAGAATAGCCCCTGAGCGTAGTAATCGGTTCCATCGACAACTCCATCCATAGCAAATCGACCCACGCGATCTGGATAGGTCGATGCGAAGGTCTGTCCGAGTACAGTACCGTAGCTGAATCCCCAGTAATTCAGATCTGCTGGAGAATCCACACTTTTTCCTTCATCAGTCTGGGCATAAGCGTCCAAGATACTGATGATGTCTCTTGCAACTACTGGAGTAGTCATATGCTGTCCAGCCCCATCTGGCCCTCCAATTGTTGCTTGACACTGTGCTCCCAGTCCCGCAGCTGCCTGAAATATATCGGCGTAGTATGTATCTGTGACGTCTGGTCCTGAGATCCCATAAGCACGTTTCGACTTTGCTGAACTTGGAAGTTGACAATCCGCTGCTGGGTTGCTGTATCCCAAACCTCGAGGTTCCCAAGAAACGAGATCATAGGTCTTTGGTATTACGGAAAACAAGTCGGCGTAACCGTGCTGTAGAATCCAGTTGACTCCAGATTCTCCGGGTCCACCTAGATCGATGAGCAAAAGGAATTGTAGGGGAATGAGGAACATACCTGGATTTGTCAACAGCATTCCCTGGTACTTATCGGTAGTTCCATTGAGCTGTGCTTCAATCTTGATTAGAGGCAATGATGCTCGAGTTCCATTTGGAAGTGAATAATCAAGAGGGACCTGCGAGCTAGTGTTAGTTTGATTTTTTCTCAATCAACATTGGGTTGTACATACATCTAGCTTGGCGCACTTGTAACTGTCATAACATGGATACCATGTCAAGATCTCGGAAGGTGTGATCTATGAAAGGTCGTGGATAAGCTGTGGTGCTTCGAGGTTGAAGAGCACTGGTAGGTTATCAACTTACCTCATCGAATGTAAATTGTCCGGTGGAATTGCGAGAAACTAAGGGTGTTGCAGTAGAGACTGATAGTAAAACGCTATAAAGAATGACATGGTGCGCAACAGAAAGTGAAAAGAAAGACATGTTTATTGAAAATGCCGCTGTTGATACAAAGGAAATCGATGGAATTCTTGCTGAGAAAAATACCTACTAGTTGAGGGCCCAATGCACTCTTATATGTAACTCTTACCTAGTCAGCTCAAGGATACATCCCGCAGCGATCTCTCCTTTATAACTGCGCCTGAATATTCGTACCTATTCTGATTGATCTGTTACAATATGTGGGACAAAACTTCCTCTCTATTGCTCGCCTAAATTCCCTGGCACTTCCTCCAGTACGGCCCGGCCAATTGCAGCATTATATCTGTACAGTCAGCAAAGTCGGATCAAGAACAGCACTATTAATGTTATGCGATTAACGCTTATAACGTAAAGGATTCGAATATTCAATAGAATAGGCCAGTAAAGTCATTCTCAACAATTGACATTTGCATGACCCAGTTGGTTGAGGCAGCACTTGGATCTGGGCTGTGTCCATGTGGACATACATGTGGATTGCGGGCTAGCCGGTATTTGTAAGGGAATGCTTCCATTAGGTTTCGTACTTAATTCAGGTGTAGCTATGTTGTGGAATAGACTTAGATGTCATAAATAGCTCCCTATACTTTCTCTTTGGAATGAGGGCAACTTTGGACTCGGGTTTCCGCCTACACATGATGCCATAGATCTATATCACTTAGCAGATATCGAAGCTGTAGGTCACTCGTTATTGTACTCGCCTAAAGAATGAACAGTCGCCTTTGGGTGGCCGTGAAGGTAGAAATGCAGTTAGTCGTGCTAGAATTGGATCGGGATTTGACTTCGATCAAGTCTGTGCAGCGTATTTGGAGAGAAATAGCTGAATTGCTTCAAACGAAAGATTCGCGCGATTTTGATGGATTTAAACCAAATATAAAAACGTGTCATTGCTAGAAAGTATCAATGAAACAAAAAGTATTGGATCACTTAATAGAAACTATGGTGTTTCGGCTACAAAGTAATATTGTCCTCCTATGTAACAGTGGGGCACAATATATCCCCATCCCATTGGTGCCACTTTTCACCCCGCCGGGCTGAAGCCGTCTCATGCAACCTCATGGCAGATTCACCCCACGAGGACTAACAACGAGCAAGCCAACTGCATATCACAACTTCGCTTTTAAGTTGTTTCGGGCTTCATCTTTTATCAAGGGAGCTGTATCGTAATACTTGAATCCCTTGCAGAGCTGGTTCCTCTTCTTTGTTCTTTCCTTGACACCCTTCGCTGGTCGTGGGCGCCAGATCATCTTTAGCACATGAACCGTTAGCAGCTTGACGCCATCCAAGGGAGATAGCTCAGATCTAATCGCGATCGTGTCTCGAGCTCTGGACCAGTCGTCAATTTGGATCTGAGATTTTTCGCACAGAAATTCTCTCGAAGAATTATCTATATCACCAAAGTTTGTGTTTGCTTGTTCGTTTGTCAAACCATACTAATCGCCCATCTGACAGATCCTACAAACGCAGCCAACATGGCGAAAGACGAGATCCTCACCCACCACGACGTCTGCGAAGCCGTAGAGGGAGATGGGTACCTCGCTGGGAAAGCAGAACGAGAAGCAGAAGACGCAGAAGCAGAAACAGAGACTATCCGACCACCCGCTCGCAAGCGCCAACCCGCTATCCTCCCCTCTCCCTCGCAGCTATTGAAACCTAGCATCAGAAATCGAACGATACGAACGGCATTCCGAAAGCGATCTCCCGATTTCCACCTCTTCTCCAAACTGCCCATGGAAATAAGACTGCAGATCTGGGAACACTCCATGGTACCGCGCGTGCACGAACTCCATCCCTGCGCCAAACTCTATAACGAACGCATGACCTTCCGATCCAACAGCGCGCAAACCCCAACCATCTTCCACGTCAATCGGGAATCTCGGTCGGTCGCAATGAAGAACTACCAATTGATGGAATACGATCCCACGCGCGGGCTATCGGGAAAGGGAATCTTGCGTTTCTTCTTCAATCCTGTGTTGGATACGCTGCTGTTGAATAGTTTGATGGGGTTATTCATGATGTTTGTGCTGCTTGAAGAAGAAGTCGAGTATGCCGGTACTATGCGCGGTTGGCAGACCGTGGCATTTGACGCAGAGCGTGCGCAGCTCATCACTTTGCTATCCGGAATCCACGGTCATCGTCCGCAACCGAGGATCAAAGAAATATTTCCATCCCTCAAACAGCTGATAATCGCATTCGACTACACCAGTCGAGGGAAGACTCGCTTCCGCACATCAGTCTGGCCGGGCGAGAATGGTACCACACTAAAGGAATTCCCCTGGCCGGTCATGGAGTCAAGGGAGTTTGAAACGATCTTTGAGCCGATGAAGTCGTATTTGGAGAACGATTATACCGAGGGCGATGTGCCGGAAATACAGGTTGCGAAGGTGAAGAGGAAGGTTTTCCTTCGAGGTGACATTCGTTATGCGTTCCGGAAAACTTGTGCGGTGATGGGTATGCGTCCCAGAGGGATATTCAGGCGCATCTAGACGGCGTTCTAGGGTTGGAATGGAATGGAGTGGATTAACTGGAGTGAGTGTATGATCTGGGAAAAGTCAGCGGGCGTGATTTGGTGCTAGGTCTGGTACAGATTTCTGGTACAGAATCTCGTATGGTGTTTATTGTGATATAGGTTGGGGACATGGATGGGATCATTATGACAGGGTCTAGCGTGGTTATTCGAATGCAATTATTTTTCAGCACACCACATCCATATTTCATTCTCTCATAAAATTCGTGCTTTTATCATAACCCATATCGCATGCCAAAGCCACCCTCTCTTCCTCCCCTCTACCACATTCTCTCCCCCACACCCCGTATCTACCACTTCGCCTCCTTACTCGCCAAAAACGTCTTCAAAATCGCAATCTCCTTCAGCAGCGCCTCCAACCACTTCTTCAGCCCCTCAGCAACCTTCCCCTCATCCTCGCCCAATTTCACGTAAAAGTCTTTTCGATAAGGACATGCCGACATGGCGGCGCTGAAGATGGGCTTCACCATGAAGGAGTGGTGCGGTTTTAGGGTCCCGCCGTAGGCGGCGCGGAAGGAGGCCGAGAGCTCTTCGGTGGGCGTGGAGAGGTTTTGGGTTAGGGCGAGAGCGGTGAAATCGAGTCCGCTGGGGAAAGTTAGCTGGGGAAAGGTTGAGGGAGGGGGGGTAGGGGGTATTTGGGGAGGGGAGAGAGGCTTACCGAACGAGCCAGACAAGGCCTTCTGTAGCGACGTGTTTCTTCGTCGCCAATTCCGCTTTCACGAGTGATTGAAGCGTGCCCGACTCTCCTGGAGCAGCAAGTTGTCTATCCCGGATTTTCTACCATGCATCAGCTCCCATCCCCTCCAACCGCCTCAAACATCGGCAGCATACCTTGACGTTCCCCAACATATCACTCTTCACAGGTGTAAAAGCCACGGATCCGAGAACATCTACATTCTATCAGCTTTGCGGAAGATGGGTAAGGGAAGGGGGTAGGAGGGTACCGAATAACGTCGTTAAACTCTCCGCTGCCTCCAAGAATTCGGTTGTGGATACGTTTTGCTCGGAGTCGATGGGGACGTCGACGAAAGAGCGTTTGAGGGTGTCGAGGAAGGTTCCTCCGGGGGGGTAGGCTGCGGTTGTCATCTTTGGGGATTGAATTGGTGGGTAGGAGATGTGGTGTGGTTGTTTTGTTTATTGTGGTGAGGATGCTGGGACGGTGAGGAGGGGCAAGTGCTCGGCAGGGGTCTGGATTGGGGGTCGTGGCACGTGTTTTGGCGGGGCGGACTGTTGACCATTCTGGGGAGATTGCTGACTTTTGTTTAGTTCCAAGATTATTGTATTTTAAATAGTACACTGTCTTTGTTCAATTTAATTGTCCCCAAATCTTAATGTTGAGAAGGATGTGGGTGACCAGTACCACGATATTTGAAGCTGTAAATAGTTACACTATATTTCAAGAACGAGCTTTTTCTTCTCTTGTAATAAAGTATTTACTAAGATAAAGTATTAGTTATTTCCTAGATAAGAGGATAGTTCGTCCTCAAATGAGAGTTTAAAGTTTTGTATAGTATATCAAGGTTCATTTTCCAATTCAAATATGGTCTGCTAATCAAAAGTTGCTATTAAGAAAGGGAGAAGGAGGGTCTCCATTAAGGTTTTTGAACTACCTTGAATTATTGATCCAAGTAGGCAATTGCATAGTCAAAAACGCTTACAGCCGCTCCTATTTGACGAAGTCTTGTTATATCTCTGGGCGTCAACTTGTATTCAATTGCTAGCCCTCGGGTAGAGCGAGGCGTAGGGTTACGGCCAACCAAGGCGAAATACTGTCTCTAACCATTGGAATAACGTTTAATTTGTTTTCCTTGCTACAAGAATCCATTGAAGATCTTATAGAATCCAACTCAAGAACTTCTAAGTTCCTACATTGTTCAAGAATACGTCATATATGCCCCCGCTGTCCCTCTCCCAATCGTAGTCGCAAGCCCCACATTTCTTACGGCCGTGAAAGTCGGGACAATCGAAAAAGCAGGATGAGCCTCATTCGCATTCGCAAAAAAACACCACCAATGAAGTTCCTTAATTATTGAGAATTTCAGACGATGAGGCCATATGTTACGCGGCCGAGAGCAGAAGGTCGGACGAATTGATGGCCTAGTGTTGATTGAGTCGAGATGCGTTGGAGATATAAGAGGGATGCGACACTTTAGGAATATGAGCTTCAGAATAACAATCAGACTTGAGAATCAAAGTTAAGAAATCATTGAATATTTTCAACGCTCGATTCAAACTTGTAAACATCAAGATATCCTCCCATCTTATCATCCAAACCTTCACCAACAATCCCATCAAAATGTGCTGTCAACGCCGCGCCGCCCGTCGCGCCCACTGTGGGAACTCTGCTTATCAAAACGCAACATACCAACGTCGACCAACCCTCATCCGCATGCTCATCGACCACATGATTCGCAAACACGAAGAGAAACGCGCTCTGAGACAAGCTATGGCTTTCGAGCCTGCGGTTGAGAAGAGAGGAACTGTGGATGAAGGACCATTTAGTGATGAAGCAAGGGTGGGGGAGGAAGGAAGGGTCAGTGAAGAGTCGGAGTGGGATTGGGTTGATGAGAAGAGGGAGGCGCGGATGATGATGGGGCAGAGGGCTGAGATGAGGCTTGAGTCGAGGGAGGGGATGGGGTTACCGAGTTATGAGGTTGCTGTTGGGAAGGTGTGAGTTTGGGAGATGGATGGGGTGGGTGAGAGGAATTCGAATTTTTGTCTAGTTTCTGAGTACAGTTGATTGAGTGTCAGGTGTTGATATTTGGTTGGAGATGTCTAGGCATTATACTGTATACGATTAGCAATGACCACGGAGTCAATATTTGGTTGGAGATGTCTACCTAGGTAGGTATTGTACTGTATACGATTAGCAATAACCACGGAGTTACTACCTACGTTCTGCAAACCCCTCTGCAAGGACCCAAATAAAACGGCTTCCCGAGTCTCCCTACTAATGTTGTAATGTTCTTATATAAGAAAACTCTTTATACACATCTCATTTATCATACACTATATACATCATCTACAACAAATTCGCAGCCCTCCCCTTCAACGCATTCCCCGCCTTAATAAACATCGTGAAAATCATCCCAATGCCCGCAACATAAACCGCCGAACGGACATTCGCCGATGCCTGGGTATTATTGTTGATATAGACAAAATTATAAACCACCCTGCTCGCCAGGTAACCGCCCGACAACAAATTCATCGTCTGAGATGAGAGACCGGCGAGGTTTCCAGCGACGATGGCAGAGGCGAAGAGGCCGAGGTTCTCGAAGTTGTTCATTTGGGCGGCTTCGGCGCGGGAGATCATTTCCTTGGTCTGAGATATGGACGTTAGTGAGGGGTGGGTGGGTTGGGTTAAGGAGACTTACGGCGCTGTCGACGCCTTGGTTGTCTTCGAGGGACTTGACGTAAGCGCGTGGGTTTCGGTTGTCGAAGGGTTTGTTGGACTTATTTGCGAGGATGGCATATTGATGGGGTGCAATTGCAATTACCCATGCTGCTGGAATCTGGAGAGCAAGTTAGCAATTGTCGTTCTCAATGGAAGATAGTTCTTACAGCGTAGAAAGAGTAATTGCTGGTGGTATCGAAGAGTCCTGACATTTTGAAAGCTAGTTTGCGGTATTGGTAGAAATTTTAGAATCAATCGGTTGTAACAATAAAGAATCTGGAAGATGAAATGGAGGAATTGGCTGTAAATATGAAATAGCCGTTGTTATGTTCTCCGCGCTACTATGACGTTGGGATTTGAACTACTAGGTAGAATGCAGGTGGACCTCGGATCGTGCTCGAAGGAGCTTCATCCTAGCTCAAGAAGTCTAGGCGCCTGAACACCATTCCAAATCATTCTGTGTTCGCTGTTCGAGAACTCGTATTCAATTTTTGAAGTTTGTAAAGAGTGTAGAGCCAGCCATGGACGGGACTCGAGGACTCGTTGTCAGCATGTACCGAATCCAAGGTGGGTCACATGTGAGAGACCCACAATTATCCACATCGTGAAGCTCCTCCTCTCACCACGTCTCGCCATTTCTATCAAAAATCATAATTTCTGTATATGGAATTGTTTCATCAACGATTTTCTCTTTATACTCTTAGCTGTGCTACTCGGGTGTCTTCGAATTCTCAAATCCTAAATACTTTGGAGAGGATCTCTCGCATTGCTCTTCATTGCAGCCAAATCCACACTGCATGCGACGGTAAAATGTCCGGAATATGGGTGTAATCGTAGTAATGCTACAGCATCAAGACCACCACGATTGCGCATCCAGTAGTATGCAGTCAACATTGCTGGGAAGCATCTCATATGTTTGCATCAAGGTATATCGATACGACTCTGAACGTAAGAATCTGGCTGGGTGGGACGGAGAATCAACGTTTTGCGTAAGGTGGCCCATAATCTCTTTGTTTATGACCGAATTTTGGCATACACCACCGTTCCGTTTTCAGCCTTACCGACAACCTCAAGTTCATCAAAGAATTTGGAATTGCAAGATCAAATCATCAAAGAAAATATTATAAGGTCAATTGAAATTTCTTTTGCTCGACCCATCTTACTCCAAAGTACAGTAGATTTCTCATAGCACAGACAAATGGCAGGTGCGTACAATTCCATAATGTTAGCAATGTCTTTACCACAGCAACCCGACATGCCTTACAACCGGCCAAGAAACAAATCCCATACAGGAAATCAAGTATTCAATTTGCTCAACGGACCATCCGAGCCTCTTCGTAGCCCCATCCGAATTCCTCCACTTCCACCATCAGCACGTCCCGCGGTATCTAACTCATCTCCTGCTTCCACGGAAGATGTTTTCCTGCATGTTCATACGGAGATGGAACTTCTGAATTCGACTCTTGGAAGAAGTATTGCTTCTTTGAAATCCGAGATTGGGAGAAGGGAGGCTGAGATGATTCCCGGGGCGGAAGGAGCTTTTGAGGGAGCTTGAATTGGGAACCATAGAAATATCAAAAAATGAGGGTAGAAGGGGTAGTTTTTCGACTATCGCTGCTAGTCCCATGTTTATGCGGAATCAGTACTGGGAGAGATGGGTTAAAAAGGTTGGGGTTGAGGAGTTGAGGAGCAACGAGAGGAGTTTTGTAACTCTAGACGGAGAGCTTGAGGGTTTGAGGGACTGGTGGAGGATTGAATGGGAGATGTGGAGCAGGAAAAAGTTTGATGAGCTTGACCAGTCAGATGATGAAGATTGGTGGGAGCAACGGAACCATTGGATTGGGAAATCTAAAAAGCGGATGCAACTTGTCATATCGCGCTTGCAGAAGCTTAAGAAAGATGCTACTCCGCTGACAACAGAGTAAGCATCCCTACCTCACATACTACCTAAAAATACTAACGTTTACTCCTAGTCTTAGCAAAGCAACAACTCCGCATGAGTTCAACTACTCCGACGCATCAATCTCCCAACCGCCTGGTTGGTACAGGAACAATAGTCCAGTATGGTGGTTGTGGCACGCAACTACCGATCTTGAAAACCGCGACGACGAATACCAAGAAATGATACAGATGAGGTATTCAGAAATTGAGGAATGCGATAAACTCATCGGAAAGTTGGAGCGTGAATATGAGAAAGTCAAGAGCAATCCGCAAGTGATCGAGAATCTTAAGGAAACTTTCACCTGGGACAACGAAGGTCATGAATGGCGGTTGCAACAGTTTCCTACCCTCAAAGCTCAACCCAAGACATCTCAAACCGACCTCTCATCTCGTATCGAATACCTCAACCTCAAGAAATCCCTCCTTGAAGCCACCATCTCAGCTACCCAACACGAGTACGCCCGCAGTCACGCGATTCTCCAAATCGTCTCGCAACTCACAGATAACTACGATGATCTCTCGCGCCATCTATCTCCCGCTCAAGTCCTGAAACCCGAGAGAGTGAGAGTCATGCAGGCTTTGCATACGATTTGCGTGGTTCAGGAACGGAGATATGAGGTTTGGTGCCGCTTGAGGGATGGATTAGAGGAAATGGGGTGTGAGAAGGGATTGAGCGTTTTGGGGAAACTGAGGGAATTCAATAAGTACTTCAGGAGTTATCACGACTTCATCATGGAAATCGCGGAAGAGGAATCTGTGGGGGTGGATGTTGGGTCGCTTGCGCAGGGCTTGGTGGAAGAGTCGGAGGGATTTGAGGAGGTCTTTGGTGTCTATGGAGATTCTCATGGCGATATGGGAAGGTGAACATTTCTGATATGTGAATAATGGATACTGTTATTCTACTATTGAAAAACTAGAATCGTTCTTGAATCACATCTTACGAGATACTTTTGATACCTGAAGATCGAAAACAAAACAAGTGTCCATCAAATCCACTCGTCAACCGCCCACCTAACCATCACCCACCATTTCACATTCACCCTCGCCTTCACCCTCACCTTCACCCTCACCTTCACCACCAACGAACCCTCATAACCACCCTCCCTCACCTCCGGTACCACACCGGCGCATCCCCCCACATTCCTCGCCAATTATCAATCATTCCTATATAAATGCCAAACGCACCCTTTTCCCTTAACCAGGGCGCCAACTGTTCCAAAGACACGAGCAATTACCTAACCCATCAACTATTAGCGGTGGCGGTAGCCAGTTCTCTTGACCATAGGAGAATGTCTGCGGGGCAACGACCTCTATCACAAGTGTCCCGAGGACCGTGAAGACAAGCTTGTGTGAGAAGAAGCGTCAGTACACCGGTGCTGAGTAAGACTTGAGCCATCTGCTGGTTGATGTGCGATGAATTTTTTTGGGATTTCTTTTTTGGGGTTGTGTAGATCGGGTAGGGGGGTGGGGATTTGGGTGGGGTGGTGTTGTGGTTATGGATTTGGAGGGGTTTTTTTGGATGGAGGGCGGGTTGACCGAGTGAGGGGATTAGAGAGGTATGGCGTATAGATCTATATATACGAAAACATTCTCGAAGATACTGATTTTCGTGCAGCTCAAGCTTTTACTGGGTATAACCATGCGATGTAGCCGTAAAAAATCGAAGTGTTTAAAGTTCTCTGGGCATATACGGCTGACATTAATTTATTTTTCTAGCGACGCACTAGATTCTTTGTCGCGACAGCTTGTGAAAGCCTTGGTACCGTGTTTCCCAGCATATTATTCCTCCTAAATCCATTCTAGATCCACCATAGGAGATAGCTGGTATATCAATCGAAGTATCCATTCCTTCTCCCTCACTTCTCCCACATCCTGCAACTCCTTAGCTGAACGTATCCGATCATGCTTCTCAGCGGCTTGATATTGCATGAATTCCCAATGATACAAAAAGTAAAGGACGCAAGAAAGGTACAAGACCATCGCTACGACCTTCTTCCAAGAATCCAAATTATTCGTGCTGAATCATGGAATACATTTTGCACCTTTGAAGTCCTCGACAAGACGCTTCAAAAATCCAACAATATCGGGATCAGACTTAAATTAAGGAGTTCTTACTTTGATAAACAAATAGTAGTAGAAAATAGTTTCTGTATGATTTGTGTTGGGTGTTACAAGTCGTAGAAAGACTTGACGTTGTCGTCGTTCAAAGTACTGCCGATCTACACCGCCTTCGTCGCGCAAATACTCTTCTTTCCTCCTTCCAAAAACACAACACCCAGATGCTCTTGTCTTTTACTTTGCATCTCTTTTCGCGCGATCGCGGCGGTCTTTACGATGATAGCTGGTTTTCTGCTTCCATATATAGAAACGAGAGTCTATAAGTTGAGTAGACGCCCTCCTGCCGTACACGATCAAGAAATCATTGACATTAGATCTAAAACTACGAAATATCTTTGATCTTTACTTTGATAAATAAAGGAATTTCACCTTCTTTTATGACTCTTGTTCGATGCGTATAATCTGCTTTAGTGCCCCAGGGCTTTTTCTTTTCTTTTTTCTTCACGAGTGTTGAAACGATTTACTGATCACTCCTTGGGTACACCCAGGAAAGATACCATATCATGAATTGATTGTCCCCTAGGGACGTTATATCGCTCTCAAGTATCGAGTCGTCAGTTCCGATTTTTCTCGGGCGCTATTTCATCTCGCTATGCTCTTCGAAGCGCCATAGATGATCATTGGTAGCTTACGATCCTCAACCATATATCTGAGCCAAGCGGCAGCAGAAAATGCGGGTGGAAGGTCTCAATATCTTTGTAGAATTCTTTTTCATCACCTATCGTCTTGAGGCCTGATTGAATGAGCGCTGCAGTTATCTCTCTCCAAATTGTCAATTTGGGAGTTCACAGCACTAGGTCAAGATGTCTCAAGCGTTCCTCATATTGCCTTGCTGAAATGGATGACTTGCTATGCGGGTCTTTCTCTTACCAGAACCGGGAATCGGTTAATGTAGTCGAATTATCAAGGGACAACACATATGGTGAGCAGGTAAAAACGTTTCTCAGATGGTGCATTTCTTAGTTTTTTGTTCTTGTTCTGGCGATTTCTTTCGTATCCTATCAAGAAGAGCCTTTTCTTGTTTTATTCCGCACTCCAATTATAGATTGGACAGAAAGTTGATTGGAGTTCAATACCTAGAGGTCTAGACACACAAGTCATGGGAACTAGGACTAAATTCATTTCCCCCGCAATGCGGGGAAGCCCAGCAGTTACTCGAAGTAATGTCCGGGGATTCCAAGTTCGGGTCGCACTAACACCTAGCTCTACCCAAAAAGGTGTAACACCAACCCTTTGAAGTAGCTTAGTTGGACGGAACGTGTGCGCGTGGAACGGACCTTGCGGAACGCGAGCGCGGGGGTATCAAACGGCTTCAATGATATGATCCGAGGCCAGTAATCTTTTCAGATATTGATACACAGTTTCACTTCGATCACCCTTCGGAGCCCATCAAAGTATCCCAGCTTCCAGATTATATAATCGCGAGTTCCGCCAGCTCGCGAATGACAAATCTTCGAAGATTTAAACAACATTATAGTACCGATTTTCGCTGCAGCTTGACAGTATTTAGGAGTAAATAAATCGATCATATTGCTTGTGAAAGCGAAATCGGTTGATTTAATACTCTACGAAAACCAAAATGACCACCTCAATCAACACCGATCCGCAGGATACGGTCTACGATTATATCGTTTGTGGGTATGTAACTTCTATCCTAGGTTTTGTGTCAATTCTAATTGAGAAACAGAGGTGGAACCGCCGGCGCTGTTCTGGCTGCACGTCTCGCTGAAGATGAGAATAACTCAGTATTGGTGATCGAGGCGGGTCAGCATAACTCTCTGCTTGAGAACACCATTATGGTTGGTGGATGGTAAGCGAAACCACCGAAGTCTCTTAATAGTTCGATCCTGATTTTGTTGTAGGTCACAGAATTTCGACACAGAAGCAGACTGGAATATTACAACAGAGCCAAGTCCTGGAGCAAATGGTCGCCAAGTCAAAGTCAGTCGAGGAAAGTTCCTTGGAGGATCGAGTGGTGTCAATGGGACACTATGCATTCGAGGAACCAAGCAGGATTATGATGATTGGAATCAACCGGGGTGGAGTGGAGATGAAGTGTTTGGTTATATGAAGAAAGCTGAAAACTTTCACGACAAGAAGTGGTTCGATGCAGATAAAGAGGCTCATGGTTACGATGGACTTTTGGATATCGAACCACACGATTTGGTGTGTAAATTCGAAATTCCTATTGTATCCGTATTCTAACATGCGTAGGTCCCAATCTCAAACATGATTCTTGAATCCATGCAGGACCAAGGTCTGGCTTTACAGCCGGACATGTTCACATCTGGGAACAATCCACATGGCTGTGGGCACGCTCCAAGAACACATTACAAGGGCGACAGAACGACATCAGCCAATTACTTCCGTAACAAAGGACCCAACCTCGCCATTAAAACCGACACTATCGTTGACAAAGTCTTTCTTGAAGGGGAAGCAGAAAACCTGAAGGCTGTTGCTGTCAAAATCATCGAGAAAGATGGATCATCGAAAGAGCTCAAAGCGAAGAAAGAAATTATCATTAGTGGAGGGGCATACTGTTCACCAACTATACTTATGAGGTCAGGACTCGGGCCAAAATCCGAGCTTGAGAAACATGGGATCGATTGCAAGATCGACCTCCCAGGTGTTGGTCAGAATTTGATGGATCATTTGGTAAGTTTTATCCGCAAAAGAAATCCATAATTCATCTAACTAATTTCCAGATTGTTTTCATCTTCTACCAAACTACCAAGCCGAACATCACCAACGACCACCTCTTATACAAGCCCGATGCCCTTGGTGAAGCATACCGCCAATGGAAAGAAGAGAAACAAGGACCATTATCTACCTTCCCATTCGGAGCATTCGCCTACGCCCGTCTCGACGAACGTCTAAAATCAGAACCTCTCTGGAAAAATGCACCCCGAAAAGAAGGTTGCGACCCAATGGGCCTCAAACCTAATCAGCCCAACATCGAATTCTTCAGCACCGAATGCTACGGCGGTCCAAAACAATTCGACCAATATCCAGATGGCGAAAAGACACACGCTTTCTCCCTAATCGCAGAACTGTTTTCTCCGAAATCTCGAGGCTCGGTAACTCTCAAAAGCGCAGATCCTAAAGATAACCCCGTTGTGGATCACAATTATCTTTCGGATGAGCTGGATGTGTTGGTTCTGAGTGAAGCTTGTAAATTCGCGAATGAGATTATTACGATGGGGAAGGGGACGAAGGATATTGTAGAGGGTAGCTGGCCGAAGGATTTAACGCATCATACGCATACGAAACGAGAGGATTGGGTGCCGTATGTTAAGGACAATGCTACAACATGTAAGTCTTCTACTCTATCCCTAGCCTGCGTCTTTTTCTGACTCGTTCTAGGTTATCACCCCGGAGGTACTTGCAAAATGGGCCCCGCAGACGACCCGATGGCAGTTCTCGACCACGAACTCCGAGTCCGTGGTGTCAAAGGTTTGCGAGTCGCAGATACGAGTATCATGCCGCTCTTGAACCAAGGCCATACGCAGATGCCGGCTTATGCGATTGGCGAGAAAGCTGCAGATTTGATTCGAGGAAAGTTTTTGAAGTTGGCGTCGGTGGATTCGGCGAATATTAAGATGCATGAGGCGAGTGCTATTACGGGACGCGAGGAGGTTAATGGGAATGGGACTGTGGTGTTGAATTGAATCTCGTGATTTGGGGTTTTTACAGGAATTATATCACGAAAGTTTCTCCCAATATATTTTCTGCGGCAAATCTTCATTTTAGAGGTGTCTGAACGATGTTGTAGATCTAGTGGAGCTTCTCCGAATATTTGTTCGAGAAATTTGGTTATTCTTTGTAGTATATCTGACACATTATACCGACCGTTCCTACACCTGTCACTCGTGTATTTGAATTTTTGTTTCTACTAGTAATCTCCATATCTACATTTCCTATCTCCGCCAACTAACCCAGAGTTTTATACAGAAATGACTTAGATTAGTACTATCTTATATATCTCGCAAAGTTTCTGTGGATAAAATTTCACAATATCACACTTCCACTGCACCTCGGTACCAGAGACATTCATAGAGGTATAAACAGTCCATTGTTGCCAAACTCTAAAAGACTCGGTACTCCAACCTAGTACCGCTCAAGGCTTCCCGCTCTTTGTTTGTCTTTTAACACCACATCATGAACAAAGCCGCTCACAATCTCATTGCCCTTCCATCATCACCCTTTCTTCACCTAGTCACAACAATCCTGTTACCCTGTTCCTAGAACAATGTCGCTCACTCCCGTCAAAATTACCTGGACCATCTCTTCCTCTGCTCCCCAACCCATTTTCCTGAGAAACTTACAAACCACAAAACATACACCCACACAAAACCCACACCACTAGCTAACAATGTCCCCCCCACAAACATTCTCCTCCCTCCCACCCTCCCTAACCTTCATAGGCAAACTGCACCTCCTGCGCACGACCTCGACGCCCTTCTACCTCGAAGATCTCTACGCCGAATACGTGAATTTCCTGCTCACGAACGGGCTCTCACCAACCGAGATCGCGGGCTTCATCGTGCAGGTGGGGGAGCTGACGAGCAAGAAGGCGTTGGTGGAGATTGGGAGGGGCGTGGTGAAGTTTAGTGAGGAGAGTGCTAGGGTTAGGGGGTTGGAGGGGGAGGAGGAGGAGGGGCGCGAGGTAAGTACGTGATGGTGCGTGCTTCTCTTTTGGTAAATGAATAAAAGGCACACCTCTACAAATAAGAATTTAATTGCAAAACTCATCAGTGTTCGTGAACAGTTCATCTTCCAAGGATTTTCGATATATGTATAACTCACCAGTGATACTACAATTCCAACTCGTATGATCGCGATACGACCGCAAAAACCATCATCGAACATGAAAGGACTACAACACAATCCCTAAGATCGATTTCTCTCAGCCATCGGACCAACCTACTAACATAAGAATAAGCTTTCCCCGTAGTGTTAAAACCTCGAAAACCCTTAAAAAAATACGCCAGTAACTAAACTCAAAAACATAACCGTTCTACACTTTTGAGAAGGTAGATTATTATCTTCTGTTTGACTTTTTAATGTAAAGATATCAAACTCCCTATCACAAATAACATGATCTATGTAGTCGTTCAAGGCGCTATAGGCGAGGAAATGAAAAATTATGGTCTCTAGACGTCAGCAGTTTAGTAACAATCATCAACTCTGCTTCTACTTGAACCTAAAACTTCTTTTAGTCTAATCATACTATGACTTTTCAATTTCGTAAGTCGACATCTAATAGTTACATATGCGGTACGATTTGTAGACCCTATGACAGAGAATTGTGAAGAGGTAAAAGGGATTGCCTATTTTAGCAACAAGAACTCTTCATTATCCTAGCTCTCAGTTAACGACTATATAATGTCCAAGAATCTCATATCCTTCTCAACCTCCTCCCCATAGAAATCTCGCTACTCCCTTGATGTATGACCCTCTAACACCTGCCCTCAACGATCTCACACAATCCCAATCATACCCCGCTTAGGCTCTTCACATCTAACAAAGCCCAATACTAGCAGCAGTGCAAGGAGTCTTGAACACCTGCCCCTTAACCTTGCTACTCTTGTTAGTCCCCAAGCTAGCCTGGAAGATTGGGGACGCAAGGCCCGAAAAGAGCGTAGTTTTATAGATCTTATAACTACCAACGGTCTTCTCGAACGTGAGCGTCTGAGTGGTACTGATGATTCTGAAAGCCAGGGAATTGGTTTGGGCGACGCGCGACCAAGCGATAACGTTGATCACAGAGGAGGAGGTAGTGAGGGAGGAGAGAACCTAAAGTTGTTAGCTGTGGAAGAGGGAGGGCAGGGGAGACGTACGGCTACTCGAAGCATGATGTCTGTGCCCTGGAAGAAAGACATGGATGGAATGACAAAGATTCCAACGTTGATGTCGCCGGTATAGGTGCTACCAGATGTTGTGATGCTCACTGAATTTACAGGCTCAAAGAGAGCGTCCCAGAAAGGGTAGTGTTTGATGACGCCCAGACCGATATAGAGCGAGTCGGTGGGAGCTGGCTGACCACCACCGAAGGTGAAACCAGGTTGCACAACTAGAGCGAATTAGTTTCTAATACTGTCAGAATAAGTGAGATAAAATGAGCACTTACCTCCGACCTGGCTGGTTCTTGAGCCAGTATTTCCACCACCAGTTGTACCATACTGATAAGTGGCAAAAGATGGTGGTGCCGGTGTCCCATGAGCGGCAATCTTGCCTGTAAAGTTGACTGTACCTGTGGAAGTAAGATCTAGCTGGCTTTCAAGCATTGTCCACGGTCTAACGACGACAGGGTCGGAGAGTGTAACAGCTGCTGGGACCGTGTTGACCATTTTATCGAAAACTGTGAAGCAGGTATTTCGGAATGCTGTTGCAGAACGGAGGGCTGTTACGGTGGCCGGAATTAGCATAGCTCTTTGGCACGCAAAAGAGCACGGATCATTGCAATAAATACAAGAAACGAGAAATAGAACATGCTGGAGTGAAACTTACCATTCATAGTAACATTTCCATCTGATTTGAAGATGCGTTTATCGGAGTTTTCTGTGTCGTTGAGTCCGACAACTAGCGGCCCACCTTTAAGGCCAGTACCATCAAGATATTCAGCAATACCGAGATGATCAAATGCCGCTGGTGTGGTACCAAATGCCTTGCGTCCGAATGTGCTGATTATAAGTCAGCATTGGTTAAAAGCAGTGACAAATTTGTGTCTTCACTTACTTGGTGGGATCAAGATTAGCTGGGTCAGGTCCCGAATCAGGCCTGAATGGGCCACCAATATCAGGAAAGTTCTTTCCGTGAACTCCGCCAAGGGAATGTCCGCAGGCACTGGATTTGATGATTAGCTTTTGCCATAGCATGAAGTGACGAGGAGCTTACATTGATTGAATCATCTCTGCTTGACTGAAACCTGCCCTGTTGAACGCCGCCAGAGAGAAAGCCAAAGTATCAGCCGGGCCTGGGACACCAGCAGGTCCCGGTCCAGTGGCATCAATTCTACCCATTCGAAGCGGCAAAAGCTTATGTGTTCCATCACAGGTTGCTAAGGAGGTAATGAGACCCTAGAGAAAATTAGAGGATTAACAACCGGGTTTTTTGTCAAACCTACGACTCCGATCAAGTCTGCCATAGAAAAATAGACCGATTGAAATACGTTGAACTAGGGTTGTTTAGCCTAGCTACGAAATCAACGTGGATTAAATCTAACCTGTGCAATGGTAACGTTGATGAACTGCTTTCCTCCCGCATTCTCAGCCCGTTCGGATTCGAAGCTGACGGAGGCGTCAAGACCACTGGGCTAACGTCAGTTTACTATTAACTAGGTCATTTACACGTATTAAACGTACCCTAAACCAGGACCAGCAATCCCTTTAGTGATAGCATCATGGAAGACAATTCGAACCCATTCGGCAGATGTTTGGCGACCTTCGTTAGGGTCGGCAAAAGAGTTGCTTGCACATGGATTGACGAGACCGCTGAGGGTTCCTGTATCTAGCAATTGTCTCTCCAACTCCTCAATTTTTTCCCACAATGAAATACCATTGGAATCGAAGACTGTCTTGGGATCAACAGCCAACGCGAGCGAAGACAAGAATATTAAAAATTTGAAGAACATAGTGATCCAAACGCTGACTAGCTTTAGTCAGAATGAAGTGATGGTAGAAGAAGTCTCAATGACTCTAATGATGAAGGAAGAGTTTTCGTTGCAAAAGGAACAGTAGTTGCCTTTATATAGCTTATATCCAAGATGTTACCATACCTTCGTTTTCTCAGCTCTTGAAGTCTCGACCGTTTCTGGCCGGAAATGTCAGGACAATTGTGCACCACCTGGACTTACATGAAATTATTGAATGTGTGACTCTCGTCTCCCCAGAAAGAGTAAGACCCATCCTAAATGAATGGACCAAGACTTTCCCACTTCAATTGAGCGGCCGTAGATGTCGCATCAAGAAGAATTCCCATGGACGGCTCGTCTAATTCCCCAACACACAGGTACTTGTGACAAGCACTCCTGCAAAATTGGACGGCCAAGAGTTGGAAGGAGGGGTGATGAAAAACATGCTGGCACCAGCGAAGATGAGTCGCCCATTCATGAATCTCAAGTTAACCATGATTGGCCAAAGCATCAGTGGAGGGTGAGCGAGAGAGATCAGGAGAAGAGACGAACCTCATGATTAGTGGCTGAGGTGAGCTCGGGCTCAGGTAAGTCGACGGCTACGAGAAGCTTACCTTGCATCCCACGTTGTATAAGCTTATCCCATGTAATCAAATTGTTGGGATTGGTCGCCTCTCATGCATAAACGCCGTTATGGTACTGCCATGTACCATTGTTTCTTTTCAACAACGGCAGGAGGATATTCCCTCAACCACTGGTTTCTTTCAGCTATCAGGAAAGACTGTTGGTATGCAGGCTGAAGCTAATCGAAGAGCATATCCACTGTGAGCTAGCGATGTGTCCGAATGAAATTTTCGTTGACTCACCTGTAGACTCCCGGGATATTTGGCATATCTTGCCCCCACGAACAAGTGTCGGGAATAGTATAGTAACGGACGCTAGTAAGTACCGTCAGATTTCCTTCCTCATTTCAGTGGCTCCAAGCAGACCATCCTTGTTCTCTTGCTCGGCCAATGCGATTGTTGGAGGGAGAACAATGGACTTCTGCGTTTCTGGGCCAGTAAGAACCAGTGCCATTGCTTTTTCTCCCGCGCGGGTCGAAAGCTAAATTCGACCTCAGCTCATGGGTAGGAACGTGGGAGTGATCCGAGAAGTCGGTGATCACGAATTAGGCCCAGACCCAAAGTAGGTCTGCTTGCCCTGTGATGAACCAATAACATCTCTAGCCGACCGGGGAAGTGTCTAGTTGCAGTTTGCCCTCTGAAGTTCACGGTACTTGGTACATGTTATTGCACAAGCATTGTGGCTTTCGTGGGAACAGAGAAACGCCACGGGCATGTCGGCCAACTCCAGCTATATCTAGCCTCACGAAACGGCCAACACTTGATGCGCTTTCAGATGATTTCTCAAATCGTTGCATCAAAGAGAACCACGATGAAGTCCAAATTAGAGGCTTTCCCGATATACGACAAAGGATATGGGTATTGGCCGGGCATTCCTGTTCCTCGGAATTCTAAAGCTCGTACCACGATCGGTTGTTGTAAGCACTGCATACCTGGTTCCGAGTAAGCCCTATGCTGATATGGGACGCAGCATTGCAGTTCGTCTATCATTTTGGTCAAAGGCTTGCCGACTCACCGCACAATTCAAGGGACCAGTTCGTAAATGGCACTCAGTCATAGGTAGGAAGCCAAGATTTTGAGGTTGATGTGCCGCGAGGCGCCTGCAGCTCATGTGGTAAACGCCGCATTCTCTTTCACCCTGGTACTTCCATAGTCGTAACTCCCTATGTGGAAGGACCTGTCAAGGCCTAGACAAGCACTGGCTGGCTGTGCGATCGCATTACGGAGAGAATACCTCAAGAAAGAAAAAGTTTGTAGCCGAGTTGGTTTGCTGACACACGGTAATTACAATGCGGCCTGAGAAAAGAGAAACCATGTTGTTGAAGATTCAAGAAGGTGGAAGGGGCAAGAGCTGTGGTCGGCAAAGAAGATCAGGTTTAGCTCCAATGTCCGAACACCTCCCTGATGATCACGAGGAAAGAGTCACATGACCAACCCCCTTTGTAGCTAAGCGAATCATCACCGAGATGCTTCACTCTATCTTTGCGCACGTCGCAATGAGTTATATCTCTAGGCTTCACTATTCATTGTGGAATCTTAGGCTTCACGAATGAGAGTATCCGGCGATAGGACACGATTCTCTGTACCCTGATGCCATAAAACACAGCTTCTGTTTATGAATCTGCGCAGCGTCGTTCAATAATTCTTCATCGTAATACCTTTCCGTCGAGTCGATTGCGGGTAGCAAAGTGAATTTCAGCGGCAATAAAGTTGTTTCATAGCCCCAAATGCTGAGGGATCTATATAATGAATTGTCTACGTGGATTGTAAGCGTACATCAAGCTCCTCTTGTGTACTTTCCTATATGTATAGATATCCGGGCCTCGATAACCAACACTCACTCGAGCGGACTACAAGAACTATTTCAAGCCTGTCTTGATTTCGGAAAGCATGAATAATTCTGAGTATCCGAATCATGGGACCGATGCCTTGATTGTGCCTGGCTAATACCCATCTTAGAAGATGCCCGGTTATTCGAGGATGAGAGTGTAATCTTGTAAGCAAGATTACAGATAGAAACTGAATATTCGGTTCATACCCCGCGAAGTGTTCGAAATTCTTTGTGATTGTACTTGAATAAGGTCAAGACTGTAGGTACTTGTAACAGTAACATTAGTAACATTAGAAGTTTCGTACTGTCGACAAGCGAGACCCGTGCACCTGTTCTGAATCGCAACAACCTGGAACGTGGAAAGCCCTGCATTTCCAACGTCATACGCGCTGCCAAGGCCGCGACAACCAAGCTGTTTGCTAGCTTCCTGAAAAACACCACCAAAACAAAAATTCGCAGATCAGAGCGAAGATCTACACGTCTGGCTTTGTTTTCGCGTCAACTCCAAAAACTCCTTCTCACAACTCAATTGCTTCACTTCAAGTAACCGACAGTCCAAATGGTGCAATGGGGCAGAGTCTTCGGACTCGACGGCAAGTATGTTACCCCGCGCAACCAGGAGCTCTGGGAATAGCTTCATTTTCTTAGCAGAAGAAAATACTAATTGGGGCGAAATAGTCGAGATCGTCGCGGCTTCAGAGACGAGGCTCGTCGCTGTAAGTCTTGCGATCCCTTCAACCTCTGTATATATGCAAGCAATAGCTAACTCCCATGAACAGTACTCCCAAGCTTTCAAGAAGAAGGGATGCCCTCTGCAATTGCGCCCGAAGAAGTCACGAAAGTTGCCCTACGTCTGCGATATCTGATTGAAGAGAGCGTCCCCTGCGAGCTGGAAGAAGGCCTCATCACCCAAGCACATAGTCGAATTATCACACACAAGGTTGTGCAAGCCGCAAAGGAGGCTGGTGGGGACCAGTATGGAGCCTGCGTGGTGTACTGTCTTCTGGTCAACAAGAGATGGTTCAAGAAACAAGCTTCACTCGAGCTCTGGGATGCAGATTTGCACAATGTGAGAGCGGTGGCTTGTGAGGTGATTGCGAAGCAGCTGTAAGCTTCCACCTTCCTGCTATATGGCCCAGCTAATATCAGCAGCATCGAGACGGAAGACAGCCTCGACTACCTTCTCCAGGATATTCTCCTGAAACGATACTCCATCATCATCGACAACGAGGTCACTCACCCAGCAAACGTAATCGAGCGTGCGGTAGATCTGCATGCTCTTCGAGTGACCGGTTCCTCTGGATACCAAAAATGCGTCAACTACCTCTGGAGGGGTTGGCTGGTTCAGGACGACATGGATGCAAATCGATTCGTCGACTACAAGAAGAAAGACAATGTCAACTACTGGACGCATGTTCATCCCGATCGTATGCGCGCTCCGGTTTATCAAAACGCGACTCAAATCGTGATTTCTCTCATCTATCTTGGCCTCTACACTGGTGCTATCAACACTGTCAACTCAACTGGTGATCTTGACTTCGTTGAAATCGTGCTCTATATCTTCACATTCGGATTTCTTTGCGATGAGTTCAGCAAAGTTTGGAAAGTTGGACGGAATTACTTGGGTTTCTGGAACGTGTTCAATCTTATGCTCTACGGAATGTTAACCACAAGTTTAATCATTCGTATCATTGCTCTTGGGCATCCTATCGGAGAGGATAAGCGAGCAAAGTTCAACGAATTGAGTTACAATTTCTTGGGTAGGTTATTCTATACCACATACCCACACATTGCTGACCGCCATAGCCTTTTCTGCACCTATGTTCTGGATGAGATTGCTCTTATTCTTCGACTCTTTTAGATTCTTCGGGGCTATGCTTGTTGTACTCAAAGTCATGATGAAAGAATCACTGATTTTTTTCGCTTTGCTCTTCGTGATAGTAATTGGATTCTTGCAAGCATTTATTGGTATGGATAATGCTGATTCTAACAAAGACGTAAGCATTCGTATCTTGTGACTCGATCATCTACTTACTATTCCTAGGCTACAACCTTCATTCTCCAAGCCATGGCCAATGCCGTGATGGGATCTCCCGAGTTTGACAACTTTGACAATTTCGCGCCACCATTTGGAATCATTCTCTACTACATTTTCTCATTTCTGATAATGGTCATCCTTCTTAACGTGCTGATCGCCCTTTACAATTCTGCTTACGAAGACATCACCTCGAACGCAATTGACGAATACATGGCTCTCTTTGCTCAGAAAACAATGCAATTTGTCCGTGCCCCAGACGAGAACGTCTTCATCGCCCCTTTTAATCTGATCGAAATCTTCTGTCTCATCCTGCCCTTCGAATGGTGGATGTCCCGAAAGACATACGCCAAACTCAATGATATCGTCATGGCCATTGTCTACTCACCACTTCTATTCGTCGCTGCATGGTTCGAGAAGAGGAGTGCTAAGGTGGTGAGGAGCAATCGCAAGCGCGGAGAGGAGGATGACGACACGGTTGAGGAATGGGAACAGATGGCTGGTACTGTGGACTTTGAAGGCGAGGGCTGGGATAAGAAGGTTGCGAGTGCCAAACCGGATGTGGAGAGAGATACCGCTACTCATGAGGTTAGAAAGTTGAGAGGTGAGGTGGGGGAGTTGAAGGAGTTGATTGAAAAGTTGTTGAGCGCTAGTGGGAAGAGTGAGTAGGTGTGGTGGTAAGGACTAGGTGTGTTGGTTGTGGATATTTTGGTTAGGCTGATCTATGCCAGCATGAAAATATAATCGATATATTTAATAGCGAGCGCTTGATTTACCTCAGGATTTAGGGTCATTTAAGAGACGAAAAGAAAAGCATCTTATACCACCAGTCTTGTTCAAATTTCGTTCCCAAGCACGTGCCGATGCTGATTCTCTCGAGTGTCACAGGCTTCACGCACATTGCATACAGCTTCAGTCCTTGGAGAGTGATAATATTTATAGTGTCCCTATCTCTACTATCTACCACGATTCCAACATCCTCCCATCTCTTCTTCCCCTCACTTACAAAAGATCGCTTAATTCGCAGCTTTGGCCGCCGCGGCTGGGGTCTAATGAGATGGGTTAGTATGTAATACTACTCAAGGGGGAGAAAAGGCACATACGGCTTGTTTTCCTGTCTTTGCCGGTGTTTTGACGGCTGCGACTGGGAGGGGTTGGTCTTCTTCTTCTTCGACTTCTTGGGGGAGGGTCTGGATTGTTAGATTGATCTGGGAAGGGGGTGGAGGGGTATATACGGCAGCTTCATCGACCACATCCTCATTAGCAGCATCCTCAACAGCAACATCCGGTGCGCCAACATCAGCGTCCTCGTTCTCATCAATAACATTCTCGTCAACAACATCCGGTGCACCAACATCGGCGTCCTCCTCCTCATCAACAACATCCTCATTAGCAGTATCCTCACCAGCAACATCCTCATCAACAACAACAGTCCCATTCACGGCAGCGGGAGTTGCTACAGCCGTGGCATTGGCAGCTACTGTTGCGTTTGCATTTGCCTACTCGTATATTAGTCCTGAAATACATGAGAATATAAGGGGGTTGGGGGGTTACGGCAATGACAACTTCGGGCACTTTTGGAACGGCTTTTTGAGTGGCTGCTGGAGCTTTGGGTGCAGCTGCCGGTGATGGAGTTGCTGCTCCGTCGTCTTCTGGGTTCGCATCTGGGGCATCTTGAGGAGCTTCTGGGTCGGCAGCAGGTGGTGGAGTAGCAGCCCCATCATCTCCAGGAACTTCTGGACTCGCATCACCGCCATCTTGAGGAGCTTCTGGATCGTCTCCAGGAACTTCCGGGCTCGCATCCCCACCATCTCCAGGAGTATCCGGCTCGTTAGCATCTAGTTCGGTAGCAGCCCCATCATCTCCCCCAACAACCTCAGTCTGAACCTGCGCATTCTGAGCCTTTTGCCCTCTCGCCAAAACCACAGGCGCGTTTCTGCGATCCAGAGTATACACCGACGCGACAGCCGAAGCGTTTTTCTGGCCTCTGGCGATGATGGTGCTATTAACAGGTGCGGTACCATTTACAGGCGCCACATTTTTGTTTCCGGGGAGTGGAGAGGCGTTTATGAGAGCGAGGGAGGAGAGTGCGAGGATGAGGGTTGGGAAATGCATGATGAGGATTCGGACTAGCCGGTTTATTTGGAATGGGTATAGGTATTGAAAGAATGGAATAAATGGGAAATGAAATGTCAGACCAGCTGGCGAATGAATGGAAAATGAGAAGATTGGAAATGAGATGTGCGTTGAGAATGAAGAAGCAACATTATTCGAGATGTGTATACAGATATATATCTATCTCACTCCCATCACACCAACAGAACATCGTCCATCAAACACCTACTCACCAGAATCAATCGAAACGTACGAGCCGCCAAACCAGCAGATCTTCAAATCCATAACAGATCTTCCCAACCACAACTGCATTCAGTATTGTCTAAGAAACCCAAGGACTGCAACATCGCCGTTTGGAATCACCTGACCATTCCTCGCTTCGCTATTGATCTGGAGCAAGTACAGAAACACACGCTGTATCCACGCATCCTGCCTGCGGCAAATGTTGGAATAAGCTCCTTATTTCCGCGTTAGGTTGTTTACTAAGATTTTTGGAGGGGGGCGTCAAACTGGGGGATGATGACTGGAGATGCGAAGCGAGATGGTGAAACGGAGTTGGGAGGCGGGGTGGTTTGGATTGATCAAACGACGTGTGTTGCTGGTTTAGGTGGGAGGATTGCGGGTGAGATGACGCGATTGAGTTGTGGGATTCGATTGTGCAGATGTTTTTTATGCTTATATGGTGGCGTATGGTGTATTTGTGAAATGTTCTGTGGTTTTGAGTTCGTGAGAAAGTCGACTGAGATGAGTTTACTTAACAAAATAAGTGAAGCTCGCAATTGTAAAAACTTCTTTCCTACACTTTACATCTTCGCGACTTTTCTAGTGGCTCCAGATACTTTTTTACCAGACCACAAACGCCGCACCCGTTGAGCGAGTTGCATTCGCATCCTCCTGGATTTAAGCGAGAACAGATCTCCAGATCCCACGTATCGTTCATATATGCGTCTCTAATGCGCTTCTCAATTTCTTCAGAATCCCATTATCTGAATTTTATGAAATTATTCTCTCATAAATGCGGAACCAGAAATTAAGAACTGCTGTCATTAATCTAGGCCAGCTCATACGGACCAGGGGGATAGTTTTAACGGTTATACCAAGGAAGAAATTTCCAACCAAAACAACCCTTGGGTGTCTCGATTACATTGGTTCTTTAATGAGTCCCGAGAGTTGAGTGAAGTGTTCTTGGATCTGTGCTATAGATGTTTTTTTCCCGGATAGATCTTGCCGCGAAGTATATTCCAGTTTGGGGTAGGCTACAGGACACCGCTCGTTGAATCCCTTCCGTAATCGGCAATCCCATGATGCCCAGGCGTAGGGTTGTGTAGAGACACGTTTAGAGGGACTTTGTGTATTTGCTGTTCTCATTCTGAAGTAGAAAACGACAGTGGTGGAGAATGAGGACGAGAGCAGGGCGACTCAGCAAGTACACCGGCCGGTGAGCTCCAGATAATTGGCGTGATGGCGCTGTCTAACCTGTCGCACAATAAAACGACACGTCTTGGACAAACATATTCTCGAAGCTTTGTGACTGAGTAGGCAGAGACGAATTCGATGGATCGCAATATTCGGGCCATCAAAGTGGCTGGTAATCTTGACAGAGGTATTGTTTAATTTTGTAATACATCCACTCGCTCGCGATGATTGTGTCGAAGCTTTGAAGAACTCAATGATGTTTTGTGACTGTAGGCTGTTGGGAACTTGAAAGTCTTCATCGGTACACTGGTGATCGTGGTGGTAGAAGTCAGCTTTTCTTCACCTACTCAACATATCGGGTCGAGAAGTTCTGGAAGAGGATTGAAGTATCATAGGTTCTTGCTTCTCCGCGTTTAACATTTGAAGATCCGGAAAATTCCTCAAGACCTCATCTTACCTTGATTCGGCGGAACGTAACCACGTTTGACAGCTCAGGTGTCCCAAGGATGGGACATATCATCCTTACGCCACCTATACTTCCAGGCAAGCCATTGGCTACTGGATCTCGGTTCAGTTCGGCCCATAGCATCAGCTATATTGCTGGTGTGAATCTCTTTACGATAAGTCCCATATTCAAGGTTGATAGTTTTAACTCTGCCTCTCAATAATCCATAGAGATCAAGTCCCAGAATACATTGCTCTATCCGACGCATTGATCTTTCTTGTTGGTCTGCTATCTGGTCACACTGTTTCTGTTCCTTCGTCTTGATGAACTCATCGTAGAAGTTTAAAGTCAGATTATCGATTGAGACTCGAGCTTGCTGCGATCGTTGACAAAAGTGCGGACCATGATTGAAGAGACGGTGTAGCAACTCATTCACCCGAAGGAATGGGATGATAAGATGTTCTGTATTCGAAGAGCGCATATAGAAAACTCGAATGCCGATCTCCAAGCGATGAGCCGCCACCAAGGAGGTGGGTAGTGTAATCCATGTTGGTGAGGTCAAGTGGCGTTCAAGCTTGCAGTCCAATTTGAAGATTGGCTGTTTCAGCTCGTTGCGATCCTCTCGGATGAGTGTTTGTTGGAGTTCGTCTCTAACTTGATGGCAAGAAGAAAGGAGCCCAAGGGTAGACACTATACCAGGCAGGGCAAGTATTTGGTAAGAAAGGAAACTGGGGCTATATGGCTCGCGCGGGTTTCTACTACGCGGGCCAGATTGACTTGACGCTATTGAGTTGTTCTCTTGCCGAATAACGTAGAGATATATGCGATCGCGAATTTCGAGAGGGATTCGAAGAAAGGTTGGGATCATGACTACAACATAAAAGAAGATGGTGTATAGATATAGGCGCGGTTTGTGTTATTGTATAAATGTTTGGATCGGGTTTTGAACGATAGTCTTAGAGAAAAATAAAGGCAGTGTTGTGGAAGAGATATATATCGAGACGTCGTGTTCCAACTTCCGAGATCGATGAAGCAAGGGCGCAGGGCGCCACAATTAAGCGAGTTGCTCAAGTAGTCACAGGGCGAAGGGCGTAATGTAGCCAATGGTCATAGATGATAGATGTTTTAATACATGGAATAGCATTGTGCTAACATTTAGCTGTCTGGAAGAGAACAAAGTGAATGCATGAACTTCTTATTACTATTCTACAAATTTTGTGGTGTACTTCAGAGTTGGCAAGTAGCTCAAACTTTGTTTTATTTCAAAGAGAGTCAGAAAGATTGTATTTACTAATTTCAACTGAAGAAATATCGCCGTCAACTGTTCTGAGCAAATATCGTGCTTCGATAACCACTTCTTTTGCCCAACGCCAAGCTGTCAATTACTTCAAGTTTAGTATAGGTTCGCTACAAAATATGCACGGCGATTTCACGTTTCCGATTTTCTGAAGAAGAAAAATTCCAAATTCCAAATGTATAATTCAAAAACTCCAGATTCTAGCTAACAAAATGACAAAGCAATTTCTAAGAAACAGACCCAAAGCTCTCCGGACTCTATAAATCGAAAACTCCAGACGCCAGCGACGAAAACCATATCAAACACTGTCCTCAAAAATAAGAATTCGATCCCCAACTACGACCTGACTAGAGGAGAACTTTAACGACCTCTTGCCAATTCATCTTCACAACGATCCCATGCGGTCCTGATTTGCGCAAGCGAATTCTTCATCTTCTTCAGCCTCTTTTCCGCTGCTTTCTTAGCAGAAGAGCCCGGGGTCATCTCCGCTATATCCACTTTCAGCTCCGCTATATCATCTGCTTTGTTGCAGTATTTAATCTCGAGATCCAAGCAATCGTCCTCGGTAACTCGGCGACTGGGAATAAAGTTAGCCCGATGCGGTAACAACAATGCATAGCATGAAACAAACGCAACTAAATATGTCTGTAGAAGGATAAAGAGCTCTACCTCTTAAACGAGGTTTGTGAGGGTATATATATAAGGGGGCCGCTTAGCTAAGCGACCCCCTTTTGGTCATGTAAAAAGATGTTTCTCGACATGAATAGTACGACTTACTTCAAAAAAGAGGGTATCTCCACGCCTGCTGCGCGTGCAGCCACTTTCTCCTTATTCTTTTTCATAGGACAAGATGGAGCGGCGCGCGAATGCAATGGATTCTTGGCGCTTGGTTCGATAACCGCCGGATGTTTGTCAGCTTCCAAAGGCAACCCAACAGGGTTGCATTCCGCGAGAAGTGCAAAGCCAAGGAAGCCAAATGTGGACAAGGTTGAGAAACGCATGTTGTGACTGTAGAGTGTTTGTAGGGTGGTGAACGAAAGTTTGAAATAGAGTGTTGGTAGAGGAAGTGGATGCTGCTGGTGGATATGATGATGTGTAGTAGGCTTCGACAATGAGAATGTAAAGGTAAGTGCAGTAGACTTTGGTGTTTGTTGTGCTGGAATCTGTATGATGCTTTTTGAAAGTCCGTAGAATCATAGTTATATACTTCAAAGTGTGCTGTCAAAGGAATTTCCCAAAATCCATTCCAGTGCTCTCTCGTGGCTAAGTTCACCAAAGATTCCATTCAAGACATGATCACAACAATTTGACGTCTTTAGAATCCCTGAGATAGTCATATCCTCCTTCCATTTGTTGATTTTGACAATTGGCAGACCAAAATCAATCCGTCTCATAATTCAAAATAACCTGCACAGCCCAGAAGGTGCTGCCATGAGATACTTTTTGTAGAGGAGAAGCATTATCCGTGATCAAATAGGAGCACAAAGTGACTTTCTTCGTAAAAGCCCCAAAAAAGATTCATGATAATAGTAAGACGGCGGATTGGAAACGTTGGCACAAGCTGCCATTTTGGATGGAACGTGCAGTCTTGATCATGGATATTCATCCAAGATTACGTTTCCTTTGGCAATCTCAGCGTAAACGCCAACAGTTCCAGACCTCTAGATACGTCATCGATCCTCAAAGGCTTTGATACAATGGTATTTGAGAAACTGGACGTAGCATGGATTGTCCTTGCTATGCCTAATTCAGCATCAATCACGCTTTCCTCGTCGATATTTACATATGCTCATCCACGTTCTTAACAAAAGAACCACTTGGCTTACCAAATTCGGCGCACCATCCAGAAAACAAGCTTCCATCATGATTCTCATAAGTGTGTTGTTGACCAATGTATAAAATCATCCAACTCTCTGAACCCCTTGTATATATGTATCTTCCACCTCCGCCATGATTTCCCAGCAATAGGATCTGCGAACCACTCAATACGTGGTGGCTTTGGCTATACATTGCATGTGCAAATTAATCATCCGTGCCCTCTTTATGCTTATTAATTTGGTGACACCACATAGGTAGCCAGGCTATTTATTGCTCTGCATCGACCTCCCTTAGAAATTAAGCGAGACCACCACAGCTGCTTTGTAAGGCCCACGGGACACTCCCTAAATTATAATATGGTTTGTAACAACTCTACAACACTCCTTCCATAATATGTACGTTGATTCTTGGTAAAAGAGACACTTTTGTAGTTTACTCAGACATATCAAGAAAATATGTAGCTCTTGGAAAAGGTTATCACTAAGTCACCGTACCCAGACGTCCCGCCAGACTGGGAACACACTTGTGCACATCTCACCTGCTCAAGACCTTTTTCAACTCCAAAAAATCCTTTGTTGCTCATTGGCACAATTTTCAACCCAACAGCGGCTTTCGAATCGTTGGTTATTACCGCATTCGTCGGCGTTTAAAACGGCACAACCAAATCGGCACGCCATCTTGGCGAATCCTTCCGAAATTCTGTGCGAACGTCACGACTCTTTCGGCTATGAATAATCGGGTAAGCCACCACGACCTTGATTCACTTAAAACCTGTGTTGTAGAGCTGCTGAGCAATGAAGTTGAATTAACTTTCCGAGTCATGGTGAAGCGTCGAGTGACAAAATGCTAGGAAGTTACATGCCAAAGAAATACTGGGGATAAGTTTATTTGCGTAACCAGCAATACTGAGATAAGTGATGTATGATTCCACCTACCACAACACCATCGAAAGAGCTGACATGAACGACCAGATAAACATCAAAATCCCAACTCCAAGATATTTTATTTCACCTTTCCCACACCACGCTCTGGTATTTGCCATCGACCATCGCCCTTCCGTCCCGCGGTTTAATGATTCGTAACTCGTAGATCAAAGACAATCTAAGTATAAATTCTGTGTTGAAGGATAAAGTTAGAGAATTATCACTAGAAACGAATCGCAGAAGGGGACCGCAAAATGGGTAGTTAGGAAGACAGAGCATCACTTACGATTCAGTAAACTGGTTAACTTGCAAACCTGTCTCGGCCATTGGAGCATCCTTCAAGAACTCCAGTGGCATCCATACTAAATGACCCTTGATTTGATCAAGCTTCGCACGGATTTCGTGAGGGGGAATCATCTTGTCGTAGATATGTCCCGATTTCGTCCCCTTTGGCGGCAGAAATTTGTCGTAATCATCGAATGTTTTCACTAAGTTGTGTTAGGTTTGGAGCCTAAGTTGCGAGGCTGACTTACCATAGTCATCAGGATCAGCATGGAACAGTTGTCTGAAAATCTCAGTATTCTTCGTTGCTCTTGTTGTCCACATCTCCCATAATTCGTCTGATAGAGGATCGGCTACAAATTCGTAGGTGTCATTCTCTTGTGGATCATTTGGTACGTCCGGAGGCTGTGCGTTTGGATCTTTTGAAGCGTCCAATTCTTGTGGGGGCAGAAGACCCAGATGTTCTCTCCACAGATATCTTCGAAGTGTTGCAGCATGATGTCCAGCATCGTACTCCTGACCACCCATAGTACTCTTGAGAACTTTGGTATCGGTCATTACAATGGACAGCTCACTGTCGTGAAGACCAAGCTGAGATCGATCATTCAGATTGGAACTGCCGCAAACCACAGTCTTATCGTCAACGATCAATACTTTACCATGGATATAAAGCTCCTCCTGTATCCAATTCTCCACCTCGGAGTCTAAATCACCCTCCCACTTCTCATCCACTAGATTTGGCTGTTCATGCATAGCATTCTTGGCAACGCTGTCAGTACTTTCCGGCTCTTTGTTAGTCCCGGTAGCTTCTGCAGCGGATTCGAATTTACGTTTGGCGTCGGTTCTAGCCTCTAAGTTCTCATCCCCTGAATCGTCATCTCCGATCTTGAGTTTATCAATATTGAGCTTTTCCTTGATATCGCTCTTTTGCCCCATGTGTTCATCGCCCCCCTCATCTTGATCTTTAGACCCATGAATGCCGGTGTCCATGATCTCTTCGGCCTCTGCACGCTGAACATCCTGGTATTTAACGCCCGACTCCTCCTCTTGCTTCTTGATGGCTGGGGTGACATTAAGTCGGTCGTAGGATCGAAGATTGAAAAAGAAAATATGTTCATTAGGATCAACTCCCTGGGCCCTTATCTGCTCGAAGATAGAATGTTCGCCTCTGCAAATAGATTTGTACTGGTAGTCCATGATTGCACGAGTACCCATGGCTGCGGGTTCCCTAAGATCTCCCGCAAATCCTGGGATGGAAGGAATCACAGCGATCACTCTAAATTTTCTCCCTTCCTTGCCGGCTTTTACGACGGCATCCACAATTGCTTTACCGATGGTGTTTTTGATTGGCGCCTGTTCTTCTCCTGTCGCAGTGATAAAAAACTGGTTCTCGATGTATACATAATGCTGAGCATTTCTGATTAGCTCGCTGTAGGCATTTTGAATACTGTGCTCTGTGAGAATGCCACTTGACCAATCTGCGCTACTTCTGACAATCTGTGCATGAACAGTTCCCTGTTCCCCCACGTCTTTTCCACTCAGTGGAGTCATAGGGTGATGGATATAGTCGCCAACGGGGTGCTTGGGCCTTTGAACTCCGACAAGGTCTTCGTCCTCCCACTCTCGGCCTTCCAAGGTTAGCCAGTCGTATCTTCCGTCACGTTTGTACTTGTCGCGCTTGACAAAGTTCCACCGCAACACAAAATGCTCCGCGATATCATAAACACAGCTAAATTGGCCGGTCAGTAGTGAGCTGCAGATCATTAAAAGGCGCAATCTTACTCTCCGACAACAGCCATTGCAACATCATGCCATGGCATACGGCCATATTCAGCTTTAGACAACTCGTTAGATTTCCAATCGTTTACGGTTTGGAAGTCCATGACTCGGTTGTTGTTGAAATCTTGACCTGGCCAGATCTCTGTCGCAACACCAGCTGGATGAACATCTGCGAGGGGGTGCTGATGGCAGTCCCATCTTCCGAAGCAAAGGTCTAGTCCTCCAATGAAAGCAAGATTGTAGTCGATGACGATAAATTTCTCGTGATGCGCCCAATAAAATGCTGTAGGAGACAATTATTAGCTTCTCGGAAAGAATCTGGAAGGGAAGCAAAGTTGTGTAAAAAGGTAGCATTGCTCGAGTAGATGAGTGGATTTTTAACTGGTGGGAAATCTAAGGACTCAAAATTCTTACTCATATCTGCGGCATTTTCAAGAACGTTGTGATCTGGATGACGCATTACAACAATATTGCCATGGCCAGGCTCTCCCTTGGGGCACAGAGCTTGAAGAGCGTGCTTCGTATGCGCCGAGTTGCATGTTAGAGCGGCCTTTGGGGGGTTAGTTTTCAATTTTAGGTGAACACCGGACAAGCTTGCTTACCTCGACTTCTCGATACACAATAACAAATATCTTAACGCCAGCCTCCGCTCTGCGCTTCAGGATCTGATCTAGTCTATATTCTTGGTTGTAATAAGGAGGTCTGCGCAAGAATAGCTCCGGGGATAGCCACCAATCGCATATGTAAATAGTCTCGGTTGCCCGCTCGAGGGCCACGGACACAGCCTGATCTTGTCAACTACATTCTATACTCGGAAGAACTAACATACCCAGAAGTAGTCTCTCCCATCCACGTACCACTTTATGTTATTGCCTGGGCGCTCTGGCGCAAAGGAATTGTACCTGTGGGCATCGCCGATTCGCGTTCTCTTGTCGTCCGTCTCCTTTTCGTGCTCTTCGTCATGGCGATGGTTGGGATTGATCTGTGTGCTCTGTCAGCCATGTTTCTAGGATAGCGACGGGAGTAACTGACAAGATTGGCAAACTTTCCTAGGGAGTTCCTTTTCAAAAATTAGCATTTTGTTCGCAGAATGATAGTAACTTTGCGCACTTCTTGTGAATGAGCCCGACCTTCAAGTCATACAGCTTCGTATCCCGTAGCTTTTCTCGCAGCCCACCAAATGGGTGCTTAGCCTTCTCTTTGAGGTTTGCTGAATTCGATCCCCCATCGGATGGCCCGGCGGTAGTCATGGCTGATCGATAGCTAGGTTGAGGGGTAAGGTCGCAGAGGCGACAGAGAAATGGTACTTCGCGACGCGATCATGAGAAGACGAACGAACTCTGGAGGATGGGAGAGGAGAGGCCAAAGAGCTGTAGAACGGGTAACACGGCCACAACTACCTGACTTGGCGAGAAGGGAGAGAAGAAAAGAACAATCTCGGCGGGTGAATATGGCGCTAGCAATACTCGTTCTCGTACTGGGCTGGGTCAATGTCAATATCTTGGTGGAGTTGGTCTCGCTGTCTCAGATTCCAGATTTCTTGGTTCTTCTTGCATGTGCATGGGCAGGTACATGCATATAACCCGGCTGACAATCAATACCACGTCGAAGTAATAGGGCGAAGGCGATCCAAGATCTTCTGGCTTCACGAAGGAGGGGTGGAGTGGAGTGGGGTTGCACTGCACTTTGCGAAGGAGGGGCACGTGAAGAGAAGGGAGCACAGCACATTCCAGGGACCACCTGGGCACTTGGCAGCTCGCAAGTATGACGTCGAGTTTTCATAATTTAAGCTTAATTATGCGCCATAGTTCGATTTATGCAGTCGTTAATAATGAACATATTCTCGCTTATGTCGTGCTTGCAGAGTCCACAGGCCTTTATCATTGGGGTCTTTGTAGTGACTGTATGATCATGATCGGATTAATGTCTTAGCTATAGGTATGTACGTATACCCCTTCTGAGCCGAGTCGAATAGTATAGATTATTCAACTGTAACTTATGTTGGATCCTTCGAAATTACAGCTTGTTCTGTCACGCTCTATTGAGGTCTACCTACGATATCGAAGTGTGGATGGAACAGGTTCTCTGAGAGAAGGGACTACCTGTACACACCTAGGACGAATAAACATTGTCTAAGCTATGTGATTACAGATAAAGCGTAAAGATAAAAGTTAATATTCTGGTAATATGATTTGCAAGTTTGCCAATACATAGGTAGGTTTGGACCCATACTCTAACTTGTACGAACACAAGGCACCTGGTATATGTCAAATCTGTTATTGATAACCCGCCTAACTTCAGGACCTTATAACAAAGTAAAGTTTTCGGACACCGGCTGCACGGTTAGGCACAACCCAATCTGTACTCAGTGACTGGGATCTGAAAACATCCAACGGCAGTGAATATGCACTTCATAGTGCGTACTAGCCACTTTCGCAAGCCTAGAACAATAAGAACATACCTACGGACCTACCTTGGCTTAGATAGACACCTTACCTAGAAATTCATTATGTTTTTCCTGCTAATCATTAGATTCAGAAGGCTACTCTCACAGAGGCAACAGGGTGACGAATTCTCGGATGACTAAAATTTACGGCCCGCGATTTGCCCGAACGCCTTGCCCAAATACTCGTGAACGAACACATTTCTCGAGCTTCAAGACCAGACACTTCTTTTCAGCCGCGACGCGCATCTCACTTGATTGAAATGCGCAATGGCGCCTCTTGTGGATAATCCGTTGATTGCATCTGCGACTTTGCATAATCCGTGTAAGTTACCATCAACTCTGGGGATCGAAACCTCTCTGACCCAAGACCAGTGCCACTCTCCTTACACACATACGTCTGGCCTTTTATAATAATATGGCCCATCTTCTTTCGATATTACCTGTCGCAGGACCTTTACGATAAACACATTGGCGGGCAGGAATGGACTTTTGTGTGGTGTGGAACAATTATCACCATTCAGAGTTTGGTCTGGCTCAGCACAAACTGGAGTGTTAATCTGAGATCCCTCTTCACTTCGACCTCGGTGAAAAGCGTCGGAGAAGCCAAGTTAATCAAAGTTCTGCCTGTGGCTAACGCTGGGGCTCCTGATATCTGTTCTATTGTCCGCGATACGGTAGGTTCCTGCCACGGCATGTTGGAGGTCTGCTAACAATTCATAGGCAGGGGGCAAAAATAATGTTTCTTTCCTTTTCCAAAAGAGACGATTTCTCTACGACCAGACCAAAGGCTCCTTCTCACCACTTACTTACGCGATTGACGCCGAGCCAAAACCTAAAATCGAACAATTCCAGAAGTCGATAGGTATTTCCTCCCAATCCGAACTTTCCCGAATCCAGCAACATTATGGCGACAATACCTTCGATATCCCGGTTCCCACTTTCGTCGAACTCTTCAAGGAGCACGCGGTTGCGCCATTTTTCGTCTTTCAAATCTTCTGTGTAGGACTATGGATGTTGGATGAATACTGGTATTACTCTCTGTTTACGCTTTTCATGCTTGTTGCATTTGAAAGCACGGTTGTTTGGCAAAGACAGAGAACCTTGAACGAATTCCGCGGGATGAGCATCAAGCCTTACGATATCTGGGTCTATCGGTTGAATAAATGGACCGAAACTCAAAGTGATAAACTATTGCCGGGAGACTTGGTATCTGTCGGACGTACCAAGGAAGACAGCGGAGTCGCATGTGATATGGTTCTGGTGGAAGGAAGCGCTATTGTCAATGAGGCGATGTTGTCCGGTGAAAGTACCCCTCTCTTAAAGGACTCGGTTCAGCTCAGGCCTTCGGATGCATTGTTGGAACCGGAAGGACTGGACAAGAATGCCTTTTTATACGGCGGTACCAAGGTCCTCCAGATCACTCATGGAAACAGCGAAGAGGAACGGCCAAAAGTTGCTTCTGGAGTGCCAGCACCTCCGGATAATGGAGCCATGGCTATTGTTGTCAAGACTGGGTTCGAGACTTCTCAAGGAAGCTTGGTCCGTACCATGATCTACTCTACCGAGCGTGTTTCTGCAAACAATGCCGAAGCCCTTCTTTTCATCCTTTTCCTCTTGATCTTCGCAATCGCCGCCTCCTGGTATGTTTGGGATGAAGGTGTCAAGAAAGACCGAAAGCGATCCAAGCTTCTTCTGGACTGTGTCCTTATCGTTACTAGTGTTGTCCCACCGGAGTTACCTATGGAGTTGAGTCTTGCAGTGAACACCAGTCTTGCAGCTCTCAGTCGTTACGCAATCTATTGTACCGAGCCTTTCCGTATTCCATTCGCCGGACGCGTTGACGTTGCGTGCTTTGACAAGACCGGGACTCTGACTGGAGAAGATTTGGTTGTTGAGGGAATTGCTGGCCTTGGTCTTCAAAAGTACCAGGAGTCTGGTACAGATACACCACGTGAAACCGACGGCGCTCATAGCCATATCACCCCAGTGCTTGAAGCAGGGCTGGAAACGACTCTTGTCCTCGCCACTGCACACGCTCTTGTGAAACTCGATGAAGGCGATATTGTTGGAGATCCGATGGAGAAAGCCACCCTCACGTCGCTCGGATGGACTCTTGGCAGAAATGATACTTTGACTAGCAAAAATACTTCATCCGTCAAAGGCACCTCTTACGGCACTGCTTCCAACTCTGTTCAAATCAAGCGTCGCTTCCAGTTCTCTTCTGCGCTGAAACGACAAAGTTCTGTCGCGACCGTTACCTTGATTCATCCTGACACTGGTAAAAAGGTCCGAAACACCTTTGTTGGTGTCAAAGGTGCCCCAGAAACTATAATGAAAATGTTGGTCAGTGTACCTGGGGATTATGAAGAGACTTTTAAGTATTTCACTAGAAAGGGCTCCCGTGTTCTCGCTCTCGCATTCAAGCATCTTTCAACCGACACCGAGCTTGGAAGCCAGAAAATCAATGAGCTTAAGCGCGAAAGGGTGGAAGCAGATCTACATTTCGCTGGTTTCCTCGTGCTCCACTGCCCACTAAAAGAAGACGCCAAATCATCTGTCCGCATGCTGAACGAGAGTAGTCATCGTGTAGTCATGATCACCGGAGACAATCCGCTTACCGCTGTACACGTCGCCTACGAGGTGGAAATAGTTGACAGAGAAGTTCTCATTCTTGACGCGCCTGAGCATGACGATTCTGGGGAGAAATTAGTATGGAGAAGTGTTGACGACAAAATCTCGATTCCTGTCGACCCTAGCAAACCTATTGACCCGAAAATCATTCAAAACAACGATTTGTGCGTGACTGGTTATGCTTTGGCAAAGTTCAAGGGCCAGGTTGCCTTATCATCAATCTACCGATATACTTGGGTGTACGCTCGTGTATCACCGAAGCAAAAGGAAGAGATCTTGATGGGTCTCAAGGATCTTGGTTACTATACACTCATGGCTGGTGACGGAACGAACGATGTTGGTGCGCTGAAACAAGCCCATATCGGCGTTGCGCTGTTGAATGGTTCCCAAGATGATCTCAATAAGATTTCCGAGCATTTCAGAAATACCAAGATGAAAGAGATGTATGAGAAACAAGTTCAACTGATGACAAGATTCAACCAACCGTCGCCTCCAGTCCCTGTTCTGATCGCCCATCTTTATCCCCCGGGACCGACTAACCCCCACTACGAGAAAGCTGTGGAGCGAGAAATGGAACGGAAGGGAACAACTCTAGCGCTCAAAGAGACTGCTGCGGATAGCAAAACCGAAAAGATAGAGACTATAACCACACCGGGCGCTCAAGCTCTCATTAACTCCAAGACCCAAAATCAAACTCCAGCACAGCAGAAAGCTTCAAGCTTGGCCGAGAAGTTTACCCAGAGTATGATGGAAATGGAGGAAGACGACGAGCCACCTACCATCAAACTCGGTGATGCTTCTGTTGCTGCACCATTTACCAGTAAACTTAGCAACGTCATCGCGATTCCAAATATCATTCGCCAAGGTCGTTGTACTCTTGTTGCAACTATCCAGATGTACAAAATTCTGGCGCTCAACTGTCTCATTTCCGCCTATAGTTTGAGTGTTCTGTACTTGGAAGGTATCAAATTTGGAGACGGCCAAGTAACAATCAGTGGTATGCTCATGAGCGTCTGCTTCTTGTCGATTTCTCGTGCCAAGTCTGTGGAAGGATTGTCAAAGGAACGTCCTCAACCCAACATTTTCAACTTCTATATCATTGGCTCCATCTTGGGTCAATTCGCGGTGCACATTGTCACCCTGATATACATTGCGCGATTCTGTGATAGACTTGCTCCGTAAGTCTTCCATAACTATCCTAGAGATCACCACTAACTATGATTAGACGAAGCGATGATATCGATTTAGAAGGAGAGTTCCAGCCTTCCCTCTTGAACAGTGCCGTCTATCTTCTCCAACTTATCCAACAAATTTCCACCTTTGCTATCAACTACCAAGGTCGACCATTCCGCGAAGCTTTATCAGGTAAGTATCCTGCCACCTTCATATTCTGTTCTCACTAACTCCCTTCTCAGAAAACCGCGGCATGTACTGGGGTATTCTCGGCGTAACAGGTATCGCCTTCTCTTGCTCCACGGAATTCATCCCCGAAATCAACGAAAAGATGCGTCTCGTACCTTTTTCCTCTGAATTCAAAACCACCATGACGACCGTCATGATTGTTGACTACGCAGGCTGTTATGTCATTGAAAAGGCCCTGAAATTTTTGTTCAGCGACTACAAACCTAAGGATATTGCCATTAGACGACCGGATCAAATACGCCGGGAGGAGAAGAGAGCCGAGGAGGCGCTGGCCGAGAAGATTAGAGCGGAAGAGGAGAAGGCTGAGAGGGTTATCAAGGAGTTGGAGGAGAAACTGAGGATTAAGGCATAAATGGAGGGATCGAAGTGTATCATAGATCTTAGAGTGTTAATATAGAATGGACACTTATTTTTGTATTATTACGCTGTTCGCTTTTTATATTCCTGAATCAGTTGGCGTATGGGATTTTTATGCTGGAGTGTTAAAGGCAATACGTGATTGCTGAATACCTCCTTTTAATGGGGTTTTGCTGACTTGGATCTTCTGAAGGAAGATTGGTTCGGCAAAACAACACACCCAACCAACATGTTTGTGGCTGTGCATTGAGCTCAGAAGAGCTCACCGTCGAGACCTATCTCTTAGTTGTCTTTCCCCATCAAACATAACAAAAATTAAACAAAGAAGAAGCTCAGCTTCTATCTTGTTGCTTTCTCCTACCAGCTAAGAGTGAATAGTAACTGCCTTTCCACGAATCGGAGGTACGTGCCGAATCTATATACTATTCGGGGATTCTTACTCTAACGTTAGTGATAGATTACTTATACATCATGCAGAAGCCAGCAACAGCACCCTGGAACCTTCCTCTCAGCACCTCCGACCTCCAGAAACTCAAAGCCGGTTTCATCCCAGAAGATCAAGACGACAAATGGTACTTCTACACCTCGCCCACGGCTACCGAACAGCTCATCACAGTGCACATAGTTCGGAACATGATGAACGTCGAAATGTTTGTACTTGAAGTCACAGCTAGCGAAAGCAGCGGTGGGGATATTATCAGCGCGGAGATCAAATCTATTACATGGGAAACAAGTCGAGGTTGTCTTTCTGAGGAGGAAGCTAAATACGAGGCTGTTATGCTGGTTAGAGTCGTTTTGCGGTGTGAGGTTGATGCGCTGCCGGCGTATGAATCTGATTCGTGAGGTTTGATGTATAGGTTGTGCGTATACATGAGGAAGGGGTGTCAGGTTCAAGGTTTCGGTCGCTTCGCTCATGCACGAGCGGAATTAAAGACATAATGAAGGACCATGCTATTCAAAGACGCGGTCAGGATCTGAGGCATGAGAATATGTAATTATGGCTTATATCGGCTTATATTTCGTGCTAAAATATCCATGTTCTTGATACAATTGAATTTTATTCCAGACAAGTTCACCTCCATGAAATTAGACGTACCACACAACAGCTTTAAGGAATATGCTACTAAGCTCGGCCGTGTAGGTTATCATGGTTCTAGAGCGCCCTTGGAAATGACAGATTGGAAAGATCAAGTTTCGTCTTCGGGGTAGATGGTACGTTCACGTAAATGAACATCACATTAAGTATGCACTTTTTTTTCATAGTTTACGGGTTAGTAGCCATTCGATCGATCACCGTTACAGTTCTTTTATGATCTATCAACTCTTAACTTTCGCTCTATTGCCATTCATGATTTCAAGTGTAGACGTTCGCAGCATCCAAATTTACATTGTAGCTCCACATCTCGTCAGGCATCCTGACCAGTCCACAGTCAAATCCGCTAGCAACGACAGCTCTCTATCTTTTTCACTGCTGCTGCTGCTACTTGGTAAACTGTGCATGGGCGTAGGATCATGGCCATGGTCATTATATCTCAGTCGGCGAAAGTTGCGAGCGTGCAAGTTGAAGACTTTTATTTACCACTAAGGTTGCCTTTTATATCACGACCTGCTCAGATAATGTTATGGATATCGCCTTAATAGCTAAGAAACTATAGCGGTAAGCATACTCTTGAGATCCGCCTTGGAGACGATAATATTTTGTTGTGCCTACCCATAAAATACGTTCCGCACATGGTTCACGAAAAAAGACTCAACTAATGAAGACTGGAGCAAAATTCTCCTTGGGACGCACTTAATATATTCTTATCTATGTTCGCCCTGTAAAGGTATTACTGTAAAGTACAGTCATTAGCCGACTTTTTTTTTTTAAGGACCCTCTCATTTCGAAGGCTTGTTAAGGCACTTTTACTGGTGGATCCGACAGGGTTCTAAAGACCAAGCACTAGAAGACTTGAAAACTCGTTTTAAAACGGTATATCCCCATTTAAGCCCTGGATTCTGACGGAAGATCGTCCAATCCGTATTATGATATTTGTTGAATAAGTGGGAGCGAACAGAGATAAGAATACTGTGCGTGGCTTACGATCTGACAAAGACGGTATGTATCTGGGGAGAGGCGAATTCCATTACCTAAAAGGAGATTGTAGTTACCAGATTTCTTTATAGCAATTTAAAGTACTAACAAAGGGACCGAAGGGCGTAGAACCATCAATGTTAGATATAATTCGTTGGCTATGTAACTTTGTTCTAGTCACAAATCACTGTTTACAAAAGAGAACAAGTACTAAGAGAGTTACTTAATTACTATCTACTAAGACAATCTAATATATTTAAAGACAGTTATATAATTGCTGTCTACTAGGATAATAAAGATAAAGAAAGTTATGTCTAGGACAATGAAGATAAAGAAAGTTATGTGATTACTGTTCACTAACACAATTAGAATAGCAAATAAAAACGTGTATAAATAAATACCTAAATTGACCATCTAGTAAATAGTTGTAGATTCATTATCCTCGATATTTTAGCCAAGATGCCTCTAATAAACGAAGTAAGCAACAGCAATAGTAGTAGCGAACTAGACAGTACTATAGATACTAAGCTAGCAGTAAGTGTCTATGAACCCGTAAACTCCGATGGCAGATGGCCAGTAGAGCTCGGTAGGGAGTGTCTCATATGCTTGGAAACTTGCTCGGAACAACGTCCTATGTGGAGAGCAGGTCATTGTAGGCATGGAATATGTAAACTGTGTTTCATAAAATTGCTGAGTGAACAAAAGCAGCCAGGTCAGTGGGCTCTTTGCCCATTTTGCCGAGCTAGTTTAGATCTTAGAATAAGATGGTCTCTCCCTCCACCTTGTAAATTTACAGTTTCATACGATCATTGGGATGGCCATTACTTCCGAAAACTACCTCAAGACAGATATCTGGCCGGTAAGAATGAGGATGGGGATAGAGTGGTAATAGAAAACACTTCATATTTGGAAATTCGCCAACTGGGAGATTTTACGGAGATCCATTTGAAACGGACAATGGGTTTGAAGGTAACGTCATGTATCCACAACCATTCCGTTAATTGCAAGCAATCGGAAGCTATTAGTCAGTCGAAAAGGATTTCCCAGATTCTCGATCTACTTGCATCGGAGTTCAAGCGCGAAACAGATATCTCGCGGTCTAAAGATAGAATTTCCTTTTGCGTTGCTAAAGAGATTCAACCTGGAGATGAGCCACTGTTTGTTGAGACTCTACTTCAAAAGTCTACATCGCGGCTAGATGGTGACTGCCAAGAACTTGAGTCTATTCCTTGTGGTTCGAAGTCAGGTATTCGTTCCTACGAATTCATATTGTGGAATACCAAGATTCGGGAACGAAGCTATCCTCATGCGTTAATTCCTCCAAGCTGTCTCCCTCCAGAAGACAAGTTAACCCGGAAAAGGATCTTCCGGACATTTGTTGACATCCATAAGGTTCTAGCTTTGAGATTTCCCGAGATCCAACAAGCAACGGATGTTGTACCGTTCCTCGAGTCCAAGGGACTTCGAATGTCGAATACTAGGCTTGCACTACACCCTGGAAAAGAGTTTAGCGATGTGGTAACACGATCTTCGGTAATCAGCACTGTCGCTGAAGCTATACAAGAACGTCTAGGTAGACCGACAGCTTTGCGTTTAGATGAGGACGATCGGCCATTCGAGGATGCACGACGGGAATACATTTCTCCATGGTACAATGAATTAGAGGAATTATACCGTGCAAACTTCGAATTTGCGAAGGACTAGGAGAGAGAAATACAGCTTTCGAGAAAGTACGAGGAAGTTTCTCCGCTTCGAAAAGGTGTGAAACCTAGGGCAAAATAGGGATCCGATTCCAATAGAAGGCGATAACAAAAACACAATCTGGATCGGACCAGTGAGTTTCGCACTGCAAATAAGATTGACAGAGGGTAGACGGGGTCTTCGTTGCGACACGGCTGGCGAAAGGAATAAAAAGAAAGAGTTGGGAACTCAGAGGGGCAGTAGGTGTTCGGTGTATCTGTAAGAGTAATAGTACTAAAAGGCAAGTGAATAATGATTATGGTGCCAGTAAGTAGGCCTGTATAGTATCATGGTTGTGTGTGTGCGGGCAAGGTGTAATGATGGGCTGGTCACAATGAGGAACGGTTTTAAAATGGCATTGACCGTAATTTAATAGTAATCTGTTTAAAAGTAAAGAGAGAAGGGGGGTCTTGTATCTGATATTGGAAGATATAGTAGAGTTTTATAATCTAAAAAGTGTAAACTACAATAGAAGGGAAACTATATGCCAAGATTGATTATGTTCGGAACGGAAATTTCCATTGGCGAGAAAATGACAATTGGCCTTTAGTAGGCACGTTCATCGATGAGACTAGGCCGTTTTTCGGGTGAACCCCAGTTCATTAGACAGTTGGAATTGTTAAAGGCTTTATCGGGCATCTTTATCCGCCTGGGACACAGTCTTCCCCTTTGACATTTTCTTAGTCACAAAAATCACAAAACCAATATTAAGACTGACGAATGAATAATACATCTAGTTTTAAATCTTCTGGTGATTATATGAGGTGCACAGACTCCAGCAACAAGATACAAATTATGGCCGCCTCCCCTCCCGCATTTCACATCAATCATCCCTACTTATCCATCCTTGCTGTGAAAGCTTGCCTGCGACAACCTCCCCATCAATGCCACTCTTTTCTACCGTTTCCCTCTTCATCTAAATTCTTCGTAGCAATTCTAAAAAGGCAAAAATCAATGTTTCAGTTGTGTGGACAGCAGGAACATGTGATAGTGCTGAACCTCATGGTGAATTGTGGCCCGTCGGAACCCCGCCTCTCTCGCCTCTCTCTCCGGCTCTCCAACTCCTTCCACGTCCTCTGCATCTCAGCTTTCTTCTTCTCCTCCTCCTCCTTCTTTTTCTTTTCTTCAATTTCTGCTGCGTCTTCGGTTGGCCACTTATTAACAATTAAATCGTAAAGCTCCTTGGCAATTGGCCAGATCCGACGGAGAATTTCCATGGTGCTGAAAAAACGTTCGATATATTTGATAACCGTCTCAAATTTCTCCCTTTTTTTGAGAAGCCAACTCATTGCGATGGTAGTGACGTAGGAATGTTCGAGAATTGGATATCGGTAGGGTACGACGTAGAGACTGGAGATGAGCTACTTGGGTTGTATTTTCGAATGCTTAGTTATACTAGAACGGCTAGCAGAAGTTTTGGATTTGACGAAATCAGATCTTATTTCTAAGCGTATTGTTGCAATATTGATGGATCGCTGATAGAGTCCAGGAAGCTGTGGTGTTTTTCCAAGAACTGGGGGTTTCCTTCTGCTCTAATAATACTTTCGGGTCTCTGGATTACGGCGAAGTGTTTGCACGGCTTCCAAAGTTTCATTCTGAAATGCTCGCCTTGTGCATACAGTACGGAGAGAAGACGGGAAGAAGACATGCTGCCAAAGAAGTGTCTGCATGGGAGGGTTCTTGCATGCTTCTAGAATGAAATACTGTAAAGGAAGTTTTCTGGCCTATGTATGATGCTATTCAGAACTCTGAGACGCAGATTTGGTCTTTGTATCTAGTATATATCATGGCTTCATGTCTCTCAGTCATGGAGAGTTTCGTTTGTATGGCGGCAGAGTTGCTGGAAGACAGTAAGATCGGACTTATGCAGCCCACAAACCTGTTAGTTTACGTTAATTCCCAGCCAATGATTGAACATTCTTTCGAAATCAGTCAAATAAAAGATGTCCACAAAGTTCTTTGTGGGTACAATCCAACCGGAGCATTAGGCATGTTTGCGATGGCAAACGCTTGCGAAAGCTTTGACATGCACAATAACTGGGTGTATACAAGATCCAAAGAAGTACGAACTATGTTCGTGACTGAAATTGGATGTAAAGACGAGATGCAATTTTAATTCAAAGAGCCTTCCCGATCGCAAGTATTTGTTTACAAAATTTGAAGCGTCATTATGATGTTCCCGATCACAAATATATTGAAAGCAAATGACAGCATCCCATATTCAGCAAAGCATGAAAGACGTTCGTTGGGGCAGACAAGACAGACATCAATGTTTGAGGCACTATAGTAAACAAGAACTTTGAGCAGAAATTTGAGCATCTCAAAGGTTCCTTTCGTATGAAAACGTTGAGTCGAGGAAATCTCAGAACATGTACACCTTGAGAACAAGTTATGCTTGGCCATCTGTCTTCCAGTAGGTCAGCTTGAAATTACATGTTACAATGACTTTAAGTGCTGGAAGATTTGGTCAAAGTTAAATCATGAACGTAATCTGAAGAAATGGGTAATTTTATGCTCTTCTTCACAATCAGCCGTAATTTGAGTAACACTTATTCTAAACTAATAGCATACCTACTAACCACGGGAAATACTTAAAAAAAAATTAACGGCCCTTTGCAAACAGATGTCTCTGAAAAATACTCTATATTTACTTGGAACAAATTGAGTCCAATAGCATTCTAGATAAAGTATCGTGCTTCGTCGAATAGGTTCTGCTGGTGGATTGTAATATTCTGGCGCCCATTATTGAACATGTAGAGCTGTTCCGAACTACTCACTATTATTTTGATTGACCAATAGAATGCCACTATTGATCATTTACCTAATCAAATAGTCAATATATTAGAGTTAACTAATTAGACGCTCGTTTCGTTAACGTCACGCTAGGGTGCTTCACCGTCGCCGTTTAAGTGAATTGTAGAGTATTATCGTCGATTTAAACTAGTGAATATCTAATCTTATTAAACCCATTACTTGCCGATCGTAATACACTACTAGGTGGCGATTTTGAGGTTAAATCGCGAAACGCCTTAACTAGTTTATTCCTATAGCTTTTTTTAAAGGTACTTACTTTACTTAATTATTTTATAATAAATAGTATATATATATAACCTTTACCTCTTACAAAAATCTTGTTTAATATCTTATTATTCTTATTAAAAATTCCTATTACTCTATCTTAATATATTAAGTACGATTTATATATTTAAGTTTAAGATAGTAAAATAGCTAGTTAATTTATTAATTATAATAAATTAACTAATTAATTAATATTACCTAATTAATAGTAGTATCTTATTAGTTAATTAAAATAATTATAAGTAGTTCTAAATAGAGATAGGTAAATAAAGTTTAATATAAGTAAACTCTTTTAAGAAACCTCTATTAATATATTAATTCTCTTTAAGTATTAAATTATTAATATATTAGTCTAATTTAAAATTTAAAATTTAGTTTTATAGTTGTCCCTTACTATAAGGTTTAGCCATAATAGAGTAAACCTAATTATAGGTAAAAATCTCTTTAGACTTCTTAGTTAGATCTTATATAACTCGAGTAGTGTTAACTAGCAAGAGTCGGGGCTAGTATATACACATGTCTCTTTCGATAATTAGTAAGGTCGAACTCTTCGCTGAGTTGCGATTCTTTCGGTGGGGAATAACTCCTTTATACTCACTTTAAAAGTCCCCCCCGGTGAAAAATAAAAATTAATATCTTTGTACTCCTACCACATTTAGACTCGAGAAACGCCACACTATTTAATTATGTGAACAATAACTATAACTGAACAGTGAATCTTCATTCAATACTTGGGTCCGGATTATATTTAACCGCTTCTGTTGTTGAACTAAAGAGGCTTCAAGACACAAAGAACCTGATCTCTAGAGTGTAAGCACCTCAAAAAAATGTCTAAATTCTGGAAGAATATCAAGAAGGTGTTCTTTGAAAAGACTCCAACCGAAATGTTCTCTCCCCCTACAGAACCGACTCCCAGCCAAGTCCTACCAACCTCTACTTCAGCACGACCATCCACTACTCTACCCCACCGACCCTCTACTCAAGCTCAACCATCTTGCCCACCGACACCACCTCCAAAACCCCATGCCTACATCTCCACTTCCCTGCACCAAGCATTCATCCGCTCACACACCCTCCCACCACTGACGCCCCTCGAGCGAGCCATCATCGACGATGATTTCATCGCCCCTCTCCCACCCCTAGAATCCAGTTTTCTGGACCAAACCGCAGAGATGCACACCCCAGAAGCCATTCTCTCGGCGTTTAATAACTCTTTTGGGACGTGGTATACTATGGATAGGTTTGAGGGCATGTTGCATAATGCGTGGAAAAATGGGGTGTTAAAAAAGTGGGTTAAGGATAGTATGGTTGACATAGGAGTTTATTATTCGTTCGTTAGCGCGGAGGAGGGTAGGGAGGTTTGATGGGGGGATTGTGGGCAGGAGGGGTGAGATATTGAAGCGAGAAAGATGTGGATTCGAGTCCCTTACAGTTGTGTTAGATTTCTGTCTAGATTTGGGAAATTGGTATGATTCTATATTATATTTTCGAAAAGTGGTTTTTCAAAAGAACGTCCCAAATATTCCTCCCATTAACACCACCAGATTGATCCACAGTTCCTGAATCGAACATCAGAAAAGTTCTCTTTTATGAATTCCATCAATGAATGGTCCTTGATTCGCAATCCTAACAGTAACCCAAATCCGACAATATCAAATATCCTTCCATCCGCTGCACCAAACTGACCTTCGAACTGGTCATCTAACCCAACGAACTTTCTTTCTCCACCATAAACTTCATCAACAATAATCCTTAATTTCATGATCCTACACCCCAGACTTTCATTCCAATGCGGCAATGCTACCCACCCCAGAACACTTTCTTTCATCTCGACAGATCTCAAATTGCACCCGCACCTACGGTTTTGCGGTCTGTAATCCATATGTCTATAAACGAGTACTCGTCTCTACAATCTTCTTTGTAAAGTATTTTGTTCAATGCAGCATCACGACACGCGTTCCAATCTTTCCCGTCCATCTGCTGGGTGAAGCTTCGGTTAAGAGCTTCAAGTAATTGGTTGGATGTAACAGTAGGCTGATTTATATCGTCATCAAGAAGATAAAATGCGTCCTTGTCTGAGATTTTTCTTTCCATCGATGTTGATGTGGATCCATTGAAGAAGTACGGGGCAACGTCTGCAGACAGGTAAATGACATCTTCTTGAGGAACTGGCCCACTACCATACGGCCCGTGTTTGAGTTCCCTTTCGATTTCTTTTTTCTTAGTTCCCGAAAATTTATTTCTGGCGTTTTTCGCAGTTTCTTTTACTTTTTTTCCGAAAGAGGATGACATTTTGGAGGATCTATGGTTCTATAAAATGGAAGCTTTGTGGTATGGGGAATGAGGAAAGCGAGAAACGGGAGGAAACCCACCTCTTTATAGATTTTCGAAGACCTTCTGAAGTTATTCACAATCGTTCTTTTACCATTCATAGCTAGAATATTGAACTTGAATAACATGGATGTTGTGATATTATTGGATATCTCAAAATCCAGTCAAAAAGAAACGCGAAACTCACGGCACGGGATTGTGTTTATGAATATTCAACTGGATATCGAAATCACAAACGATGTCACGGAAGAACAAGCTTCAGCTCTTCATGTATTTATAACCAAAACAAGCATCCTAATTTTGGGAAAATAGCAGACCTTGCCAAAGGTTAATCTTCACCTTCTTAGACATTCACACCTGCGATGAACGGCCATATCTCCTATACTCAAGCAGCAAAAGAACTCCCAAGTGGAATGAACAAGGAATTAATGTCTTTCTACATTCTTTGCCACAACCAGCCTATGGCACATTCATTTCAACCCTTAAATTTCAACCTTCACCTATCCACACCTCAGAACTATCAAAACGTGCCAAAACACACAGTGTAATCCTCTATTCTTATGAATATCTACCTCCTTCGAATTCAAGAATCAAAATTACATCTTTCGACAGTGATTTACTTATCAGAGACTGACTCTTCTCTGAGCTCTTTATGTGGCAGAGTTTTCGTTAATAGGCTTCGAAAATTACTTGGCTGCCTAGAAATTCGCTTCTTATATTTGGCGTTTCATGGGGTTGAAAGAGGTTGTTCTGTTACGTATTTTCTTGGGAGAAGGAATCGAGAGTTCGAGAATTAGGTGGAGGAGCTCTTTTTGGTCTGGAGACCGGCCCTTCTGGTTTGGACTTAGACTGCTGGTTGTCAATTAATTCCACCATCACTACCGGTGCTTGATTTGCAGTAATATTTATCTTAGCCTTTTGTGACTTACTAAGTTAACATGAGTTAGAGGTTCAAGAACCGTGCGATTCCCGTAAGGTAAATACTTTGCTTCATTTCTACATCTCTTTGCAAGCCTAAGATACAGTCAACGAGACTCGCACAGAACTATTGACTGTGGGAACTCTTTTTTACTTGAGCAGGCTTCGATGCAGAGATGGACTACTTGAGATTTGATATGATTGTCTGTGCAATGGATGAACAATCCAAGGGAAGCAGACAAGACCGAGTCAACTCATACCTACCATTAATACACTCACAAAAGCAGCTGCACTTTGTGATTGTTCAATAGGAAGACCAGGTGTTGAAAGAATATGAATGAATGGCTGCTCCACATAGATTGGCGTATGACCGAGTTCAAGCATCTCGACGACCTCATGAAACTATGATGGACAACATGATTACTCTAGAATGGTTAGTGAAGACTATGATGAGTCTTTCTGCTATCGATTCATACCAGGAAGTCAAATGATGATCCATCAAGCTCTGACACTCCTCCAACTCACAACCTACAGCTTGAAGGTGAGTTTGTGTCCCAAAATTTAGACAAATCTGTCAAGTTCATCATGAATACTGCAAACAAATCATAGATCGTGTCGCTCTTTGATTGAGATTATAGGATACGTGCGTTCTGAAAAATTTCATGCTGATGCAATCAACAGCAATTAACAAGTTTGAAGTGAATGCCACAAATATTTACGCATTTCAACGCCACACCAGAAAGCTCACAACGAAATTCCCACGAGTCTCGATAGACATAACCACCCCACAGAATGCCATAAGACTGACGAAATTCTCCAAAGACGTTCTATCTTATAACACATATCAACAAAAAATGGCCTCCACCACCCACCATCACCGCCAAAAGTCTCGCTCAAACCAAGACCAAAAGCCAGCAATCCTCAGAAAGCCTCCCCCACACTTCTCCGAAAATCCAAACATCCACCTCTCAACAGCAGCCCTCCAACAATTCACCCGTAATTACTCCTACAGCATACCTCAAGACACCAACCCACACATAAAATACCTGGATCACGATAAAGCCTATCCATGGTTCACCGCCTTAGAGCTACTGAAAGTGTTCAACCGAAGTAGAGGAACCGCCGTCGATATTGAAGGATTTAGACCGATGATAAATGCCGCGCGAGAGAAGAGGGTGATTGAGAATGTAGGATGTGATATAAAAGATACAACTGATTGGCAGTTTACGAAGGCGTGGGTGGAGGGAAGAGGGGGTGATGTTCTGCTGAGAAGTTGGACGGAGCGTGGGAAGATTGAGGGGGGTGGTAGTGGTGGAAGTTTGTGATGGGTGAACGAGTCTGTCTATGTGTGGATATGAATGTGTAGATGAAAGTGATACATGATAAGAGGTTGCCATCAAAGACACCTAGCTTGTAAAGACCTATAAGGCCAACAAGACTTGCACCTTCAATAACAATCACATCTCACATCTTAATTCAAAAATTTCGGTAACCCCTCCACCAAACCAAAACCCAGGCCCAGAAATGACAGCCCCTCCAACCTCACCACACATCACCGACGGCCACCACCACTATCTCTCACCCTACGTCGTTGATAAATTTAAACAACAACCCGATTTTTATATGTTTGCGTACCTAGATAAACACAAGGACGCAACGAATTTAGACGAGGACAAAGAATAGCCGTGGTTCACCGTAGAAACCCTGTTGGCAATCTTAAACAGAAGTTCCAGGCTCAGAATCGACATGCAGGAGTTCATATGTATGGTGGAACGTGCAAAGGGGCTCTGGGCAATTGAAAACCCGGGTGATGGTTCAAGATCTAGTACAGCCTTGCGGCTCACGAAAATTTGGGTGGAGACGGATGCTGTGGCGAGAGGTGACATGAAATGGGGCAGGAAATCGGTAGATTTATCTCCCTAGGTAATCTCAACAAACACATCCAAAAGATGAAGCTACAGAGCTGATCATTTTGAGCAAATGTAGCCAAACAAACATTCTCGACAAGCATGAAGCTATGTAGACGACATGATATCCGCAGCTGATCATATCTGCTCACCACCTCGAATCAAGAGTGCCAACCTCGAATGTCGGCATCTATAAAGAACATCGAACACCTAACTCCCAAGTATCATGTCTGCCTGTCACAATGGATCCAAACCAATTTGACCCCAATCTCGTCCAAAACACTCAACCACCCGAGGGAAAGACGTCTACTACTCAGACAAGGACGTAAAGAACCCGCTCTTGCCCGCGCTGGAACTTTTACGAATCTTTAATCGAAATTTCGGAACCTCCATCGAGATAAATGATCATGAGGCAATGATGGTGCGACCCGAAGAATGTTGGCTGCTTTTGAATGTATCTAAATGCGACATCAAAATGTGGATGTTCGCATGCATTGGCCTGACCCTCAGACCTTCCAGGAACGTGTAGGTAACCCCGGAAAAAATGAGGTTTGGACCTCACTACATTTCCTAGGGACAGGAAGGTAAGAACGTGTTCTCAACATCCACTCGACCTGGTTGACAATCGAGGATTAGCTTGGTGGTGTTCGAGATTCTGGTTTCATGTTATTCAACGAAGATCCTGAGAAATTATAATACAGCATCAAACTCGCAATTTTATTAAACTCCATGACATCGTAAATCTTCCAACCTGCTTCCCACCCAGGGTATGTGGCAAGACATTTGGTGCTGGGTATACGCTTTTGAATTCACACTCCGACTATGGACGGCTGTAGTTGGGCTTGTTTGCCTCGATAGCTTGACCAACAATACTGCTACTCGTCCAAAAGTGCATTTATGCTAAAATCCCGTCCGGCGACGTGACAAATATTATGCAGCGGCTATAACTAAGCCACGATGAGCTAGGTAGCTACAATATGATAAGCTTCTCAACATGGAGGTTGAATCTGCTGTTTCAAATCTGCCTTGGGAGGCCTTGGGGCTTTTGCGTGCAGGCGGGAGCAATATTCATCGAGCCTGCGAAGGCGGACTATGAACCTGCAGAAAATGCTGAATGGATGGCATCTCCCTCCTCGGGTGTCACGAAGAGCTCTAATAGTTCTAAAGCACATGCTGCCACATCCGTGTCGATGCTGGACTCCAGTAGAAGATCATCTTCGGAAAAGTTGAGCCGCGAGAGTGCCAGCAGGTACTTTTGTGATCCACCACGAATCACGGCGAGTTTTTTCTGCATATCATTATCATCGTCAAACCTAGTAACTAAGTGGTAAAGCAAACGGGTTGCGAGCGTGATGATTCTAGAACTGTATCGTGTTAGTCTTCAGGACATACAAAAATGGAAGACGCATTTACCCCTCCTTGTGCCGGGCTCTGTAATCATAAAGATCATCCAACTCGTCACTAATGAGACTCACAAGTCTGCCGATGGCATGAGGGTGCATCGCAATAGCCTTACTCGCAAACGGCGATTGAGTCATGCTCGTCATTAACAGTAAAACCTTGAAACGAAGTCTGGAAAGCACAGCCAGATCCATCTTCTCAGAGGTTTGCGGCAGTGGGGGAACTTCAAAAAGCGTATATGTCAGGCGGTCGAGAATATTGTCCATTACCTGAACAGCCTGGGTGGACTCCGCCACGATCGGGCCAAAACTTTCAGCAAAAACACTCGTTGATAACAAGCGCATCATCGTCTCGAAATCAATGGTGGGTTGGTTTGGGCTAAGCATTACCAACACAAAGTCGAATCGCATCAATTTCCAGAAGCGAACGATGTGCTGTTGCTCGCCCATACACCCGAGCGATACGATCTGGAGAAGCTCCAAGCATTTGCCCACGTCTACGTGTTTTTCATGGATTTCCGCAGACTTGCCTTTCCACCTAGGTATTACTACTAGGTCCGCGGTGAGTTGAGCCAGTGGTACAATTGAATCGGTAAGTGAAGGAGCAATAGCGGATGTCTTCATCTCGAGAGCGGTAGTCAACAGGTCTACCAGGAGGTAAATTGGCGCAAGCTGAAGGGATTGTCAGCGTGTAACGTACTGATGAGATAAATCTCTGCTCACGTATTTATCATCCATACATTTTGTCCACATGGAAACTAGTAGTTCACAGAAATCAATGGGTAAACTCTTTTGATCCTTTTTGAGCCCAAGCTGTGGAATTTTGCTCAATAGATAGGTTTCAAAAGATTCTTTTGGTGCAGAAGGCAGTGCATATTTCTCGAGTTCCTGGATCGTTCGTTGGTGCTGGGAGTCAACTTTGTGATCTAACATGGTTCCCAAGAACTAGACTTATTAGCACACGAAACAATACATGAAGCATCACTTACATCAAAGCGATCATCCTGCATACTGAGGCCGGCAAGGATGGACTCATCGAGAATGAAATCTCTACCCTCAGCCACGTCGGCTGCACCGGCTGCGGTGTCATCTTGCATTACTTCCAATGCGGCGATTGGACTCTCAACAGCTTTCCTTTTTCTCTTCGCCCCAGCCTTGGATGGCGAGCCCATGAGTCGTTTCTGAAACTTCGATGGAGAAACCTTGGATGGAGACAAAAACTCAATCTCTTCGTCGTCAAATCCATCTCTATGCGCAAGCGCTTTCTTCTTTTTAGGCGTCGTCAAATTCGCACCTAGTTTCTCTGAGGTCTCGGCTTTGTTTAATTTGCGAACTCTCTCCGATTCTTCTGCTAGGTCCTGCTTCAAGAAATCCCTCTCAGTCGCGGCATTCTTCTCCGCAGTTTTAGCGGCCTCCAGTGCCTTTTCTTGCTTAGATATCTTCTCCTCATTAAGCTTCCGCATGGCCAGCATTTCTCTTTCATACTGCTTGACGGTTTTCTCCTGCTTACTTCGAACAATAGCAATCTCGCCCGTCTTAGCATTGAGGTCAGACTTCAAAGCGTCTCGTTCTTTCAACAACTAGATCAATCAGCTTGAGCTAATACCTAAGACCACATATTGCCTACATCTTCAATCTGTTTCTGCAATGCATCCGCTCCATGTTGCGAAGCTGCTGGCTGGCTACCAAATGTGTTCGAGGAATCATTTTCTGGTTTTCGGGTTCGGCTGCCTTGTGGTATTGGTTGACTGAACATGGGCGGAGGGGGCATACGAGACCGTTCTCGATCTGCCCCGTTGTTGGCATATGCATTCCCAGCTGTAGCATTGCCATATCGCTGCTGCCGGAATTGTTCTCTCTGTACAGCTTGACTAGTGTGTTCTCGCTGGAGGTTCGGAATGATGGCAGGAGTACTCCTCGACTCGTCAATCACCACCGCATCATCCAGATCCTCATCGTCAATGTCGTCGCCATAGTCAGACGACGGTGCTGCGTTCACGGCAGCCGGTTGCTTGAGAACGCGGGGTTGGGTTTGGGCTTGCGTGAACTGGATGGCATTGTGCTCCAATTCGGCGAGATAATCGTTGGGCAGGTCGTCGAAGTCGTCATCCGAGAAGTTGTTGTCTCCTCCGTTAGGGCTCATATTCTTGTGGATTCCGCATTGAGCACCCAGTCGAACTGTGCATCTGCTGCATTATTCTCAATTGTATCTCAATTGTATTTGGCGGGCAATGGTCGACGCCGACATAGGGACGTGGGACGATAATCCAAAGACGCGACCTGGTACTGCCGTGTTTCACCGCCTTATTTCCATCGAGGTCTGTCACAAGCAAACGCCCGTGCTGCGCGCATCCGGACGGAAATTGGGCCAGGCAAAACAGGCAGGGCAGTGGAAGCTTCATTTGTACGTCAGCGAGGAGCCAAGATTTCCATACTCCCATACTCCCATACCGGTCTTGCGCCAGAGGAAAAAACATCGCCAACAACACATCGCGACATTCTCTCCCCTAACGTCAATTTCTGCTTCCGCTCCAGCTCCTTCTGGATTCGAAACCATTTATTGTCGGGGTGTATCGCGTCCATTTGATGTCCATCCGCTGCGAGCCATAGTCAAAACAGCCCACGCTTGGCCAATCTCTTTTCGCTACCGCGAGATCCGCCAGAACCACAGGAGTTGAAGGACATTCGAGAGGGAAGCTGCACCATAGACCAACATGGCACCACGAAGAGGGATCAAGTTTAACCATCGGAATGGGCATAGCTCGGGCATAGATGGGAGGAGGAGCAGTTTTTCGGATATCAGCGAAGCAGCCTCAGAACCTGGATCTCCAAAACAATCGGGACCAGGAGCGGATGTGGCATTAGAGGTAAGATTGGAGAGCTGCATGTTGTCTACCAGAAAACGACAACTGACATGCATGCGCTCTACAGTTCCAAGACCAACCTGTATCGGAGTATGAAAAAAAGAAGCAAACCTTCATAACGCGGTCGATATGGACGTTTGTGATGATTGGAGCCTTCTTCGGGTCCATGTTCATGGGACACATCTATATCATTATTATTGTGACGGCAGTCCAGATCGTTTCCTTCAAGGAGGTTATTGCGATAGCGAACGTCCCCAGTCGCGCGAGAAGGCTAAGATTTACGAAAGCGTTGAACTGGTATTGGCTTGCTACGACTATGTACTTCTTATACGGTGAAAGCGTCATCTACTACTTCAAGCATATCGTGTTGGTTGACAAGGTCCTTTTGCCATTCGCAACTCATCACCGGTTCATAAGCTTTATGCTCTACGTTATAGGTAAGTGTTGTGAGAAAGCACGTCAGAGTCACAGTAATTAACCAGCAACAGGCTTCGTCTTCTTTGTTACCTCTCTTCAGGCTGGTCATTACCGATTTCAATTTACACAATTCGCTTGGACACACATGGCTCTATACTTGATCGTGGTACAAGCACATTTCATTATGAACAACGTGTTTGAGGGGATGATTTGGTTTTTCCTGCCCGTTTCATTGGTTATTTGCAACGATATATTCGCGTACTTGGTTGGAATTACTGTTGGAAGAACCCAATTGATCAAATTGTCTCCAAAAAAGACCGTGGAGGGATTTCTCGGAGCCTGGATATTTACAGTCATCTTTGGATGTGCCATGGCAAACGTGCTCATGCGATACAAGTATTTCATTTGCCCTGTAAATGTAAGTCGGAGCATCCTCGGATCGATTAATCTTGCTAACATATTTCTAGGATCTTGGTGCAAATATTTGGACTGGACTTGAATGTGTTCCAAATCCGGTATTTCTTCCGCACACGTATCATCTTCCCATCTGGTTTCCATATATCAAATCATTCGTCATGGCACCAATGCAGATCCATATTCTCCTGTTCGCCACTTTTGCGTCGCTCATCGCACCTTTTGGTGGATTCTTCGCCTCGGGTCTTAAGCGTACCTTCAAGATCAAAGACTTTGGAGACTCGATTCCTGGTCACGGAGGCATCACTGATCGTATGGACTGCCAATTTATCATGGGCTTCTTTGCGTACATGTATTACCACAGCTTTATCGCCCAGAACAAAGTCTCTCTCGGAGGTGTTATTGAGCAGGTCATTACGGGTCTTACTCCTGAGGAGCAGATGGAGCTTGTCAAAGGCATCAGCAAGCATCTTGTCAACCAAGGAGTCATCACTGAAGGCGTAAGTTTGTATGATTCGATTAATATAGACCCGCACTAACATCTTGTAGGCACTGCAGTGCTTAAACGAGGTGGTGAGGAGGAGATGATCAATCTTTCTACATTACGATTTACGATATGTTGAAATGCATGCATTCCCGTGTATAATACCCTTTCATTCTAGTCTATACTGCACCCCTACTTGGATTCTTGTTTATTGGGACTCGGTGATTAGGGTGGGCTCTCGCGCTGCTGAAGCATGGCGAAGTGGAAATACTGGTATTTATGGTTACAGTATTCAGCTCGATAGGTAATAATATATGATGTCGCGAGGTAAATCGCCTTTTTGGCTATGATCCATCCTTCTACTTTTAGTGATTCGTGAGCACGATCTTTGCCGCCTGGTGTGAGCATACCCTGTGGGGATTTCAACTAAGTCGTGCTAGAAGAAGGAGCGATTCTGACAGCTGTCAGCGTTTCGACATGCTATCGCTACCTATGTCCAGATTTCACGATAGCACTTGAACAAGTTGTAACGTCAACGCCACGTTCGAAATCGAAATGCACAGCCTATCTTTCGTTGTTCAATTCATTTTTCTTCCTCTGTTGATATCAGCCCATCTTGCTCCTATACACTACACCATTTCACGACGCGGTGGAAGCTTAGACATATCTGATACCGCGAATTTCTCCGCTCTGCATGGTCACCTGCAAGAGATCGAATCTCGCTTTGCCTCAACTACTCGCGAACTAGAGAAGAATACAGTTGTCCGGAAAGCCAGGCGCAGGCATGATACACAAGCCGAGACTGTCCTGTTGGGTGAGGTGGGCAGACCAGGGAATTGGTTTGCGACTTTAGAGCTTGGAGAACCCGCACAGCATATTAAGATGGATTTAGATATGTTGACGGCAGATTGGTAGGTTCTATCTACGAACAGTGATCTGGGTTCATTCTTCCTCGACTTTAACAGCAAAACATACCGCAAGCGACAGTCTCCATGTTAAGTGGCACGAACTAACATCAATGTAGGAGACTCTGAACGACCTCTTTCATTTCCAACATGTCGTCACCCGACGGACATTTTACATCTCAACACGATCGATCGACCGATACTAATCAGCTTCGCACATTGCAGACCAGCGCAGCAATGGATTCGATCACTTGGACCATCTGGTGCATACCTTGGCCTAGCTCCTTCGTCGTCGCTAAGCCAGCTTAATACAACGAGTTTGATGAATCAATTGATCGAGAAGGAGATTATAGATTTGCCAATGTGGTCAATTGTTTTGTTGAATGGTCAAGACGGCTTATTTAGCATTGGAGGTACGCCAGTTGCTGCCATCAGGGAAGTCGAGAGGGAGACACGAAAATTACTCTCAAGTCAAGATAGCCATGTAGAGCTGAAGAGAAGTATGCCTCTTGAAAAAAGAGTTGCCGAATACAAACCGTCAAAGGAAGCAGAATCTAATATGGAGTGGAAGTGGTTGAAAGTCCGGGGCTCTGATGGGTGGTGGCAGGTACAAATGCATGGAGTCTGGGTTGATGGTACCAAAGTGGTCTACAATCAGCCTGCCATTCTTGATGTGCGCTGTCCAACTTCCAAATGTTGGCACGAAACTAACCAGACTAGGTCAATACACCGTTCATTATAGCACCACCTATGGCAGCTAGGGCATTTTATGCTACAACGTCAGGCAGTCGACAACTACCACCTCCTCATGACCAATTTCACGCCTACCCCTGCCTGAGTCCCCCGAAAGTACATCTAGACTTTTCTGGTTGGACGGTCGAAATACTAAAAGGTAGAAGACTTTTCTCTCCAGGTGGTAGATTCAGTCTAGGAAGAATGGCGCCGGGAAGCGGTTACTGTGTTGGCATCATCGTTGAGTCCAGATTTGGGAATGAGAAATCCTCCAAAAAATCTAGAAATCACGACAACGGTTTAGCAAACACTTGGATTATCGGCGAACCATTCTTTAAAGATGTGCAGGTTGCTTTTGAGGTGAGAAAAGCAAAGTATATGTCCGCTGGCTGGAAGGAAAAGCTAAATGTCGCTCAGTGGAAAACGAAACGAGTCGGCTTTCAACGAGTTTGAAGCCGCGTTTCCATTATCTTTTCTTTCGGCACAGCAAAAATCATCTCGAATTCCGAAACAGGTGTCCTCTTGGGACTGGTGGAAACAGATCGCTAAATGGTCAGCGGAAACGAAAATAGTTGGCCAATAACGATTTCTGAGACCGACTTTTTTGTGTTGCTTGGTCTTGTGTTCGTCCTTTGTCCCCGCGGAGTATTGATGAATTGCCGAATTCTGGCATTTCTCACATTTTACAGCGAATATTTTGGTGCTTCAACATTATCACGAACCATTCCAAATTTGTAAATACACTCTCTTGTTTTCAGACCGAGAAGTAGATATAAAAATTAATGTTTGGAAAGCTGTAAGGAAACCGTGGCAAGTCAAATTTTGATGCTCACGACTGTAAGGTACTAAATTACTAGACAGTCCGCTCTTTTACTAGCACACAGCTACCAAGCCCTCCCACAACAACGATCTCGTAAGTATAAGGACATCTGATGAACTAGATCGAAGGTTAGATTCGATCACACCGGATTCTGTCGATTTAGCGCCATGGAAAATCTACATAATAGTGCTCATTTCCACCCATTGTTCCCCTTCTCTATTCGCCTCTTGTCATCTCTACTTTCACCACCTGTGTTCCTCATATTCTCTGACCCTATATCGTTTATAAACTCTCAGCTAACCGAGTTATTCAAAATGCTCGCTTTCAAGAGCATTCTTCTCCTCGCCTTCACGTGGGCTCTGGCGGCCACCGCCCTGCCGGTTTCCGATGGGGGCAATCCCAAGCAGCCTATTATTTTACTCCCAGGCCAGGTGGTTTTGAGAGACCTTTCAAAGTTGGATCAGGCTGTTATGCGTTTGACTTTTAAAATCAATGATAAGGAAGGTACGTTAATAGTGAATATTTTGTCTTGAGATCACCAGATGAATCCCATTTGATTGCAATTTCTTAGTACGAGAACGGTGATTTGGGACATAAACGGCCTTTTGTCTCTTTATGTGCAGCCGGTTAAGTTGTGCCAAAATACATTGGCTGATAAGAATCCAGGTTCATTCAAGAAAGTAAAACCAATAGTCGATGCGTTCAGGGCGGTCGACAAAGCGAACCGAAGGGCAATTGAGGATGTACAGACCGTATCGGAGACTATAGATATTGACAGCTCTCAAAAGATCGCCTCTCTCCTTACCAAGGATGTTGCGGTCGATGTCCGACGTGCTGTGAAGGCTGTGATGAAGAAGAAGACCAAATTTGAGGCGGTTGAGGCGAGAGATTTGGTTTTGAACGCCTTGAAGAGGATGAAGAATGATCATGGTATGTTCTTTCTTGTATTATGTTTTTGGGTGGCAAGGGACTGATGTCATTGGTTAGATAACTTCAGTGCAAAGCTCATGGAGAAGATGGACAACTCGACATTGGTGGATGGAAACGCTGCAGTTGCGTCTATCAGTAAGGCTTTAGATGAAGGCATTGAGAGGTTCTCTCGACGAAGTTCAGAGGTTCACCCAATGGAGGATGATGGTGCAGAGAGCGATTCTGAATAGGGTATAATGTGTGGTTTAGACTAGTTACTAATGTTTAAAATAATTACTGAATACTCTATGTCTTTCTACATATTGTGAACAAGTCTTTTCACTTTGCAACTGGGGCTTTTGGGCATGGTCATCTTCTCACAGGGGATGGACCTATAGCAAGGTGACTGACGATAGTGGCTGGTTCGAGTGAAGGTTTCGTGGCAGATGAGACATTATGGCAGTGGATTGAAGAGGTGATAGCATAAATACTCTGTGCTGTTGGATACTGGCTACTACTTTCGTACTTACAGACTACTATGGTAACTGTGTCGTTCCGGGCGAGCAGACTGAAAATTTTGGTGTTGGTTCGACACTCTGCAAGTAAAAACCAAACATTTGCGATTCTTTGGTTCAAAGCCTTCGATTGGACTTGAATGCGGAGCTTCATGATATAATGTACTATGGAATTTGTGATTAAAGGAGGATGTGGCGTAACGTTAGTTCTTGGAATAAATCATTTCTATGGCCAGTGTGGATTATATATCAAAAGTTGACAAAAGTATTACTGTTTTTGTAAGAAAATACTTAGCATTCAGAAATTTAAATAGCAAAACAGCAAAAGGGAATATGCTTGATCGCCGACCTGAAGACCATAGTAGTGGCCGCGGGCAAGATTTCAATAGCTTGTGATGTGAGATAGAGCTGATGCTAATCACCATTCAATCTGCTCAAACCTCTCCTCCACTTCGAAGACTGAGAAATCTAGGGTTACAACAAACGAGATCTCGTAAACTATTATATGGACAGATAGTCAACCCTTTTGCGTTCTAAAATTTTATTTAAGTGAATTGCAACGCATTAAACCCCTTTACCACCATCCTTTGATCCAATGGACCCAACATCAAGGACGGCCCACCAGAAACCCTAGAATTAAACTCCCTTCCGTCTTCTAACCCGACAAATCAAACCTCTATCAGGAAACAACCCACCTTGTTTACTCAAATCCGGCAACGGACTCCCATTCTTCGCCAAAGCATCCTCATCAACCTCAATCTCCAACCTCAATAACAACGCCGCCAACCCTCCCATAATCTCGTTCGTCGCAAAATGTCGTCCGGGACAAAGCGTCGTTCCACCACCAAACGGCCGTAACGCAAGCATACGAGCTTGCATTTCTTTACTCTTCGCTCCTACCACCTCATGCTGCTTCGGCTTCAGCGGCTTCGCAACCGGATGCGAAGCTTTGATATCACTTGAGTAGTTCGATTCCGCCTCTGCGTTCTCTTCAACACGCACCTTTTCAGTCTCGCTATCGCCGTCGAGGAATCTTTCGGCCCAGAATTTTGAAGGATGGGATTCTGGTTTTCCGGGTATACACCAGGTGGCTTCGTCCATTTGGAGGGTGCGGGAGTGGACCATGGCCATGTTGCCTTTTTTGAGGTGGTAGGGGCCGAGTTGGGTGTCTTGACGGACGACGCGGGGAGAAGGTGAGGCGGTGGCCCAGCGGAGAGATTCTAGGTAGACGGATCTAAAAAGAGGGGATGTGGTTATGCCTTTGAGGTCGAATGTGCTGGATGATGTTGAGGCTGCGCGGATTTCGGTTATTAATGAAGCGAGGAGGGGTGGTGAGAGGACTGCTCTGGTTATGGTTTGCATGGCTATCGGGATGGCGTTTGCATTCAACTGACCAATTTGATCAGTATAACACTTTGAGATGAGTTGAGAGTAAACTTACGCCCCAAATAAAAACAACCTGATTACCAGCACGAAATTTGGTACTGAGACCCGATTTTCTCAGATACTCGTCTCGAAGTCTTACGAACCTCAACCCCCAGTACTTATCCCAATCCGGATCGCCACCAATCTCACCTCTCTCTTCAGCGGCCAAAGCTTCTGCCTCCCATTTCTCACACATCTCCTGTCCTTCATCAAGGAGTGCGTAAGGTTTCGGCATCACAGCCCTCGGCATCTGAGTGAACATTTTCTGAAACTCTTTATCGAAAGCCCATAGCCACTTCTCGATACCTGGCCAGATCTCATATATATTTGTACCGAACAGCGCAGTGATGGAAGCATGACACCATGTCGACTTTACAAATTCACAGAGATCCATCGTCTCCCATGCATAATTTTCATCATCCTTCTTTGGAAATCTCTTGTCGATGTCGGCACATATGACATTGATGAAGTAATCAGTTAGTCGATCAAGAGATTTCCCAGTGAGATGCTGTGGAGTCAAGGCATGCAAGTCATGAAGTATCCGTGACCCAGAGTCTTCCGCTGCAGGCGCTGGAGAAACTACTTGGGCGCCTTCAGTAAGCTTCTTCATATCTTGCTTGTTAGCGCCTAGGATTTGAGAAGTCTGAAGAATGAAAGGGTCAAAAATGAAGGTCTGGGAACGCCGGTAGATCTGACTAGCGAGCTTCGTATCGAAGATCAGATATAGATGCTGTCCAGCAATCTGGATAGTGGCGGCTTCGCTTGTTGGGTGTACAGATCTGGGACAGAGTGAGTTACGTTCTAATCACTTGAAATACGTTTGTTTTGTTATTACTCACCTCACCCACTCGGCAAATCCATTGATATCATTCATGAAATCTAACCCGTGACCCAACCATGGAATCTTGAATGGCACCAACGGCGGTTCTCCCTCTGAAATTCTCCATCGATAATCTGTCCACCACCAAATAGCAAGAATAGGAATCGATGATACTATTATCCAAAACATAGCCGGTGATCTGATAATTGACGTTGGTGGCACCAGGGATCCTGTAGTGGTTCCGTTTGTATCCATAGTGTATATGTGGAAAAGGGTGCCTGCTTGAGATGTTTTTACGGTAAACACTCCCAGATTCGAGCTCTGCTATGTACGAGGTTTTGGAATAGCACAATCGCGCAAATCGATTGAGGACTATGGCTGTGTCCTGAACAGGTATTATCAAAGCCTCGTTACGTACGTACGCAATTCAATCGTGTTGGTCGTAACTAGTCGTGGTGGGCGTCAGGCTCGCAAGAGAAACTATCCACGATTGGAAACAACCTCAAAGATGATCACAGTAAGATCATGAGCGGAGCCGCTCTAAACGCTTTGTGAAAAAGAATGGAGTTGTTGATGGGCGGATCCTTTGGGGCTTCTAGTGTTTGAGGTTTTCCACGTGACTCCCATCTGTACAGAAATGTGGGGACGGAAGGGGCAGACATCCGAGAAAAGGGGTTGGCGTGCAACCGAGACACCACTATTTTAGCCGCTCCTCAGCCCAATAAAGGCAGTTAATATCACGTAAGCTTAGGCTTGAAGTTCGCCTATGTAGCAATATGAAGCTGGTATTCGATTTTGAGGTTGAGACTTGCACTTAAACCGAGACTCGAAAATCAACCTATCTGTTAATCCAATCTTGAGATAGATTCCAGCGACGAAAAAAAACACATCTCAACCTTTCCACTGAACACGGCCACTTCTGAACAAGTTGACCATTCCAATAGGCAATAGTCCAGCATCGACAATTTTTAACCCACCAAACCGATCGACCATTTCCGGACCGTAAAGCTGCGCCACCCACCTCATATATCCATCCGACATCGATGCATTAGCGGCGTACTTGTTCAATAACATCATTTCCTCTGGAGTGGCGTCAAGAAATTCTGGGCTTGGCTGCTTGAGAAGGTCTTTGAATACGGAAAGTAAATTTCCGTCGGCTGAAGGAGATCGAAACTCTTCACGATAACGCGAGAACTCCTCGAAGCTGAAAAAGGTGTCTCCGTCATGCGGAACAAAGTTGGGGTCGCCAATTGAGTGGCGTTGGACTTCGCTGTTGTCAAAAGCCTTCTTCGCTGCATTGTATGCCATCCTCTCGCCGTCAATGAAATCGTCGATGACTGTGGCTGGTTGTTCGAAGACTGCATCGCGTACTTGCAGAGTGCCAATGAATGGATTTTGCAGTTCAAGGCCACCTAGACCGGTGGGAAAGTATAGATAACCATCAGGGATATCTTTGATTCCGAATCTCTCTTCGAGGGTTGACTTGAGAAATTCAACCACATTGCTGTCGGAGAATATGCGAGTCTGGATACGAGTCATAGTTGAAAGCATCATATCAACATGACCTCGTCCGAAGCAGTTAGCAGGTCGGCCAAAATTTGTCTTGAAGAACGTTCCGGCATAAGTGTTCCATGCTTGAATCCACGAAAAGACACTTCCCTTTTTATTGTCAAGCTGACTTTTAAGATCCTCAATATGCTTGTCGACCATATCTTGATCAATAACAAATCGACCAGTAACGGGGTCGAGCAGAAGAAAGCCCCATCTGATTTCGCCTGCTGGAAGAGCAGCGTCAGGGCTAGGCGCGACACCTGTATCTTCACCCAGAACACGGACTGTTCCGGTTTTTGTCTCGTTTAACGAGACCCCCATCACAGCACGAAAAGCTTCCACGGCCTTCCATGCTCTGACCACTTTCTCTTGTGACGGAGACCACATCCAGAAATCATCATGCATTCGAAAGAGTTGCAATCCATCTGCGTTTTGGTTGACTGAGTAATCGAGACAGAACAAGACAGTCTCGCTGAACATAGACGACAAAGCGTGAGCTCCTGGGCAGCCTCTCTTCCGTATTTTCGATGATACACCAGGTCCATCTGACACGAACTTGAGCGGTGCCTCAAGAAATTTTCGAAAGAATATGAGCCATTTTTCAGAGACCCCGAAGAAGTTCAAAACAGCATATATGGTCGAGTGCGGCAACCATGGCAAGAAAGACTCGAATTCAGAACGAGTCACCGTGATCTCGCCATGCAATTTAGTGTTCACGATGATTTCCGACGCTACTAGATGGAGCAAAAATTGCTTGGTGGCCATAGGAGATTGAGATGTTGCGTCCTCATCCTCGGTGTCGTCATCGTCGGATTCGTCAGAGCAATCCTCATCTACCTCAGCAGACATGTACCTATTGAAATTGGCGGACGGGGCGGATTTCCTAGCGGCTTTTGACGCCAATTGCCTTCGAGGTGCTCGAGCGGTCTGCATAGTTCGGCCTCCGACATGCACAACTTCTTCTTCTCCTTGAGCATTGGCAGTACCAGATCCATAAAGATCACTTGGAAGCTGTGACATGAAGAACCTGGATTTGTACAACTTTTGTCGCTTGGCTTGAACGCTAGGCTTTTTGGATTGTTTTCCTAAAAAATATTCTCGTCGCTTGAGATCCGTAGAGGAAACGGGCTGCCGGAGGGATGTCCATACATCTTCGTGCTTCGAAAATGAAATAAAAGCGTTTTTGAAGAAGACGGACCATTTGACTCCGATGTATTGTAGGAAAATTGCTTGTAGTAGATCTTCGTCAATATACATATGAAAGGCACCCGTAACGTGTCGACGTTGTTCGATTGGCACATCAGTCTCCCAAGACCAGGTATGGAGTGATGACATCCGCATATTGAGGACATCGGCCACTTCAGTAAGAATTACTGTACTAGAAAGAAAATCCCTCAACACAGTATTCTTCTCTTCGGACAGTAAGCCGGCAGAAAGCAAACCATTGATAGCCCACTTCAGATTGACATTGTTGATTTGGCCTGGGACTGACATCGAGATCTCAAAGGCTTCCACGTCCTTGCGAAGCTTTTCAAGGGCCTTAATAGCTTGGTCGTTGGTTCCATTCTTGCCGAAAAGATTTCCAAGATATGAGGAAATCTTCGTTTCATCAGTCTTGAAATCCGCAAACACCAGCTCTTCCCATTCGGCACGTGAAGACTAGATACGGGTCAGCTGTCAAGATTTTGATAATTTAAACATTTTCCCGATAGTTCAATCGACGTGTTTCTGTTAACATCGTGAAACACCTTTTCCGAATAATGCTGGCAAAAGAAGGCACTTACATCCCGTGGTTGCGTTTGAGTCTCACTTGTCTTTACTGGAGACTCAATAGTCTCTGAAGAGGACAGCCATTCAGTTACAAGCTTACCATAGAGCGCAGCATATTGATACTTGAGAGATTGTACGTCAAGCCGTTTCTTCAGAGTAATCTCCCAGTCGTCCATAATTCTCGCGGAAATTGACGGATCGTACCGTGCCTGTTCGGAGAATCGGTCGAAGTTTTTGAGGAGGATCTCAAGGCTTGGATCGTCGGTACTTCCGCGGATGATACTACCAGGTCCTCCACGGCGATCACCCCTCTTGCGTTTAGCGGTCTTGACTGCAAAGCATTGCTTCAAACCATCACTGAGGATTGCAAGTCTCAACTTTTGGTCAGGTTGGGCTTGTGAAGCGGCGACAACGGAGGCTTTCTGGTCTTCGAAGATAGTGCGCCGTCGAGACAGCTCTGATAGCTTCGTAGTGGTAATCTCTTGGAGAGTCTCGGAGAAGACAGATGAAGACATGGTAGATGATTTTGTCACGTGGGTGATTGAAAGTTGGTAATGGCAACGAAAGACGATGTTAGGAATTGGAAGCTGGATGGGAGCCTGCTTTTATATAGTTGAGATATTCTCGCTTAGAGTCCTCAAGGATAGTCGTACTGCATCGTATATCCAAGGATAGATGAGTCAATCTCGTAAGGTGATCGGCATATTGGCGGCAAGCAGTTGGCGACAGTGCCAATCCTTCCAGGCAGGTGTTGGGTAGCAGGTCTCTGGTGTCAAACTGGCATGAGGAAGCTGATTGGCCAACTCAGGATTTTCGACACATCTACAAGGTTGGACTCTGATTGTCCATCATTAGAGTGGTCTGAAAATTGTAGACTCTTGATCAATTAATGGTATGTCGATGTGTCTGATGAGTAGTGGCTCTTGATGGAGAACAGAGGCAGGAGGTTGAGGTTTCACAGCTTGGCAGCGCCCCTCCTCTTTCGCTTAATTTAAGCACGTGATTATGCCAGTTAACTGATTTCATACTTATCGTTGCTGGTTGTCTGAGAAACTAGCCTTTGGAATTACAAGATTGCTATTTCTGTATATAATTCGAAGTTTAAGTGATGCTAAGTTAAACTTGTACAAGCTCCAGGAATGACGCTGCATCAACTCACTCCTCAACTCTGCGAAAACCTGACACGATGATTGAATATACAGAAATCTGTGTTTTTACACTACCTTGATATATTTTTATCCGAGGTATGTTAGCAATGTCTCAATACACAATGTCATCGTCGAAGACTTGCCTGGCGTTCTAGGCTTTTCTGTATGTGCAAGCGAGCTCTGTTGTCTTCCTCCTTCAATATCCAGTATGAACAGAGATTGCTATTGTTCGGCAACACAAATTCCATAAATGCGCATATAATTAAATCATTAGTGCTAGTACGTACGGTCTCCGAAACTGAAGGCGTTCTTTAAACTGCTCAGCATAACTTAATCACCTGTCTGCTAATTTTAACCGGGACTCTCGGTTTCTCTACACCCAAAAGTGTGTGGAGAAAACTTAATCTAGACAGATTTTACATGTCTTGTAGTTTGGATCAACTTATCCAAACACGATGCCAGAGGGAAAGTGTCCTATCTCATCTGTTCTGGTTCTCTCCTCAAGGTGCAAGATTAGCCAATTAGAAGAGAAAAGTCCCCACTTTTCATCCCCTTATCAGATCTTTCTCCTCCACCAGGATTCGTGCATGCTGACGACGCATTTTTCCGAAATCGCAAAGAACGAATTATAAGGTGAGTCAAAGTTTATAAACGTCGAAATTCGTCGTCTCTGCTTTAATGCTCGCCAAGTATATTTCTGCGTTGCAATAATCCCTGTTGGGGTCTTGTTCTCTATCCTGCTGTGCAATGTTGCTCAATCCGCTTCTCACAGCCACGCTCGTCCTGCCTCTCCTATCTTTAGCGAAACAGCATCCTCTCCCTTTATCGACCGACTATGCTTCCAGCTTTGAAGCTGCCCAGGAGAATGCACCACACATCTTCAACGCCTTGCATTCTTCCATGCGCCAATGGGGATCCTCGTTGAAACACAATGGTCTTTCGTTCTTTCCTGCGAGTATCCCTGCTGATACTTATCTGTATCACGGTACTCATGACAATAAACCGGAAACTGGAATGGAGTGGTTGGCATTCGAGATAGAACATGCAGAAGCTTTCGCCAGAGCATGGGGGCCGCCACCGAAACGTCCTGGCAAACCACCACCAGGTGATGGGCCCCGTCGAAATGAACTACGGGATGAGGAGAGAATAGCGAATCACTTCGGGCCCCCAGAAAATTCAGGTAAACCCGGATATTTACATATTTATCAAACTACTAGAAAACTCTCAAAGATACTCTACATTGATGGAATGTCAGCTGGAAAAACAAAACTTGGAACGCTCGATTCAACAGACATGGTACTCCGCAACAAAACGGGCAACGATCCTCCTTGGGGAGAATATGAAAGAGCTGAAGAGCTCTGCGAGCTAGGAACTAAATGGGATATCGAAGGTTTCATCAGACTCGAGGCCGGATTCGAACTTATCCTTTGCAACTTCACAAATGGCCTGGAGTTTAAATCGGCAAGGCGGCGACCGAAGCAAGATCCTAATCAGTTCGAGTATATGCGAGCTGTTGCTGCTAGATACCAGGGAATCACTGCTGGGAGAGTCGAAGTTGATTATTCTTCGATGGTCTCAGCCTTTTTCTATCCTATTAACCTAACTAACCCAAACCCGAAGCGCGCTGAACTGCCGAGACTGGTGTCATCGGAAGTTGGTGGCGTTCGTCACATTCAAGAGGACCTGGAAATCGTTCTCGAAAGCTCTCAGAGATTTTCAAATGAGAGGATTGATTGGCAAGGTGTAGTCGATATGATCGTTACGCGATATTCAGATCGTCTCCAATACATGGTCTTGGAAACTACGACGCAAGAGGAGATACAAGCCACTGTTTCCACCCTTTTAAGTCTGTATGTCGACTTTGACGACCCCAAAATCCCACTTGCAAATACCATTTGCACATATCACTATCTCAACTCCACTCAACCAACCACATCAGCCGATCACCTCATCCACTCAGCCATCGCTACCGTGTCTGAAAAGATCTGTAGCACACTATTTGAAGTCCGCAGACTTATCGAGGAAGAAAGCCCCGCGGTTGAGACCGCGAAGCTTGAAATGAAAGATCTGATCGCTTATCTTGACTGGTCGACCTGGCTTGAATGCGGAAAGTGCGCATATGATGAAGTTTGCTATGTAGCCGTCTGGCCGTGGGGTACGATCGAAGACCATTTTCATCCTAGTTGCAAGAACAGTAGTTTGGATTTTGGGAGAGATCGGCAGTCTTATTGGGGTTCTTATTAGAGTTCTGTATCGGATATCTTTCCAGGCAACGGCTGCTTTTAGAGCTATATTGGCGGACCTTTTCGTGCTTTCACTTTTCGATACCAAGATTATATATTTTGCATGCTTATAACACGACGCTCTAACTCATCTCAAGTGACACAAAGAGCTGCAATCGCAATAAGGGTATCAGAACTAAAGCTTACTCCCCTTCCAAATCGGCTTTCTCTTCTCAGCAAACGCTCTCATTCCCTCCACAGCATTCTCTCCCCGAAACAAATCCGCGCCATATTTTCTCAATACCGCCTCCAAAGCTTCCTCCACAGTTCCCGCTTCCCACGCAGCCCTAACACCCGCACGACTCGCAATAACACTATCAGGACTCATACTCGCAATCAACATAGCCATTTTCACAGCTTCATCAATCAAATCATCCTGTTTCGTGACTTTGAACACAAGGCCCCATTCTTTAGCCTCTTGCGCCTGTAGTACGTACCCAGTCAATGCGACTAACATAGCCCTCTGCAAGCCAAACAATTTCGACAGTCGTGGTAAACCTCCTTGCAGACCAGCTGTTCCTCTTTTCACATCCGGGAGACTGAACGTCGCGTTCTCAGAAGCGATGACAAGGTCTGAATTCAGGGCGATTTCCATACCCCCTCCATGAGCATGACCGTTAACGGCACTGATTATGGGTTTCTTACCCTTACGATTCGTAAGAGCTGCAAATCCATCATCAGGATAATGTCTATCGAGAATGTCCTTTTCGAAGAGTGCTGTTTGTGCTTCTGTGACTCGTTAGTGATTTGTTAATGTGATCGAGTACAGGCCCTATACCTTTGAGATCCATACCGGCACAGAATGCTTTCCTTCCTGCTCCGGTGACTATTCCTACTCGTCTCGATTAAATGTTAGTACTTGGAAGGCCACTTATCCCCGAGCTTTTCTCGATCTGATGAAGGCTTCCTTGAATGTAAAAAACGTCTTACAAATCAGGTTCATCATCGAACCATTTAAACAACTCGCTCAATTGCCAAGAAACTTTGACAGGTAATGAATTCATTTGCTTCGCGAGATTAAATGTGACAAGAAGTACGTGAGGTGCTGGATATGTGATCAAAACATGCTGGACGGGTGGGGGAGGTTTGCTGAATGATTGATCGCTCATCTTGACTCGCTGTAAATATGAATAGAGCACAACTAAATTGAGAGCGAAAGTAGAGGTTGGTTTTAACGCATGTGTCACAATCTTCTCTTTGAGGCCGCCTCGTATTGCGGTCTCCAAACGGAGCACGGGTAATCCGTAAGCAGGTTGTGTGATCTAATCGATAGCGAATATTGTTACGATATAGCAAAGATATCTGGCGTCTGAATTCCTCGAACCTACTGCTGGGTGTAAATTCGATGATGACTTTTGCAGCATGTTGTCTTCAGGTTGGGAACAGGAGTTGACTTGCCTCAGGGGGTACAGCACTGTCACGTGATTTGCCTCCCTGTTGGTCTGAGCGGCATGTGGGCCTCGGTACAGGGCTTCGCGGGGATAGTAACCGAAGGTCAAGGACATGTCAGTCCGTCTGTCATGAACAACAATGTTTCTTGTACTCAAATACGTTTCTCTTGAGTTAACATCTTAGTTGTATTGAAGGAAAGTGCAAATAGAGCTGAAAGTCAAGATGGCATCCAACTTAGAGACCCCACCTCCTGATCATCCGACTTTCCTCCTCTCATATCCTTCACCAGGAGTACTGGTTGTAACTATCAACAGGCCGAAGCAGATGAACTCACTTCCGAGTGCTGCACATGTAAGTGGATAATAACCTAACTTTTCGTGTTCCCCATTTAATTTTGTTTTCTATACCATATCCATCAAACAACCTTGGCATGCCTCACTCGAACCTCATAACCTCACTCGAACTTCATAAGTCACTTGCTAATACACCTCTCAGTGGGAAGCACAATCTCTTTTCACATGGTACGACCATGAACCTTCACTTCTCGTAGCCATCATTACAGGATCCGGTCTCAAAACGTTTTGCTCAGGTCAAGATCTCATCGAGCAAAACCAATTCAAGATTAACCCCCCGCCAATGCAAATGCGGAGGCATCCTCCAGCTGGATTCTGTGGTATTAGTAGGAGAACTGGGAAGAAACCTATCATTGCTGCTGTAAATGGTTTTGCACTAGGTGGCGGGATGGAGATTGTTCTAAATTGGTGAGTGAGCCTCTCATGGTTCCTTCATCCGCAGTAATTTGGCTTCTCGAGGCTGATCACATGATGAGTCCTGACTTAGAATTTACAAAAGCTAATGCTATGATTAGTGATATGACAGTCGCTTCCCCGACATCCTCCTTCTCTCTCCCAGAAGTGAATGTAGGTCTATACGCCGCAGCCGGCGGTCTCCCCCGTCTAGTACACACCCTCGGCATGCCACTCGCCTCCGAAATAGCCCTCACAGGCCGACGCCTAACCGCAACCGAAGCTCTCTCCTTCCATCTCATCAACCGGGTCTCATCGTCCCCCGAATCTCTTCTTGATGAAACCATCGACCTAGCCAAGAAAATCGCCGCGCAGAGTCCGGATGCGGTGATAGTTACCAGGGCTGGGTTGAGAGAGGCGTGGGAGACAGCTAGTGTGGAGAATGCGACGAAGAGGGTGAGTGAGAGGTATGATAAAGGGATTTTTGAAGGGGAGAATGTCGAGATTGGGTTGAAGGCTTTTAAGGATAAGTCGAAGCCGGTTTGGAAGGCTAGTAAATTGTGAAGTATGTAAAAAAGTATATGGGTTCAAGTAGACTGCATAAATTTATCTGAACACATAAACTGTTCCGTATTTCTTGATGTAATATTACAAGAGAGTACTTGATGAAGACTTCGATTATGTCGTTTGATTCCGACCCCACGAAGCCGCTTCTATATTTTAGATACCTTTCACATATGGTCATTAGCACGCGAAAGTATTAAAGCAAAGTTAGATCTTACATAACGCACGATTTCTCCCCTTCGTGTTTCAAATCCATTTATAAATCCTCGTCACCCACCATCACATTGTGCTCTTCATGTCCCACAATTATTTTTTAGTTGTATATATCTTTAAAATTTGACCTCTTTCAACAACCAATCACAAGGCACTTTGGCGGAGTGGTTAACGCGATGGCCTGCTATTGTTACAAGCAAAGCATTCAGCCATTTCCTTCGGGAGCGAGTGTTCGAATCACTCAGGTGTCGCTTAATTCACTTTTTGCTTTCTTCACTGTCATGTCTCTTTTGCAATTTGGGACCATTTCAATACGACTTCATGGCTTTTACGACTTTGAATGCCTATTGAAGTGGATTACCGTGATACACTCCCTTGGGAACTCAATTCTGGGCTATAGTTTTAATCCATGGCGGTAGAGGCACAGCATTAGTGTTGTATCTAGTTTCCAGGTGTTAGGCACTCCATACATTTTATGACTGAGGGTACGTGCCATGTGAAATAATAAATTCAGCTAGAAACGCTATAGCCGCATTTATTTACAGGTAAAGTGAGGCTTACGATACGGGAAAGTCAAAGCAGTCGTAGGGCTAGTCAAAATACCTCACTTACCTAGGTACCTACCTACTCGACAAATAAAACCATCAGCTCGGATCGTCAACGCCTCGACAATCTCATTCTCATGCGGCTCTCCGCATACTTGCTTTTCTCATCTCCAAACTGGCCCGTTCTTCGATTTCGTTCACGCCTGGCGGCAACTTCCTCCTCTCGGCACGCGTACCGACCAATCCACCATCGACAAGTATATCTGAAACAGCCACAGGCGTGATGACATGGGAAGTACCATTTGTATTATCAGCCAAGAAATAACACACTGAGGGGTATGTCACTTATCACTTCATTCCAACAGAGTCTCATCCGCCTGTGCACACACCGCTGCAAGAGAAACAAGAGGGCAAATGAGGGCGGGAAGGGAAGTTGCTGTTCAGCAGGCAGCTCAAAACGCAAGTGATCGAACGTACAGATAAGCTTAGCAATAAGCTCACACTCGATAGTGATGCGGGAAGCTTGTGCCCGGGTGCATCAGGCAACTGGATGTGGCATGCCTCGATGTATTGCTTCGAAGCAGTGAGATCGGCTGCGACTGCAACAAAATGCCATGTTGATCGTTGATGATGGTGTCGCAATGCATCCGATATGAACCTTAGGTCACAACAGTAAGATGAAAGTCCCTCACATTTCCAGGAAGAGGTTCCTATTCGACGAGTTGTACTCGCCTTATCTGCCGTGGTGGTATTCGACAGGTTGGGACCCTTGGAAGCTCATCTTCTGGAAACCTTCTCGAAGCCTTCTCGGAGGCTTCCATGCGCCTTCTATGCGTCTTCCGTGCATTCTCCAGGAGCATCGTAAAGGGGCGGTGCGAGGTTTCCTTGCTTTGGTAGGTTGTTGTCCAATCATCGTGTGGGTGTTTATGCGCGCTGACTCCAGACATCGGAAAGATTGTTGGTGGCTGATTTTCGCCAATGGTAGCTTTGGAAGGACGTCACACGAGGCTACAGGAACACAAGAAGTAGTTCGATGATAAAGGAAAAGCGTCAACACAGGCATTAACGAATCTTGAAGATACGCAAACCTCGAGAGATAGAGTGATTTGATTCGTGGTAAAGATGCCTGCTTGAGCGGGCGCATAGCGCTATGTAGGTGAATCCTACGATACCACAGAGTAATCTGACGCTAGACCAGGTCAACAAAGATTGGCCTGTCAACTGAAAGCCTTTGGAGAAAGACGTGTGAGAGTAATGCACGGTCTTCTCGTGGGAAAGGTGTGGGAGTATGCGAGTCCTCTGGGTGGTCTTTCATAAAGTGTTTGCTTCGAAGGCCTTCATTAAAACTCTGATGTATACTTGTACACGTCCAAAGAGAATAGCACAAAGCAAAAAATTTCCAACGACATAGTCGGATTCCAGAAAGAACAGAGCGGCGTCCAGTTTCAAAGCATCCGGCCATGTCAGATAAAGCTCAGCAAGGGTCTACCTTAAGGTGAAAACAGCTAGTTTCCCAACTCGAAGACCAAAAGAACAGCAAGAACTTGTGAAGCTGACCAAGACTATTTCGCAAAGTAGGTCCGTCAGGAGAAGAAACACCAAGCTCGATCTACACAAAGTGCGAAGCCAAACGCCAGGTCTCGAGTACTCTGCAATCGACAGCTTCGAACGCACTTTCGAACCACACGAAGCAGTAGCCTTGGGGTACACCCACGTGAAACCGGAGGACATACAATGGTCACGAATTCAATGGATGAAAGAAACGCTTGTAGAGGTAGAGAAGAAGCTACCATGACGAGTATGTATTCAATTGAAACAACAGGTCTTGATTGCGTCTTAACCTTCTCATAGCCCCATCAGCTTACCAGCTCCCACAGCGAATATTGTACAACAGAATGGGAAGAGTAATTGGCGGACAGGATCAAAGTGAGCATAGCCTCGGACATTGTAGCATAGTCTCTGGATCGGGGACATTACTGGGCTTGTGAACCTCTGGCGTTGATGAGATGAGGGCGTCGGCATTCCAAGGAGTAAGATATCAACTCTTATAGAATTTTGACAGGCCACTTGGCTCTTCATGGATATGGTAGGCGTTGTAAATGACATACTCGGCCATCCAGTGGGAGAGAGAAGCAGATATCATACAATGTCGCCAAATATTAGGACATTATAATATACCTCTTCTTTCATTTCAGTATTCATCTACTCTTTCCCAAAACCACGACCTCAACCGAAAAGGTAATTGACGGAAGTTGAGATGAACAAAAATTTTCAGCGACTAGGCGATCAGTTCAATTAACAACAATTGCGGTGTGCCATTCCTACAACGGAATCGTCAGTGATTGCTCCTTATGTCAATTGGTCGATTGTGAAGCAGGAGTTGGTGCATTTTCATGTTGAACTTATATATTCATGACGCATCATCAGTCAAGCCCACTTACTTCATCAAACTTTACTTCTTGTTGCGCGGTTGTCTTCTTCGTAGGGAGCTTCTGATCAGGGTCGAGATTTCGAACCAAGGACTTCTGCTGCATTTCGAACCTCAACTTCACCATTTTCCATGCCAAAATAGGCAGCAACTGGTTTCTGCCCGCCACCTTCCTCACCAGCGCTAGCAACTTGGAGACCATTTCTACCGTGAAACAGGCCAACCTCCAGGACGCCCACAATCCTCTTCAATCGGCGTCCCAAGTGGTGTACCTCCCACGTTCCATTCTCTCCGTCACCGTGATCGCCATGCTTGAGGTCGGAGGCGAGGAGAAGAGGGGGAAATGGAGCATCCATAATCCACATGCCATTATCGGTAACGACAGGTCCAGCTTTGGCGCTGCCACCTTGTCGGATGACGGGGTCTGGGGATCCCAGTGTGATGAGAATACGTTTAATCGTCGGTGCAGCAAACGGTGCAATTTCGATTGGAATTGTTTTCCACTTGGTGAGTAGGCGCGGCTGAAGCTTTCGCGAATCTTCTGAAATCAGCATTTGTCTTGAGGAAATAACATGAGCAGTTCCATACCTGCAACGCAAATGAACTTCTTCGCAGCCGTCGCAACAAGCTTCTCCTGAAAAAGACATGCTCCACCTCCTTTGATACAGTTCAACTCCTCGTCAATCTCGTCCGCACCATCAAAGGCTACGTCGAGACTCTGGCGTTTGCCTTTCAAGCCAAGGTCTTGTAAACCGGTTGCGACTTGTAGTGCTGAAAGACCATCCAGCTTCGAATGCTCGATTTCAACAGGTGGCAGAGAATCGATGCTGCCTAACGGTAGCCCAGCCTCGATAATTAATTGCTTGCTCTGGTCCCCAGTTGGGATGAACACAATCTTGGACGTGACATCTCTGCCCTTGGCCGCGATTGCCTCGACCACATAGACAACTGTACTGCCAGAACCAATTCCGACATAGCGGTAGGACGTATCAAAATGGTCCTCCACTGCTTTGTACGCTGCCCGCCGTTTCGCTGCCTCTATATTATCAAGCTTATGAATCGCTGGCGGCATCGCATTTTCAGGCATGGATGCGGTCGCCATTGAGCGTAATCGCGATCGTCCTTCGTGGCAGAGAGAAAGCTGGGTTGGGCTTTTATTTGGATACGATGCCTTCGTCTTCCGGCAGAATTGGGCCGGCCGCGGAGAACAGGCGTAAGTGAGGGACGAGTTTTGTTTTGTGAACCCCGCGGTGGGAACAGATAAGGTGAAAGAGAGCGGATTGATTTGATTCGAGCTTCGTTCGAGGTGACGTCTGGCTATGAATGCGGATTTTAGGGTTCTGGATAATGTTACTGGATGAGGTTGCAATATAGTTTCCATGAAAGAGTGTAAATGTCAAGGATAAACAGCTCGTGGTGAGTGTTGATTCCGGACAAGGTGGGGTGGATTAATAAGTCGGCGCATGAGGTAACCTCTATTGATTCTTAATGGGAACGGGACGAGGCTCCAAGCGAGCCACTAAATCTAAATGCCAACCAAAAGTTGAAGGAAGTCGAGGCTGCGCACGTGAGTTGCTGTCGTTATCACGTGCTGATAGTTGGATTAAAGCGGGACCATCAGCTCTTATCGAGAACCTCCGTTGACTTCAGGCGACCACAACAACTCCATCTCATTATTCAGTCTGCGAACATTGAATTCTCTCGTCTGCCAGTACTCTACTAAGCTTAAGTCTTTGCATATCGCAACGTACTTTAGTATTGTATCCGCACCCGCCCTTTCCTCCTCACATCCTCAACCCAATCCTCGACGAACAACCGCTTCGCAACCCCTCGAGTTACCAATTCAGTGCCTTATCTTACCATGACGGAAGTCATATTGGACCAGACGCCTCCTATACTACACGGGCCATCTGCGAAGGAGAAAAAGTACGATCGCCAGCTGCGATTATGGGCTGCTACTGGACAAAAAGCCTTGGAGGACTCGCACGTTCTCCTGCTAAACTCTGGTAGTGGTACTGTTGGTGTCGAGGCTTTAAAGAATCTTGTCCTTCCAGGTAGGAATCCACGGAAATACATTGAACATGAATATACTGAATTGACTAACGTATGCTCCAGGTATCGGCAAATTTACGATTGCGGACGATATGATCGTTGAAGAGGTAGATCTCGGAGTAAACTTCTTTTTGGACCAGGATAGTTTAGGCCTGCCACGAGCAGAATGTTGTGTGAAGTTACTACAAGAACTCAATCCAGATGTCGAAGGCGAGTCCTTTCACTTCGGAAAAGCAGGTATATCCGATGGTTACATGTACTATGCTATTGCTAACAATTCTATAGGAGAAATCTATTGGGGAGTTATTTGAACACGACAAGTTCACCTTGATCATGTACAGTCTTCCAATTAAGGCCGAAAATCTTGCAATCGTTCAGGACTATACGAAGAGACATAAAGTTCCAGCGATATCAATACACTCCGCGGGGTTCTATTCATATTTCAAAATCCACCTCCCAGGCTCATTCCCTATCGTTGATACCCATCCAGACATAAGTGCTACGACGGATTTGAGACTGCTGTCACCGTGGCCCGAGCTATCACAGTTTGCTGAAGGCTTAACCGAAAATCTTGAGGACCAAAGTCTACACGATCACGGACATATCCCGTACGTTGTAATACTACTACACTATCTTGCGAGATGGAAAGAAGCGCATGGCACTCTCCCTTCTAATTTTAAAGAAAAAACCGCTTTTAGAAGCACAGTAGCTGCTGGAATGCGCACAGATAATGCAGAAGGTGGTGAAGAAAACTTTGAGGAGGCTGTTGGAGCGGTGGTCAAGACGATATCTTTACCGTCTCTATCAAGTTCGGTTCGAGAGGTTTTTGGTTACCAGCCAGATGAGGTAAATTACGCTCCATGTTGGTTAAGAATAATGTTATACTGACTCAGTGCTCCTCAGACTGAATCTAGCACCAGCTTCTGGGTCATAGCCGATGCTATAAAGACATTTCATACAAAACATAACGCGCTTCCGCTTCCAGGATCAGTTCCGGATATGAAGGCCCAGTCTACCGTTTACGTCCAGCTTCAGAATATTTACAAGGCCAAAGCACGCCAGGATGCTGCCGAGGTACTCGAAACAGTACGGTCTCATCCAGGTGGAAAAGATATCCCAGCTACAGAGGTGGAACTCTTTTGCAAGAATGCCGCTTTTATCAAGCTTATCCACGGCACAACGTCTGCGAGCAGTATCTTGGAGGTAGCCAGTGAGTATTTCTTTTCCCACAAGATGACGTATACTAATATACCAACCCAAGAAGCGGAATTTGCCAACGATGAGAGCGCGGCTTTGACTCAGATGCCACTCTCTCTGCTGCCAATATATCTATCTCTCGGTGCAACATCACATGTTAATTCCGCGACGGCCTCTGACATCGTCGCTAAGATTGGCAAAGATATCCCAGAAGCTGACTCGAACCCGAGCATTGTCAATGCCGCCGAAGAAGTAGCGCGAGCAAATGGTGGAGAGCTGCACAATATCTCTGCCTTGACTGGTGGCATGGTAGCGCAGGAAGTGATTAAAATCATCACTAAGCAATATATACCGATCGACAATACCTGCATTTTTGATGGCATTACCAGCAGAACCCAAGTATTGAGGACCTAATATTGGTTTTTGGTGGCAATCCATGTGAAGCGCCGTACTATCAAAATCACAGGCGATAAAATATTCCGTGGGCCATATTGGACTTCGCCCTTTCTAGATCTTTATGTCTAGGCACCCAGATCAGTTATTGAAATTTTTTATTGACATCTGGTCAGATGGGCATGCTAAGTATAAGAATTTTCTCCTGGCCCACAAGTCCTAAATTAAAAAGCCACTATCACATGGAGCGCTTCTATTTACGTGCATAGCAGTCAATATACTTGCATATTGTCAACCGACAGTTCCACAAGAAGGTCACGCACTTGAAATGTTCCCATTCGCCACATTCCAATATATTCCACGAGCTCAAGGTACGTAGTTACGTATCTCCCCCGCCTGCCATAACCTATCGTTTCTCATACGCATTCTACAACCACTGTTGTCGGTCGTCTGTCTTTCGACGATAGCGGACCTTTTGTACTGTCGAATGACCGTTTTCCAGGGTCGACCGCGACGCTGGCTCGCATCACAAACTACAGTGTGGTTTTTTTTCTCATCCTGCTCCACGGTTACCAGACTTTTCACTGAGTATCCTCGCCTCTCAATTTCATCCTTATCTTTCTGGGTCTAGTATTTGCTAGCTGCTCCCCTAGCAGTAGTCGAAGAGTGCAAATTAGTTCGAGAAACCTTTCTGAGCTTGATATCTATTTTGCAGTGATCTTTCAAATCGTCAACCACAGACGAAATGCTCCTCCCGCGGCTGTTTCCATCATTACTTCTCATCACTGAATTCATATTCAACCCGGCCTGTCAGGTTCCCCGCAAACCTTCCACACGTCTGGGTCGACAGATGGTGTCGTTCTGTTCCCCAGGTTTTAATGGCGATAGCCTGAATTGTCCACACCATTCATCGGCTAACTCGGTGCGTGAATAGGGCTTAATGTCAAAGTTAGTGGCAGCTACAGTACAATGCAGGCTTGTGGCACCCTTGCCGGCCATGCATGAGCGCCTGCAAGTGATCTTTGCAAGAGCCATGCCTGCCAGCCGATGCTTAATACTCTGTTGTTGCGTGCTTGATGAACGAGGGGGGCCTTATTTTGCGCTTTCGGAGAACGACATAATCCAAGGCGGCAGGGTTTCAGGGCAGGGGTGCATGGGGAGGTTGGACACCTCCTACCATGTCTTTGATAAGAGGGGTTCGAGCAGTTGTGGGGAGAATGCGGAGGGCATCACGATTGCTGGGGAGAGGGCGGGGAATCACCGGACCCCCTTGATGCTTTCGGAGCGGTTGCTTGATGGCCTCGGTCTTGAATGCCGTTAAGGTTATGCGAGGACGCAGCCAAGCCATATGAGTTAGGGGAGGGGTGGCATGGGTTCCTCCTGATGTAAGCGAGGGCGAGCTGCATATAAAATATGTAGGTGATGAAGAATAGCGTCCGGATTTATATGAAACCGGATTTGCGGAAAGTCTGGTTTCGATATGAGATTGGTTGGTTATAGCAGTGGTTTGATGCTCTGTGAGGTGGACGAGAACAGCTGAGTTGTTGGCGAGAGTACAACAGCACAACAAGCAATTCGGTGCTGCAAGCAGAGAGATGAGTGAGATGCAATTAAGCTCATGACCTGTCCATATTGGGGGATAGGATTATTCCAAGAATCAGTAAGTAGTTCATGAGGTTGATGTAGATGTGGATACCTAGGAGGCTGATGTTAAGCGAAGAGGTACGAAAACCAGCCATTTAATTCAATAATCGCCTACTTAGGGTGGTGTAACCGTTGCCGTTTTTCGAATATTTTAACTCTTCGGGCGGTTACCCCGAAGAAGGGTGTTCTCCACCTCTAAAGTCGTTGTAGAAATCACAACAATGGCTGACATGCTGACAAGAGAGACAGTTCTATAGGACAACACAAAAGCTTTGATCCCGGTTCCGCCCAGTCACATAATTCAAACTTACGTACCTGCACTCCCGGCTTCTGCGAATAGCTTACCAGTTTACGTTCCATTCCAAAATTATCAACGCCAGCCTCTCTACTGACGCCAAATATCTTTTCCGCAATAGATAGGCACCAGCCTTCCAAATCCTTTCTGCACGCGATTACTATACTTCCACCAGATAGATAAAGTACCTACGTTTGCTAGGATCTGCAAGCGAATCACACGGTACTGCGAACGGCATTGTCATGTCACTCTGTGGCACTTCATTTGAAGGCGCAATCTCGGACCGTACCGATATTTCGAATTTACACGTCCTGGTCCTCTAGCGTGTCGTTCGGACCACTTTATCCAGTATTTATTACCCAATTTAGATTCTGTCGTTTTTGGGCAGCCGTTGGGTTTTTGGATCCTAGAAGATATTATGGATTTACTGGGGTATGAATCCGGGGTAAATAGTCGAGAAATTAGTGAAGTCTGGGCTTTGCAGTGAAAGCTTTTCTTCACTTCTCGTCTTTTGAGTTCAATCTCCTCGTCGCCATTACATTTTCTTTCCGTCTTTAAGAGCACCATTCAATGCCTCATCCAAGCCGTTTCTATTTACCGCTCACATGCCGATCCTCCATACCCCAGATTTATCCCGCGTTCGTACACCCACACTGAGCTTCAAACCACAATGTGCTCGAGTACCGTACCAGAACACAACTTACCCCGCGCTATAATAATTCCCCACACTATTTTCTGTGTAATGTGCGTGAACCGCCCCGGTAGCTTGGGTTCTTATGCCGCTTGTTATATGAAATGGTGACAAAGAAAGTGGGTTCATCCGGGTCAACGTGTTCTGGGAAGAATGAGGACTGGGGAGCTAATCCCGAATACCGACGACGTTGAATAGGCTGAATTATTTACTTGAAGAGGAAGGGGGATGCTTGACAACCTTCGTCGTCTGTTCCTGACGTATGTTGTGGAGTTTGGGATCTGAATTTCGTCTTGATCTTTCTTGAAGAGCAGATCTTCGGATGACAACAAATCAAACTTGATATGGTAATATCAGTCTGGACCTGGATGTGACCAGAAAAACTCAACTACTTTCACGCGGGAAAACCCGGACACCGAATGAACTCAATTTTCCTGGTCCTCGATATTCACATCCAGAGCTAGACCCTCGAAGATCCTACAAGGAACGTATTCGTGTGTCCATCATCTCTCCACTTCACCTTAGTCTCTACACGGTACATCGGTACCTCCGCGGTACCTCCGTTGTATATAAAACAACCCACAGATACGACAGAAACCTATATTACTTCGTAAGTCCCAAGTACATCTAGCCCCCAGCACTAAACCTATCTAGTAAAAGGTACCTGGAAAGTACAGCTGCAAGTTTAAATCCCTTGCAACGCCACTTTTCATCTGATGCCGTTTCCCACGTCACATTCTCCGTCTTAGGGAATTGAATTAAGGAGTGCAGATGCGGTAAGCATCTTAATCCTTCTTAGAAAACCATAATTGTCAAATTAGGGGCGGGACTGGGAAAATGCTCTTTGGTGGAAGGCAGCTTCGCTTCTGGAATACGCCCTTTTGCGGCTCTGTGATTGGGGGAGAGGGAAAATGGGAGGAAGCGATTGGATGTTCTGGGAAGGGATGGGGGCGAATGTCGGTATCGGCATAGCAGGGGTTGGTCTGGCGCTTTGGGGAGCTTGTGGCGGTGGGAGTTGGGTATGGAAGGTGCTGGGAGGATCTCAAAGCGCGGCTTGTGGGGAAGGATTTAAAGAGAGAAAGTGGTGGCGGCTCTGATTTGTGTAGTTCTGCAGATGGGACGGGTTGGTGACTTCATGAACTGCGAATTCGGAGGTCTGGATGGCCTTTTTGGTTTTGGGCTGGTTCCTGAAAATCTTACCGATTTTGTTCTTCTTAGTTGCAAAGTCTCTTGCAGGTTATCTGGTTCTGGAATATATGAATGTCACCAAGCTGGCTAAAACTTGAGCAAGAGTGTGTGTAACGTGTATTTCTAATTGGATAATCTTCAAAATGCTTTTTAAATCCTATGTACCGATTGTGCTATGTAAGGGGGTATAATGGCGGCCAACAAATACTCAATATACACATAAACGAACGAGGCCTCCAGTACAAAGCTCACCTCCACGGCGCCCAAAGAGAGAGACACCAACCAGTCCCAAATGCACCGTACCCGGGTATCACTAACAATGCCCGCATCATCTCCAGTTTATGAATGGCTTCGCTAGAATAAGATGCTGAGAAAAGAAAAAGAAACCACGTATTGTTGAAGTCGTAGCAAAACTTATTGATGCATCATCATGTAGTTGCCGTCGTAGTGCTGCATGCCACCGTCGTTGTAATCCATATTCACACCTTCGAATGGCATATCCAATCCATCTGGAAGACCACCCCAAAACATTCCATCAAGATCCCAAACCCCTTGGTTATGCATGAATGCCATTTCGTCGCCGCCCATCATTTCCATTTGATGCATTTCTGGTGCATTCATCATGTGCCCATTCATTGGATGCATTCCGTGCATCATATGTGACATTCCATCTACTCCATGCATAGTAGGCATCCCATTCATTGGCGATGGGGGTGTTAGAACGTTGCCGTTGGTACCGTTTTCTCCCTTGATCGGTCCCAGGCGTGGACTATTGTGCCCAGTCATCGGTCTTTTGCTTGCTTCATACATCTTCAGAAGAACTTCCCGACTTCTTCTCGCGGCCAGTGACCAGTCGGCCATACCGTCAAACGCCTCCAGGACAACTTCAATTTGCGCTTGGCAATCTCGGACGAGTGGTATATTCCACGATTCCCAAAACATGCTGACGAGAGGTATCATGGAAGCCTGATACATGAACCACACCCCATTCCATCCCAGCATCTGATTCGGGGTCCACTCATGTGCAATTTCTTCAATTGTTTGCTTTGCAAGAATCCTGCATCGACTTACTGCTTCGAGGTCATCTTGCGAGGCCTGTGCTTCATTCCCAGAACTAGCGAGATTCAGGAGGACCGGTCGATGTAGCACAATGCGGAGATTTTGATAGCGCCATTTCATGATGCATCGTGCGGTATAAAAGGATTCCGCGCAGGGTTCCGTCGATCTGAGGATCCACGGAAGGTTCTCATACCAGCTGACAAGTTCGCGATCGAGTTCGAGCCGTTGGTTAGTATGGAGGACGGGCGATTGTGCCAAGACGTCTTGTATGTGGGTGGAAATTTTGCAGAACTTGATATTCTCGATCATCGGGACGATTCCCGCATGCTGCCCCATGACTTTCTGTGAATATATGTTAGAAATTTTTCCGTAGGGTGTCTACCAGTAGATATTTACCAGGTCGTTGCCTTCTTCGGGGGAACGGATGCTAATCCCTGGACCCCAGCGACCCATCGAGGGCCGGCCCAGTGTCGTGTTCGCCCATGTATCGAGAATGAATAGACTCCACCACGTTCTTCTTCTTTGCTCTATTATGATAGGGCTGGCGCCGGGTTGATCATGTAAGCCTTCTCGATGGAGTCCCATCGCACAAGCCATTCGCAGCGCTGCCCCAGTAACAGCATTTGCCATATTCGGCCTGTTGATGTAGTGAAGGTAAAACCCGCCCATGAGAGTGAGAGCTTGCAATGTTTCCAGTTGGCCACTGCCAAAGCTGTCAATACTCAAGTGTTCCTTAGCGTGACTGTAATAGTTGACATGGCTGTGGTCGTCGGATTTTCTTGCCACAATACTTCCCATAGCAAAGACCATGTTAAGAAGTGCTAACCATGGACTATCGTGCCGTCTCCCATTCAGATAATCCGCGCGAAAGGTCGGCTCATCCAACATTGGAACAAATATCTGAACTCGGTTAAAGTATGCGTCGATAAGAGTCTGTCCCTCCGACGACCAGATGACTGCGACTGAGGACTTGAGTGCCGCATTTCCTAGACGAGGGGTAGGATAGTTGCTTGCCATGTTGTTTTGCTTGCTGTTGTGGTTGCTTTGCGAAGCTAGGAAAGAGCGTAGCTTCGGTGCCACCTTGAGCATCACGATAAAAGCTGCCTTGATCGAACTTGCACCCAGATACGAAGACTGTCTATCGACAGAGAGAGAAAGAGCATTTACATCGTCTGCTTCTGCTGGAATTGGATCTCGATTTCGTCTTTCCTCATCCCACTCAGCATCCTGACTTGGGATCTGCTCAAGACTTGCGAGTGCTCGCTCCTCGTCCGAGTTGGACGCTATTGGCGAGTGAAGGTCTTGCGAAAAGTTCGACGTAGGTGACGTCGTAGTATGCGAACCTGTAGGAGAGGTTGTTGAAATCAAACTACTACTCTGAGGCACACCACGGTTTCGGTCCAGCAGATCTACGAGGTCTTTTCTTGACAATGGAAGTAATGCCTGTGAGTCGTGATTTGGGTACAACTTCTTCAGAATAGTACGACATTCTTCTAGCGACTGGGAAAGTGCATCAAGCGTTCTACAAGAACATTTGTTAGTAAGACTCTTTCTGTTTCGAACTTCATTCGGGTTTACTTACTTGCGGGAAGGAATAACTCGTTGCCGATGTTTGTCGTAGTAACATGGTTTTGGTGAACGACAACCAAGGCACTGACCACAAGGTTGTCGTCCGTCGCATCTGATCTTTCTTCTTTTACACTCTGCGCATGCATGAGGGGTTGTGATTCTTTTCGAAACCCCGTTTGTTGCTAGCTTTGGAGTTTCCTGCGATTGTTCGGCGGTTGCTCGCGGTGGCGCCAGTCCTTGAACTATTTACATAATCTTGTCAGTATTCAGACCAACGTCAATTATCCAGGTAGTAACTCAAACTCACACGTATGAAACATTTTGGATGAGCCGATTGAAGGAGTCATAGAGAATGTCAATGCCCAGTGGGCAACAACGTCTCACTCTAATTGCACTTCGGGGAATTGATCGATTAAATGCAGGCAGGTTGCCTTTCTGGGGCGAGAAGGAGCAGGTAATATGTGCGGCTTGACAAATTGAGGAATGGCAGGCGTATATCGGTAGTGAATGTGGATGTGGGGAGCTGCAGCAGCGAGTGCAGTAATGAAGGATTCCCAAATGCAGCCTCGATCAAGTGCTGTTGGAGCGTATCAAGTCTGCTTTCGTAAAAGGGTACTGTAAGCAGTGGCAGATCGAACTGATTCTGCTTGGAAGAACGTCAGTCTGTACCAGACAAGGAATCCTTCTTGGTTGGGTTGGCTGATGCGGTGGAACGTGTGGAACGGCAGAACAAGAGCAATGTACTTTTGAGGCACAAGTGGTTCAGTCAACAGCGGCGTCAGTAAAACAGGAACGCAGCTTGGTCAAATTGATCGGCCGTCATGAATATATATCATTACAGATTCATCGAGTCAGAAGTCGGCAAGTAAATTGATTGAAGCAACCTGGTGACAATATCAGAGTTGCCTGGACTTAAAGAGACACATGGTACAAGCCCGTTATGAGGCGCTTGATATACGCTCTATTATTGAACTAAGATGCGAAGACTGGGGAGGCCGGAGCGGGTGGAATAGAGCTGGACCAGGGTCGGGCGATCGAAGGTTGTTTTAATAGCGTGTGGTATGCAATTGAGTATAGTCGACTGTCGTTCGCAGTCTGGGGTACTTGAAAAGGGACGAATCTGGCTGCCTGTGGATCTTGGGTAAGCTAGACCAAGTGACATAGTAGTGGTCTCGAGGGGGGTACGTTCGGTAGAGTTCGTCAACCTCCCTGGCGATGTGAAGCGAGTCCAACGGACGAGGTCGAGGAGAAGCCATTTTGCTGAAAAGTCGAGGGCAGGCGGCGACAGCAAAGGTGGGTGTTCGTGCTGGTGACTCGTGAAAATTGCCTTGCAGCGTGCATCTGTGGAGAAGTTACGGTACCAAGACAGGTCCGGCATTGGGACCTGCTCCGGTTCAGCATTCTTCTGGCCCTTCTTTCGGGCTTCTACTGTGGTAGCGAGATGCCATTCTCAAGACGGCATGTTCCCAAGTCTGTCAGATATCAGCTTTTATCTGATCGCCAAAGCCCCTGCTGCTCTGCTAAAACCCGGAGAACCAGTCAATGCGCAGAATACGATGTACCCCAGGCTTTTGCGTGTCTTGTCTCCGTAAGCCACATTGCACCGTACATCGACGGCCCAGAAGCACGTACTCCGTGCTCCTCCATCTTGTATTTGTGTATACGGTGCTGCCCCTGAAAGGTACTGTAGCCGAGTGCTCTCCAACCGTCGCTTGTGGTGGTGTAAAAGTCCTGGCTGGCTTCCCCACACTCGAGATTCATGCGCTTCACCAGACGACCACAGGTCACAGCGGAGAAATAACTGCTGCAAGCGCTGCAGCTGGTGTGCAACTCTGCGAGTCTGACGTTGGGGATCAACATCATTTCGGCACGCTTCAGTGACAAAATCAGGGTCTGTCGGGACAGACCAAGTTTGTCCCTTTTTTCCGTCTCGTATGCCCCTCCAATTCCACGTGAGAAGGCCAATTTCACTCTCTAACAAGCCGTCGCTATAAAACGTTGCTGTTAATGATATGATATCGCCGCTCGTGTGGCATTATCATAACGGTGCTTAACAGCTCGTTACCGTTTGCGCTGTCCCGCCAAGCCACTTCTCCACATTCCAGCACTTATTCCCAACCTGCTTGTGATTTCATCTATTCATGAGACCATTTTACACGATGCAGGCGACGGGGCCCTGTTGTCGACTGCTTCGTGCCATGCCATGCAGAAAGCGTATCATACCATGGTAACTATACGCTGAAAGACCAGCATCATCACCAGTCTCCAAACTGAAGTTGTCAATTTCTTTAAAGCTTGTCGCGGTCTCCACGCTGTACGCGAGCATCATATCCGCTACAAACCGATTAGAAGGCCTATGTTGTACGTAAAATTTTGAACTTTCTCTGCGCATCTCAGGCTCTGTGGCGTACTCAAAGCCGGAAACTCAGCGGGGGCTGGAGCTTGAGTCCGTGAAGCTCTCGCAGCCTCATCGCTCCTGGATATCGTGGGGAGTCAGCTGTCGCACTCCCACCTCCACGATCATGTACTTCACAGCTGGCGTAAAGCTGGCGGTACTACCATCATATATATCCTTCGGCTACAAAGGTATGCGCTGTGTAAGTGACTTGCGTGGGTTAGAAAAGCAAAAACACCGATGTGAGTTCATTCTTGGTCCAGCATCTAGCCCATACTACTAGAAAAGTGTCACTGCGAGTGCATGTTGTCAGTGCAACCAATCACAGTCATTCCTTTGCCAGTGCCAGATATTTCTTCTTCGACATTTTCAGAGCTAAGCCGCGAGGTACCGACATCCATGGCTGACGGGAAAGGAATAACGTCTTCTGCGACTGCCGAAGAGCTTCTTAGCATTTTCAGTGCCGCAATGGTAGAATTTCCGTGGCCAATAAACCACAGCCACGACTGGAAAAGACAAGGCAGTCGATTCAGTGCTGCTAAAGAATACTGGAGTAATGCGAGTGTCGAAAGTATCTGAAGAATGCTTGTACTCTGGTACCAAACGTTGTCGTACTTCAGTACCTCTGGGTTTGGTATGGGATTTTACAGCCAACCAGAGTCGACGACCTCGAAGCATTCCCAATTTGGCAGACGAGGCAATCCACTTCGGCTGCAGATTCAACCAAATCGTCGATGACCGAGTTGTGCGGCGCACCCTATTTGCAATCAGAACCGCTGTTGGTCCTTGCGCGCTGGAAGAATTAAAAAGTCCAAACGCGGGGAACATATTGCTATATGGACAGGAACCTCGACTTACTTACACAACCCTCAGCATCAACAGGTTCTATCAACTTACTACAGCCCTCTTAAGCCTTTGTCTCACACAAGGCCAGGAGAGTGGCACATTCAGCCATCTTATCCGAGAAATTGATGATTATCCGGCGAATCACTATCATAAGTAAGCATGGTATTCTTGGCATTCAATAGCTGCCGCACCTATGTGGCCGAAACCATACAGACCTGCATCAACTTTTCGTCCCTGGTTTCTCATGCCGCCCATGACTTATTTTGTTGGGTTGGTCTTTCGCGTTTCTCTGGTACGGTTGTTGATGCTCAACGAAAGCGTCTGCAATAGCAGATCGGTTGGTATGAATACCCATGTTTTGCGGGGAATTGATATTATTTAAGGTCATCGCGGCAACTCAAAATCCTGATTCAAGTTCGCTAAGACCGCATGTGATAATGACACAAGCTCTATTGCACGCACTTCATGTGTCCAGGTGTAGGACTCTACGAAGCGGTGATTGCAATAGAAGAATGCCTTTCGGGACAAACGACAGCCCCTATACCGAACGTCAACGGGATGTCGAGCAACTTGAGCTAGCCACAGATGGCTTCGCAAGGCTTGCTTCTTAAGCTGGTACAGTAGCATTATCGCCCTACTCGTAGCTTGCAACCGAACGGATGCATATTCCTGTTGTATTACATCCAGTTTCCAATTGTGATACGGACGCTTATAATTTTACCCTCAAGACGCATGTGCTTATCGAAGATGCCTACAACTCGTCGATGTGCTGTCAACTTTGCAATTGCCTCTGGTACATGCAGTGACTTGTGTTTCAACAAAACAATAGGTGTCCGGAAAACGGTCTCGAGGAGGAAGAACAACGTCCATAGGAACTATACATATCTGCCATGAAGGGAATCTTGAAACCCTAACATCCAGTCCGAGTGAAAATATCAATAAGAAATGAATATACCAGGCATCGAGAAGCAGCTTTTTTGCCAAGTTCCGGGTCACTGAAGATGAATAGACCGTGTAGAACAGAAAAGGATAGTCAAGTGCATATGTCATAAAATTCAACAGATGTGCTATGCTGGAAACGGCCATACTTTCTTCCTAGGATTCATTGAAAGCGCATATACAGGACATGAGCAATACATGGTTCGAAAGCATGTGAACTCCAGAGTGTTGCAAAATCCTTTGGAAGTATAGACAGAAACTAAAAACAATAGGAAGCGTTTTAATCAGCATCTCGGGTACTCCCAGCGACACTAAAACATGACCTAAGACACCTACATGCGTATACAATCTCCGAGTTTGACAAGCGCTAAAATCTGCGAAGTACGTACAGGACTATAGCCTAGGGGCTTTCACATATTATCTTCCATCAAAAGAATTGCACTAAGCCTTTTCGAAGATGATCTCATAGAACGAGATCTTGTAGTCATTGCTTAGGACTGCAACGCATCAGGGCGAGCTGTCTGTGACGTGGGATAAGCGCCGACGAGTATCTAGATGCGTAAACAGAACCTACACTATAGAACTTCTTGCACTGCTCGGGCAACTGTCGATATTCATTGCGAGATATCTGAAGTTATTCCAGGCTAGTTCAGGCAGATAACATATCCAATGCATTTACGACCTCTCGACACAACGCAATTGCATTGAAGTATTAGGCGGCAATGAATTCTCATGCCATCTAGTGCCATGACCTCCATCTCTCCAAATAGAACATGGGTAGAACATAGACACGGCTCACGCCAATGAGTATCTACCGTGCCAGGAGTGAAATCGGCAGTATAGGTCGCTTCGAATGATGACGGAGCAATTGACTCGACCACAACGGCCAAGAACTTGTGTCACCAGGAATGTGGTTTGTGAATATGTGGAAAAAGTGTAACACTACGAGAACTTAATACACGGTATTATGATACCACACCAGCAAGGGGGTTAACTCACAACTCCCGCCCCAGGTACCGTCTGCGATCAACTTTCTTTGGCGAGAATGTAACCGTCCTGCGCAAGGCGTTCAAGGGCTATCCGCGCGAACCACAGTATAGAATTCATCGCCTTCTTGCAAAGTTACGGACGGTTGAACGAAAAGGCGGTATTGGTAGTGTTATCGCGATGATGGAAGTGCTCAGCATGCTCTCATAAAGCAGGATGCGAGGTGGAAAGGTCGCGAGAAACATTCATCCAGACGCTCGAGAATCGTCACGTGCTTCGGTGACCTTAGCGCGCTCTGTATAGCTCTGGCGCGTCGCGTGCATTCTTGTCTTCCCCTCTTCGAAGGCAAATGGTCGAGTTGCAACATCGCAACATCGTCAAAATCCCGACTCGCCAATTCCTCATGACAGACTTGCAACGCTGCTGGAATTGCGCTGGAGTTGTTCGTGTCAACAAGTACGATGGAAAATTTCAGCCTGCGATGTAACATCCTCAAGTGCCGAAAACAACTCAACGGCCATGCAGTTGTTACAACGTGCAGGTATCGACCTCCATCCATGCTCTGTTGCATAGCAAGCACAGCTGACCGCAGCATAGCCATGTCTTCTGCCTCGAATGCTCTGACCGCTGTCAATTGAGCGCAGTCCGCGATGGCCAGTTTTCGCTCTGCCCGGCTTGTGATGTCGAAATGCGAAACCCGGACGACGTTGTTATGACGAACCTGAACCCCACGGAAGACTACAAATCCAGCGTTCTTTGCGGATTGAGTCCGAGCATCATAATGGAATGCTCCGGGCGGGCTTTGAATTGGTGGGCATATCAAGCGACGCAGGAAATGTTGGTTGTGTCCCTCCCTTCCCCTTTGCTCTCCTGACCTCAGGTAGTACGTATCAGGAGTTCCTTGTAAAGAACCTGGGCCAGAAATGCGTGTCGCAAAATGCACAAATGGACAAAGTGGTCAACCAAGCAAACACCGAAATAGCAAACTTGCGTAGTCAGCTGTCAAGTCAGTAGACATCTGCTTTCTACTCTGCTATGCGCCGTTATGCTAAATTACGCAGACCTCCAAATTCAGAATGATTCTTTGAAGCTCAAAAACGAGGAGCTTAACAATTCCTATAAAGAAAAGAGCCGCAAGCATATGCAGACACAGGAAATGTTTGACAAGATGAAAAGACGTTCGATGCTCGGCCAGGTGCAGGATGCAGCGTCTGACGCCGTCGAAAATACGATTCAAGCATCTGCAGCGGCGAATCGATATGTGGATAGGGTCAATAGTCAAGCTCGTCAGCGTCCAGTTCCTCCATTATTCCCTAATCAGCAGGGATCCAGTGTGCCAAATCACGGCGCCGGGCATACGAATATGGCTCCTCCCACTTCCAACCGTGAAACCTGGGGAGGATTCAGTAGTCAGGGAAGCAATCCACGTATGCAATTAAAACGCTGTGTCAGTACTAGAAGCTAAATCCGACAGATAATCCAACACTTCCTCAAGCATCAACGCACCGCCAGCCACTTCAGCCCATGATACATCAGGCAACGCCTAGACCATTCGTCGCAAATTTTCAGCCGAGTCCTGTCGTGCAGACTCCAATGCTCCATAAAAGGCAATCGCCGCGTACAGCTCTGGCAAGTATCAGTGGAAACGGTGGTTCAGCTTTTGCGGGTTATGGAATGAGTGCAGGGTTAAAAATGAGCAATCAAATGGGAACGCAGAAAAACATCGGAAGACCCCAAGTTAGATCAAGAGGTTCGTCAAGCGAGACTTTACCGATTTCTTGGTGCTGATATTCCCAAGTGGCTCACCGTTCGACGCCAGCATTGAATGGAAGTCGAGATGCCTCATATGGACCACCGCCAAGTTCCAATAACTTTACCACCAACGGTCCTTTTTACTAACATGCTAAACTTCACAATGCTATACACATACTATCTTAGACTAATCAAGAAAGACTAACCATAAAGTCGCCTAGCTAAAAATGTAGCATTCACGAGTTCAGCCAATCTTATCGAGGACGAAAGGTGTCTCTACATATTGTTCGTAACATATCCTTATGCGAATGAATTGTTAACTACTGCACCTGCAGGCTTTTTTGATGCTTTCTTGTGAAGACGCTCGTTTCACGTCGAATTATAGCATTCAATCAATCATCTTAGCACATGATTGGCTGTGGATTATGAGATTGTTTACTTTTTAGCTCCCCCTCACTCTTCTCTTTAAGTGTCAACAATACTGAAGCATTGTACCATTCCTTGCCCACCGGGAGTACGGGGACTTTGTCTTTGCACATGGCAGCTTTAAAAGCGGATAATTTCTGATTGATTTCCATACTTAATTTTGTCTTTGTTATGCATTACATTTCTCTGTCTGCAGTACTACGCCGGGGTCGTCAAACTTTAACGTGGAGACAAAGACATAAGAAAACAAACTAAATGAACAAGACAGCAGATGAAAATGCCTGTAATATTAAGGAGTGATAAATTGCGAGTTGAGTCCCTCATTCTCTATATCACTCTGTTACAGCATCAGGTTGAACTCTACGAACCTAAATTTGCCGTGGCATCAATCCAATACACCCATCTTCAAACATGTTAGCTAGAGATATGGTAGTGCCGCACGTCCCATCAATCGAGGAAATCAACTTTCGTCAACACCTTCTAATAACCCGTCAAGATGCCCTGAAAAAAGCATTTGAGGCCTTGGTTAACCCAAGTGACCAGATCGAGTCCATACCCTACCATCTCTTAACTCCAGAAGAAGAAATGGACCACCAAAAAGCAATCGAGGTATCGAATCTAAAGGTCGACGTTCTTCGTCAACAGACCGATTTGGCCCAGAATCAATATGACGAGGCAGTAGCTGCCAGAGAAATGCATCTTGAGCGCCGACGAGAAGCCAATAGAAGGCTGTATCTTGAGAAAGCTGTGAAGTTGCAGACTGAGATCCTGGACGCAGAAATTGAGAGTATAAGACGCGAGGCAGAGATTGAGAAGACTTTGGCGCGACTTGAGGGCCGGGATGTGGTTGAAGATGATCAAGAAGAGCCGAGTCGAGAGATGATGAGCCAGTGGCTTCTTCGTGTTGGGGGTGGGGATCCCTTGTCTCGTAGGGCTACGGGTAGAGATCAACGTCGAACGTTGAGGTCTGATTATGAGGATGGAAAGGAGAGGAGATAAATTTCACATTTCTGAACGCAAACTTCTGCTTGCAGAAGCAAATCAGCTCATGAATTTGCTGCTCATTACATAAAACGATCACTCAAGACTTTGAGATGACGGGGTTAGGACTATGGCTACAAGCTGATTAGATTATAGCATAACTGCGTTAACGGGATAATAAAATACATTGTTGTGAAATATCTTTATTTAGGTGAAAGGACCTTTGTGTCGTGAATTTCTTTGTTCCGGAATTTGAAAAGAGACTTTAAACTAAATGAGCTTTCAATTAATTTAATTGATTTTATGTCTGGCCCGGAACGTGCTAATAGCAGTGCCGAAGATCAACGCACAATCAATAAGACTTATTAATCGTAGAAGTGGTGATTTATTTTTATCAAGCCATTTTACACAATATCTAAGTAAAATCCCCTATCCATAAAATACTTCCTACATAAAGCGAGACTAAATAAGTTCTATTGAATATAGACCTTCTATGGTGAAGGTATTCTGTCGTACTCTACATCATAAAATGAAAAACGCTCGTGAAGTAATATATTGCGAGACATCACTGAGAATTGTCATGGAGGAACAAGAAACCTTTTTGGTGGAACAAGTGAAGAGAGAAAGCTAGAACTTGCTTTATAGTATTTTTAGATTAGAGCAAGTTATATTTGTCTCTAACTAATTCGGGATATAAAACCCCGAGTACTTCCTTAGAAGTAAGTTCGCAATTTCGGAGACGACTGCAAATCAGATCGTGGACCACATCTTGACACGAGCTGTCCCAAGCCCGTTATTAACCATCACTTTCGCTTCCTTGCAGAATCCGAATGATGAGTGCATGAGAGTAGAGAATCAATGACAACCGAAAAGATGAGTTTCCGTGTAGAGTAATCGCGTGGAACAGTTTCTATACTTGGGTTTCCAAAGGCTGCAGCAAAACAAAGAGGAATTCACAAATACGAGCAGCTCAATCTGTACGCCATCAGAAATTTAATCTCACGCTCATTTTGCTCGCTTTTTGTCTGAGAATTTATTTTGCACGACTAGTAGTCGTAGAATTGAAACAGCTTCCATTCTGCAGCCATATCGTGAACGCGACGAGCCTCTCGCAAGTTGGACAGATAAGTTGACTCAGCTGGTGTAGGTATCGTAGGAATGTAGCCTCCCTGCTTAGTACAACGATGAGCTTGAAGTTCCTTAAGCTGGGCATCAGAAGCTTTTTGTTGGAGACGGAGGGCTTGCATCTCAGACTCCAATCTTTGGATCCTCTCTTCTTGTGCCTCTCGATCTTGGCAGTGATTAGAATTGCGTCGCTTTAATTCTGTTTGGGTAGAGTGTGAAATATATTGCGCCGCCCAATGCCCATGATCGCGATTGATGGTGGGTTCGAACTCTGTCTGCGTAGACTGATCTACCATTTGTACAGGGGTTGACACACCACTTTTACTAATCGGTGTGATGATATTCATATCCCGAGTGGTAGTGTTTGCAGCTGCAGATATCGTACGCATGCTGCATTGTGAAGATGGTTTTGAATTTTCATTGTTATTATTGCGAATGATCCAGACAGTTTTCCCAGTAACTGGGTCCACATTCAGCGGGTTCTGGCCCATAGAATCACCGGTTGTCATGATGGAACCATCGCTGAGGGGGTGAGCAACATTAAATTCCTGTGATGAAGCCGCTCGAGGAATAGATTCGAGATTTTGGATAATGGAGTCTACATTGTTATTCATCAAATGATGTCGGGGCTCATCTATCCGGGTCATTTCCCCTGGTTGTCTTGCTCTTTGTTCCCGCGTATAGAACCTTGATGATTGAGCTGTGTCTATCGCGGAAACAGGAGGTATAGCGAAACCGCTTTCTTCCGTGAGTTGAATGAGATTTCTGTACCGAGGGCTTTCACCCTGTGGACCCATATGACAGCGATGCTGAACGTCATAAGGTCGTCCGATCACTGATATAACTGGTGGGGGTACGGCAGGCATTCTCTTCGTCAACTTATTTGCTGTCTTGGAATCCAAATTGGCGAGAATATAAGGGATCTCGTCGATGTGCTTTGCACCAAGTAGCGTATTCTGGTTAGCTGCCATGGTTTTGAACTCAAAGTAGTTAGGACGCAGCGACTATGAGAGAGCAACAATTTCAGTGTGATGCAAATTCTCATGTATCTAGCGTGCATATCTGTTCCACCGCCTCAACAGAGATAAAAAGAGCAGATATCAGAACAGATCCGTTAGTATTGTAAACGCTTGGCAAGTCAAGTTTAATGGATTGTTCTTTGAACTCTTTGTGACTTGACAAGGAGCGCCGGTTGTCTAAGACCCAGTTCCGAGTTCAGGGGGGACGGAGTGCGAACACAACCGACCACCCAGTGGCCCAATAAAAACAACCTCCCGTATTGCAGCAATATAGCGATATAGAACATATTCGAGATCTTTTTCATTCACTTCAGCAGTGCCTGTCTTGTGCTGTGCGATGCAAATGTCAGTGAAGAATTGCAAAAAGGGCCCCTGTAAAATTAGACAAATAGTACTCTCTCCTAAACTGTTTGCTCCCAGTTGATCATCACATAATCCTTCGAGTCAGAACCGACTATTATCCGTAAGTGTTCCTTACTATCGCCGTTCCTTCGTTTCTGGTCGCCGTTCATTTATGATCGCCGTTTATTCCTGAGTGAATCCGATGGCCAGCCAGGTCTAACCGAGGTCTACGCCGCAATATTGAGGTCGAAGGGCAAAGCCGATTTGGGACTTCTCACCATGCGAGTCATCCCCGGATCCTCATCGTATATGTCGATATATGGCGTGCATAATATCCGCGCAATGCCTCTCAGCGCTTAGAATACAGTACAGTAATCGCAAAGAGAGTTGTGCACAGCCACAGAGCCGTCTGGTCTTCCAAAATTGCCCGTTCACGCCCTCAGCCTTAGCCGTCCCGCTCGTGCCCGTCTTTCGGGTCCGGGAGCTAAACTGGTTCCCCGCAAGGAACTATTCTGGCTCCAAAAGTGGAGACCGAGTGGAGATGGACGGAGTGAAACTACCCCACGTGGGGGTGGGTCGATCAAAATATCAAAGTGCTGTAGCTTGAAGCAGGCTCAACCAACAATCTGCCGAGTAACGAGGAGGTAAATTCATGAGGACCGAAAGTGGAAAGGGGTAATCTGAGACGTGAGGAGTGGTTAGTTTCTCCTACTTTGATTTGCTGGAGAGAGGAGCTGGACCGGCCGCTTGCTATGCGACCGCCTTGATGTGATGGTTGAGTGATTGTTGAGGAGGAAGCATATTGTCTTTCGAGAAGACGGGGCCCTTTTGTCTCACACTCATGCCAAATAGAGTGTCTGGGAGCGAACCAATTGCGATATCAAAGATCCATAGAACATCAACCCTACGCAAGAGTTGACGGGCTTTGAAACCGAGGGGCGATAGCCCATGTCGATCGCGTTAAGCCCATCCTACCTCGCCGAGTCGCCAGCACATGATTTGGACCCTCATATATGCCATTCGGGGAATGCATTGTATCTTTTGGTTCGTTGCTAAATTAGACCATCAGCTTCAAGCCAGTTCGAGACAGAAAAGTGTTGGGTTCTGGGTGATGTGCATGTGTGTCACACTACGTGAACAATTGGATGCATTCGAACACTCGATCCTGAAGCCTCTACCCACCTCTACCCTGGTCGTGGAATTCGGTCAAGCCGAGAATATAGTAGTTGCCTATCGGGGAAAAGAGCTGTTGGCTGATAGATGTTGGAATGCGAGCGACACAAACTCGAGCGCCGGGGGCCTCCTTCCGGCAATGTTCTGCTGCATATCAATTGATGAGGCAAGGGCGTTTTGACATGGGGGTGAAATGCGTTTGAAGAGGGTGGTTGGGTTGGTTGGAAATTGCTGAAGGAATGACAACAGAGTGAGGCTCGGTTTGTGGGCCGTTTGTGGGCGCTTAGAGGTGACGCAAGTGACTCCAGCCCTGAAAGGGAGGGGTCCAACTCAGGTCACTTAGATGCCGATAGTATCCCAAGCCGCTGGCTGTTGATTCCGAGTTTTCCAGTTAACGTGAAGCACAGAGGTTGAAAATTATAACATATCCCGTTAGGAACTGGCCAGCAAAAAGCACAGTAACAGAAGATTGAACAGGAAAGTTAATCCCCATCTTGAACTCCTTTTGATGTAGTGCCTGTATGCCCTGCGATAGACTGGTATTTTCAGTTATCGGCTTGCTCAATCTGGTTGCACAGGAATTTGGAAGATGTGACATGAGAGCATGGTGAGGGGTAACACACATGCAGCCCACTCTAAGGGTGTGTGGAACGGAAGGTAGCTTGAATGACTTAAGTGGGAGGCAGAAGACCAATAAACTTATATTACATGGCAATCTTTGCAAAATAATTCAGAGCCGTTGCCAAAACGTCCCCAGTGCAATGCCTTCCAAAACGAGCGAGAAAGGAACTGAAACGAAAGACGAAAAGACTGCGAAATTAAAACACGACCATCGAGACCAAACTTCCAACTGTTTTGTTCGTATCGTACATCCAACATCTCCCCCCTATCGCTGCCTCTAGATCATCGTACGTCGCGGAACGAGTGTAGATATTGGCATAACGAGTGGAATGCGACGTCCTGGCACTGATATTGGCAACCCATTGGGAAAAAAGAGACTGTACTAGCGCCTGTACGTAGACTGACGGTAATATGCCTCAGAATCTTCACGGGTTTGGAACCTTGGAAGACCAAGCCGCATGCGCTCTTCTGGGGTGTCCTCGCTCACATAACGTTGCGTTGTAGGAGAGGTAGGCATGTGGAAAGTGCCATCATTTCGTACTTCCTCGTACACAACATCCGATGGTGATTGATAGTTGTATTCTTCAGGTTGGATGATGGGTGAGGTGTAATCGTATGCACGCATGGCTGTTTCCCGCGAATTGGAGCCCATGGTGTAGGTTGGAACTGGATGTGATGGATTCTGTGACTCGTCGAGACAGACTTCGGCTGGATATATCACATCGCTTTGTGAATATTCAATCGTGCCCAACTGGAATCCATCTGATGAATCATCGTACATCCCATGAGACGAATGGTATGCAATATTATCGCCACCGTTGGAGTGGTGGTGTGGACTTCGGGGGCTCACAAAGGTGCCGTTGCTAAAGCCCGTGTCGTTACGTCTTCCACTGGTGTTTGAATGCTTTGAAGTACGTGTTTTGCGTCTGTCCTGAAGTTGGTGTGCTGTAATGCAATGATACGCGTCGTCACTTGAGATTTCCTGTGAAGAAGCGGCAGGACGAGTACTAGCGACACTATTTCCATAAACATTATCAGGCTTGCATGGCATTAGTCCATCTGAGCGAGTACTGACCTGTATGCCGATCCATTCTGAGGCTCGGTTGACATCTTGGTGGTATAGGAAGACATGCGACGGACACCTTCTTATGCTTGTCTGGGTTAAAACGTTGGTAGATGATGTTTTAGTTGATCTTTCGAGTCTTTCGGGGCGATGTTAGTTCGCGGGCGACAAAACAATGTTTGTTCTACTGACCGATTATATAGAGATATTGCAAAGCTCAAAAATGCCGGTATTGATATATCGGACCTCAGGAGAGTACTGGCAGACTAATTGCTTCCGAATTTCTAGACAGAGGTTGATTGTGCCGGAACCCAAAGCAGTTTCCAGTGATTGTATATGGAAGATGAAACTCCAAGATACATAAAAATGGACACTCACTTCGAAGTTAGCCTTGAGGGTTGTGAAAGAAGAAGCTCTGCGGAAATGGTGGGGAGGGGACGAATTATAAGAGCAGTTTTCGAATTATCTGGCGGTGCCCAAAAGTCCGAGTCAAGTTACAGTTCGCGAATTTGCGAACCATATATCCTCGACTATGTAATGAAGGCAGCCAGACGCGAGAAGAAAGATGATTGTGTATGCCTCGAATTCATCCCTGTCCCGAGTAATCTCGAATTTCTTTTCCGTCCTTGCAAAAGCCCTTCAACAAGCAACAATTAAGCTTCCATCTCTTTCCGAAATATTTGTATTGCCAGTCCTCATAGGTTCCGAAGTAGCAAGCTCTGACCTCCAACCGTAGTTTCTGGTCGGCATAAAGGACATGAACAGCAAACCTCCGAACGCCAAGTAGAGATGAACAAAAAAGTTTGCACTTATGGTTTCAAGGTACGAAAGCATAGCCAACACCGATTTCCACACCACACTTGATGTATGCATGTACAGTATGATGGAGGGTCGCCTCTACTCTCCCAGTTGATGGACGTTTCAACTTTCAAGCCGACCTTCCTGCCACCCTGGGAGCCCGAGAGATCTTAACGCCATCCCTGAAGCCCACGAGGAGATTTGTGGAGTGCCATTCAGCTTCTTGGGTATTCCATGCAAAGCTGGCCTTTTTGCGGCAGTGTAATTCCACCACAGTGGACAATTAGCATCTGATCTGTACGATCACTGCGATGCTACATTGTTTGTGAGACCTTCCGGATCAAGCTGCTGCTCCGCATAAGGGTAGTAAATGCGGAGGAATTAAGAAGAGCGCGCGCGAGCAGTTACTAATCCTGACTAGACGATAGCTCTGCACCTCTGACGGAAGTTGTTGCAGGGGAATTTGCAACATTCGTCAGGAAGAAGAAGCGAGACAGACGAACGCAAACAAACGCAAACCTACGGAGTACCTAGGTAGACAAAATAACTGAACGTCCGTGCACCGAAAAGGGGGAGCCACCTCGCTTAGCCTCAGTGACCAATCACTAGTTCTCAAGCGTGTTTAAAGAGGGTCCCCAGCTCGTTCTTTCCAACCGCAAGCCTTCGACAACCAACGACGATCAACTGCTTAAGCGCGCTGAAACAACCGCGAAGGCGTAAAATCCTTCTCGAATTCTCCCTCAAAATAGCCAATACAGAATCCGAGGGTCGAATACCCCAAGTTGGAAGACCGCCGCACAGCAACGCCAGCATTCTCGGTATTCCAGCCTGCCAACGGAGCCAGAGTGGTTGCAGACGATACCACAGCGCCTTGCAGTAAGCCCGCAGACGGCAGAAGCGGGCAAGGTACAGAGCAGCATTAGAGTTATTGGACGGCGTCGTAGCCTCGTTATCAAAGATAGCGAAGGCCTCATGGCTGCTCATTCATCCCCCAAACCGTCCACCGTAAGGCAACTCCTAGACCCTCGCCTACCTCTACTGCCTCATTCTTTGATTAATACAGAGGCTCAAAATGTGTGTGATCGGGTCTTCTTTCTCAAACATACGTGTTGGACAGGGCTTGTCAATCATTCCCTTAAGCCGAGACCTGGTAGTTGTGTATCTACGCTGCGATTCAAGACGAGCAGTTGTTGCTGTAGAGTGCTCAGCCAAGATATCTGCAGGAACATGTGAATCCCTGAGATGAGTATGCAAGATACGATAGTCCTGGGACTATATGGCGAAGAGCCTAGATGCAATTCGTTGTCTCTAGCTTTATCTTCGTCAGACCGGATTCCTGCCCACTCCCCTCTCATATGGTAACGCAATCTTCAGTGGTAACGAGACTGCGACGCATCGAATCAAGTAGCTCACCAGCAGCTGTTATGGCTGCACTATGCTTGGTGGCCACGCGGAGTCTCTGGTTAGGGATGATTTTTGGGCCTCCACTGTCAACCAGAAACTGCTCTCAGGGGGACAGGTATCTGTAAGGTTAACGTGGATGCGCTGGCAAAAGCCACCAACAGCTCCGCTTTGCTGCCTGCATTAAGGGCCGCCCACATGCTGATGCAAACTTGTTCAGGAGAACTAAAAAAACCCGCCGCACATGCTCATTTCGTAAGAATGGTTTTGCGACCCCCAATCTCGTTCTAGATGGCGATTCGTGGAGAACTTGGCACTTCACATCGCATGAACAATTTTCATTATTTTCGTATGTTTCTGTACAGCTGTCTCGTTCCAGCTAGTTGAGCGACGGGCTTCACAAGACAAGCCACTGGTGGCCTGCGCCACTGCCACCGCTGACTGCGACCTATTTTCCAGCCTTCTCTTCACCTTCGTAGTGGAGAATTGAGCTAATACAGGGCATAAAACTGCTTCTACTGTGGCATGCAGCATCTTGCATCACAGTAGTAACAACAGGCCGACTGTTCGAGCAGTCTGTGTGAACATAATGCCCAGTTTGGACTTCATTTCTCTTTGGAATTTCAGAAGTATGCTCACAGCCTTGGCCCCGTAATATTGCTGCTATCTGACTAGGCTATCATGGTAGTATGTGGTGGTGATGCATTTATCCCCGGTGTACTCGTAGGAATCCTAGTTTAGGCTTGCAGATCATCTCCCAATCCTCAATTCGCCGACCTTTCGGCAATGTTTCTGCGTTTACCTCTAAATACTATGACCTTCTTTGTCACACGAGCTCTCAGAGCCTTTCGAACCTTCGTTGGATGTTCATGGATGCTGTCGCAATTACCATCACAGACAATCATGGCACATGCACCAGCATGGAGCTTTGGAGTAGGTCACATTGGAGCTAGGAGATTTGACCAAGGGGCGCACTCGCTTGCGTAACCTTACGTGCGTAAGCACCTGTCCTGATAATAGTTCAAGTACACCATTGAAGGATTCAGCTGCAAAGGTGCTGTTTAAAGGTTAACTTCGAAGTCTAAGGCTGGTAAACCGGAAACGATAGCCGCGCTGCTAAGCGATGTACTTCCTATGATATATGACCAACAAGATTCAAATATACCTTCACTATAACCGTAGTTTACCAATATAATGGTCATTCAGTCTGAGGCCTATTCAGATTCTTTGCCATGAACGGATATAGCTTAGCTCACGTTCTATACTTCTGGTACGGTTGGACGAGGCAGTTTGCCAGTCCCCAGCCAAAGTCGGTTGATCGGTTTTCAATCATATACCACCCTGCTAGAATCTGAATCCGGTAATTGACGAGCTGGTATGATTGTAGTGACAAGCCATCGTCTGAGGCGCGCTTTTGGTGCACGCGGTTATTCGCGAGGCAATCCCAGAAACTAGAAGCAAACTTTCTTTGCTCAGTCAAGCAGGGACAAAGCTAAAGCTGCAATTTGAACAACATTCTCGTTGAATATCTGGATTATTCCCGTTCCCGCCTTCAGTCTCGGATGCGCAATGAGTAATCAGTGCGCAACTAGAGTTCCTTCTCGCTGGAAAGTGATATTGGAAAAGTGTGGGACAGATGCAGAGTTACACGTGCTGGGTCTAAAATTATTCTTCAGGGAGCTTGTGAGGTACGTAACCCTAATGTATTTGTTTCTACTCACCGATCATGATCCCTTGCCTTTACAGCATTGCATGCGAATATGCCGGGTCTGAGTATAGAGTCAGCATCATTTGTAACGGTCCGAATCGATGGATTGGGCGATGCATCTCGTACATATGCGGTACAGAAAACCAACATTCCCTTACCAGAATATTGAAGCGCGCCTCGGAGAGTCGCCGCAAGACAATGCTACAGCGAGATAAAGATTGGGGGCGGGCTTGTATTTCCGAGGCAAGATAATCTAATCTGAGCCAATGGCAACGCCGTTGTACAATTCTGGAGAGCATCCAATGAGGCTTGACACGGCAGATCACAACACCTCCTTCTGTCTATTCTTATTCGCAACCCCACGCCTGCCTGTAAGCAAGCTTCCCACACCACAACAATTGTGACCGGTCCCGAATCCAACATACTTGCCGGTTGATTGAAGTTGCCATTAATTCTCAACTCCACTGGGAACACAAAACCAATTAAATTGAGGGGAATTATCTCACAGTTCTCGCCCAGGCTAGGCGATGAAGCCAGCTGATTTCCCCGTATCATTACAGTAACTGTCTTGTCACGGCCCTCACCTCAAGCCATGTGATTCGTATGAAATCCGGTAAATCATGATAATCGCATTAACAAGGAATGGTTAGAAAAACAGCAGTGCTTTAAGTTGTTTCACTTGCGTTTGATCATCATTAGAGACTCCTTGACGTAGCATATATCTTTACTTGAGGGTAAGTTAACATGTTACGTTGCCAGCGTGCTGAACATCATTTTACTGTGCCAATCTCCTCTTGCCCAAACCATCACACACGGGTCAGTTAAAAATGGAATTTGTAATTAGATCTCGCACTGCTGTCAAGATGGTAGACTCATCTTATTTCGGGACTTGGAGATCCAATTGCAATACTGCAAGTCAAAAGCAAACCTTTTCAACAGCGCGGCTGCATAATCCCAGACAAGGCACTCTCACATACGTATCTTGTGTAACTTCATGTTTCCATAAGCGCCTGAAATCCAACACCACGTGTTGTTTGCGCTTCCTAAAAAATTCATAGCCCCGAGAACGACCCAATGTCTCTCCGCTTAGAAGACCCCACAAGCCGCGTCTGTGTTGTTTTCCCTGCAGTCATGCCCCAGCATACGGGGACTACGTTGATTTTAAGATATAATATTGAAATCTGACCATTTGAGACTAGTTGCAAATGGCAAAAGTCTACGAGTGGTGGAAGGCACATCAGAACCGGGTAATATGGAGCATTGAATAAGCTGCAGAACGTAAATTTACGTCCAGTTTGAAGCATGCATAAGCGCGGCGATTCAGTGTGAACTCGTAAGATATACGTTTCTCATTTTGCTTGACCGAAATGCAACAGCAAGGGATCTCTCCAAGGACCCCAATGAGGTTCAGTTTCACCGCATATCTGCACGTGTGTTCAATGGATACAGTAATCAACTTGGAGGACACGGCTGCGCTTTGGAGCCTACCGTCAAGTGACACTATGAAATACGAATGCAGAGCCTCATGCCGTTCTTTCCATCCGCGAGCCTTCACGCATCACCCTCGCTCATACAGGAAACGGTGGTCTCGGTGCCTAATATTATCATAGCTGCAGACGATCTCACTCTACTGATCAAACTGCCGATACACTGAGTTCAAGCAGGATTGATCGAATAGTTTTCGCCGGTCATTGATATTGTCTACCTCAGGGTTTGTTGTTCGGCTTTGATACCGCTAAGCGAAGATCGAGGCGAGCCCCCCCTGAAAAGGGGCAATCGGTTGCGATTGTCAGTGTGATGCGAATTGGGTCTTGCATGATAGGCTGGCCACTTAGTATGGAGTCGGCTGTGCTGTAGTATTATACCAAGTTCATCCCTCCAAGATCGACAGCTTTCCTTCAGGTATTATATCGAAGCGCTACGACATTACTCCTCGTACTTGCAATAGTAGCTAAGGCTGTTTCTACAACAGAAGAAAGACCATGTGTTAACCATGACAGATCTATGTTTATCTTTCTAAGTTCTCTTCATATTTTTATTATACGTTACATTTAATTGTCGGATTTGTGAAATATCTCTCCTAGGTCTCGGCGTGTCCCAGTCCCATGTGTCGCTTGACCATACTGCAACTTCGTTCTTCGCACACTCCCAGGCACATGGCCTCTCTTATCCACTCTCCAATCCAAATGATCAAGTTGCGCACCTCTCGAGGCCCCTACAATGCTCGAAAATCGCGATCTACGGAAATGACCTTCATTCTTTGCGATTGCTAGCGCCCCAAATATTATCGATATTGTCGCCAAGGAAATGAATATCCCGTAAACGATCCATAGCACCCGTTTCCTATAAACAAAAATGTTACGAATACGTGTTCTAGTGCATGGATGGAGAGGCCCGTCCGTTCTCTTGCCCGAGGGAGTGCTTGGGTCAGCGGCCCATGCTACAACGAGGAATTGTGGATTCGACAGAAGTGAGAGGATGATATCATCATACAATGACTGAAGTGCTCCCATAAGATCTGGAACGGGGAGATAATGTTCCATGTCGATTATCTTAGTATTAGTAGCATCGGTGTTGGTTATTTGCAATCCGGCAGCATTGAAATCGATGGTTCCATTGATGCTCTTCCGAAGCTGCACACCAAGAGAATGGTATGCCGAGACTAGGCGGTAGTTTTTGACGTCTTTGTTAGGAAAAACATAATTTTCAGCCGGTGTCGCCGTTGTATTATCTCTCGTCCCGTCATTGGCAGCCAGCCCTGGGACAAGTTGAGTGTCCACAATAGGTTTGATGTATTCATGTGTAACATTTGTAAATTGGACAGCTGATGTATAATTGATCTGTACGGTATACTTCGTTTCGTAGTGTTCGCATTTGAGAATCTTAGGTTCAAATGCGGTATCCCAGTTCGGGTCCGATGAATTCTGAGGAAACGGCTGACTAGGATCCTTGATCACTGAGTGCCCTATCCAGATCTAAGGTTGTCAATTAGCAGCTGATAAATCTAAAAGAGGTTGTATCTTAGTGATAACTTACGATTGGCTCAGTTCGAAAGGCCCCGAAATCGGCTGGATAAGGAGCGGGCTGGAGGGGTATACCGCCGATGCCAGATTCGAGCTGAACACTTGCGTATTCGCCTAGTGACGCGTGTGCTACGTAGCTCGAGGTACCTGATGGAAGAAGCACGCTTTTATTAAATGGAGCATCTTACGGTCTCAGTCAGCAAGATGTCGTTGCACCGAAAAAATGATTTTGACATAAATATGGGAAGCGGAAAAGAGTAAATGGGTAGAGAAGTGAAATAAAAAGAAATTGATAACTTACCCTTCTCACTTTCAAGAACATCAGAGCATTTATAGCCCGGCCCATCAAATGTGATTTGGAACGTGCAATTCCACCCACTACCACAAACTTCGATCGATGCGTTGGTCCTCCCGACAGGCGCCTGTAGATAGGTACTTAATGTCGCTATTGATACAACCTGCTGGCTAGGGGACGTGTAATAATCAAATGAGTTTTGAGGATCATTTCCGTCCAGAGGCTTGTTCCCGGAAGTGGTGGAGTTGAACCAAGAAAGTGAGAGTTCATTAAATCCATTTACTTTAGGCATATCGCGCCACTGGGTGTTAGCTTCAGGAGAAAAATTGAGTGTGCGGACTGAAGGACACATCGTAGCATTCACCAGCTCTGCTGACTCCACGGTCAGAGTTCCAGGTGTCAAAATAACAGTGAGAGGAGAAGTCCTAGAATCTAGATTAACATCATTGCACATTCATGGGCTCCGCCCTCCTCCATGGCCTGGAGCTTGGCTTACCATACTACGAGTGCTAGGAACATTGCAATCTTTGCACTTTTGAACACCTCCAGATTAAGCATCGCGAATGGGTCTTCGATCACGGCAAATAGACTATCGATTGCTCCGACGGAGAGAAGTTTTCTTCGAACGGTTGCCCAAATTTGTTGTCGAAATGCCAGCACAACGGAAGCCATCAGAAATGCTTTCGCTACGTATGAGAGTGCTGCGCCATATCGAAGCATTCTCAGCTGCTCTCTAGCCTCTGTACCGTCAAGCGACGCATAAAATGCATGATGTCCTACTGCTCCGCCTATGCCGATAGTAAAGAAACCATACATCAACCACATAGGATTCCACCAGCCGAATTTGGTGCTCTTCGGATTCAATGGACTCGATTGGCTCGGTAATAAGAACGATGCTGAAGGAGGCCCGTGTTCGGTATCGTAGAGTTGTAATGAACTATCGCGACGATTTGAAGCATATTCATTTCTGTCCGAAGTGAACGATCTTGATGAGTTGAAAGAGTCCATCTTCATCGGGGCGCAAGGAGAGGCTTTACGTGCGGTTTTTTCATCGTCGAAACTAACGTAGTCTCCAAGCTGAACTGTAAATTGACTCTTATGTTGACCATTCAGTGGAGAATTGTGCTGCCCATCCGTCCGCATGTTGTCTGGTTAGAGAATCCACAATGGGCTCCAACGATTTTCGGCCTAGAAGTCGTCGAATTCAGCACTAATTAAGCATCAATAATACGTGATGATCTACCAGAAGTTGGGAGCGTTGATGCTTAAGTATGATAGTCTTGGGGCGCAGGAGAGAAGTTGGAATACCATCCCAGCAGACCACGCGCTGTCCAACATATACGAAACTTTTAGGAAATTAATTGGCTGGCGACGAATGGTTCTGGGCGTCTCGACGCGATTGACGTAAGGTTACTGCGCACACGGCCGTTTCCATTGTTTCTCCTCGCGAAGCCAATGGCGTGAAGGTTCCAACAGTCTCCAGCTTACCGCGCTTACTGGCTTACATCGCTTGACTTTCCCGGCCTCGAAGATGTTACATACGTAGCATACTGCCTCAGCTGTCAGCAACAGGAAATACTAGATTTTTATGGCATTCTCGCACATACATAAACTATACAGCAGCTAACAACGTCGGACACTGGACTCACCTTGGCATTATGGACTGGGCCGCTGTTTCCTCTAAGCGCACACGTCAATCGCTCGTGCAAGAATGTTTGACGATGTTGCAATTTCCACCCTTGGTCAACGAAATACGACATGGGTTCCATGGCTGGGAAGAATACGGCATGGGGTCTGAGATTGCAAGCATATTTTCTGCTCAGCCCTATATCGCTCTGTGCAATCATTGAAAATGTCGAGAAAATAAGGCAGTGCAAAAAAAGTAGCAGAACGTTCTTAAAATTAACGAGAGCAGCTTACAAACAAAAGTTTTTGCTGAGGTTGTCGCGCTGTGGCCAAACAAAGTACCAGTCGAAATTTAGGAACTAATCTCTGACCCGTCCGTGGTATACTATCTGATCCCCGGACTCGAGAGTAGATGGCGCTGGCTGATGGACTTCAGACCCAAGTAAGCGTGTAGGACATTGAACCATGCCCTCAGTTCTTTTATTCGAATTAGGTGCTCTGGTCGACTGTGATATTTCTCGACAAACACGAGCATTCTTGAAGCGGCCGATGAGGGCTGAAAATAAGCAGAATAAAAGAAAGCGATAACAAGCGTTCGAATTTTGTATCGTCCCATAGAATACGCTTCCAGTGGTAAGGCTATGTCGATCTCTCAAAAGAAGCTGTACTATAATGCGATCTTAAAACTTCTTCCAATCCTTCGCCATCTCCCAAGCGTAGCCGACTTTGTAGCAAGTAACCTCCTCCCAGAACTTCCCCACAATCTGCATACTAGCAGGTACTTTCGCGCCTCCCGATCCATTCACGAAACCAATGGGCACAGCTAAAGCGGGATGACCTGTTGCGTTGAAAGGGCAAGTATTTTCAAGTTTTCCGATAGTCTTGCTCATTTTTACAATTGGATTATCATCGGGTGACGGCAACGGCTCAGCGGGTGTGATGGTCGTAGGCATGACCAAAATATCGTAATTTTCCAAAGCCGCATCGTAGTGGTCAGTCAATTTGCGACAGAGGTTGACGGATTTTGCATAGACCTGAGGAAACTTTTCCCAGCAGTATTCGCCGGAAAAGAGCGCGTTTTTGTTTATTGGACTCATCTGAGTCACTCGTAAGATAGTTTCTGATTGCAGGTAAATTGGACATATGACTTACTTTATCGATCACCTCGGCTGTAGGAGGGACTAACTGACTGTATAAGTCGGGAAACATTACTTGACGTCGTCCGGTAGCATGACCAGCTCGCCCCTAAAGGCTGGTTAGCTTTAGATATTATACAAGGAGATTGATCAACGAACAATAGCGCCACCTTGCTTACTTGCAGCACCAAAGATTGCAGGAGCAATTTCATGAATCGGAATGCTGGCCTCCTCAACTTTGGCCCCTAATGCCTTCAGCACCTCGACAGCAGCGAGAAATTTCTCTTTAATGCCTTTATCCATAATACTCGAACTCAGCCCTTCTTTTAACACACCAATCCGAAGACCTCTAATGCCGGCTTCTTGAGTATCGATTAGAATTTGCGAATACTTCGGTACTTGTTCTCGGAATGGCGTGCCGGCTCTTTGTCTATCATCAAGCCCGTCAACTCCAGCAATGGCCTCCAAAAGAATAGCGTTGTCGATAACGCTCCTTGTCATGGGGCCAACGTAGTCTATGAGTGCTTCATTTGAGATACACCCGGTGTACGGTACCAATCCAGCAGTAGCCTTGAACCCTACAAGACCACATAAACTAGCAGGTATTCGGATAGATCCACCTTGATCCGCACCTATACCTAGGTCTACTCCCTTTGCAACCAGATTTGCAGTGCCACTGCTACTACCACCTGCACTGTAGCCTTTGGCATACGGATTGTTGACTGGTCCCGTTCCTGCTGTGAACGAAGCAGCACTAGTGCTTAGGTTTTCACACACAGCTTTTCCTACTATGACACCACCTGCTTCAATGATTCTTGACACTATTGTCGCATCAATCTTCGGCGTCCAGGCCGACTCGACTTCTCTTCCTATCAAACAAGGAACACCAGCGACAGCTATGTTGTCTTTGATACATACACTTTTTCCTTGCAACAAGTTGCTAGTGGGAGACTTATGAGCAAGACGAAACCGGAAAGCCCACGCGTTGTCTTGATTGTCTTTCTTATCAGGAAAATGACTGACAGAAAGTAAGAAAATGAAGTGTAGGCATGGAAGACTTTCGACTCACATGTTCTCCCTGGGCGCAAGAGTGAAATCTGGCTCAGGCTGGTAGTCTATGATACCATTAGTTGTATGCCTTTCCTGTAGGTGGTTCAAGTCAGTACCATCCATCTCATCAACAAACTGCATGGCGTTACATGTTGCCGCCACAAGAGTTGCGTAATGTGCTTTCTCATTTTCTTTGAATTTGTACCCATACTTATCAGCAATGTGGTCCAAATCATCTTCAGTAACGTTGACGCCACTATATATCGATTAGCTTGTATCTCCAGCGGGCCATGTTCAACTTGCTTCGCCGGGGTAAGTGAGAGAAGCGACATCTTGGCGGTAAGTATCTCAACGATCGAGAAAGGCAAATGGAATATCCCAACTGAGGAGTGTCGAATAATGGACTGCCCCGGGAGACATGGCCTTGATATAACGTACCGCGAACCTGCGGGAGCATGTACCGTCGACAGCTTCACATCCCACTCCTCGATAACTTCGGAGATCCGCAACATGCGCTCAGCAATCGGTCAATCTTGATTTTGCCGTCGACCAGTATGAAGTTACGGTTCCCAACTTTGAGATTTCAACGGATCTTGTCCTTGGTCTGGAGTCCTAGTTGTTAATAGAGGCAGTATAGCATGGACACCATAGTTTGGCGCCCTTTCCAGCATCGACATAAAGAAATACCGAGAATTGGATTTCCATGTTTTGTCTTTTCCCGCAATCGAGCAGCCAATCTACCGACTCTGAAAGTACGAGGCGGCTGCCATGACCATTTATGATCAAACAAATTTTGCGTCCGAGGCAGTTTCGGCATTGGAATCTCACAAATGATACATGTTTTCTCATGCACTCCGCTCTTGCGATGATCACTCAAGAGTAGAGAGTAGCAAGAGCGATAGTCGCGATATTCGCCATATCCATGGATGCGGAGTTGTGAACGCAGAATGCTCCTCGGGGGACGTGGTCCAAAGAAGGATCGGGCTCCCGTCGCGCGACTCGAGAAAAGCGAGCGGATTAGACTTTATCCGGTTCCGAAACATTTTCCTGACATTGGATGCTCGAAGGCGACAACGAAAGAGTGGACATTGTTCACAACGATGGTTGCCAGTCGAATATTTCGTGCAAGTAGTTGTGCGAATTGCCGCTTATCAGTATTGAGGCATTTCGTATCAATTGGAGTACAAACGCCGCGCATTCCGCTTCCAACTACAACCGCATTGCGACCATCTCCATCGTTCAGTCGATACGGACGTTCGTTTTCGAGCCACCGCAACCTTCGCCAGCGCGAGACGCCAGGATGGGACCAGGGTATAGAACATCGATTCGATGAGAATGACGAGCACGAGAGTGTGGAGGAAAGGATCAGAGAAGATAACCCAGGAGAGACGGACGTAGCAGAGGTAGATCTGGAGGAGCTAGATGAAGATGCAACGCCATGGTATCTCCAGGTCGAACCGCCAGAACGAGCACCGCGGCCACTATCAGAACGCCAAAAAATGCCAGAGCTACCAGAACGACCTCCCCCAATTCTAGAACCCCTTCTTAACCAAGTGTCGATTGATCTCGGTCTCGACAACTTGACTCTGCTGGATCTTCGAAAATTGGATCCGCCACCGGCCCTGGGAGCCAATCTAATTATGGTCATCGGCACAGCGCGAAGTGAAAGACATTTACATGTGTCCGCGGATCGACTGTGTCGTTGGCTAAGAAGTACATACAAGTTGCGACCGAGCGCCGATGGACTGTTGGGAAGAAATGAGCTGAAATTGAAGCTCAGGCGTAAAGCGAAAAGGGCGAAGTTGACAGGTGGTTCCGACGAAAATGCTGATGATGGGATCCGGACCGGCTGGGTGTGTGTGGATGTGGGTGTTATTGAGCCAGCAGATGGGGTGGAAGTAGTGGAGCAACCACAGGGGTTTGTTGGGTTCGGTCGGAGGACAGATGGTGTAAGATTGGTGGTACAGATGCTCACAGAAGAGAAAAGAGAAGAGATAGACTTGGAACGGCTGTGGGGGGGGATTTTGCGAAGATCAGGCGAGCCAGGTGAGATGCTAGAGGATGGCGCCCAGGGCGAGGCTGTGAGCGAAGCAGACCTTGGTACCCCAACGGTAGCACATTTTTTGCCAACGCGAAGCCTGGATGGCCCCTCGTCGGTCCCAGGTAAAAGAAATTTTCATACCAGTGCGCGCAGGCTTGTATCCAGTGAAGGGAATCCACCGAAGAGCAACACTGTTGGAGCAGAAACTGCACTCTACAGCAAAGTTTCAGCATTTCTAGCATCAGGAGATTATGAAGCTGCGGAGGCTTCTCTGAGGCGAGCTTCCGAACTGTATCCGCGATTGAGTTATGGCGGTTGGAGCAATGTCTTCCAAGAACAGCTCCTTCTGCATATTCAAAGTCTTCCGCAAAAGCAGGCGCTTCAACTACTAGGCACTGGCTTTACCGACTACAAATCGACACCTTTTCTCCGTTCTTTCTACGGTAGCCTTGAGATGTACCCTAAGGCAACGGAAGTAGAAGCGAGAGTTTGGCTGCATGTGTTTGCACAAACATTGAATCATAACGGATATCCATGGCATGGGCTTCTTGACTTGTTCCGCTCATTGCAGCTGGCTGGCGCATCTATATCCCCAGTGGCGTTTAAGCGAATGGCTCTTGGAGTTTTATGTGCGTATCAAGCTAATAATCAAACTGGTGATCGAAGCCTAGCAGCGTTGAACGGAGTGTTGGAAATCATTCGGTGTATGTACTCTCAGGGGCTCGAGGTCATCGACGAGGGATTATTCGTGGAATTGCAGGAGGCAACGAGGTCTGCAGAATTACCTGGTCATCCAGTGGAGTCTTTGGAGTCCTTCGCGCTTCCATCGTATCCTTTATCTGCGTTGCAGGGTCGACTTCATGCCTTCATGATCACTGTCGACCTACCCTGTTTTACGGAAGCGAACAGATTGCGTTTGATGGACCTTTATAGATCGCAGGGTAATTGGATAGAATTCTGGGACATCTTCAGAATGGCTCATCGACGGGGAAGATATCAATCAGCCAGCATTTACGCCTTTATGTTTGCCAGTGTGGCAGGCACTGGACACCAGAGGGGTTGTATGAAAGCTCTTCGGATTTGGATATCATCTATGACACATGAAAGTCCACCGGTTCCTATAGAAGGCCAAGTTGCGCAAGCTATCAGGGCTTGTTTGAAGGTTGCTGATCCTTCTGTGGAGGAGAAGGCCAAGAGTGACTCCGAATCCAACGATGAGTGGGTGGTGCTATGGCAGAAATGTGGATGGTCTGAGGAACAAGGTCAGCGGTTCATGTACGAGTAGGTAACTTTGCATTGCAAATGGGCTCAGTCCAACTAAGAAGATGTTGTAAGATTACTTATGTATAATATGTATAGCTAGTCTGGTACATCAATCAATAGCCTATGTACAACCCCTCCGAAAAGTCGTGTTTTGGTTGCAATTCGATGTCTACTGGTGACCACGTTAGCCAGCCGCCATACTAATGTGTTCCAAACCCCTCGAGTACTTTCGCGTTCAGTTGTCTGGTGCTTGTGTTTAGTCGTTGGTTTCAACTCGTTCCGGGAGCTTGAAATTGCCCGTCGTTGGTAGGGCTGAGCTTCACTCACTATCCGCGCTCCACGTCCCCAGGCCAACCACAACCAATCAACTCTCAGCAACGCCGGTGTCTCAAACCCACCACCACGCGCATCATTCAGCTTGTGATTCAACACAATCCCTTTGTTATATATATTTATCTTATTTCCACTGTTTCACGCGCTGGCTTGACTGCTCTGTCTTCCATCATCAATATCAGGCAAAATGAAGCTTCAAGCCGTAACCCCCGTCATCCTAACTCTCTTGCCGGTTACCACAGCCTGGGGTACACTAGGCCACACCACAGTTGCGTATATCGCCTCCAACCTCGTCACCCCGCCTACGACCCTTTTATTCCAAGATCTTTTGTACAACAGCTCCGAACACTATCTGGCTAGAGTAGCTACCTGGGCGGATAGTTTCCGTTATACGAGCGCCGGAAGGTTTAGCGCTAAATTGCATTACATAGACGCACAAGATGATCCGCCGGAAAGGTGTGGGGTGCAGATGAAGAGGGACTGTGGTGAGGGTTGTATTATTGGCGGGATTGGTAATTATGTGAGTGGGGATAATATCATGGGTGGGAAAACTGGTTTCAATGATGGTGATAGCTGATGAATGGTGTTAGACGAGATTATTACTTGACCCTTCGACACCTAGAGGCTTGAGGAATATGGCTGCTAAGGTATGGTTTAACCTTCTGCACTAATGGATTCATGCTGACTATTTGTAGTTCATTGTTCATGTAAGTATGAGAACCATCTACAGTTGTACTTCACGACAGCCAAGTGTTTTGCTTCTTCTTGGTGATCACCACATATTTTTCAGTGAAGGCGCTTTAGCGAATTTTCATGTGTCTTGGTTTGGATCAAGATAGAACCCAGATCTCTTTACATTGCTGACACACGCCTTCAATTCAGTTCCTAGGCGACATCCACCAGCCGCTCCACACCGAATCACTTCTTCGGGGTGGCAACTCTATCGCCGTGCTATTCAATACGCACATAACGAACCTTCACCACGTCTGGGATACCTCCATCCCCGAAAGTCATGTGGGCGGTTATTCCCTCCCCTTCGCTCAATCCTGGGCCGCCAATCTCACAGATTCTATTCTTTACGGAAGGTATAAAACCCAAGCCGAGAGTGAATGGCTAAAAGGCATGAGTCTTGGCGATCCGGAGGGGAGTGCCTTGATTTGGGCGGGTGAGAGCAATGCCTTTGTCTGCTCTACTGTCCTGCCCGAGGGGAAAGAGGGTGTGGAGGGTGTGGAGTTGAGTGGGAAGTATTTTGAGAATGCGGTGCCAGCCGTCGAGTCGCTCGTTGCTAGGGCTGGTTTTAGGTAAGTTGATGTGAAACTCCAGAGCAACCTTGGAGGTGGGATACTGATGATTGATTTTTAGGCTCGCCGAGTGGTTGGATTTGATAGCTCTGGGTGTAGAGCGAGATGAGTTGTGATATCTTCCTGTATATAGTTCTTGACAGGACCCTACCGTCAGGGAACCCATCCAACCTGTGAATTCCAGGTAGAAAATGCTAAAATGTCGTTTATCCGTCTAAGTGGTCTAATATCTCGCCAAGTTGCAGCAAATCATAACTCATGGATATCGGTAATTCGATCAATCATTGAGAAGAAACTTCAAAAATGCTTCCGCCACAATAACGCCGTCCTGGTATTTGTCCGCTCGTTCGATAGACTCCTCATATTCAGCTTTGTTAAACAAGCCCATTTCATGTCGTAATTTCATAAGTGTTCGCATAATTTCTCCCGTGAATTCCGGATGTCCTTGAACGGTGATGATGCGCTTTTCGATATACATTCCTTGTACTGCGCATCTATCGGTGTACCCCAGTTGCTCTACTTCGGGGGGATACTCGTAGACAATGTCTCGATGCATTTGATGTAGCGCCTAACTCAATCAGCGCTCATCCAACCAAAAGACTGGATACTACTTACCAAGGACGCTCTTCCAAATATCTCTTGGCCCCTCTTGGTCAAGTCAATAGCTGTCACACTCGTCTCCCAACCCTTATCACTTCTATCGACTTTAACACCCATCGCCCTCCCAATAATCTGGTGACCAAAGCATACACCTATTAATCTGACTCTTCTCTGCCTCAGCACTTCCTGCGTAAACTCAACCAGCTTCACAATCCACCGGTCATTGTCAAAAGAATTATACTTGGAACCGGTGATGAGAATGCCGTCTACATCTTCTAGCTTTGGGTATTCATGTGCTGCAACAACGTCGAATGAGGATATTTCTAGGCCTGAAGTCGAAGATAAGCCTTCATGTTTGAGGTTGTCGGCGCCAGCTTGGAGAAGTGCTTTAAATATGCTTCCGTAGCCTCCATATTTTGCACGGATGGACTCGACGGGGGTATCTGTTTCGAGGATGGCGATGCGGAGGGGAAGGGATGGCATTGTGGCTAGGGAGGAGTGAAGATGTGTATCGGCAGATGAGTTTATTGAGTTCCTGTGAATCAAACGAGGTGTGAATACGATTATTGATACGGAGTACATGCAAAAATGGGATATTCGATGTTGGGTGTGTCAATGCCGTGTACCCGCAATCGGAGCTGCCAGAAATTCACGATAAGAAAGCTATCTTAGCTTGAAGAATCTTGATCTGGCACGTGATCTTCAATCGGATAGGCCAATTCTAATGCCGAACGCCGATGGCTCTTCTCCATCTGCATTCGACAAACCACCACCTCCACCACCAGTTGATCTGCTGCTACCTTACCTAGCAAATGGAGTTCCAGCCACCATTCAATGTCCCACCGCAAACAGTAATCCGACTTCGATATCCAACACCACGAGCCCATTAGCCGTTCTTCGAAGGTGGGATTTCGTTTTGTTCATCATTCCACTGCCGAGCACTCATGCAGGAATGTGGGCCTCGACCCTTAAGGTATGGCAGCAGTAACTGATGCTTCCTTCCTGATGTTGAAACTTCAACCTGACCTTGGATTCTCTATTCACACACTCTCATCTCACTGTTCTCTCCGCGTCAAGTCTATATACCCAAACTCACGGCTTTGTCTGGCTGGGGACTTGTCATAGTTTTATTCATATTTCAAACCAGCTATTTGGCATTCAAGCCACCTTTGCATTTACTCCAATCCCACTCTAGTCCAGCCAGTTGGTTCAGATGTTGGCTGTAACAAAATATATGCATAAAGGGTTCCCCGCATGAGTCATTGCTAGAATTCTGATTCGAGCATACAAATTTCCAAGAGTCGAGCACTGTCCTTTGTCGATTATCTTTCATAATCTTTCATGATATTTGATCGCCAGTCTTGAGTTTCATACAGGCGAACATCAGCATGGTTCAAGAGAGAGGTCGCTCAAATCCTCGTACGGTAGATGGGCCCTCGGAGCGTACAGCATTACTAGCTGCGCCCAGTGGCCACTACTCGCATCATGGAGCTACTCAACAAAGGGAGGACGGCGATGGTGATGAAATCGACCCGAATGAATTTGACCTCATTTTGTCCCGATCAGAGTCGATTACCACGGGCATAGGGGTTGAAATTGAATCTCAGGAGACAGCAATGCTAAGAGGTCCCCGGAAATATAGTTCATCGAGAAAACACAAACCCATCCTGGACCAGACTGGAAATCCGGGGAAGACATTGGGTGCGAGCGGAAACGATAACGAAGCCATCCTAGGACAGGGAGAAGAAAATTCAGACACAGAGGCAGACTCCCCTTTTCTGGCAGGAGTTAGCGTAGCAAGGTTTTGGTTTATCTTCAGTGGAGTTTTGACTACATACTTCGTGTGTTGCTTCGACTCAACTATTATGGTTTCGTCTCATCCAGTGATCACATCGTACTTCCACAGCTCGAACAGCGCCTCTTGGCTCTCTACGGCGTTCTTGTTAACATCGACCTCTTTCCAGCCGTTGTTCGGAAGACTAAGTGACTCGCTCGGGAGAAAGATCCCATACCTGTTCACCATGATGGTCTTCGTTGGCGCGACTCTATGGTGTGCACTGGCGCAAAGTATGCTGAGTTTCATTATGGCTAGAGCGTTATGCGGACTCGGGGCTGGAGGTGTCATGTCTCTTGGGTCAATCATCACGTCTGACCTCGTACCTATCCAGATACGAGGAACCTATCAATCATACATCAATATAGTGTTCGGGATCGGATCTGCTTTGGGCGCTGCACTTGGTGGAGCAATTGCCGATCATCTTGGCTGGAGGTAAGCTCATTTCATTACAGGTTCAATGTTTTATAAGTATGTCAGTTAGGATGAACCCATGGATGGTCCTGACAGTCGAAATTTGCATACCTCGCGTTGTCCACTCGAATTTCACAACTAACATGAACATTTCTCTTCAGGTGGGAATTTGGAATCCAGCTTCCGGGACTACTCACGTGCCTATCTATTGCTATTCTTTCGGTTCCTCACGATCTTGGTCTGGCTAAAGGTGTGAAACGCAAGACTTTGTGGGAGGCGATGAAAGTATTCGACTTTAAGGGGTCGCTTCTTTTGACGACAACTATCACATCACTCATACTTGGACTTGTAAGTCTTTTTGATTGCTTAACGCTTGTACTTGATAACGACTAATCCATCATCAGAACCTTGGTGGCAATGTGTACCTATGGTCTCATCCTATTGTGATCACTGCCCTCGTCTTCTTCCTAATCGGCTTCCCGTTGTTCATTTACGTCGAGTCCACAGTGGAGCTACCGATCATGCCACTCCGATATCTCTATCACAACCCCCATGCCGCATTGATCTTGAGCAATAGTATTGGCGCTGTCGTGGTAAACTCCGTCATCTTCAACATTCCTTTATACTTTCAAGCTGTCCTCCTCGAGTCCGCAACTACCTCAGGTCTACGTCTGATTGTTTCCACAATTGCCGCTTCAATAGTGGGAACGGCAACAGGCTTTTACATCACCTGGTCCAAGCAACTCAAAATCCCTTTGGTACTTGGCGTGGTGTTTTTGCTTGGCGGAACCATCCTCTATATCTTTATGGATAGACACATGCCAAATTGGGCGTTTATACTCTTTCTCATCCCTTCAAACATTGGCCAAGGGTTCATGTATCCAGCAACTTTCATCGCCATCCTCGCTGTCTCGGAACAGGCCGAACAAGCAGTCGTAACCAGCACACTTGTTTTGTGGCGGTCCATGGGTTTGGTGCTCGGGGTCGCAATCAGCAGTCTCGTGCTACAAAATTCGTTATATTATTATCTTGAATTACTCATAACCGGGCCGGATAGAGAGCATGTCATACAAGCGGTTCGGAAAAGTGTTACAGCGATATCAAAACTAGATCCGATGTACAAGGAACAGGCTATTAATTCCTACGCTGCTGCATTAAGATCTACTTTTGCTATGGCCGCCTTCATTGCGGTTGTTCCGTTTGTACTTACAGTCATGGTTAAAGTTCCTAAACTGGGTCAAAGGAAGTAGGCTGGAGCGTTGGAAAATGTTATGAGTGATATTTTCTTTTGGTATTAGCATAAAAGCGAGCGAGTCTGAAACAGTGTTGCATGAATTCACTTTCTTCAGCGAGAACCATGAATGTCTCGACATATTTGTACTAAATGTTACTTATACTAATGCTACACAGTGCTAAATCAAAATCTGTCTCCAAAAATCAAACTATGAAACCAAACCCCTCGCTTCTATCTGCATGACCTCACCCAAAATCCCAAACAACAGATCTCGTAGAAATTTGCCACCTAATATCGGGGATAAGGTACTCCAGGCATCCACATTTGGACAGTTGATTTCGTTGCACATCGCATGGAAGAAAGATGTTCCAATTATTTTACCTAGAGCAAAGAATACGGAAGTGGAATTTGCCGTGATAATGAGCTTAGGATTTTGGGACAAGGGGCGTGGAATAATAATTGCCCTTTTCTCGTTTAGAATTCGAGGGAAGCAAGTGGCGGTGACCTACTGAGCAATCTTTTACTTTATACAAGATATGTGAGAATACTCCCTTTTCCTAATTTCAGCCCCTGGGAATATTGCCAAAACAATTGTTGCGGGGAACAAGAAACGAATGAATCAAAGTGTCAATTCCAAAAATCACATCTCATGGTATTCCACAGAATCGTAATTTGTACTCTAAAACAGCATTGAATGAGATGATTTGGTGCCTGAATGACAGCTATGTAATTGCTCATAAAAGTTAAAACGGGTGGATCATTGTCCCTCAGAGTAGGAGGATGGAACATTGTAACTTGCTTATGGGTGGACCGTGGATTTTTCGAGTAACGAAGTTAATTAGCATGAATATACAGCTTCAAGAGTGTGCAAGTGATCATCCTTTCTTAAAATGTTTTAAATCATTGGCTCATTGTTGCAAATTACTCAGGGAGGGGAAGTGTAGTGGTCGCTTCTGAAGTTAGTGTGTACTTCCTTTAATAAGTCAAGTACAGTAATTCAGACGAGGACTCATTTCTAAAGTCTCTAACAGTTTCAATAACTTAATTAGTGGACAAAATTTCCGTGATATTTCATTTCCTTGTTAGTGTGTTTATGTGAGATAACGAAGTCAGTCTATCGAGCTAATAAATGTCAGGTTAATTTTTTTGGCAGCCAAAGTTTAAACTAATAGCAAAATCAAAGAGCATTATTATCAAGAAGAATTTTAAATGTAAATTGCATGTATATTGGGTTTGAAAAATAAGGGAAGCAGGTAGGTATATGTAGGATTCGTTCGTTAAGCGAGTGATTTTGAACAAATCTCTATAGAAGTTTCACTTTCTACAAATCTCGCCTCTAATATCACATCGCAGCAAGGCTCAAGCAAATTCGAGCGCGTAATCGCAGGTTGGTTGATCGTTAATATAATAAAGAACGAAAGATCTAATGAAATTATTTTTAAACTCCTCGTTGCGAGGGAATTTTGAGTTTACACGACAAGATGTCGCACGTATTATATATCGAACCTTGTAAACTTCAGTATATAAATGCGGTTTCATTAGTAGATGGATTTGGAAGTGCTAAATTTTATTAATAGTGGCTTTTCTTGGCACCATTCCCCGTCTAATACAATTTACACGTTGACGAGATACGAAAAGTCGAATTGAACCTCCCAGCACCAACAGATTTAGGATAACCGTTTGTGCTCCTAGGATCTTAAACTCAGCTTTTGAAAATGCCTATTTTTCGATGTAAAATTCTGATGACTTCTCCCCGTTCGGTTCCGAGGATCATTTTGGAGATGAATTTGTACCTAGGTAGGTGGTAGGTACTTATCGCAAACTAGCTGCCTGAGGTTGACAGTATGTATCGAACGCTAAGAAATAAATTGTATGAGCTTCCGAAGGACAAGAGGAGCCACAACGGCGTAGACAACACCGCGCCTGCCACCAAATTAACATTCGAATACCCATCCTCGATACATCGCCTTCAAGCATCATCTCGATAACGCGCCATTGGGAGACCCTGCTCCCCCAATTGATGCTCGTTGCAGCCGAAGCAACAATGTCCTTCCGCGCGCCTGTTCAACCTTTCCTATCCCACATCCGCACATTCACAAGCTCCAATACATTATGGGCGAAATCAACGAAACAGCGACTAGCGTTTGAGCATGCGTCTGTCCCTCCATATCCCTACGGACCTTCGCAAATCTACAAACAATCGAATTTCGGTCTCTATGGTCTTCAAAAGATCAGATTCGGCAACATCGTCTCGAAGAAGAACGAGATCAAGACCCGCAGACACTGGCGTCCTAACGTACATTTCAAACGGTTATGGAGTGAGAGTTTGGGCGTGCAGATCAGGCTACGAATTACTACGCGTGTCTTACGGACGGTGGACAAGTGCGGAGGACTAGACGAGTATCTGCTGGGCTCGAAGGCGAGACGGATAAAGGAACTGGGCATGGGAGGATGGAAACTTAGGTGGAGGATTATGCAGACGGATAAGGTCAAAGAGAGGTTTAGGAAGGAGCGGGAGGCTCTTGGGTTACCACCGCTCGAGGGCGAAGTGAACGCTGAAGGTGTAGCTGATGAAGCGGGTCGGTTGGAGGCTATAGCCCAGATTGACCAGGAGTTAGCGAAGGGAGTGGAGGTCACTGTTGGAGAGGTGGATTTGCAGGAGGGAGAAGTCGATGAAGTGGATGCATCGGAGGAGAGTTTCATGGAGGAGAAATCCCCGCGGGACGGAAGAATTGTTGTATGAATATGGTGGGGAGGAGCTTGTACGATCAATGTATCTCGGAAATGTGGATTTCGTATCCAGAAGACCTTCACGGTGGAGTGAATAATCCCATACAACATCAAAAAGCACAAATTCGGATTAGCGCGCCCACATGTGATCTGATGCCTGATGCACTGCTGCGCCCATCGACCATCTCTCTGGTCCAAGAAATGGTTCTGAAACGAAAGCATCTTCATTTCATTTGTAACAAGACTCCTTTTCTTGATCGCTGTTGCCCTTCAATCACTTTACCAATCAACTCCTGAAATGGACAATGTTACCGCTTCGGCCGCCGAATCGCTCGTCGAGCATTCCCCCCTCCTACGGCTACCACCAGAACTTCGTGAAAGAATATTCCTGCACCTAATACCTAGTGTCCCAGAGATAGGCATCTGGGCAATTGAAACAGCAATGTTACGACCTCGACTTCGAGAAGATGGCCAACCGTGCTGCCCTGCACTACTTAGAGTTAATCGAAAAACGCATCACGAGTTGTCACGTTTATGGTATTCTAACCAGCTGTACACCGTTTTCCTGGGTCCAAGACGGCTTCGGGATGTAAAGCATCTCATCATCTTCTGTGGTTCACGCTTCTTCCCACGTGAGCCATTGCCGATGAATCTACGACTCCTTCGATTCGTCTGTTTGGATATCAAGCTTTCATATAAGGCGCATGAAATTGCTGTGTTGTTGACAGCACTTGTACGACAATTGTCATCGCCAGACATTCCGGTTAAAAAACTCCTATTGCGTATCATGCTGCCAATAGAGCTCTTCGTCGCGGCTTCACACGAGGAGAAAGAAACGCTCTGGGCATACTTGGATGCAAATCTGGGTAGTATTGGATGTTTGAGAGGTGGCCCAAATACAGAAGTGCAGGTCTTTGGTGATCCCGGTCTCTCTTCACCAGTCTGGGTTGATATTATTCCCTTTTCTCGGCCTGTAGCCATTTGCAAGCTCGCATTCGAGTATTTGGAAATGCTGCTTGGTGGTAGAGTCATACAAGTTGATACAGAGGAGCAGAAGACCTCATGAGAATGTCATGTGGGCAACTTAAGGGTTCTTTATCGCCCGAGTGTATATATATACGTAATTTCACAAATTTTCTTGCCCATTTCTGGGTAATTGGATTTACAGAAGAGAGCTTCTAACAATCAACACCGCAATTGAACTTCCATCGGATATTTTGATTCGGCTGGTAGGATTCAATGCCCGTAAAAGCCTGATGTATGTATTCACTTTTAACCAAAACCTACAGGCAGTCAGGAAGTTCAAGGCGATATGAGCATCAGGTGAGTAATTAAAACTTCGGTTTATCCTCAGACATAGGTGAAGACACCATGTTGGCTCCCCGTAAAGTTACAAGTAACTCACCCTGATTAACCTAGTCTCTAGGATGATTACTTTGGTGTATTTCTTCAACCTGAGGGCTTTTCTTCGCTTTAACAACTAGTGGGCACACAATGCATAACATAGACATATGGCTTGTGTTTGACAAGATGAAAGTTCGTATCCTCGGAGGCCTTCTGGTTTGCGGTTTGTTGACTCAGCGGGTGAGGACTTAAAATTTATGTGTTCATTACAGGTGCAGAAATTGTCCACTTGTGACTATTGCTCAAACTGAGGAATCTTGCTTCTTCCGTACATCCATTCAGGATCTTTGCTTCCATTTCTTGCAAAGACAGTCAAAACAAATATAGGCGACAGCAATGTAGCTAAACATGCAGACCAAGAAACCCAATCAAGTTCGCATTCCTATGAGAATGAGTGTCTTGAGCTGCAAGCATTTGACTTTTCCGAATTGATTTAATATTGATTTAATAACCCGTCTTGGTATGTTTGATGGCTCATTGATAACTGGCACAAAGCAGTGACAAAACATGTGAACGAAAGATTAAATTGGGCATCTAATTCAGGGTTCGATGTTTATAGTCTGTGACTCACGCTCCACCATCTCATGTATTATGTGGTATCTTCCACTTTGCTACAAGATTGCATACAGTTGTTCGAAGTATCTCTAGTGATTTTAACCTATCAAAGATTTAGCTTATTAGTCTCCACCGCAGACATATATCAAAGAGGACTTGAAGATCTGAGAGGCTACATTGGGGATTTTAGTACATAATAAATATCGCATTTTTAAAGAATTACACGGAAGGCATCATGTAGCTCGAATGACTTCGCTTGAAGAAGTACTCCGTAGCCCAAGTAGCTCTTGGATTATACTTATAGTTTTTTTTTAAGGATACTTAGGTATATTCTATAGACTTAAATAGCCTAAGACAGGAAGGGTATTCCGATAGACCCACTAAGGCCGGTATAGTTTAACGACTATTTTAGTGAGACACGACTCGCTTAAGCGGCGATCGTTCACAACATGGAAACCCCGTTCTCGTCACAGTGACCGGATTCGCTTATAACACGACGACACCACCTGGGCATGCTACAGAACCCGTCTGGGCCTGTAAGGTAATAATAATACTACTACAGCCGGGTATTTTCTTTGGGAAAATGAAGACACGAGATAGATATCCCCTGCCAAATGGAGCCTGGACGGTCCTCCCCTACGGAAAATTCATTCCCTGCAGATCTCTCCCTGATAATCACTGCTTTTACGGAGGAAAGTGGAAGAGGGGAAGGGCAGAGCCAGACTCATTAACAGCTCGAATCACGCATGGGTACAACTTACTATCAGGAATAAACGTTTCCATTCCCCCGACCTGCAAAGTATTTAAAGTCAGAGCTGTGAACGTCAGTAAACTTGTTTCTACACAGGCCTAAGAACACGATCGAGTCCTAGAAGTTACCAACATGTTCTTTTCAACAATTCTCGCAGCAACGGCGGCCTTTTCTTTGGCAAGTGCTCTTTCCTCGTCTCTTCAGCAAGTGGCCGGTTTTACTTCGACACCCACAAAAGCAAAGATGTATGTGTATATACCGACAAACAAGTTGGCCAAGCCACCGATTGTCGTCGCCATACACCACTGCGCAGGCACGGGACCGAGCTATTTCAGCGAGACCCAAGGCTATGCTCAAAATGCCGATACTCATGGGTTCATTGTCATCTACCCTAGTTCTCCATCAAGCGGAGGCTGCTGGGATGTTTCTTCTACGGCATCTCTCACCCACAACGGTGGCGGAGACAGTCAGACGATTGTCAACATGGTCAAATATGCCGAAACGCACTATGGCGGTGATCCAGACAAAGTTTACATGACTGGAAGTAGCTCAGGGGCGATGATGACCAACGTCCTGGCTGGCGCTTACCCAGATGTTTTTAAGGCCGGAACTTTATACGGAGGTGTTCCTGATGGCTGTTTTTACGTCGCCGGCGCGACAGCTGGAATGGCCACCCCTGCCTGGAACAGTCAGTGTTCTGGGGGAAAGTTGATTAAGACGGCTCAGCAGTGGGGTGACCAAGTTCGCAGTTACTATCCTGGATACACTGGCTCTCGCCCTAAGATGTTGATGTATGTATCTTTGAACTTCTCTGTGCAGACTTGATCTTTCGCTAATAATCGATGTAGCTTCCACGGGACCATTGACACGACACTTTACTATGCGAACTTTGGTGAGGAGTTGAAAGAGTGGTCCAACGTTCTTGGCGTGTCCTTCAATCATAACCAGACCAACACACCCATCTCGGGCTACACAAAAATGATATATGGTGACGGCACAAAGCTAGTGGGGGTCTCTTGCTACAATGTTGGACACACCCCACCTGTGCGTGTCCCCGACGACCTGGCCTGGTTTGGCATTGCTTGAGCTGCTGGGTGTAGTTGGCAAATGTGTTCGGTATCCTAGACAGGCGCACGAATTCGGGAACTTACAAAATAAACTTCTTGCTACAATAAACATAAAAGTCTGTTGCATGATGAAAAACACTCACAATTCATGTCAATCACCATGCCTCTGAGCCTCTCTGTGGGAAACTCATGATTAACAGCAGTAGCGTCATTCCTGCTGTTTAACGTAGTTCGTACGCTTAGTGGTGTTCACTCCTGTTCTTGAGGGACCTCGCTGTGGTGTCGATCCTGAGAAAGAAGTAGATCATCACACACTTCAGCACGTGGAATCGCAAGTTATGCTTTAACTCGTATAGCCCTGTACGTTGCAGACTGACCTCCCTAACGCGAAACCAAGCGCCCCAATTACTTGATAGGAATCAGGATACAGGGACAGGATCCGTCGTAGATCCGATAGCCTGACTAGCGGGAACTCCCCACATTCCGCATGCGAAGTTGCAGTACTCGAGAGGGGCCGCCAGGCCTCCCCGCGCCGTGCTCGCTGGCATCAAGAGATATATTAAAAAATATATATTAAAAAATTATACTTTGAAAATGGCTTCTGAAACCCCTAATTTAAGTGAGAAAGATCCGTCGCGCTTAAACTCATGCCGTGCACACAGAACTGAGCAATGCCCTGTGGAAAGCACTTCAATTTCGATGGTTGTCATGCTGCATGCGATATAGCGAAGCATATTCCTTGCGATTGGAGGGGAAAACATTTGTTGTTATATTAGCCAGATGCTTCTTTTTTTTATTTGCCGAGGGTAAACAATAGGTAGGAGCGACGAAAACGCTATCACCCCTGTGCATGGTTCATCCGACCCAATGGCACCTTGATCCGCTTAAAAGCAGACGATCCTGTAGACTCGCTCATTCTTATACAAGATGTAGTTAGACTTATTGCACAGTACTACTTTGTGCGGTTTGCCGTATTCTAAAGCGATTTAAGGGGAAAGCAAGAAACATATCCTATTTCCGAGTCGCGTCTTTGAAAAATCAAACAGATATTGTTAAATCGCGGTATGAATAAGGCAGTTAAGCATAAGTGAGGTGATTATGGTTTCTAGGAAAGCACTCTTGTGGTAATGATAGCATTGGAATTCGTGAAGTGTCATTGCGGCAAAATTCAAGGGGGCTCCACCGTGTCAAAAGAGTTGCCAAGCCTTGTAAATTTTACCTTTTTACATACAAGTGGCATCGATGATCGAAAGCCTGAAACCGAATGTCATCAATGTACCGAACACCGGTTCTTTTCCATTTTCTTGACTTTCCACCTTCTCTCATCTCAACCACCTTATCCTACGTAGTCAACCCTGGTGAATCCACCTTGAACGACTCAATAAGAACAGATCCACCCAGAGTCTTTGTTGCATAATTGAAGATGGCATAGCGATAACCCGGGAAAAAGTTCCATGCCTGATTGAGCGTCAAGCTGCCTAGCTTCTGGAAGGATTTACCGTCGGTACTGTAATAGAAGTAACCCTGCTTTCCAGTCCCAGCATGAATATCCGCATAGACACGAAGCCAAAAGCGAGTGCCAGACACCGATGCGCTGCTGACTTCGGATCCAGTGTTTGCGGTAGCCCATGTGGATGTCATGGTCAGGCCGGACCACATGGAGATCTTGAGTGCCGTACCATCTCTGCGAACGCCAACCCACGCGCTCGTGTCGCGCAGGAGAGCGAAGCCGGCCCGGTCGCCATCTTTCATGTTCTCAACGTTCAAGATAATAGTCCCCGACGAGGTGGGGCCCAAGATGCGGCGAGAGAGGGTGTTGCGAGCTTTATATAGATCGCTGGTAACAGTTGCGGCAGACAACGTAAGGCCATTCTTAACTGAGAATTTACTGGTGTCGGGGTTGTGGTTCCATTCCCACTGCGGACCAAGAGAAGTCCCGTTGAAGTAATCAATCCCGCTAGGAGATTCTAGCGGACGTAACGGTAGAGGTGCTATGTATGAGGTTCCCCAGGCTCCGTTGGATGTTTGGAGCACTGGGAAGCCATCAGAACCCCAACCGATTGGTGCAAGAGCAGGAACACGTCCACCAGGATAGCTATCAACGAAGGCCATGTAGCACCATTCTCCTGCTGGCGTTTGAACTAAGCCACCTTGGTGAGGGACACCTCCCCCAGAGATCGGCCCTGGAAGATTCAAGAGCAATTGCTTGACTTCATAAGGCCCAAATGGGCCGTTGGTGGACTTCAAAATGTATTGTCCGTTGGCCGGTCTTGTGGCGAAAATGTAATAGGAGCCTTTTATCTTATACATTCGAGATCCCTCAAGCGTTCCAATGGTGGAGGGTGTCTGGTAGACAACTTGGGTCTTGACTTGGGAAAGACCATCCTTTGAGAGTTGCGCGACGGAAAGCTGCGTGTTGCCGTAGGCAATGTATATGGTATTGTCATCATCGATTAGCATGCCAGCGTCGTAATAACATGTGCTGATCTTTGTCTTTTGCTGCCAGGGACCGGTGACAGAGCTAGCGGTGTAAACGTAGGTGCCACTGTACTCGATACAACCATACCAAAACCAGGTGTTGTCGCTCGCCCGGTAGCGCATTGTCGATGCGTATATTCCTTTGACGTATGCAGTTGCAGCACCAGACATATCGTACTTTGAGCCAAAGCCAAGAGTTGGAACAGAATGCCCGATGTATTTCCAGTTGACGAGGTCGTAGGACATTAAAATCGGTGCCCCTGGTGAGTAATGCATGTTTGAAGCCGAGTAGTAGTAAACATCGCCAACTCGAAAAATATCCAAGTCTGCGAGATCCTCCCAGAGCACAGGATTTGTGAAAGACTGGCCAAAAACAGTTGAGAAAGCTAAAAAAAGAGCGAACAACTGTACAAGGAATAAATACATTGTGAAGATAGAGATGAGAGTCAGTGAGCAGCGCAAATTTGGAAGATGACAGAAGGAGGAACTGAGTATATATGTGTGAGGATGGAAGAAATTGGCTTCTAGTCACGGTTCTGACGTACTAGTTAAACTAGCTGCATGGGTCATACATTGTAGAAACCCGTAATATTTGGTATCGGCGGGAAGTGATGTTCTATACCGTCTGTCGCTTTAGATGGTTATCATGCGGGGGTAATTAGCCTGTAAACAAGTTAGACTTATGCCGAAGCACCCCAGCAAGAAGGTAATACAGACCCTTTCATGTTACTGGAGAGCTTATAGAAGCTGCTGCTAAACTACACATGGGAATTGACTCTAACCGCCTGGATTGTTCTGAGCTCCCCTCTCATTAGTTTGTTACCCCTTACATCTAAAACGAGTCGAGTGGGATAAAACATACCTTCCAACCCAGGACCGCATGCCATTCGACTGTGCTACTGCATCGGATTCGCTGTTAATGTCTACTGCCCGAGGTTTTCTTCCCCTGATGCTCATTTCTTCCTTCAAGGCTAGTGGAAATGCACAAGTGAGGCCTGCAGTGCTAAATGGAAGGGCACAACCCTAGACAATGGTTTTGAGGATTTCAGTCTTAACCTTAGAACGTTTTTTCATGATCGGAAGTTGTTGATCCGAGGCTGCGGGTATTGTGTTATTGCTGGTAGATGCACGTAGGTTGACGACGAATACACTATAACGAGTAAGTAATTAAGATTTACTAATCTGCTACTAACAAAGCTCATGGTCTCCAACTCCGAGAATAAATTCTACGATAAGTGTGGTTTCGTTATGTCGTTTCTTTCATGGATCCTTCTTCGATTTCACCTGAACTTGATCTCTAGGCTGGCAGCGACACTGTTACAAAGTAGAGTAAACACCTGCAAAATACTAGACGGTATGGAATTAGGGTTATGAAAAAATGGGGGTGTAGGTGACTGTTATAGGTACAATCGCGTTGCTTTCATCGTCGGATACCTTCATTTTCGTGTGAGTGCGTGATATTCAGATGGGCGAGCCCATAAACAATTGTGGCAGTCTTGCCTACTAGCTTTTGTACTGTTGTTACCGCTTGCTCGGAGTGTCTTCGAAACAAAAGGAAGGGGGGGGTTGACATATGACGAGGCATTAACATGAGCGAAGTCCTTGGCAGAATGACTTTAAAAACTAATTCGGATTCCAACAGTTATAGTACCTGCATCCGAACCACAAATATATAAGCATAAATATATACCCAACGTGAGAGAATGCAGTGACGTGATACTTCCCTGGCCAATTTTATCTGCATGCGAGTATCTCGAGTCACAATCCGAGGCTAAAAGTACCCGTTCGGACTCGGATTCGGAGGCCTAAAACTCCTTGGCAATTTGTACCTCGCAATTCTGGAATACGTACACATTGGTGACAAAGAAGATCATGCTGATCTTGCTTCGAGCGAAGGCCAATTGCTCCATTCTCATGAGTAGTATGTCGCGAGTACGAGTAGTACAGCCCGAGGCTAGTGGCAGTATGCGGCGTGACTTACATATAAATGTTAAACTCTTCCAACACACTAAATTCGCCCTTCACCTATCTCACTGACATCAAGTTCTTTCTTTCTGTATCACTCACTAGATCTTTCCTTTTATCTGACGAAAACCTCCTGTCTTCAAAATGTACTCCTTCGAAGCTTCCAAATTCTTGGCTGCCGAATTGCTTATTGTCGGAGCCATTACATCTAGTGTTTCAGCGCAAAATTCCAGCACTTGTGCAGGTGTGAGTGATGCATGCACTTCACTCTCTGCACATTTTGGTGACCAAATACTCTTCCCGACATCGGCAAACTACAGTGCTGAGAATCTGAACTATTGGGACGTCCGAAGTTCTGATCTTGCCTCAACCTGCATGTTCCTACCGACAACGGCCGATCAGGTTGCAACTGCAGTCGCGCTCTTCAATCAATGCGGCGCAGAGTTCTCAGTCCGAGGTGGTGGACACATGAATGTAAGTTGTGGTTCCATGTTCCTGCACTCGTGGTTAACTGTTGCGAAGTTCCCTGGCTCCAACAACATCGATGATGGCATCCTCCTAGCCTTTGATCAGATGACCAGCATCACTGTGAATACAGAAGCCAGTACCGTGGATGTTTCACCTGGAAATCGGTGGGTCGACGTGTATCAGGCTCTCAATGCTACTGGAGCTTATGCCATTGGTGGTCGTCTCAAAACAATCGGAGTTGCAGGACTTGCACTTATTGGAGGACATCATTACTGGAACAACAAGTATGGCTTTGCAATGGACAATGTTGTCAATTACGAAGTCGTCCTCGGGAACGGAACTCAAGTCAGCGCCAATAACGCTACAAATCATGATCTCTTCTGGGCTCTCAAAGGAGGAGCAAACAACTTTGGCATCGTCACCAAGTTTACCATGAAGACGCACCAAGTTCCTCTAATAAGTACAACGGCTTTGACCTACTCCGAAGAACAAGTACCGGGCTTCATCACTGCTGTTGTTGACTTTGTAGAGAGTTCGGAGGTGACATAGGCGCGGGTTTCTTCAATACCATCAGCCTGAACATAACCACTGGCGTCGTTTCTGCGAGAATAGCTGGGACCCAAGAAGGAACCGAATCTCCGCCTTCTCGGTTCGCGAACTTCACAGCCATTGGGCCTGTTTCTTCTTCGACGAATGTTATGCCGCCGGTAACCTGGCATGGCGCTTTGAAAACTTCTGATCAATTCGCTCGTGTGCAGTTCCAATCCAAAACAATGACACCGGATGCTGCTCGCCTCATTGAGATCTACCAAGCTTGGAAAGCCTCTGTAACACAGGCTGCCGACGTTGAAGGACTTCAGCCGACTTTCGTTCTGAACGTGATTTCGGCTAGCGGAGCCAAAGTCGGAAACAATAATGGCGTAGGTAATGTCTGGGGTCTGGAGGAGAAGAACTTGATCAGTAAGTCCTCCTCAATGTGCCAAGTGGTGTATTCTCTTCGCCAGCTAATGAATGCGTAGTTTGGCAACTTTCCAACGGATGGGTCAACCAAGCAGATGATCTTCGCGTGACGAATTGGGCCAAAAACTTCGTGGACTACCACCATAGCATCAACCAGGCGTCAAGTCTCGCATCCGAATTCCTATACATGGGCGACATTGGCGAAAATCAGAATCCTTTCCTTGGTATGCCGCTTGCCAACGTCCAGCGCATGAGAGAAGTGCGTTCTGCATATGATCCTGCTGGTGTCTTCAGTAACTTGAATTGGGGAGGATTCAAGCTTGGCCATTGAAGCCCGTCAAGTCGAACTCGGGGGAGGTCTTCCTTGTATAAATTAGCAAAGTCATGAATAGAATAGATGCGATTTAGACTCGCCCTGACGTTCGGCGCTTCATTCACGCAAAGACGCACGCCCTGTGAGATACCTAAGTGGCATGGCAACGCTGCAAAGCTCCGTATCGATCTTCGACATCTCTCACCATGTACAGCTTGTCAGTTGTATTCCCGATGGTAATATCAAATTCAGTCGTACATGAAGTGATTTGCGTTGAGCGTCGATGGGCGGAAATTGTCAATTACCGGTACTACCTAGGTGATTAGTAAGGGCTTTGCTAACGCGATACTGACGCGCTTTGGTGGGGCAAGAATTTCCCCTTCACTCCTTGGACATCCAATATCCATCACCCTCAGCTCATGCTGCTCCATCATCGAGTCAGTATTATGTCCAATCTGTGAATGTTACAAATCGGCTGCAAGAAGAAAGCTTCACCCGGAATTGTCGGGTCGTCAGGCTTGAAGCACATCTGCAGAAATCGCATACACAAATGATGCAAATCGTGCAAATCATACAATGGCGCAACCACACCTGTTATTTTCATCATGCCAATCGCAGGAGAATGATTCGTTCAGATACACGTTTTTTCAATGGCCAGCTCCAGAATCATGAGAATCTGGAAGATGGAAACTACATTAATTCGACTCTATGTACCAGTACGAAGTGAGCCTGCAATTGTCGCTACCTAGGTAAGTTCCTTATCTTCTCCTAGTGCCCGCAACTGGGCCACCTACTTTTGCTTTTCTGAGCTCTTAAACGGTTAAGGTAGTCACGCAAGAAGTTTCGAAATTGCAACTCGTAGTTCAACGAAAGAGGCAAGCCGGCGATCCATGCAGCTTTTCATTGAACTTCCCACCCTTTCGTTTGACGATGTTGCTGATTGCCTGTTCCCTGAGCAAGTGCTTCATATATCCAACAATACCACAGTCTCATTTCCCTCTGCGTTCAAGAGCATTGGCTCGCAGCTTTTGGATGTGCGAGCGGTGTTCCTGACTCATGAGCAAACTCATTTTCTCGCCAACCCCTTTTGTGATCTAGCTGTTTAAACCCAGCATTTATTTCGTGTCTACAGCAGAAGTGATTAATTTTCGGCTTTCTTGACTTGGAACTAACACATTTTCATGCTTAAAACATGTGGCCAAGCCGCCTGTCGCAAGAATTGTGCAACACTTTCCAAGACTACATCTTTCCCAGCACCAAGCCCGCTTGCAATTTTTTTCATACACTACTCCCACGCTTCGAGGGGCAGTGATTCCCTTCAAGAGTGGGATGGGATTACCAACATCCATAGTTTCGCCGCGCTCTGCTCTCGCGTTCAGCATGGTGAAAGTCGTACATTGATGGTGCAATCTCTTGGTTTTGTACTTCAACAAATACACTTAATTGTGGGACGAGAAGGAAATTCAGGTTGCTGCACAACTTATAAGTATCAGTTGAACGCTCGATATTCATGATGTTCGATATCGGGAAGCCACTGTCTCATCACCGGTAGCGTCATGGCGGAATCTCAACCAAAGACACTTCAGGACATATCAGTGATTCCGCACAAAACCGAAAAGCCCCCTGTCTCATCAACAAACTCAGAAAAGGCAAATAGCGATACGCTGAAATCATGGGAAAAGCCAAGTGCGAAGGGAAGGACTCTATGTATCCTGCGTACTATTCAACGATACATATGGGATGATCCAGACAAATCCCCAGAGGAAAAGAAGTTTCTTCTGAAGTTGGACTTTTTTCTTCTCAGCTATGGCTGCTTGGGTTACTTCTGCAAGAACTTGGATCAGGCCAATATCAACAATGCTTATGTCTCCGGTATGAAAGAAGCATTGAGCATGAATGGTAGTCAGTATGTCGTTTACCCCTCTCGCGCTGAAATTACAAGTGAGCTAAGCCACTTCACCTCAGATTGACGTATGCTTCCAATGTTTTCACTGCTGGTTATGTGATTAGTGAGCTGCCCGCGGTGATGCTTGTCACGAGATTTCGACCTTCAACTATCATTCCAACGTTCCAAGTCCTGTGGTCTGTTGCCACATTCTGCTGTGCTTCAATCACAGGCGTCCCGCAATTGTATGGACTGCGATTCCTGATTGGTTTCTTCGAAGGACCCTTCTTTCCATGTCTCATCTACGTCCTTGGATCATGGTGTAAGCGCTACTAAGCCTTCCGTGCCCTTGAAAAATATGTCGCTAACTTGAGTAGATACCAAAGAGGAACGAGCAAAGCGCATCACGCTTTTCTATTGCACGACCAGTTTGAGTCGCATGTTCAGTGGGTATCTTCAGGCAGCTGCCTACAACAACCTCGATGGCGTACTTGGCCATAGTGGTTGGCAATGGCTGTACATTATATGCGGTATCATAAGTCTTCCAATCGGCATCCTGGGATATTTCTTCCTTCCCGACTTTCCAGAAACTTCAAAGGCATTCTATTTTTCCGAACCTGAACTCGAATTTTCCAGAGAACGACTTCGCTTGCTGGGCTATAAGCCTCTTGGATTAGCACCATGGGACCGCAAAAAGATATTCCGTATCGCGAACAACTGGCAATTTTGGGTCTTACCTTTTGGATACTTCTTGATCCAGTGCTCTCTTCCAATCCAGCAGCCCGCCTTCGCACTTTGGCTGAAATCTCAGAAGAAATCTGTGAGCACAATTAATATCCAACCGACTGGCCAGGTCGGTCTTGCTGCCGCTGTTCAAATAGCTGCTGGAATGTTATCAGACTCTCCCATATTCAAAGGCCGTCGATGGCAAGTCATCATTGCGATGCAAGTGGGTACTCTAGTCGGAACAATCATTATAATCAAATGGAATGTCTCTGACAGCCTGAAATACGCAGGATACTACTTGTCATACATCTGCAGTGGGGTGCCTGGTCTCTATTATTCATGGTATCCGGATTTGATTCCCCACGATCATGAGATGAGAGGTTTTGTGGTCGCTTCATCTAACACCTTTAGCTTCATCATGCAAATTTGGTGGCAGCTTTCCATTTGGAGAACGATCGAGGGACCGAGATTCAAGAACGGATTTATTGGTGCTACTGCTGCAGGGGTTGCTCTGATCATACTTGTTTTCGTTTTAAGATCGCTCGAATATCGCGATGATCGCAAGAGGGAATTTGAGGCGCATGGTACACAAGACATCGAGACTTTCAGTAATAGGGCGAGTGCTGTAGAGAAGGATCCCGTACCCGACCAAGCTACGGATATAGGAAAGAGTTAAAGGTTTAGAATTATTTATTAGAATACTTACTCTATAATCGAGATTATTATATAAATTATTCTCTACCTTCTATATATTATTATATATATATAAGTATACTTTTCTAAAAAGAAGTAAATATTTTATTTAAAAGTAAAATATAATTTATATTATAGAAATAAATAATTATTAGTTTAATATTATATAGTAATAATTTATTTAATACAATAATTAAATTAACTAGTAAAATCTTAATAAAGTTACTAAAGTAAATTCTATAGTAAAGAGAGAGCTATATAACTATTTAAATAAATAGTAATTTTATTTATATTACTATTATTTATTTAAAATATTTTATAAAATTAAGTAAACTTAATAACTAATAATAGTTATTAAGAGAAAGTTTTTTAGCTAGAGTAGTAGCTAGAGATACTAGTACTAGACTAGTAGTACTACTAGTCTAGTATAGCTTTAGTTAAAAGTACTATAGCTAGACGAAAAACCTCTATTCGCTAGCTAGTAAATATAGACGTTATATAGACTATAGACCTAAATATAGTCTATAGTCTATATAACGTCTATATTTACTAGCTTAATATAACTAATAATTAATATAACTAATATTTATTATAAAGATAGCTAGTTACTCTCTATCTATATATATAGTACTTAGCTATAAAATATCTAGATTAGTAAGTATACTTTTAATTTTAGAGTAATTATACTTACTCTTAATTAACTAGTATTATCTACTATTAAAGTATAGAGCTACTAAGTATATATAGTATCTTAGATACTTAAGGCTAATATAATATTACTAGCTAGATACTTACTAGTCTATACTAGCTAGCTACTACTAGTACTAGTAGTACTTACAGCTACCTAATACTATCTAGTATATTCTATACTAAGACTATATATAGCTCTATATAAACTACTCTATAATCTCTAAAAAGTAATAGTACTAGCTAGAATCTATCTAGCTATCTTAAGAGCTATATACTAAACATTAATTAGCTAGCTAGAAAACTTTCTCTTAATAGTATATTCTAAATTTAAATACTTATTAAACTTAAGTTAGTTTTATTATTATTTATATATAATCTAAAAATATATTATATTTATTAAAAAAAAGCTTTTCTTTTTATATATAGTATAGTAAACTATATAACTTAATAATATATAATAAAGTATATATTTTATTTAAAAGAACTAAAATCTAAAAGAAAAGCTATTTTCTTATATAAAGATTAACTTTAGTTATTAGTAAACTTTAAAGTTAAACTAATTAATCTATAAAATAACTACTAATATTTTATTTATTACTATTAGCTTATAAGATAACTACTACTATTAATATTAAATATTAATATATAAAGTAGTTTATTATATTAAATAATACTATATATACTATAGTATACTAGAGAATAAGCTTATAATAATAGTTAATAATATATTAAAATAAATTAGTAAAATAAAAGTATAATTACTAGAAGATAAAGCTTTTATAGTACTATAGAGTTTAGTATCTATAAAGAGACTATTATAATTAAAAACTTTAAAAGTATAGTTTAAAATAAAGTTAATACTATTATAAAACTAAACTAAAGAGAAAAGAAGAAAAGAAGATAAGAACTTTAGTAGTAGTTAAGCTTTTATAGAGTTATAAGTAAAAAGATCTATATATAACTTATTAAGTAAGATACTAGTAGTCTTAGTACTAGTTATATAATTTATATAGTAAACTAGACTTAAAATAAGCTAAGCTAGAGGTTAGAAAGTCGACTTATTATAACGATTTAGGTATTCTATATATAGTAGATAGTAGTCTTATCGGGTTAGTATATAAGTAAGTAGGTATAAGATTATTAGATTATATACTTAGAGGTATATTTATTATAATAAGAGTAAGTTAAATAGATAAGATATTATTACTATAGTAAGTTAAGTATAAAGCTCTTATCTAAGGAAATTATAATCTTTATATAGAACTTTCTTTTCTTAAGTTTAATAAGTTTACTAGTCGAACTTATTAAACTTTTACTTAGTTCGATAAGTTCGCTTAGCGAACCTATCGAACTTTCTTTATTACGTAACGTTCTCTCTCTAAACCCGGGGCTACTCTACTAACATAACTACTATAATTCTTAACTAAATAAAACTACTAGATAGCGGTCCTAGAAACTACTCGATTTCTATAACCTTATCTAATCCTAGAACTTTTAGTTCTAAGAGTATTATAACGCCGAGAACGACGCTTACTTATAATACTATCTCTTATTCGGACTAGCGAGTCTATATACTTAAGTATAACTAAGAAATATATTAGTCGAAGACTATAGACTTCTCTTCTTTCTAATATACTACCCGACTATATAACTAAATATTCTAATATTATAGCCCTTAGAAAATAGATTAATTTAACTAAAAGAAAGATAGTATCTTATTCTTATTATAAAAAGGTAAGAAAAGAGTATATAGTCTCTTAGAACCTAAAATATAGTTACTATAGTACCTATATTTCTACTAAAAAATCGTATAATATTAAAGAGATAAATTAAATACTCTTAGTTTATAAGTAGAAGAGTATTAAAGTCTAAGAAGAGAAATATTTCCTAGAGAATAAGTAGACTAAGGCCTAGATCTAAGAGATACTAGCTTATTATACTTATATCTACTAATAGTAAAAGTTTCTTTAAGAATAAAAATAAAAGATAATTATAGTAGGTCTTAACTTATTAGACGAGTTAGACGAGCTAAAGAGAAGAGAGTAGTAAGAGAAAGAGAAAAAGAGAGAGAAGAAGAAAAGAAAGATAAAAGTAGAATAACTATTAGCTTACCTTACTCTACCTAACGACTTCTTAGCTTATAATCTATTACTACTTAATCTAAATTTCGATTCTAGGTCTTTCTAGAAGGCCCTAGATACTAGTAGTAGAACTTCTTAAGCCGCTTTAGGTAGTTAAGGTTATTTATTAGTTTTTATATATTTTCTAATTATAAGTAGTTCTTCTATTTTATTAGATAATATAGTCTCTTTCAAATAAGTTTATAGTCTAAGATTTTCTCGACTTTATACTTAGTATTAGAGTTTACTAGTTTTATTTTTATAACTAGAGCTAGTAATACTCTAGGTAGTACTAGCTTAAAGAGAGATATATAGAATACTAGAAAGATATTTATATTCTTAGGTAGAGCTAATTTATAGTTTAAGTATTTTTTAAGTACTTTAATTTTAAATAGTCTTAATTTCTTATTATCTAGTTTATTATTTAGTTATTTTATTTAAATATTACGTTTAATTAAATAAACTCTATTTCTCTTCTATAGTATAGACTTCTAACTACGTTCTTTATTATAGTAATATATATTCTATTTTATAATAAACTTAAGTTCTTTAATAAACTTCTTATAAAGAAAGAAAAGATTATTAACAAGAATTCTTTCTATCTAGTTATTAATTTTTATATTATAGGGTTCTTAGAATATAGTTTTCTTATAACTAAAGTTAGCTTTAAACGGTAATACTTATATTATTTTTATAAGTATACTATTATATATAAACTAGACTATAAGTAGTAGTACGACCTAATTATCTTATTTATAGTTTATATAATATCTTAAGTATACTTTAACTATTTAGTTTATTCTCTTATTTTCTCTATTTATTTAGAGGTAGAATAAGGTTAATAGCTTTTACTTTATTTCTATATATACTATTATAGCTATCTAGAGTTTAAATATAAATAGTTTATCTTAGTTAAAGACTATTCTCTCTAGAGTATTATAGTCTATAAATACGTAGTAGATAAAGGCGTAGACTAATTTCTTAGTAGTACTAGATTTCTTATATAGTATTAGAATTATATACTTAGTAAGTCTTTTTATTATAACTATAATTAAGTTATACTTAATACTAGTTATTAGATCTCTTAATAGTAAAAGTTTAATAATAAAGTTCTATAATATTATTTTCTATAGTTATTTAGAGACTAGTATTATTTCTATAAGTCTATAAGGGCTATAGTATACTAGTTTATTCTAGATATATATATTATAGCCGGTTACTACGTCTTTTACTAGAGATCGAAGTCTATTAATATAGTATTACTATTAGATTCTCTAAAAGGTTCTTCTTATTTCTTAGTAGTTATATTCTAAGGCCTTATCGAATCTCTAGATAAATTCTTTAGTATATAAGTCGGGTATTTTTAGTTTCCTATCTTTATATCTAGATACTTCTTCTAAAACGTTAGATTCTTTATTCTAAGTAGCTATAATTTTATTATACTATAGACTATAGATTTTTATAAGGGCGGTAATTACCTTAGTATTAGAAATAAGATTTCTATTCTAATCTTCTTTAAGAATAGTCTATTTCTTATAGATCTTATCTTCTTTATACCTAGGTTAGTAACTTAGAGCGTTAGTCTATAGATTATCTATTTCTTTTATATATTTAATAATAATATTAAAGTAGGTAAGTTCTTCGGCCTAGCGAGCTATTCTTTAGTTACTTAGTATCTAGTTCTTTTAATATTAAGAAGATCCTTAGGTTCTTATAGTCTATAAGAATAATAACCGGAAATTAGACTTCTAGAAAATAAATCTTCTATTTTCGTAGTATTTTAATAATAGCTATAAGTTTCTTCTTATAGATATTATAGTTCTATTTAGCTAGCGAGTATTTCTTAGAGTAATATATAATAGAGTATAACTTCTCTTTCTTATCTAGTTATAGGTAAATAGCGCCTATAGTAGTATCTAAGGTATCTATCTTAATAGTACTTTACTTATCTTTATTAAAACTTCTAATAACTAGTTTATTTATAAACTAGTCTTTAAGTTCTTATATAGTAGCCTTCTCTTTATTTTCTATTATAAATAGTACGTTCTTTTAGGTAAGATTAGTAAGAAGTTCTACTATTTATAAATATTTCTTAATAAATTATTAATAAAAGTTTCTAAATTCTAGAAATAACTAGACGTCTTTAACGTTTTATAGTTTAGGCTAGTCCTAT